GTACTTGGTCTCTTTCTGCGTCTTCGGTCTCATCCAGTTCTACATCGTCATCCTCTCCATCTACCTTGTCGTCCAGGCCTTTACGAGTCCAACATCGCAGAAGCTCAATACCGAGTCACCAGAAAAATTTGCCGAATCTTTCTTCAAATCTGATGGTGTGGGTATCATCATTATTGCGCTTGCTGCGACTTTCGGTCTCTACTACGTTGCCTCGTTCCTCTACATGGACCCATGGCACATGTTCACCTCGTTCCCTCAGTACCTTTTGATCATGTCCTCGTATGTCAACATTCTCAACGTGTACTCGTTCTCCAACTGGCACGATGTTTCTTGGGGTACAAAGGGTTCCGACAAGGCCGATGCGCTTCCGTCAGCGATTACCGAAAAGGGCAAAGACGGTAAACACACGGTTATTGAGGAGCCAGATTTACCACAGGCCGATATTGACAGCCAGTTCGAGGCTACCGTCAAGCGCGCTCTCGCCCCCTACGTCCCACCTGTCGAGGGCGACGAGAAGACACTCGAGGATTCGTACAAGTCTTTCCGTACTCATTTGTGTACTGCCTGGATTGGTTCTAACGCTACCCTCGCCGTTGTCATTACACAAGACAAGTTTGACCGCTTCGGTTTCTCGGTAAGCCTCCAACCTCACTATAACATGCACACATGCTAACAATCCCCAGTCAAACGCCTCAAGCCGAACCATGCACTTCTTCCAGGCCCTCCTGTGGGCCACCGCGGCTCTCGCTCTCGTCCGTTTCATCGGATGTTTGTGGTTCCTCGGCCGCACCGGTCTCTTCTTCTGCGTGCGCAAGCGCTAAATCAGCGTCTTCCCCTAATGAATGTTTTGGGCGTTATTCCGGATCATCCAGCAGGCTGGCGCTGCTTGCTTTGCTCGAGAACAAAAAAACCCTACACACATACACTAAAGCCCCAATGGCCATGTGCAACGAGTTATCTGTATTACACCCCTCTGTTTGCATCGGTAACTGATACCGCGGATTACAATCTTTAATGATGGATCTCGCTTGATGACTTGACTTGGAATTGGATACACTATTGGTGTAATCTTCGTTGCGAGATAGCGGGCTTGCGGTTTGGGTTTTTACATTTAGAATGAATACTATCATATTTTACAAAGACTCCTCTGACACGTCACGATATCAAAGTAATGCTCTCACCATCAGCGTTTGATTCTTCCAACATGCCGTCTGGCATCGATGGACGTCGTAAAACAGTAAGTAAACACCAGCAGGCCTGGCAGGCAATCTGTCACCACCAGAGTTTTCTACATCAAGATGCACCACTGCACTCATGCAGCGCGAGGGTGGGCACGTGGAAGTGTGCTGGCATGTAGGGCATGTGTGTTACTTGGGAAAACATTTGGTTTTGCTTGTAGTGTAGGATAGAGTATATAGTGGTGGTGGTGAGTAAGGAATGTGAGAAAAGAGGTGAAGAAAAATAGGGACAAGGGGCTTTGAAGCGGGGTTGTGTGAGGCGTGGGGACGTGAGCTTTGCTCAAGGGCATTAATTATACAGAGCCGTTGGCTTGAGTGGACAAGTGTAGCGTCGAGGTCAAGTTTTGGATACTTATACGCGCCCGTGAACTTGGGTATACATGTTTAATGTCAGAACACAAAACAATATATCAAGCAGCGAGTTCATCTAAGCATGCAAGTGAATATTCAAACGAAGACATGACAGTGGAGAAGTAAGTTGATGGCGAAAAAGCCTCGATCTTGTACCAAGTATATTCTTCTAAACAAACGCCATGCTGAAGCCATGGTGAGATGCCTCAAAAGGCACTGATATACCACTTGAGCCCATCGCTGCCCCCATCTTACTCAACAACTGGCGTGTCGACGCCATCGTACATGAAAGTAAACTGAGCCCCAGACCCATACAACAATTCAAGGGGGGAATCAATAAAATGAAGGGGTGTGTAAGACCAGCAGCAAGGAAACTTGCAGGAACGCCATGCTGAATGTCTGATGCCATGCGAAAAGATAGTGGAAAAGATAAACCGCAGTCGTAAATTAGGTTTTTGGTGCTTTGGTCGTAAGAAACTGTGGCCGTGTCTTGAACCGAAACGCCTGGTATCAATCGCAACAACCGAAACACAGCATGCTCGCCCGCAATGAAAATGACAAAGATCCAAGGATTGAAGATGAGAAGAACTCTTATCGGGGAAGAGGGGTACTAATTGCAGCACTACTGAGCCGGATAATATCCAGTTGGCTGCATCTGCGGCTGCATCTGCTGGGGATAGTAGTAGGCGCCGTCGGGACCGGGTGTCATCATGCCGCCCATTCCCGGCACAGCATAGCTTGGCTGAGCATAGCCATCCACAGGCGGGGGTTGGTAGAGCTGAGCCGAGTCCACGTAAAAGGTCATGCCGTTCTGCTCATATGCAACCATGTTTGGTTGGCCAGCTGCTGGAGGTGGCGCAGTGACAGGAGGAGCAGTCACCGGCATGGCATAGCCTGGCTGCTGGGCACCGGGCACGAACATTGGCACCATACCGGCAGGGGCCATGTACTGCGGTTGTGCACCAGCGGGAGGGTAGTAGTAATTCTGAGGCACAAAAGCTTGAGGCTGGAACCCAGCCTGTTGATAGGGCTGGAAGGCAGGCGCATGGATGGCGCGTTCGGGATATATTGGAGAGAGGTGTGCCGGTCGACATCTGGCTTGGATAAGAAGGTTGCCGGCCATGCTGATAGAAGGGCTGGGCTTCTGGGCCGGCAGCAGCACCGCTAATGTGAGCAGGGACTTGCTGGTGGAATGGTTGCTGTTCCTGTTGCTGAGGCGGATTGAATGACATGGAGGCCGGAGACTCGATTCCAGCGACAGAGACAGTCTTTTGAGGACGGGGCTGGTGCATGGTAAGTTGACCTTGCCAGTTCTCGCGATAGGTCGGCTTTTGTGGAAGTGGGTAGGCGTGAGGGCCAACCATACCAACCGACGAGGCATTGGTTGGGGAAACCATTGAAGGCGCGTTGGACATCCTTGGGCCGCCAGGTGGTAGTCGTACTACTGGTCGCGAAGGGTCTACAAAGCCGCCATTTCGGGACATGATGGAACCGGCAGGAGAGACGAGACCATCACGACCCATCTCGCGTGCCATGGATGACCGTCTACTCATAGCCACGCTTGGAGAGTAAACACTTCCACCATATGCGCTTGTGCGTCTGCTGGAAAAGCCGGCACCAGCACCAAACGAACCAAAGCGTCCGCGGCCACGGCCAAAGCCTTGCTGGTTCGGCCGCAGTGCCCTTGGGATGAAGATGAATGAACGCTCTGGCGTCGGGAAGATGTAGCGCGGTGCCGACGGCGGAAGCGAGACGCGGACAGGCTTGTCGCGGCGGAGGGGTGGTCGGTGGTTTGGCAGACGTGTGTGTTGTTTGATGGGTACGTTTTGGAAGAGTATGGGGGCTTTCATTTGAGGGAGGTATACACGGACGAGAGCGTTGTGCGTATGTACCGTGGTCGAGAAGTTGCGAGCCTGGGACGGCTTCTGGGCAGGTGCGGGAGGGGCTCTTGCAGCCTGATGGTGATGCTGGACGTGATGCATGGGCCCATTTGGAGGCTGCACCGATTGAGCCGGCCCTCCCGGTGCGTTGACCGTCTCATGCAGATCGTGTTGCCATGGAGAGTCGGTAGCCTCATTTTGAGGTGGCCGCATGCTGACAGAATCGTTAGTATGGCGTGCACCAACGTGGGGACCATTGCGATTTGGCACGTACTTTGCAGGAGAGAAAGGCCCCCCAATGCCGCCTCCCCGCCCACGACCACGCATCCCGGCTGGTCGGAAGCCGTTCTGTGCTGGCGCCGACCGTTGATCGTGCATGAAGAAGGCGCCGCGGTTGGGGATGAAGGCTGGATCTGCGTCGCGCTTTTTCTTGTACTCTTCATGCTCCTTGCGCCGGCGCTCGCCCAGCGTCTCTGGCTGCCTTGGGGCACCAACCGCAGGCGCAGCATCGGTTGCCGCATGCCCCGTCTCAAAGTCGACCACTTCGGCGTCTTTGTTGGCGTCGGCAAGCTTGAGTCCGCTGAGCATCATCTCCGTGTCCTGCAGCGCAGGGAAGGAGGGATCAGAGCGCACAATGGGCGGGGAGGGTTGTCGCCGGGTGGTGACGTCGGAGCGCGGTTTTGCATCCGGAGCTCCATTGGGTTTCCGCTTCGTCTTGCCCTCGGTGAGAGATGGTGCGCTGTCGACTTCACTGAGGTCGCTGTTATCTGCATCGCCGTTCTCGTCAACGTCACTGAGCACTGATACGTCGCTCTGCGAGTCGTCCGCGAGCTCGGTAGCCACCGACTTGCTCTCGTCTTCATCGTCGAGCCGCCTGCGGCGCGCAATGTTGTTTGTCCTCTTTCGTACGGGGGCGGGAGCCATGATGGAAGACGATGTGTTGTGGCGGCGATCAAGGCGCGTTAGGTTGAGCGTGGGGTTCCTGGATCGGCTCACGGGCGGCGAAAGTCGATGACTTGGCTGCGCAAAAAGGTCAGGCAAGGGGCCGTGGATGTCGGAGGCGGGGCGTGCGAGTCCGGAGTCTGCAGAAAATGCAGTGGTGATGGGTGATGGGGGGGACGCGAGAGTGAGGGCTGGGTTGGCTCTGATGAGCAATGCGTGATGTGATGTCTGTCGCCTAAGAAATGTACACGGGAAATGCCGCTGGGAACAGGAAAGCCTGGTCGCGCGGACGCTAGTTTTCTCCGCAACAACCGGCAGCACGGACGAAGCTGCAGTGCTGGAAAGACAATGACGGAATTATCTAGATTACAAGGCACAGTAAGTTTGCATCTCTAGTATGGAAATGCCGCGCCACCCACTAGCCGCACCGGAACATGGCATGGGCAAAGATTACGATATCTGGATGAGATTCGCAGCCAGGCTGTGACACGTGACAGCATAAACTGCAAATGCTCGCGAATGACGGCATCGCTGACACCGTCGTGTCGACGTATCGTAAAGAACCACGAAAAGCGTTCACGTAAATATATCACTGTAGTCATAGGTTTTTTTGAAAGCTCATTGTAGTGTAATTTCATTCATGTTACAGATTCTTGTATCTGTGGACATGATGCTAGACCGAGACTGAAGCGTCTCCTAGATGGTCTGATGGTCTGAACGCCGTTAACCATGCTATGCTTCCGCTCCGCGCGTACTGATGCTGCCACGAGGGGCTAAAAGAACAAACGCCGCCCGATGAATGATAGCCTGAGTAAACAGAGCGCCCACCGAGTTATGCAGATGCAAGTGCTAATTACAGTGATATGGAACAAAGAAAAGAAGAGGATATAATACAAAGTCCATCGTGTGAAACATGACAGCACACCCTTTGAGTCGGGCGTGTGATTCATCAACAAAAGGAATCCATCATCGCCGTGCAAAAGACTCCGCAGAGGGTGGGAGTCGATTACATATTAAGATCATGCACATACGTGCAGTTGTCGCCTTTGCTGCATTTGCCCATTTGGAAGAATTTGCAAGGCAGGACCTTGTGAGGCCGTTCGCCGCGGTTCTTGTGCTTTTTGCCCTGGCCTCGATCGTTGTTGCCAGTCTCTTCTCGCTGCCGCTTGATGCCACCATTTGTCTGGGTATTGTAGTCCTGGGGAGTATATTGCGGCTGTTGTTGTAGCTGATATGCGGCGCTATCCATTTGTTGGGGTGGCATGGCGAAGGGCAGAGGGAAGGGCGGAAATCCTGGCGGCGGGGGTGGCAAGGTTCCGTTGCCAGCCGATGCTGATATGGCTGACATGATGGCATTGAAGTCCATAGACGGTGGAGGAAATTGTGCGGCCGGTGCCTGCGAAGGGTACTGCGGTGGAGCTTGGACCTGTGGTGCAGCTGGTACTTTCAAAGCACTGAGAATGCTCTGCAGGTCAACATTAGATGCCATAGGCATAGGTGGTGCGTATGTGGTTTGCGGAACAGGAGCCGGCTGAGACATGGCGGGTGGCTGCGTTGCTGCTGGCAGTGCGAACTGCTTGAAAATGTTTTCGAGGCTGCTGAGGTCCGGTATAGCCACAGGTGCTGGCACTTGTGCTTGTGACGACTGCGAACCTTTGGCAAGCACATGGTCTGGTGGAGCGCCGAAATTCGTCACGGTGACTGCAGGTGCAGACTCTTGATCTTGCTCCAGAGGTTCTCGTGGAGATGAAGGAATATCGTTGGGATCCGCGTAGAAGACCATCAAGGTGGCGTTCTCGCGACGCAAGTTGGCTTCTTTCTCTGGACAAGACGGCATTTGTTTTCCGCCACCATATGGTGCATAGTTGCCATCAAGGGCCACAGTTGGTACAGCACTGAAGTCGACTTGCGATGGTTCTCTCCATGGCTTGTTGTCGAGCTCGGGCTCATCATCGTCATCGTCATCGATATCGTGCTCCTTGTGCTGCTTGAACATGGCGCCTTCGCCTCCAATATCGCCGGCATGTCGTACGAAATTCTCGTCATGGCCCAATTCCTCGTCGGGATCATGGCTGAAATATTTGATCTGCACAAGAGCAGTGTCTGGCTTGAATGTGACACGTAGATGCCGACGAGCTTCCTTGCGTAGACGCTTGGCCTTCTCCTCCGGCGTCTCGGGGGGCAGCTGCTTCTCTGACTTAACTGGTGCTGCTTCTGGCTCCTTTGGTTTCAGCAAAGAGGCCATTGTTTGGGCGAAAGAGAATGCAGGTTTGCTCGTGGTAGCGGCAGGCTTCTTGTCTTTCGATGCAGCTGCGACCGGTTTCGTTTGCAGGCTTGGTTTCGATGCTGCAGGCGTGGTGGCGGGTTTCTTGCTGGCAGCATTGAAGGGAGGCAAATATTCCTGACGGCTTGTTCGTCACTTGGCTGACTCGATTTTTCACTGGAGCTGGCGCTGCTGTGGGCTTCTTCTGAGGTAAGGTAGACGTCGACATCGTGATGGCCTTGGAACCCAATGGGGTCGCGACGCTCTTCTTTATAGCGTTTGCAGGGCCGTCAGCCGGCTTAGGTCTTTTGGCCATCATCCCTTCGCTCGAAGCGCGAGTCGTTTGTTCTGCCGCAGGCCGTTTGACAGTTTTGGCTTCCGCCGGCTCAGTGGTTGGTGGACTACTTGCTTGAGCCTTCTTCGAATTCGCTGCTGCACTATCTGATAATTTGCTGGATGAACGCTTTGTGCTTCTCATTTGGCTTGCTTCTTCATAGACACGAGCGCTTTGATCGCTTTGGTTTCTTCGAGGAGCTCAGAAGTCAACGTACCACACCGTGTCAACACTTCGTAAATGACAGCCGAAAGAGGTCCATCGAAATCCTTCATACGGAAACGATTCGCCAGAAACTGATAGCAAAGGTACACGAAGGGCTTGATCTTGCCCAACTGATATAGCACATCAGGGTGAGCATAATCAAGGGCGGCCTTGAGCGCCGACTGGAGCAAATCACGTTGACTAGTAACTCGGCTCTTCAGCACGGGTAGCTCACCAGTCTTCTTCTGATCCTCAGCATCCGTCACCGCTTTGCTGTCTGCCCGCCATCGCTTCTGGATGGTGTTCAAGACTTCCCAGATGTCGCGCATACCATCCTTGATCTGATCAGAGCTAAGTGGTGACTTTCGAGGATGCCAGTGTGGCCTTGATGATGTCATAACGCACAGCTTCGTGAGGCTCTTCTGGTCTCGCCGCAGGTAGCGGGGAAGGCTCGTCGTCTTCCTCATCATCAGTGTACTCGCTTTCATCGTCGGACGAGTCAGTAGCACTGTCACTATCACTGTCTTCCCTTTTCAGGCCCCTTGGAGCTTTGGTGACCGAAGGTTTCGACTGAATTCTGGCAAGAAGTTTCTTGTTGTCGGCCCCAATCTTCTTCAATTCTTTTACGGACTGTCGCGGGGTGTACAGGGGAAGCGCAGCTGGGAACCCGTTAGTTTTTCCAGAACATGAGGTTTGCTTATGGAACGAATGCTTACTTCGATTGGTGGGCAAGTGAAATGGCTCAGAACCAAGTGTCACGAGTTTGTTCAGCGCAGTAGACTTAGTGGCTTTCGCAAGAGCGGCCTGGTCAAGAATATAGAGTCCACCCGATTTCTTTCCTCTCGGAATCTCATAAGAGGGTACAGGGACAGGCTTAACTATGGTAGCAGGCATCGCCCGCTGAGCAAACATCTCCGTAGTCGTCCGCGGCATCTAGGGATTGTTAGTGAAATGTTACTGAACTGTGATCATGTATAGCATGCTTACTTGGAAAGGAGATACTGTTGGTCGAGAGTTTTGTAATTGCGCACCATTGTGCTGAAGAGCCTGTGGTGTGACCGTCCCAGAATGAGCCTGAGGAGTCGTGTTCCTCATCGACATCTGGTATGGCGACTGCTGTTGCTGACGCAGCGCGTTAGGGTCGAGACCTAGGGAGGGATCCACGTTTGCGGGTTGTGAATAGCTGGGCATCGACCCTTGTTGACCAAACTGACCATACTGGTACGGCGAAGCTGTCTGCTGGTATCCATTACTTTGAGTGCCATACGATTGGTTGAATGTGTTGTATGATTGTGGTTGTGGTTGTGGTTGTGTTTGTTGTTGTTGAGGAAATGAACCATGATGCCAGGCTTGTGTTGAACCAGCGTTGGATGCCAAGCCTGAATGCTGATTCAGCTGCGTGTCCCATGAAGGGGTTCCGTAGCGATCGACCGGAGGGAACAAGTTCTGATGATATGGCGATTCGGTGTAGATACTCTGGCCTTGCAGAGGCACTTGGTCACTTGGCACGTGATTAGAAGCCATGGTGTGTGGCTTAAAGTAGGTGGATATGGCTAACGGTTGTGTCAGCTAAGGGTAGCAAGGATGTGATTGGTTGGCCAACGCACGAGTGTCGTCTATGTCTCGCCAACTGGCTATTATGCGACTTTGCAATTTGCACTAAGCGCCAACAGGACTGGCGCAGATCACAATGGTGAAAAGAAGCCGATTCGGGAAAAAGAGAGACTGAAATGGCCGGTAAAATGCCGGTTCGAGCGGTAGTGTCGTGCTGCTGCGTTCTTTGGTGCAGAGTGCCCAGGTCTGTCGCGGTCCCCTGGGATTGTCGCTGAGCGCGCTGTGACAGACAGCAGCGGGACTGGTGGTGGCCGAACTTGCAGCGCTCGTGTGCCAACGCCCGCGATGCCGTGATCCTCGCCCCGGTCCACGCAAATGTAGCTTTGGATTTCAACAGGGTGGCACTTAGCCTCGCGTATTATTGCGATCAGGAACACTGGTGATGCGTCACTTGACGATTGCGCACCCAAATGCACAGCACACGCAGCCAGCCGCAACCGCCGTGAGACACAGTGTTGTTTGTCGCTTGCGGCAGAGCAATTTCCTCTTGCGCGATTGAGTGAGTGGCCAGGCCCTTTGATGCGATATCCGCTGGAGCTGGCGAAGGAGTTGTATTAGTAGCAGACGCGAAGTTGTTTGTCAATCTGCCCTCCTGCGACTGTGCGACTCCCGCAAACACTGCTGCCAACGTGCGCGCGCACACTTCTACCAAAGCAGGTTCGAAAAGTGAATCTAGCCTTAGAAACAGAAGCCCTTATTAGGTGGGCGAGAGTTCACAGAAAAGTAGCATGGAGTGAGGGAAGAAAGGGGGTGAGTCGTTTTGGGTGGAGGAGTTGTTGGAGAGGAAGTGCAGGGAGGCGAGGGCCTTTTACTTAAGGTGGCGGGTCTGTGCCAAGCCCCGCAAGTCACGCCATGACGCATTCGGACATGGCGCAAGCTCGAGCATCGCCAAAGTGACGACGCGGAAGTGAAGGCGCGCAACGAGCCGGCCAGCCCCAAGAACAGCAGCCTGGAGATATTCTCGACACCGTGGCTTCAACTTTGGAAGCTTATACTGTGACCCTTCGCGCATGAGGTAGCCTGCACAACGGCGGGTGCCAGCTTGTATTCACACCATGGCTGTCACGTTGCGGGACAAGCAAATAGGTACTTCACACTGTCTTGCTATACTTGGAAGGTAGCTGACATGACATGTCTCAGCTAGCATTAAGCGCATATTGAATCTAAACGCACCCATCACCGACATCGACGCACAAGACGACCATGAAGCTACGAAGACGCCCGCGGACGGCGCGGTATGGAAGGTCTTGGTCTTCGACGAGATGGGCAGGGATGTCATAAGCTCTGTTCTCCGAGTAAATGATTTGCGGAGCTCTGGTGTATGGAACATTGTATGCTCCAGGGAGGCTATCATGCTGAGTGCGCGCCTAGATCACAATTCATCTCAACATTGGCACAACGCGGCACATGATACCTGATGTATGTGCAAGCCGATTCAGCGCAAATCTTCGCTAACAATGGCCAGGTACCGGTCATATACCTCATCGAGCCAACGGCGCAGAATCTCCAAATCGTGACATCGGACCTCTCGCGCGGCCTTTACAGTTTGTCCCACTTCATCACAAGCTTGGAGTATCTCTAACTGTCCTTGCAGGTCCCGCCTACATCAACTTCCTCTCCAGCATACCGCGGACGCTTCTTGAAGACTTCGGTGCCCAAACAGTAACGTCAGGCACGGCAGAGCACCTCGCACAGGTCTACGACCAGTATCTCAACTTCGTCGTTTCGGAACCAGATCTGTTCCACCTAAACATAAAGGGCGCATATCACGCTCTGAACAGCAATCAGACAACCGAACAGGAGCTCGACAGTGTCGTGGATCGCATCGTCTCGGGAATCTTCTCGGTCGTGGTCACTATGGGCGTGGTTCCCATCATCCGATGCCCTGCAGGCGGAGCAGCAGAAGCCATCAGTGCGAAGCTGGATCGCAAACTGCGAGACCACATCTTGAACTCGAAAACAAATCTCTTTTCAGACCAGAAGTCATCCGCTGTGTCATCGCGGCCAGTCCTTGTTATAGTGGATCGCAACGTTGACCTCGTACCAATGTTCAGCCACTCGTGGATCTACCAAAGTCTGGTCTACGATGTCTTGGACTTCAACCTCAACAAGATCACCATGTCCGTGCCAGTGGACAAGAACCACCCGGAGAAGGGTGTGAAAAAACAATCCTACGACCTGACAGCCTCCGACTACTTCTGGGCAAAGAACGCATCGCTACCCTTCCCAAACGTTGCTGATGACGTAACGACCGAATGGAACAAATACCAAGAAGATGCTGACAATGTCACGAAAAAGACTGGGACCTCTTCGATAGACGATCTATCCGGCGAAAGTAACCAGTTCGCGGCTCATCTGAAGGGCGCTATGGCCCTGCTACCAGAACTGCGGGAGAGGAAGACTACGATAGAGGTAAGACAGGTCCCACTCGGTCCATCACAACCTTACTGACGACTTTTAAGATGCACATGAACTTACTTGAGGCTGTCATGGAAGGTATCAAAAGTTAGTATTATCCTTGCATAATTTTGACGCAACGACTAACATTGTCAGACCGCAAAATCGACTTCTACTTCCAACTGGAGGAAGAGCTCACCAAGCAGACGAAGGCGCAGATACTCGAATTGATCAACGACTCAGACAAGGGCAACGAGCCGCTTGACAAGCTCAGACTGTTCTTACAATGGTACCTCACCACCGAGCAGGAGCTTTCTCGAGCCGATCTCGAAAGCTTCACTCAAGCTCTCAACGCTGCAGGCGCAGATACCACAGCTCTCAATTACGTCAAGACAGTCCGCCAACTCACGCGCATGACGATGATCTCATCCGCCCCTACACAACCTGCACAGACAACATCACAGCTATTTGGTGGATTCTCCAGTCTATCGTCGCGTGTCACCGACCGCTTCAAGGAGGCTGGCCTAGGCGCCAACTTCGAGGGTGTACTATCGGGCATCAAGAACTTCTTGCCCACCAATACGGACCTCACACTCACCAAGATTACCGAATCGCTTATGGACCCTCAGAATGCGTCTTCAAGTGCGATCAGCAAGACTGAAAGTTACCTTTACTTTGACCCTCGGTCTGCGAATGCTCGTGGTACGATACCACCAGCAAGCGAGTCACGCAAGCAGCAAAGTACTGTTGGCCGAGGCATCGATGCCACCTTTGGACAGCGAAGGCAGGGCTTCAGTGAAGCAATCGTTTTCACGGTCGGTGGAGGTTCGATGGACGAGTATGGGAACTTGCAAGAATGGGCAAAGAGGACAAGCGTAAGTCACGGCGCTGCTGGCACAGGACAAAAGCGACGTATTGTGTACGGTAGCACAGCATTGTACTCTGCAACCGAGTTCGTAAACAAGGATCTGGCACAATTAGGCAAAGAGAGCACTTGAGCTACGACACAAAATAGAAACGACTCGTGACAAGGTCCAGTAGCAATCAATCAGCCACAATTCATGACCAATTCACCATTTCGCACGGTCACCTGTACGGTATGCAAGGTGACTCCTTCACACGCGTTGACCACGCACCGACACTTACTCTCAGCCCTGTCCAACGTCCGTCAACCACGCGAACTGAATCGTGCTGCATCCCCACAGAGAAAAACGTCGAAACATTGACCCCGCCGCAGAGCCGTATGCATCTGTGCTCACCTCAGCCATCCGGTCGCGCGAACGACACCTGCACGCACAGACTGACACTCGACCCCCAAAAAGCAAAAAAAAAAAAAAATGAATCCTCCACCCGGCGTCGAACAGCGCTAGAAAACCCGTAGAAGCATCTGAAACCCTTCGCACAAGGATCACAATCCGCATCCATCATGGCATGCAGGATGTGCGGAGCAGACACTTGCAAAAGCAAACATCATGGAAGGCGGGAGAAGGAGGCTAGAAGGATGTGAAACGGCGCGACGGTGGGTTTCCGTTGAGGTGTGGGGTTGTGGTTGCTTTTTTTCTTTTCTCGGGTGAAAGGGCGCTTAGGGAAGGGGGGGAAAAGCAAGTATGGTGTGGGTAGGGCTGAGCGTTGTGTGCGCGATTCAGGGATTTGGGTTGAGGAGGGCGATGACGACGGGAGGGGTGTTGACGTGTCATGTATGGAATGTGTATAGGAGAGGACTGGGGGTGAGTGCAGTTGCGAGGGGCATCTTGAATGTTGAAGCGTCTAGTGTTTGGCGAGGTGTGACTGTTGTGCATGTAGATCAAGTCCAATAATGTCTGATAGTGGTAGAAATGATGAGAGAAAGTTGGATGTAGCAAGCGTTATATATTTACATTATCAAGATATGTACAAGAATCGAGTTATTTACAAGCTGCTCTCCACTGGCGCGAGCCATCAAGTCTAATGTGCCATCTATAACCATCTATATCAACAACGCCAAAGCAATACATGTCATGAAATCGTAGCTCATTGAGCTGGAGGACCATACACCCGATGGTTCCTTACCTCACTGCATCGCTCCAAGCCAGCGTTGAAATTCCCATCCCCAAAGATAACGCCTTTTGTTTGTAGTGTCCAGCTGACAGTCGGCTTTGGACTTCCTGTGTATGGATTCATGCTCGTCAAAATCCAGCCGCGCGCAAGATTGTCGTAATGTGCTTCCTTTACTGCAGCAGGTACAGCAATGAGAAGTGTTTTCGAATGCGCAAATGGCGCGAATATGATGGCTTTCCCGCCATATGGATGTGAAACCGCGCCGTGGGCCGTCGAAGATACAGGACTGGTAATGATCATGGGTCCGCAGTTATGCTCAGAAGTACCGGACCCCCAAGGTATGCCCGATGAAATGAGGTTAGACAGGAAAGTAAGGAGAAGCGATAGCGCTGCCTGGCCTTCAGGCAGCAGTATGTAGTTACGAACGATGAGATGGGGATTCAACATCATCTCAATAGTGTGTGGCGCCAGAGTCGGAGTATTAGGCTGTGTCAGGCGCGATGATAGCTCGATCAGCCAGTGCGGTCCGCAATCGAAAACGCAGGCGAGGGTCTGGATAAAAGTGTTACGCATAGTCAAGGCGCGAGTATGATTCGGTGTTTGCCACGAGTTCCATAGGGAAGATCCGTCGAGCCGGAACTGGATGCATAAATCTATCAGCGTACGAGCGCGGGTGACTTGCGTTGGGAAGAATGGATTTGATTGTTTGCGGTGAGGAAGCTCCAAGAAAATCATGTCGAGTTGAGCGTACTCGGCTCTGCCATCTGAGCCTTGAGTGATGGGAGTCGTTGTTGCAGTAAAGCGTGGTGGAGCAGGAAGATCGGGATTGATATCGAGTGACGTTGGACGGCTCAACCAAGATATAGAACCGTCATGAAGCCGGAGATGTGGGCCCGTCGTGCACAACGCAACTGGATCTTGTGCTGCGAGACCTACAAGAAGGAGTGATCTAAGGCATTCGTCTTCTATGTTTGGTCTTGACAATGTGGTGACAGTTGTCAATGCTAGTGGTAGTCCGGAGGCATTCAGTGCTATCCCCATTTTATCACGATTGGCATCTTGTCTCCTGAGGTACTCTGGTAACCTTGGGTTACCACTAGCTTGTAACTGAAAGGTTTCTGCGATCTTGGGGATCAGTGCAGATCCAGCTGGTACGCCCATTTGGGGAGTGTCTGGCCTCTGTACAGCGAGGTTTGTATCTTCGCCCAAGGCCGCATGTTGAAAGAAAGTGTGGAGTGAACGTAACCTGCCGCGGTATGCAGGTATCGATGGGTAGATTTCGCTAGCGAGCGCAAGTAAATGGAGGAAGAACGCGCCAGTGAAGCGTATAACGGTCTGGACCTCGTCATCGTACTGCCGATAGCACGGCACCACGAAGACATGGCTTTGACCTAATCTCATCTCGTGTGCGCACCAAGCACGTCCAAACCAGCTTGAACCAAGTATACGCTCGAGTAATGACCATAGGAGTGGGTATTGATGCATTAGTGGCGGAGACATGCAGAGGTTAGGTTGCTGATCGTGTGCTAGCTCGGAGTAGCTATATTGCTCGACGTAGTACCGTAGGAATTGCTCTTCGTCTGCGGAGGCAGCGATATCGTCCAAGGCCACAACGACTGCTCTCGCATTCTTGTAGATGAGGTCGACAGCCCCCATGCATGCAGCCCTTTCCATGTCATCATCTTGGTTGATAGAGACTTGATCAAACCAGAGACCTTCTCCTATCCTCCTTTCCCGCAATACAGCCTGGAAGGCGATGTTGCTTGTCGGCATGGGGAACTCTTCTTCAGTAGTTGACCATCCAAATCCAATGGGTGTTACCACCCTTCGTGGAGTATCGAGGTTGACCTTCTTTCTGCAGTAGCTCAGGGCTATGTATCCTTCTTCCACACCTTGGAAGCCGACATCATTGAGCAATCGTAACGGCATAGAGCTGATGGCATGGTGCTTTGCTACGAAGTCCTTTGCGGCGGTTGGTGCAAGGTGGCTGAGATTAAAGAGTAGAGTCGCTGCATCGATATTGTTTTCGGCCGGATAAGAACGGAAACTGTGATGGCGTGACAGAAGTGCCTCTCTTGCAGGAGATTTCACGACGCGCGTATGCAAGTATGATGTATCCAACTCATCTTCGTCCAGCTCCAGGAATTCGCACTGTCCGAACCGGGGAAAGCATTGAGAAGTTGAAGAAGCCATAGGAAAGTACATGAGGGAGTGAAAGAGTCGGACCTCGACACAGACTGTCAGTAGCGGCCTTCATTTCTGCTCATATATGTGAGCCTCTCCAGGTCATCCCTGACCTGTCCCGTCATCGCCCAGTAACACACGGTTTACACCCGTCTCCACCTCGGGCTGCGTGCTGGGACTGAGCTGCATGATCGTCTTTGCCCAGGCTAGCGACGCCACAAACGTCTCGACGCGTATCGTCTGTGCGGGGTTGGAGTGCCTACGGAGCATGGGGTGAAAGATGTAGTGTATGTTCGGGTATCGCGCACGGCCCCTTGGGTGTGGAGCGAATCAGGAATGACGTTGGTACTCCACAAGAAGTAGCAGGCGCCAAAATGCTCGCAAAAGCAACACACGAGATGAAACACACACTATTCCGGAATCATGGCGTACAAGGATCATGGCATGAGGCGCGCCAGAAGTTCTGGAAGATAAAAAGTAAATATGGCTGCAATGGTCCTTCAATCTCATCACAGCGCCAACCAAGCTTTTGCTCAGGAGTCGCATCGTATGATGCTGACTATAGCTGCAGAAAGCGCAAGATCGCGTTGGAAGGAGTAAGCGAACTTCCCGAGGTCGGTCGGCTATCGGGATTATGGCCTAACTTGAAGCATGCACTGCAGGAAAACAATCCCTGTTAAAAATAGACACCTGGAAACCATGGCATCCTGGTAGAGAGTAGAGATGCATCGTTCGAGGAAACACCCAAACTGCCAGCTAACCCAAGGCCAAGCATATTGCTTCTCATCTGCCAAACTATGCGTGTTTCGTAAAACCTTCACTTCGCCCATTGGCGCAACCCGTTTGGTGTGCGAGTGCAAGCCGACCGAAACACATTGACAAATCTCCATACAACGGGCAAACATCTCAATCAATTTTAGCGTTCGCCAACCTATCGTTAGGATTGGCAAGGACGTTGGACATGCGAACGTTCTGCCGCTTGTACTTGCTGTGTTTTCGGAGTCGCTTCCTTGCGACCATGACTGGTACCGAGGACTTGGTGACGAGGTAGTTACTGAAGGATCCGAGCAAGACACTGCCGCTGTCAGAATTATGCGAGCCCTAGCAAAACGGAGATACTTACCCTTTTAACGCATTGCGGCCTCTGGACCCGAGAATTACAAGAGTTGGCTCAAGGAAGTCAATCTGGGGTATTTGTCAGATCTACGCCGAAATCTCAACTGCGTTTGGTTGAACTTACCACTTCAGTGATCATATGCTTGGGACTCTTGCAATGAAAAACTTCAACGACAGCACGCACTTGCAACCGCGTCTTCCTTAGTAGCTTGACACATCGATCAGACACCTCCACACAGGCCTGGTATCTCTCTTTCTCTGCTTTACCCATCGCGGCTACATTGGCCTCTGTCGCCATGATAGAATTCGCCAGAGGTGATGGAGACGTACCCGATCGGGTTGTGGGTATGCCGTCATGGTTAGAAAGAGTTCTCTTGAGATGGTCTGACTCCTGTCTTCCGGTCGTGCCTTGACTGATTGGCGCCCCAGAAGCGTCGGTAGTAGTGACGCCAGTTTCTTCGTCAACAGCATATACAGCCAAAAGGGTGTCGCCATCCCGCAAGACGGTGCCAATGGTCCATTCCAAGGCGTACGCTGCCTCGTCGCTGAGATCTGTTGACACCAAGTACACACGCTGTCGCCGCAACCCTTTCTGAGCATCTTCTGCAAATTGAGTGTATTCGCCTCGTACAACTTGCCGCACGCATCGATGTGCTTCGGGGCTGGATTGAATAGGTGAGATGTTCAACGAGAGTTGTTGGGCAGATCGAAGCTCAGCCATATTGTCTTCGTGGTCCGAATGCACTGGCGTGGAGAAGCCAGAACCTCCTTGGTCGAAGCTAGTATGTGGGTGAACCACACCTGATGAGCTCTTTCTATTCATCCTCTCTCCGTTGGGACCGGTGATGTTAATATTTGGGTCCAGCAGTGACCGTACTTTGTACGAGGCAGACAGATCTCTCCCTGAGATGTATTAGCAATTGTTGCCGAAATGGGTAGATATTTCTGTCGCACCTTCCTGCTCGGCGGTAGCAAACAAACTCTTAGCTGTGATAATCTCCCTACCCATACTGTCAGTACCACCAGATTCCTTTCTGGTCCGTCGGCGGCCTCGCTCTTTCTTCTTGGAGCCTGCAAAGGCACTTCCGTCGTCCCAATCTGAGCTGTCAGAATCTCCGTCACTGCTCTCTACTGCAGCGCTCTCATCTCCATCGTCATCGGTTGTCAAGCGCACGCCTCCACCGGGTGCGGTGGCAGTTCCTGTAGCCGGATCTGAACCTTTGCGGTTCGGCAAGGCTGACAACCCTCCCTCAGAACGTGCGAGTGCTGAATCTGACAGCTTCCGATATGCAGTGTCGCCGTCGATGCGTTTTCCCGAGTCCGTGACCAATGTGTTACTGGAAGTCGGCGCAGGCGAGGCAGGCGGGCTGAGGGGAGAAGCAGATCGATGAGGTCCAGGCGATCCAGACTTTGATCTGGCAAAGGGACCAGTCGCAGAGTTGTGTCGGTCCCTCCCTGAGCCACCGCCGAGAAAACCACTCGAATTGCCGTATACAGAGGACATTGCTCTAGGCTTCGGGTCCTTGTATCCACCCTGAGACACTCGTTTAGGCAATGCTTGCGCATCTATGGAAGGCAACATGTCGAACTTGTATGCTGCTTCGGGGTTGACGCGGCGGGGAGACGATGGCATGGCGAAAGGTATGCCAGTGCTACCGCGGCTGGTGCTTCGTCTTTTGCTGTTGTCGACATCGAGCATACTGCGCTTAGGGGAGGCAGCTGAGCCAGGGCTCTGGGCACGCTGGGATACTGAAGGACTGTCGGCGCGACGACCTAGGCCCTTGGGCTTTCCTTCTAGGAGAGCCACGACCTCCTTCATCTCTGCGTCAAGCGCAGCTTCGAGAGACGACATGGCAGAGTTGTGCTCGACGTTGAAGCGTGGGACGACAGCGAAGTGGCGATCCGCGTGCCTGCGCAATAAGAATGCGTGAAGAGACGCAGAGACTTGTAATAGGCAGTTCGTCCGGGTTCTTCGGTTTTGCGAGTGTGGTAGGCAGCGATTGATGTCTCCTATAGCATTCTAGGCTGAGCTGGTCGGCAGCCGGCTTAGGCCTTTAAAAGTACACGCGCACTCGTCGTTGGCTAGTTGTACCTGCTACGGCTGGGAATTGGGCGCGTGATGTATGACTGGGGACTGTGGGGTAGATAATTCGAAAGACTGTAGCTGAAGCGATGGCGGGCCGAACCGATGGTAGCTTAACCACTATCGAAGTAGACGATACCGAGCAAGTTGGTGGAAGTGGACGACATGTGGAAGAGGACGGGACTGCGGGAGATACACGAGGCAATTCGAGAACTAAGCGCGAGACGTTGCGTTCGTGGAGACTCTAGGCCAGGCAACAGATGCCCAGGTGGTCCCTGGAGAGGGGCACCGTGAGCTTGGCAGGCTGCAGGATCGCCGCCACGCTGTCTCAGTGGTCTGAGGTTTGCACAACGAGCAGGAGCGCTCGACTACACAGCAACACGTGCGCTCTTCAACCAAGGCTATTGTGTGGTTCTGTATCACCTTGCGCTTCTTGAAGTCGTGTTGAGCGATATGCGCACTCACATGATAGTGGTAGCATTTAGGCGGCTAGTGGAGAGGCTGTGGCTGTGTCCCGCGCTGTATGTGGAGCTCGGAATTTGAGCTGCTCGCCCAACCTTGGAACGAGTCGAAGGACAGTGACGTACCAGCACGAGATCAGCAAGCTAGGAATCTCGGATCAATGGCTTTCGGATAGGTTTCCGTTGCAGAATGCAGGAGGAAGCATCTCCGTGTTGTGAACATGCATCACGCGTAGAGCTATGCGAAGCTTCATGCCTGCTACGCCGCTAAGACCTTTACTGTAAGACATATGCAGTTATGTCCTCCCATATTTGACATGTCCCTGGGTAACCATATAAGCGCGCCATGACGTGGACACATGCATGCCATTTCGCAAACGTCAGAACATTGGAATTGCGATAGCGGAGTAGCACGTGACCACGATACTAGCGCATCGTCCATCGAAACTCAGTCTTTCTGTCACGATGTTGAAGATCAATCGCACCACACACCACACAACACCATGCCTCCACGATTGAACGTAAAATGCTTCACGCGGTCGATGCCGCTGAGGCCCCAGCCCCGCCTGCAATGGTCCGTCCGCCCTGCTACACGATTTTCGGTGTCGCAATATCGCTCATATTCCGACTCGAAAACATCTGGAGCGAACGACCGATCAGCAAAGGTCGATGCGAAGCCAGAAGACCATGTTTCACAAGAGGCAGCGAAGACAGCGGAGATCATGGGCGAACAGGGCCCAGATCTGAGTCGCGGCACACCAGTCGAGGATGTAAGGAATCCATGAAGTGCAGGCGCTACTATACCTAACAAACCGTCAGATTGTGAAAAATGACAAAGACGCGCAAGAAAAGCTCCCAAAAGTCATGAAGGACAAGCTGAAGGCCAATGCCAACGCTGCCCCCAAAGGATCGCGATCATACTCGACTATGACGACACAAACCAGCAGCCAGGGCCTTGACATGGGTCTTGTGGATGTCCAGTCCGCCGCAAAGCTACCGCAAATACCTGGCCTCAAGTTCGAGATGCCTACATTGCCTCTGCCAAAGGATGGTCACGTCAAGCGCCGGTATGATCCTGTGGTCGAGCAGGTCACGAATCTGCTCATGCGTCATGGTGAGAAGAGTGTAGCCCAGTCGGTGAGTGTCAAACCACCGCGCAAATCAGCCCACAGCTAATTGCCATTAGAACATGGCACGTATCCTTCAACATCTACGAACATCGCCAATTCCAACCATTAACCCCGCAAAGCCCCTCCTTCCTGGTGCCCCCCCGCCATCGCACTTGCCCCTCAATCCGATCCTATACCTTACACTTGCGATCGATTCAGTTGCGCCTCTGATGCGCATTCGAAGTCAAAGGGGTGCTGCCGGTGGTGGTGTTGCTCTACAAATTCCCGTACCCATGCATCTAAGACAGCGCAGGCGAACGGCTATCGAATGGATCATGTCCAACGCATCGAAGAGAAGGAATGTGGGCAGTGGAAAGGGCAGCTTCGCGCAGCGCATTGCACAGGAGCTGATCGCTGTAGTCGAAGGGCGGAGTACTGTCTGGGACAGGCGCAACGCTCTCCACAAGTTGGGCGTGGCTGCTCGTGCCAACATTGTCCTGCCTAAGAAGAGATAGATCTTGACCTCACACAGCTTTTTTTTTAATTGTACATTAAATGGGTGGAAAAGCGGGTGGCTTCTGGAAAAGGTGTTAACAAGTCACGTGTAATCTGCAAGCATCTATTTCTCTGTTGAATGGCAAGTGCTCATATGCTTGTGTATGCCCATCAGGCCTCAATTGTCACCACCAAAACAAACACAGTCACCGGTAGCTACTCATCCTGCGGGTCAAACAAAAAGTAGTTCTGTGTCTGCGGGACTAGAGTGCACATCGGCTGATCGAGCGTCACCGTCCAGTGTGCCGTTTTCGTGCCGTCCAATTCAATTTCAGCTGTGGTTACACATTACGCGGCGTTTACCAGTGAACAGGGTGGCGACCTGTCAATCATACATGACAGGTTGTCTGGTGCTGTCAAATTCTACCCCACTTCTGAGCGCAACAACCATCTCAAGGCAGACGCAAAGAATTAGCTGAATTCATATTTCATGATCTGCACCTCATTCTTGCTGTCTTATCAAACAATTCTACACCACCTTCACTTACAGAACTGGTGCTTACGGCTTTAACGCGTACCCTTGCATAGGCGTAACTTCCCGTCACCCACGCGTTAGCGCGCCTCAGCCTGCCCGACGAACCTCCGCAACAAGCTGCTGCCAGTCAACGTTCCTTCCTACACCGTGCCTCTCTCCCACATATACATTCGGTAGAATCACGATTCAACGGGAGCCTGAGAAGACATCAATTGGGTCACTCTGAACAGGCTGTCGGTCTTACCGTGGCCGTAGTTCTTTGCCCCAGCTCAGGTGAGTGACCTCTTTAGCCTGAAGTTTTCTACAACTTTTGTGTATCTCTGTCCATTTGTTCATCTTGCGTTGCAGTGTTCTACTGTATTTCCATTCTTGATCGCTATGTCTTGTTTCATTTGTCTCATCCGTCGACATTGTGGCGACCTCGGGAGGCATTCCTTTGTGCTTGGCCTACCAAGGCCTCGCCCACCATCAAATACACGCACGTCACAGCCGTTGAGTTCTTCTTTCTATTACATTGCACTGTCCGGTGACGACTTTCCACAAAGATGCTCCAAGCCTGACAATATCTCAAGTGCACTTCCAAGTAATCACTCAAGCATAGTCAGCTATGGCTGATCGCGGCCGCGGTCGTGGTGATTTCAGAGGCCGTGGACGCGGCGATGGCGGCGGAGGTCGAGGACGAGGAGGCTACGAAGGTGGTGGTGGTGACAGAGGCAGAGGGGGGTTTCGCGGTGATTTCCGCGGCGGTGACAGAGGTGGCTTCCGTGGCGGCGACAGAGGTGGCTTCCGTGGTGGCCGAGGAGGCTTTGAAGGCCCAAAAGTCTTTGGGTAAGACCATGGAAATGTGTGCGCTCACGTCATGGCGTTGACACAATCTGCAGCAGCGGCACCAGCATCCCTCAGCCTGATGCCGAAGTCACCAAACTAGAGAATGCCATGGTCAAAGGCGACCTCAGCTCTGCACTAGCTGCGTCATCCCTCGAAATTAAACTGCCAGCCCGACCTGCGTATGGTGTGAACGGCAAAGCGATCGTTCTTTACACGAACTACTTCGAGCTGAAGGGCATCAGTGCCGAGACCGAACTGTACAGGTACTCACTTGCGTTCCAGCCTGACAATCAGCTCCCAAAGCCAAAGAAGAAGCGCTTGGTGGAGCTTCTGTTACAAATGCCTCCATTCGCTGGGCTTCCGATTGCCAGTGACTGGGCTCAGATTCTGGTCACCCCAAAGAAGATTGCGCTAGAGGACAAGCGTGCATCCTACAAGCTCGAGTGGTACCCAGCGGATGGAGAACCACTACCTGCTCAAGCAGCAGACGAGCCAGATCGCGTGAAACTGGCACGCAGAAAGAATACACATACAGCACTGGTAGAAGACATTGGTACTGTGTCTGTCAAGGATCTTTTGAAAGACTTGACCCAACCTACTTCGAACTATCCGCTCAAGTTGGAGACCATTCAGGCCTTGAACGTCATCATGGCACATGGCCCGAGCAGCGACCGCAATATTGCAACAGCTAGCGGCAACAAGTTCTACCCCTTTGGCAAGCATCCACAACTCCAAGTCGCACCCCTTGGAGGTGGCCTAGAGGCGATACGCGGGTACTTCTCCAGTGTTCGCACAAGCGTCAATCGTATCTTGGTGAACGTAAACGTTGCAACAGGAGCGTTCTACAAGCCAGGCCCGCTACTTGACGTGATGAAGGACTTCACTGGAGGACCTCCACCACCAAACGCGATGCAGTACAGGAGGCTGGCCACATTCGTGCGCAAGCTGCGCTTCGAGACGAACTACATACCGGAGACCGAGAAAGGTGGGAAGCCAAAAAGAGACAAAAATGGCAAGCCCGTCACGAAGAGGAAAGTCCATGTGATTGGTGACCTTTCTCCTTTTGGAAAAAATGCCACAAATGTCAAGTTCTCCAAAACAAGCGCAGACGGATCCGTACAACAGGTGTCAGTTGAAGAGCACTTTAGAACAGCCTACAACATCAGGCTCTCAGCGGCGCAGGCGCCCTTGGTTAACTACGGCACCATGAAAGATGCGAAATGGATTCCGGCTGAGCTTTGCTCTGTTCTCCCAGGACAATTGGCAAAGCGACTATTGCTCGGTCCCCAGACAAGTGAGATGATCCGTTTCGCTGCTCGTCGACCTCACCAGAACGCCGAGTCCATCACCAGCGATGGCCTGAAGGTCACAAAGATACACCCAGTGGCGAATGGTCTCAATACAGCCTTGAGTGTCTTCGGAATCAAGGTGAACCCGAACCTCATGACCGTTCCTGGTCGAATCCTTCCGCCGCCACAGTTGCTGTACAGAGCTTCAGCTACGTGTAACCCTAGAAACGGTGCATGGAATCTGGATCCACGCGCTCTTGGTGCGAAGCCGTTCCGCGTGGCCAAGACTTTGGGTTCATGGAACACGTTGGTTATCAACTCCGGCAATCGTGACACCATCTATGGAGGCATGCAAGGCGTTATGCAGCATCTCACTGCTTTTCGAGCAACCTTGGAAACTTACGGTTTGAACCCTGGACCCGTTCAGCCCCCTGTCGCGATGGACGTCAGCTTCAACGACTTGCAGAATAAGGATGTTGCCAAAATCCAGCAGGAAATTATGGACACCCTGAGGAAGAAGTTCAAGGCCAAGCCAAATTTCCTCTTCGTCATACTACCAAGCGACAATGCTGTCTTATATGACTGCATCAAGTTCGTATGCGACTGCAAGCTTGGTGTGCCGAACATTTGCAATATTGGCAGCAAGTTCTCCAAGGAGAAGGGTCAGATGCAATACTTCGCCAATGTGGCGATGAAGTTCAATCAGAAACTTGGAGGTGTTAACCACACGGTCGAGCTGAAGAGAATGGCTCCCTTGGATCCGCAGACCATCTTGTTCGGTATCGATGTCACTCACCCATCCCCAGGAAGCTCGGACTCCGCGCCTAGTGTTGCCGGTGTCGTTGCATCTGTCGATAGCTTGTTCTCGCAATTCCCTGCAAGCATGCGCACCCAACGAGGCCGTCAAGAGATGGTAGAAGAGTTGGAGGAGATGATCGTAGAGCGCCTCAAGCTTTGGCAGAAGCGCAACGGGAACAAGCTTCCCAACAAAGTCATCGTATACAGAGACGGAGTTTCGGAGGGTCAGTACCGCATCGTGCTGGAGTCAGAGTACCCGGCCTTCAAGAAAGCATTCGACAGGCTGTACGGTGCCGAGAAGAACCATCCGAAAATCTCCATAGTCGTTGTTGGTAAGCGCCATCACACGCGTTTCTATCCGACCAAGGAGGAGGACACCGATGGAAAGACAGGTAACCCACAGCCTGGCACAGTCGTAGACCGTGGTGTCACTGGCGAGAAACTCTTTGACTTCTTCTTGCTTGCGCATCAAGGATTGCAGGGTACCTCGAAGCCTGCCCATTATGTCGTTCTCAAGGACGACATCAAGCTTGGCGCCGACCAGCTGCAGAGCCTGACACATAGCCTGTGCTACACCTTTGCCCGAGCCACTCGCTCTGTCAGCATATGTCCGCCAGCGTACTATGCCGACCTGCTGTGCGAACGTGGCCGCTGTTACTTGCAAGGAGTACTCAAGGGCGACGGATCTGTCAATTTCTCTGACACCGAGTGGCAGAGGGACGTCAATCCAGCTCTTATGGAGACCATGTACTACCTCTAGCACTGGACTTCATACTTCCACCGTCTCATGTATTCCGAATGCATGCAATTTCTATACAATACAGACTTTCCGACCATACCGATGGAAACACTGAGCCATTCAGCAACCCTTGGGTTGCGCATCTCACTATCAAACATCCTTATTGGATGCATGGATAGATATCGGGTCATGTTCGCAGTACATACAAGTGTACTGTAGACATTGACCATCTCAAACGCACACATGTCCCATTACGGGTAATTGTGTTATATTGAGATACATCAGGCACTAGCCTGCATGCTTGCTTATCAAGCTTCGAAGACTGAGAGCAAATTCAACACCGCTGTCAGGACATTTGGATAAATGTTCCAACACGCCACTCGAGCATCTCAACATGCTTTTCCTTGCCTGTTCTTGTTACGAATCTTGCCCGACATGTTCTTTTTTCAACCTTCTTCCAGTATACTGTGGATCTGAAAATTACGATGTTCTCCCTTACCTTTCAGAGCAATCGTAGCTACAAATTAAAGTTTTTCTGGTGGAAGTCGTCTCACATACATGACATATGCTAAAGTGACCAATGAGAAGCCAGAAACGCCGCACACCACCGGTGCTGTCTGAAGAAGCGTCTTGCGTTGTAACATGCGCTGGCAGTGTCTGACGAGCATATGGAAGGGCTTTTGGAGACTGTTCAGTGCCCTGACTGATATCGATTCGCACGCAAGGGTCCCTTCAGACGCGTTGCTGCAGGTCGTCAACGCGGTCGCCTTCCCCCGCACTAGGCCGAGTGACGATGCCCAATCATCTCCCATTCCCCAGCCACCTCGTTTCACCCCACTCGAGCCCTGGCATGCACGCTGGCCGGTCGTCTTTGGGCGAAGGATTAGCCGATCACTGCATGGACGTGGGGATGGACGTCCTTTCACTATCGGCGAACTGGTCTCAGACACATTTTCCGCTATCGCCAGGCACCATTAGGCACGTTCCCACTCACGCGTCACAAGGCGCCTCCCATGTGCCGGCAGAGCCCCAACGACCCTGTACCACGACCGTGAACCCGCCTCTGCGCCGACGTCGCCTTTGTTCCTCCAAGACAGCTACATACCAGCCCATAATATCACAGACATGATGGATACGAGTCGCGGCAGCTTCTACGACCACGACATACCGTCACTGACCGCGTCCCTCGAGGCCTTCGACCCTGAGCGGAGTTCCAGCATGCAACATTCAGCCTACAGCGCCCGCTCCAACATGAACTCGTCGCGATGGAGCATACCGCAGGAGGAGCCCGAGTCCGAGGCTGAATCAGATGGGCCGTGGGCGCCCCCAGCATGGCAGAAGTCGAACAACCAGTGGTTGCGCAAGTCACATCTGAGTGAAAGCGCGACCCGGTCAAGCAGGTCCCCGTTCGAACGCGAGATCACGCCGTCCCGCATACCACTGCCCGAGTCTCCCCTCAAGCATACACCGCGAACCAGCCCCGAACCCATGTCAGAACAGGAGCAATCATATATGCCCCGTAATATCGCCTCGAGGATGCAGAGCCCGTCAGAAGAACCACAGACCGGTGCGGGTGCGGATGACATGGCCGTGTCGCATCATGACGACGGGACGCAGTCGGAAGGATGTAGGTATATGCGAGCACATGCGCGCAGAACCGTCACTAATCAGAGCAGTCGTGCGCTTTGCGATTCGCGGCGAGACGCTTTTCCGCACTGCACCCTTTGAAGATACCGTGACAGCCTTCTCCGATGGATTCAACATCTTCACACGATCGCGCATCAATGTCGTGGGCACCCTCGTCGCCATTCTCGTTTCGTACCTACTATTGCAGCCATGGACGGCAACGTTAATACCAGATATCGCCAACGTCGCAGGTATGGCGAAGCAGTTCGAGCCGTTGATGTATGCTTCAGAAAATGTGATACCGCGGTCGCGGGAGTTGGCAGAGGCGAGCATCGCAGTGCAAGATCTAGGCGAGAGTGTGCGCGCGACCAACATGTCAGCGTCAACGATCATCATCGACCAACTTGACGATTTGGGTGACAGCTTAAGAATGCTTTCCGAGAAGCTCACGAGCTTCTTTACAAACGTTGATGGAGACATCGATTCGTAGGTACCACCATGTCATGGAGGGTGACACCTACTGATTCAAGCAGTATCCTTGTGACCATGGAGTGGACCAAGCGCGAGCTACAAAGCATCCAGGGACCCAGTATTGGCATGGTAGACACAGTCATTGGCAACATCCACGGCGGCCTCAGCAAGATTGGCGTCCTGGAGCGCAACGGCTCACCCACCACCGTTGGCCGTGTAGTCACCGACGTTCTCGGTCACACTCGTCAACAACGCTCAAAAGACACACTCCAACGTACCTTCGACCATCTCCTCTCCACCCTCGAAGAGAACATAGCCGGCGAGCTCGCCCGCGCCGACACCCTCTTCCAGATCTTCGAAAGCGTCGACCGCCAATTCCAAACCCTCCACCGCTCCGTCGCAAAGGAAGAAGACTCTCTCGCCAACAAGAAAGACGAGTTCCTCGCTTCTCTCTGGCGGACCAACATCAAGAACAAGATGAAGATCAAAAAGTACGAGAAGAACCTCAAGCTCCTCAAGGACGTCCGCGCATCGACCCTCTCGAACAAGTTCGAGCTCAAGAGCCATATCCAGATCATCCGCAGCGTCAAGGACCAGCTCGACAAGACGCGCAAAAACCTCATCAGCCCGCTGATCCGCCGCGCGCAGAGCAACAGCTTTGGCATCGAGCAGCAATTGCAGGATCTATCAGGCACATACGGACTGCTCAAGGGTGTCCGAGACGCGCAGAAGAAAAAGGTTATGCAGCAATTGTACGGCGGCTCAGGCAAGCGTGCCGCCATTACCACCGGCAACGACAGCGAATATGAAGCCGAGGATGCGACGATTTGAGCTACATGTACTATCCCTCACTGTTTGAAAACCTGGATAGTGCTGTCTGCTGAGAACGATTTCTGTATAAACTGCATTGCGATCTGGATAGATAAAGGCAATGCGGATGCGGGTGTTTGCGTTGTTGGCGTGGCGTTTTTTGGTGTCTATGGAAAGAGGCCATCTTTCAGTGTTGTCTACAACAGATCAATTTGCTTGCTTGAATCAAGATACCTAAGAAAGGTCATTTTGTTGGTTCCAAATGCTTCAAAAAATTTACATGTAATCTTTTGCCAGAGCAATATATCCAGCGTGAATCTACGTCTGACTCAACGTATATGTTGACTTTACACGATCCACAACTCGCTCCCAGGCCTTGGAGACCGCCTTGTTGCACTATGACGAAAAGCACCCACTCGCTGAAGCTATCTAGGTTTCGATTGCGACGGCAAGGCCCTGTGTATAGCTCCTGACAATCTGGTAGCTAGGTGACTATCCGCAGTGCTATCAAAATCTTACATATTCTCCTTTCACCAGACCTCTGCGTTTGGTACACAGCCCCACTCCAACAAATCCGCGCACCCGACGACGCTTCCTCGTCTATATATCCCGAACAATCCCCCAGACTTTCAAGAAATCCACGACAGGTCGCCATGGAAGGTCTCCATGTCGTAGTTGGTTCTACAATCGGGGTAATTTACGAGGTGTAATTTGTGGGTTTCTTTTTTTGTGCGTGTGTTCGAATCTGGCCTTGTGCACTAGATTTCGTTTTTGAATATGTGTGCTGCATGTATAACAAACAGCTCGGAAGTGAAATGCAAAGTGATTTTATGGAATGGTTGTATTGTGTGTAAGACGATAGAGTCGCGGCCGACTAAGATATGTGTGGGAAATACTGCGACCATTGAGGGACTTCGAAGGTTGAGGCGGGTAGGTGGCGGACGTTGATGAAGCATTCGACGACGAGGAAGATGCGTGCGGCTACATAGCCGATTGTGACCAAAAGAATGTGGCAGATGACAGAACATCTCAAGAGCTTCATAGACCATGTGTCAACAAATCTCCGAACGTGGTGACCTTTCCAAAAGTGATAGAAGGCCACCGGCAAGCAGGCAGGTCCAGAGAGGGTTATCAGGACACCCCCCGCCCTCCACAGTAAGTTGGCCGTGTGTGGCATTGGTGCGTTCCAAGCTGTCAGATGCAAGCCTCCGTAAAAGAAACCAGCGATTGTGATACCTGTAATTGATTGCCGTAAGAAGGTTCCAGTCTCGCCCTTTCCTAAGAAGGGCCAGGATATATTCTCTACGCGCTCCTGTAAGTACTTGCCCCGATGCAACGGCGTATCTCTTCTGGCACCACTACGCGCCAATTCCAAACATTTTATGAAGCTTTGATGCACATCGACAAATGGGTAGAACTTGGGACGGTTGTGCGGAAACCTACGGCGCACAAATCTTGCGGCAAACCCGTGAAAAGGCTCTAGCTCAATAGCGCGGATGAATCCTGGTAGGGGGGCCTCAACTTCGTATCGTTCCTTCTCCCTTTGATAATCTCTATCGATTGCAAAAGGAATGTTTGATGGTATATCGTAACACATCACTTGCACTTTGTGTGGACACCTCCGGCAATGACTTGAATTCAGGTAGTCTTTACAGTAGCCTTTGGTTTCAAAGCCGTCGTCATCGAGAACGTGAATGAGTGCAATGAAAGGATGCGCAGCTTCACCTCGTATCAAGGTGGGCTCTGTGACGTCCAACGGTTTGTCCCACCAGAGGCTAAATATCAACAGCGTACATAGGGCATGTGCGAAAGTATTGAGTTCCAGTATGCTGATCGTCAAGTGTGATGTGATACGTATGACGGTTTGAGTGCAAAACCATGCCGCTTGCAAGCATACGAGCACCTTCGCGAAGCCGTTTGCTTTACTCTTGTCCTGGATTTCTTCCTCAGATAGGACCGGCAATAGCGCTGGGTTGTGGTCAAGAAGGAGGCTGAGACCATTGCTTGTCAAGGATCGTCGGTTGGCGAAATTGGAAACGAAGATATCCCGGGCGCCTGCGGTATCGACTGCGAGTCCACCCATGGCAATGTAATGGCCATGGATCAAGGTGAACGGGTGATGTTTGCTTGGACGTCCTTCTTCGGCATGATGCGTCTCGGTCTTTCATCATCAGAGAGAATTGCCACAGCGATCGCAGATCCAACACGTACATTTGTCGTTTCCTGGTTCGTGCCTTGCTTCCACACCATGGCCCACTCGAGAGAGGTTCTGAGTCTACGCCAAACAGTCTGTAGTATAGAGGGAAGAGGTGGCTGAGCGACGCAATCTCTCAGCTCATTACATATAGTTTGGGCTTCATGTCTTTGTTGGAAGGCAGTCCATGCCACCTGAACTGATCAGTCACATACAACGAAGTGATGCCAAGAAATCACAGATATTTCTGGGGTTTACACTCACCATCTCAGGCGCAAAAAGCCCAATAGCCAACCACTTCACCTTTCGCCAAAACTGTGGCACGACCTTGCCATGCTCCGGAACATTAAGGTGGACTGCAGTCCAGACGCAAAGGCCGATGGTAATGATGCAACTCGATAAGATCGAGTAAGTGCCTCGATACCGTGGTTCCGCGCCCCATGAAAGAGTCTCGTTGGATGAAGGATCGCCATACGGACGAAACATGTTTTTATGTCAAAGAAAGCTCTTTGCTGCGCAAAATGTAAATTATGTCTGAGAGAAGGCTAACAATAAAGTTGGAGCGTGGTTAGAGCCATCAAGTAGACTGCAAGAATGGAGGACTCTGTGACAACGCAGCCTGCATGACCCATGAGGCTGAGTGCTCCCGATGAGAATGATTTAGAACGGCAAATGGCTAGGGCTGAGTGCATATTGCTTTTCACCTGCAGCGATAACCAACCAGGGGACAGATGTGGCGTGTGGCTTTTGTTGCGCCCCAACTGACGCCGCCACCTTCTTGAGTTGGCAGCGAACATAGGGCACGCAGGTTGCTGCGCCTGATATGTCTGCTATAACATTTGGCATCTTGTACGCTGGCCATGCAGCCGGCGAAGGTTGGGGTTCGCACGAACGAGAGCAGGTGGCTGAAAACTTTTTGGAGTTTCGTGTCAGGGATTATGAGGAGCCAAAACGATTTCACTTCTCGTCCCAGCTCTTGCACATGACAACCAACGTTCGCATCCACGCTCTTCTCAACATGACGCGTCCCTCGCCCGCCCCAACGGCCTACCCCACAATTCCCGCAATGCAAAACTTACCAAATTGCATCTTCCACTGTCATGGGAAAATCGCTGCAACCAGTAAGCCAAGTTCCCAAAGTCACGATGATGGAAGTGTGTCGTAGATCAAGGACCAACCGGAGTCCTCGCCCGTAGCCTTGTGGATCACCGCGCCCCGCAGCGGTCGCCCCACTGGCCCATGCTCTTGACAACATCGTGAGATCTGTTGCATGTGCGGGAAGCATGTCAGCCACGAAATGGAGGATATTGTGGCGCGCGTAACAGGTTTTTAGGTGGCAAGGATCGTCGAGCGTATGCTGTGTATGACACTGCAAATGATCCGCGCAGGCGAATGACAGAATCGTGTGCCCACAGAAGGCACGATGCTTCGCTCCAGCCAAGGTATGGCAATTGGCAGGAGTCACACAGACGACGAGGAATTACATCATGGGCTATCGCAGCCTTTGTTGTTCTTGTTGAGGACGCACTTGCTTCGAAGAATTAGGTTCTCGTGAACATCAACACGTGGTTCTTCGCTTTAGCAACAACATCGAACGGAGACAATGGCATCTGTACGAACGAAAATGATGCTGCATCGCGTTGCACGTCCTGCCTCGCTGACAGTTGGACGTCAACCCCTCACATCGTCTGTGCAATGTCGAAGCCTGGCATCACACCGGGACATGACATACCCACAAGTTCCATACGAGAAGGGAGAGAACGTAGGAGGAAAGACGTTTAGCCAATTCGACATGAAAGACAGAGTCTTCGTGGTTACAGGTGCAGCATCCAGTCCTCCTCACATTCCAGAGCGGTTTGCGTTGCTTTCGATAAAAGCTGACAGATGAGCAGGCGGCGGACGTGGCCTAGGTCTTTGCATGGCCGAAGGGCTCGTCGAGGCGGGCGGAAAGGTACACTGTCTCGATCGTGCTGCTGAGCCATCCGAAGCATTCATCCAGGCCAAGGCGCGGGTCAAGAACCGATCGAGCGGTGACCTGGAATACCACCAGGTCGATGTGACGCAGGACGCCGACATGGAGAGGTGCATTTCTGGAATTGCAGCACAGCAGCAGAGGCTGGACGGCTTGATTGCAGCAGCAGCCATCCAACAATGTACATCCGCTCTCGACTTCAAGAAAGGAGGACATTATGAAGATGATGGATGTCAACTACACGGGCGTCTTCCTCTCCGCACGCGCCTGCGCTCGGCAGATGATGAAGTACAAGATCCAAGGCTCGATATGCCTCGTGGCTTCGATGAGTGGAACGATTGCAAACCGAGGCTTCATGGCGCCCGTATACAACTCTTCGAAAGCTGCAGTCGTCCAGCTGGCGCGCAATCTTGCTATGGAGTGGGGACGCATTAATGAGGATGGCGAAGGTGGTATTAGGGTCAACTCTTTGAGCCCGGGTCACATCGTGACACCGATGGTCGAAGAGAACTTCAGGAGGGGTGAAGCAGATCGAGCCGAGTGGGAGAACAATAGTATGCTCGGAAGACTGAGCACACCAGAGGAGTATAAAGCTGCAGGTCTGTTCATGCTGTCGAGGGCATCAAGCTATATGACTGGGCATGACATGAAGATGGACGGCGGCACGACTGCTTGGTAGTAGACGTCTGAGGTTAGCTGTGATCGGTCTGGTGTAAGGGCGTTGGGGGGAGCATAATTCTATTCATAGAATACCCTTGCAGTACTATCATGAAGCATGCATTGGATTCTGTTCATGTTCAGTAACCTCGTGAAGGAGCATCGAGGGGTCGCTTCATCCTCGAGCAAGGGTCCATCACGCTTGCCCCACCCAGCCTAGCGGCCCATCTGGCCTCTCGCATCCCTGCTGCGACACCTGTACAGTTCGCACCACGACCATCTTGACAATTCACAACACCATGGATCGGATATCACGACTCGTCAGCTGCGTGCTGCTGCTCCTCTTACCCCTCGCCGCCGCCCTCAAATTCGACCTGCACCCCGTCTCCCCCCACGATGCAGCCAAGTACGAGCGCTGCGTGCGCAACTTTTGTGCAAAGGACCAATTGGTCGTCGTGACCGCGATTTTGGACGGATACAGAGGAGATGGTCAGAGAGTTGACATGCATGTACGTCACCCTACCATCCACCTTTACCTTTCACCCCGTGCTATTGGGGCTAATAAATCAACTTAGATCCGCGACTCCATGGGCAACGACTACCACCGCCCCAAAGACGTCGTCGGCGAAAACCGCTACGCCTTCACCGCCCACGAAGACGCCGCCTTCGACGTCTGCTTCGAGAACGTCTTCACCGGCGCGTCCAAGACGACGCAGCCGCGCCACGTCGAGCTCGACATCGACATAGGAGCCGATGCCAAGGACTGGAACGCCATTTCGGCTGGCGAGAAGCTGAAGCCTGTCGAGGCGGAGCTGAGGCGCATTGAGGAGACGGTCGGCGAGATTGTCACTGAGATGGACTACTTGAGGGCCCGTGAGCAGAAGCTGAGGGATACGAATGAGAGCACGAATGAGCGTGTGAAGTGGTTTGCGATTGGGACGATGGCAATGTTGATTGGCTTGGGTGCGTGGCAGGTCATGTACCTGCGGGCGTATTTCAGAAGCAAGCATCTCATCTAGACGGCGAGATACTGGTGGCAGGGATGAGAAATACCTCGGTGACATGGAGCTGGGATTCGGCGCGTGGGCAAAAGTGTACGAACATGGACGGTGTTTCTACCGAGCGGTATTGGTTTGCATATCTCAGCATGTTCAAATGCGGAACAGGGCGTTTCATAGGATATACTCTTGAAATTCACCAAAAAGACGCCTACTAACGCCCAATTACCCAGCCCTAATATGCGCCTAAATGCTAGTCTTTGTTGTTACATTTAGAAAATGGTCCTAGCCTCGGACCGCCACACCGGATGCTCGACTTCCCTATCCCCCACCGATCCCTCCTTGGAACTTCCCTCCGTCGACGTCCTCGCACTACCCTCGCCATCCTTCTTCTTCTGGAAAATGTACTCGTCCAACTGCTGGATCTCCTTTGCCACGCGCTCTACATCCTCAATGTCCAGGATGCCCAGCTCCGTCACGTACATGTCGATGTACTTGGCCGGCACCCACTCAAACCACTCGCCAAACACCTCCAACTTCTCCATTTCCTCGAGCTTGTTGCGCGTGTCCGGCGCCCAGGCCGAACTCAACTCATGCGCCGGATGGCTCTCTCGCGCGCTCTCCTCGAGTTCCGGGGCGGCGATCTTGTCAATGTCGCTGACGACGATGACCGCGGCGTTGGAATTGAGTTGCTTGACGCAAAGCGCGGCGGCCAGCGAGCCAGACTTATTGCTCACGTCGCCGGCGGACGAAATTCGGTCAGCGCCAAGCAGCACGATGTCGATGTTGCGTGCGGCGGTGCCGACAGCGCTGTCGGGGACGATGCGGACTGCGATACGCTGTTTGTCAGTGGCGGCCGAGAGGATGTGCGATGCCATGTCTGCGCCCTCGCAGCGCGGTCGGGACTCGAGGATGGTAAGGTGGAAGTCGAAAGTTGGCAGAGCTGCCAAAGCATGAAGTATGACGGAACGAATTGTGCTCGAATTGCTGAGTGTCAGGATGCGAATGGTCCTTGGAGTTTTGGGGGGCGTGGGAATGTTGAATGGAATGCCTGGGCCGGAGATGAATGGCACACCGGAAGGCGGCTTTTGGGTGAAGTTTTCTTTGAGCCATACAGCGAACGTCTCGTCCAAGCGTGCACTGATTTGGCGTCTCTCTGTTCGGATCTCCTCTAGCAGGCCTCGAGCGATACGGACTAGGTCTTCTGTGTTTCGCTGACCTTTCTCAGTCTCGTCGTTCCAGCGCCTGGCAACTCGTTCGAGTGTGCGGAGCAAACATGAAGTAATGGCGGCACTCATGCTTGGTCGTGCTTGTCCAAGCTGTTTCGCTGCGTGGACCATGATAGCCCAGAACTTGCCCCATGTTGTCGCTACAGATGCGCCAATCTCACTGATGTGAGCGAGGTGAGCCAGAGAAGCATCTGCAAGCTGTCGAGCGCCAGACTGAAAGTCGTTTTGCAGCTCCTGAACCGCCTTCTCCAGCGCGGCTTCGTAGTTAGTGATGTCGTGTTTCGGAAGGAATGTGTCGAGTGGGAGAATGGGAAGTGGTTTGGATGGTACTGCAGATGAGACTCGGCGGTGATGAGTTTTGGTTGGCGTCTCCTCTACAGATGAATCATCCACAGGCTCTTCCTCCGGCTCAGGTGGTGTACGATGCTGAGACTCAGGCGGTGTGAGAACGGGGCACGACATGGTTCCCGCATACATCATCCAGACCTCCTGGTCACTCGGCTTCTTCTCCTTCTTCTTGAAGAGGCTCTTCAGCGTTCCCGAAAACCTCGCTGGCCTGGTCGAAAGCTTGGAATTCGACCGAGGAAGCTTCGGATCCGTGGGATATGGTACAGTTTTCCTGCATAATTGTCAGCCTAATTCAGCGCTACCCTGGGAGCCTCTAACATCTTGAAGTTCTGGGTGCGTATGTGTGTAGTGAGAGAATGGTTGGAACAACGCCGCAGTAGTTCAGGCCTTGAAGGGTGTTTACGAGCACTAGTGCTTCGAGCGAGGAATTCGCATACTAAGAGGCCGCAAACAAACAGAACTAGGTGATCGTCGCGAGGGGGACTATATCGCCACGTTGAGGAAATATGTAACTATGTACAGCGTACCACCGTGGCACGAAGGACAAAGCTGGACTCGAGAAAGGAGGGGAAAGGAGGCCTTGAAGTGGTTTGGAAGGAGAACACCATGCTTACCATCAAATGTCCAGGCTTCAACTTACACTCGTTCAAGACACCCAGTGCGCGGCACTTCTTTGACCTGTCCTACGATTTGAGCTCAACAAGTTTAGCAGGCTCGCCGCGAACGAGAGCGGAAAGAACCCTGCAAGCGATAGCTTCATCGTCAGCTTGACGCATGCATTCCTGGGATCGACTAGCCGCGCTATGCGAACGGAACCATTCTTCGGTTCGCACTTGCCGACTCTGTTGTTGGAAAAGCTAAATTGATGTTAGAGGGAGTGGTTGTCTGGAAGTTGACCACGCGCAAGTCGAGCACACTAGCCTGGATCCGGCCAATGCTGCGAGTGAACCCACGCGACAGCTATAAATGTACCAGTCGGGCATCTGAGGTCGAGAACTTTCGTTGTTACATTGATACTTCTCAGATTTGTGTCGGTATATCAAAACGCCATGAGCTGCAAAATGCACAGTGCGGCTTCATTCCGCTCATCTCCATCATCCTTATCAGGCATCTGTCATCCATCGTCAGCCCAAATACAAGTAAGAAGCCTGACTAACTACAAAGAAGTGATGCAGGTCGCCAGAAGACACATTTGAAATAAGAAATTAAATATTGTTGTAAGCAAAATGTATACATTTATATATACACTCGTTTTCTCTCAACATCCCCCTCACATCTTCACTCATCAACATCACTACGCCACACCCACCATGGCACGCACTCAAACAACCCGTACCCCCCCTACTCCATCTCCAAATCCCCTCCCTCTCTTCCCCCTCCCCCCAAACACCCAACCTATCCTCCGCCCCGGTCCCTCAGCAGTCGCATACCACATCCCCGACACCCCTCCAACTCCCTCACACCCGATCCCCAAAACCACAATCTCTCTCCCCCGCCACTCACATTGGACATCCGGCCTGCACTTCCACACCGCTCACACCGAGTACCTGCACCTGCTGCGCGGCGCGATCTGGCTGCATCTCGACGGGTCCGACATGATGCTCAGCGCCGCCGCCGGCGGGGAGATGTACATCGGCACCGGGCAGCGCAAACCCTCCGGCGCAGGATTAGTTATCGAAGTGCCCAAGTATGCGAGACATGAGTGGCGGCGCGCCGAGAATTACTACGGTGTGAGAAGAACGATTGGCGTGCGGTATGTCAAGCCAGCAGATGTGGATGACGAGGTTGTTGTGGAGGAGTGGACGAACCCGGCGGATCTGGGGAAGCCGCTATTCTTTTGGAATTTGAATGGCGTGATTGCGGGGGTTGTGGATGACGAAGTGCTGTCGGGGGCGCAGAGGGTGGTTAAGAAAGTACTGAGAAGCTGGTGGGTTGAGTTGCAGTTGTTTGTGATATTTTGGGAGTTGGATAATTGGCCGGTGTTTGTGGGGTTAGGGGGCGTGTTGGGGGGACAGTCTAGGTTGCAGAAGTTTGCGTATCGGTATGTTGAGAGATCGGTTGAGTATTTCATGACGTTTGTTGTGCTGTTCGCTGCGAAAGTATTGGGCTGGCTAATTGGGATTCGTGCTGTGGAGCAAAGAAGAACGCCGGGCGAGCTCTGGAGGGCGTACAACAGATGATACTAAAGATGAGTCGGTCTCACATTAAAGGAATACTTGGGAAGGGTTAGCAAGCCATACAAATCATTGTGAACTACTGCTGATGTCATGAAAAGGTATCATTTGCTTTTAGCCTACGAGCTTTTTTCCTTCTCTTTGGATCCCAATCCGCCCATTGATGAAGCAAGCGCGCCGACGCCAAAGATCCGAATATAAGACAAGATATCTACACATTGCCCTCTTTCATCTTCCATTAGGTCATTACTGTACGCAACACCTATTTTGCGTTCTCGGGGCGGAGGGAGCGGACGGCCTTTCCGGCACGCCAGATCTCAAGGTCGTCAATCTCCTTGAGCTCCTCGTTGTACTTCTCGCGGTAGTCGGGCTGCGAGTTGTACTCGAGCGAGCGCTTGGTCTCGCTGCCGTTCTCGACGGAGGTGTAGAGGTCGTCAAAGACGGGCTTGAGGGCGTCCTTGAAGCGCTTGCTCCAGTCGATGGCACCACGACGGGCGGTGGTAGAGCAGGCAGCGTACATGTAGTCCATGCCGTGTGCTCCGATCAAGGGGTACAGAGACTGGGTAGCCTCCTCAACGGTCTCGTTGAAAGCCTCAGATGAGGCTGTGGCCACGCTCACGGAGAACCTCGTACTGAGCAAGGAACATGCCGTGGATACCACCCATCAAGCAACCACGCTCACTCGTAGAGGGTCGGAGTAGACCTCCTTCTGGAATGTGGTTTCGTACATGTATCTCGGAGCCAACGGCAACACCGAGGGCAACGGCCTTCTCCTTGGCCTTGCCGGTGACGTCTTGGAAGACGGCAATGGAGGAGTTGATACCACGGCCCTCACGGAAGAGGGAGCGGACAGTACGGCCGGAACCCTTGGGGGCAACGAGGATGACGTCGATGTCGGTGGGGACGTCGACCTTGGTAAGGTCCTTGAAGACGGGGGAGAAACCGTGAGAGAAGTAGAGCGTCTGGGATGGATTAGCGAACGCCGGATTGAACCAAGCTTTTGAATATGCTCACCTTGCCCTTCAGCTGGGGCTTGATCTGAGGCCAGGTCTCGGACTGAGCAGCATCGGAGAGAAGGTTCATGACAACGGTGGACTTGCCAATGGCCTCATCAATGCCGAACAGGTTCTTTCCGGGGACCCAGCCGTCGTCGAGAGCCTCCTTCCAGGACTGGCCGTTCTCTCGTACACCGACAATGACGTTGAGGCCGTTGTCGCGCATGTTGAGACCCTGGCCGTGGCCCTGGGAGCCATAGCCGATGAGGGCAAGGGTGTCGTTCTTGAAGTACTCCTAGCTCAATTGTCAGCTTCATGTTCGTTTACTCCCAATTTTGATGCCATGAGCAGTGACTGACTCACAAGAAGCTTCTCTTGGTCCAATCGGCACGCTCTGTATGCACGTCAGCTTCCACCAATCGACGGAGTCTTCATATTTGAGACCTACCGTAAACAGTCTCCTTGGTGCCGGCAAAGTCAATTGTCTTGACACCACGGGTCTGCTGGAACTGAGAGGTCACAGCCGCCTTGGGGGCAGCGGTGACGCCAGCGCGCACAGCAGAGACGAAGGTGCGCTTCTGGGCTGGAGCAGCAGCCAATTGCCTGGCAGTCTGGCGGAGAGCACGGGAAACGGGTCTTGAAGCCATTGTGAATGTGTGAGGGGGTATCTTGAATGGAGGCAGCTTATGTGGGGGAATCAATCAGCTTTAAAGCATTCGTGTGCTGGGCCTGGAATTTTGGTGGGCACCTGCTTACTGCGAAAATCGGCGGCACTGTCGGAGACGCAACTTTCTCCCCGATGCAATCCCCGCTTTGATTGGCCGAAGACGCACCGCTGCCGGCTGCGGAAGAATGTATAGCTTCGTGTCACAGTCATATATTGCACATCTGTGTGGAGACAAATGATGACATGCGCATTTTATGCTCTATGTCTGGCTGTGCGTGAATCTTTGTGTGTTCAAGGTCCAGTCTTGCAAGCTCCGGCACAACTCCTACCCCACACTTATTTGGCACGGCATCGCAGAACTTTGTTGGCAACCTACAAATGCACTTTGTGTATTTCTAGTCTAGTAGCATCATCCGAGTTAATAGGGTGGCACCCGTCGAGGACATGATCAAGTGAAAGCACTAGCCATCTCGTAGTCGCAAGAACTATCAAGTCTACACAGTATGCAATGCTCGCCGAATCGAGATTATGACTTCCGGAAATGATACAAAAAAACTTGATTATTTGCATGTCTCTACAAAGGCTGGCATTCCGGAGAAATGCTCAAATCGAAATGGCTGGGAAATCTTCAACGTGAGAGACGCGTTCCTTGACGCCATGCTCCATATGCGCCTGGGCTATATGCTCGCTGATGGTAAGATGTGACTCGGCGCTGAGCGTCTCCGCTCTCGCTTGTTCTCCATGCTTGTCTTCATCCGGTCGTAACTTGCTCAACCCGTCCCTCCAAGTGTAGGTCAAAATCGACTCCCCCTAGCAAATACGTGTCGTGCGTGAAGGCACCCTCGGAAGGTGCTCGAAGCGTGTACGGTTCATTGCTCATTTGAGCACGCGATCGAAGGTTTGTCCCTTGACTGTACCGCCGCCCAGTGATGAGCGCACGTTGCGCTTGAAGCCTTCTCGGTTCGCCTTGAGGTCCTCTGCAGCCTCCTTGTTCAACGGATCCGACGCATTTGGTTCGAGGAAGAGAAACTGCATTCTGTCAGTGCCTGCCCGCTGTTTATAGGCTATCCTTGAGGATTACGCACCTGTAGGCCAACAACCACCGCGTTCAAGTTCAGGACGGGCTTCCAGTCTTCTCGTAGAATGTTCAGGCAGACGTTGCCCTCTAGATCGATGTTTGGGTGGTAGATCTTTTGCGTACACTTGACTTTCGGAGGGTCGTGTGGGAAGTTCTGGTTGATCTTGAAGTCGAAGTCAAATCGACCGCCCTTATACATGCCCTCGTCCGGATCGATTGTGAGCTTGAAGTTGAGGATATCGTCAGGGTTGGGGAAGTGCGTCTGCATCGTCGTGCCGAGAGACAGTTCTTCAAGATCTGTATCGGATTAGCTAATCGTCGTGAGGGCTGGGTGGAACGGTGCGTCGTACCCTTCTGTGCGCGGAGCTGAGCTGGAGTGACCTTCTTCTTTTTGCTTGTCGCGGCAGCAGCAGCCTCATCTTGCTGCTGTTGCTTCTTCTGTAAGTTTTGTCAGCATGTCCTTTTTTCCACGCGACTTGCTTCAGTCTGCACTTTGAATGGCAGCGTACCATAGACCATATTTTCATCATCTTGGCGGTATTTTATGTGCGGATTAGGCTTCTTGCCCAAGGGTCTCGACTTCGACTTCGCGCGTGGTTGAGGAGCGCTGATGCGGTCGTTTTGGCGCAGTAGGAGATCGTGGGGGCGAGTTCGAGGGGCACTGTAGGTGGAGGCGTAGCGGGAGTTCAGGAGGAACGCGCGAATTGAGAGAAAGGAAGCGTAAGAATCAGGAATGCCAACGAGAAGAAGAGAGAGGAAATGTTATACGTGAAGGTGATAGCAGCTCGTGCAGGCACCAACGCTGTCATCGGGCTGCTGGCCTACGTGGGGTCTAGGCCGAGGTTTCTCCGTGCGCCACTATTGACGTAACCTACATAGGTTAGCTCGCATCTCATCTTCTAACAAGTGAAAGCATAGACGAGATCATGATATTGTAGTAAAGGGCAGTAATTTCTCACTATTCTATGTCCCTACCTGAAGCCCTACGCACCACACCACTGCTGGCCCAAAACCACACAAGAAGTGCGACATAGCAGACCACTCAAGTCAGATTCATACACAGACTCGGGACCATCTTCATCAAAGAAACTGGGTTCCATCTCTACACAATGTCCAACCCACCTCGCGATGCCCTCCACTTCCCCCAATCAGATGTCCAACACATCAACCCATACCTCCCACCACAATCCACCAGATCTCATTCAACAAGCCCATCATCACCACCAAAACCCTACGTAACCCTCACCTTCGCCAACTCCCTCGACTCCTCCCTCTCCCTCTCCCCCGGCATCCAAACCGCCCTCTCCGGTCCCCAATCAAAAGCCATGACGCACTATCTGCGCTCTCGCCACGACGCCATCTTAATCGGTTGCGGCACAGCAATCGCCGACGACCCATCACTGAACTGTCGAATCGACGGTGTTGGCGGGTACGGTGGCGCAGGACTCGAGGGACAGCCTCGGCCTGTTGTTGTGGATCCGAATGGGCGCTGGGACGTTAGCGATGCGAGTAAAGTCGTGAAATTGGCGAGGGAGGGGAGGGGAAAGGGGGTTTGGGTTGTTAGTGCGAAGGGGAGCATTAGTGAAGAAAAGAAGGTGGTGGTTGAGAGCGTTGGGGGGGAGGCGTTTGAGCTTGAGGTTGTGGAGGGGAAGATGGATTGGAAAAAGATTTTGAATGTCCTTGCGAAAGAAGGGATTAGGAGTGTTATGATCGAGGGTGGAGGCGCGGTTATCAATGGTCTATTATCGAAGGAGAATATGGGGCTTGTGGACTCGGTTATTGTCACTATTGCTCCGGTGTGGTTGGGGAAGGGGGGAGTACAGGTGTGTCCTGATGCTAGAGTGGATGATGGAAAAAGGGTGCCTGTGAGTAGACTGAGGGATGTCAACGTGGGTACCGCTGGGTGAAGATGTTGTACTTTGTGGACGTTCGATAGATGCACAAGCAGCGGCATTGGAATCGAGCTCTAGGTGATACTGAACACATATAGACTGAGAGAAGATTACGCATATGGACAAAAAACAATGGTCGCCGTCCTATCATCACATGGCATCCCTCAAAGCCTCCAGAATCTCTTTTCTCCAATGTATCTGTATCCCCGCATGCGACTCATCTTCCATCCTCAACCGCGCCCTCCCACCTAACCTCGCCGCAATCTGCACTCCATGCAATGGTGCGCACAAAAACATCCTTCTTCCCATACCACAACTGCACCTCCAAATCGTCCCTCAAATCCTTTACCTCAAACCCAAAAGGCTTGCTACTCTTCTTCCCGTCATCCCACACGCCCTCATACCCCTGCGCAAAAGCCTGAGAATTCGACCGGACAACCAACCGCATGAGATCCACGTCGTCAAAGATATCGCGATCTTTCTCAGGTGCGGTTCGTGATTCTTTCAGCAGCATTTCGAGGCGCTCTTCCTCGCTGAGATCAAGACGGCCAATTGCCATTGTGCGCCAAAACATGCGGCCCGCCCAGTACGGCGCGAAGCGGATACCGTAGGGCCAGCCGAGACGGTGAGCTATATCCGCGCCTTGCATACCTATGTCTGGCGGGCCCATGGCGCAGACGAGAGACACGGCTTTGAGTTTCGCAGGTGGGAGGGCGTACGCACATGCAAGTGCTGAAGCACCGCCGCCCGAAACCGCCTTCTGAATGTAAGCTCAAGCCTCTTCGTTACGACACGAGGAGTGCAATTACCAAGACCGAATACGCCTCCAATCCCAAATGCTCAGTCAGCCGTTCCACATCTTTTGGCCAGTCCAACAACGTACTCCCCGGATGTGGCGAACTCCATCCGTGTCCCGGTCGATCAATTGCGATCACGCGGAGACCCAGTTGTTTGCCTAGATCATGGTGCTGAGCGGCTTCGATGCGCGAGCCTGGGAAACCATGTTGATAGAGGATGGGTTTGCCTGTTGGAGAACCGTATTGAGCGTAGCCGAGTTTGCGGCCATCGGGGAGTGTCATGGTGGCTGAAGTGTCATTGTCGAGACGGTAGTGACATGGTTGGTTAGTCGGAGGTGGTGTAGCGTGGATGGGCGTGCTGGAAGATCCGAAGAGCCATGCTCTGATTGTCGTTAATAGAGACATGCTAGCGAAGACCATGCAAGTGATTATTGCTTGAACGAATCCTTACGGCAAGTGACTTGGGTGGAACTGCCAGGCGTGAACGTGTGGGAATATTGTGGTCGCTTGGGTCAATATTTATTCGTAGTGTATGATGGTCAGCGTCGTTCATATTGCTGCCTAATTTCCTTGTCATACAAGCCGCCAGAATGATCATGTTTTTCTGTTCCCAAGAACATGACGAGAGCGTTTGAGCGCGTGACGGGTAGATGCGAAGTTTCTTCGGACAGCGACGGGTGAGATTAGGTGTGTCGGAAAAGCTGAGCGCCGTCACCCCGTCTCACTTTACACTCGCCCGGGGCAGTCTATGTCTCGTATTGCGCGCGACCAAGGGTTATTACGTGGTGTTGTCTGATGACGAGAAGTTTCTGTGTTGCCCAGCCTTCCACAAGCCTACAACCCGTCCTTAGACAATACGGAAAGCTTCAGACTGTCCACTGTAGCATTCTCCAACGAATCTCCAGTGGCCATCTTGAGGCCTAAGAGCGAAAGGCACCTCCGCACCGTAGAAGTACACTATGATATCGCCTTCTTCGAGTATTTCTGGTCCTATGCCTAGGTAATTCTCCTTTAACCTGAAAACCACCTGATTCGATGTGTTTTTATGCATAGCACCACAAAAAGCTCGAGCACCCCAATACAGAAGCGGGGAATCGAAGTCGTATATCAACTCGTCCGCATGTTCTTCCATAAAAGTATGATAGTGCTCCTCCCATTCGCCGAAAGCCGTATTTCTAAAAGTGTCTGATTCTCCAAACGTTTCCAAAAGGCAATGTAGACCGTATATCGTGGAAAGTGCGCTGATTATGTCTTGGTAGTCTTGAAACGGTACCGAAGAGCGCCCATCATCGCTGTCTACGTTTTGCCATAGTATCTGATGTACAGAATCAATGATGAATCCATCAATGCAGAGGTATGTGCAAATTCCTGTCGTCTCTTTTCGTATACAGGGCTCTTTTGGAGATTCGAAACTAGGTATGGAAGTGCGAATTTGCCCAGTAAACCACTATTTGTTCCATTGCGGGACCCATGACGGCCAATCTGTGTGCATATCAGGCACGTGTCTTACCCGTGAAAGAAAGCTCAGATCTTTTCCTTCAATAAGTATCTTTTCTGCAACTTGCTGGAAACATGCCTTGTCAGACAACGAGTAATCAGGCACGACAAACGTTACCCCGCCAGTGTGAATTGATTCAACGGTTTGCAGCCCTAATAGGCCATATACGCGGTCCTTAACGTTGGTGAATTCCTGGTGACGAGAATAGCCAAGGAGTGCGCTGAAGGGGACCATGAAATCGATGTTCTGCTGCGTTTTGCGTATGGCACTAATGAGGAGACCGCGGTTGAGTACGGGGCGATTGAGCATTGGCTCGTAGTATTCGATAGAACCAGCTTCAATCAAGGCTGCAGCGAACATGTCAAAAGAACATCGTGCATGCCCCCAATGGATGATAGCTGTGTGCGCCAACGCTACCTCTTGAAGTATCCTGAAGGATTTCGAAAGTCAGCCAAGGATCAGAACGATTGCCGACATGAAGATATAGGTGTCTTACTGCGCATTGCATTAGTGGAGCGAACAGGATACAAGTCGGTTTAACTCCACTACATCGGCATAAATTTGTTTAAAGAGAAGTGTACTGGGCATGTTTGAAACCAGAGGATGCGTGTCTAAGCCATTTAGACATTTTCGACGAGGAAGTTGCTTACCCAGCCTCGACCGAACCAATCACATGCGCACATGCTTATGAGTCCGGCGATGTCACCTTTATTTGGGTCGAAGAGCACTTGCTCTCCTTCAAATGTCTGGACCTGTGACTCGTGCCAGTAGTAGTCATGACGTTCCGCTCCGTCTTCAAGAAATTTGCAAATGCCTCCCAAAACGCCCTGTACATGTGAGTCTTCCTCGTGACCCAACCACACCAACACACTGGCAGCACCGCGGTAGATTTCACCCATCATATTTACTTGCGAGCTTCTTTCAATGTCGTTTGCTTGATCGATGCAAACAGCGTCAGCCCACAACACACGTGCTGATTGAGCAGAGCGAAAACGTTGCAAAGCGGTAAAGAGACTCTCTGTAATGGCGAGTTTCCGACTGTCCAGTGAGATGTATTGTGGTTTGGCTGAACTGCCCCAAGCATAAGAAACTGCCTCGTATGTACATCCGCAGTTATCCAAGTTGGTAATGGCCAAAGAGTCATATAAAGGCTCGCCAGGAAGCCCCGGCTGTAAGTGTAGGAGGCGAGTGTTGTGATGGTCTGGTAAGGGCTTGTATGTGTATACACTGTTGTCGCCAGGCTCATACGTTGACATGTCGAATAGGAATATTGTGGAAGCCCTTTGAGCGAGTTCCAGAATGACGATTGATCGATGGTTCCGATACAGTCCGCACTGAAATGAGATGAGGTTGCCAGATGATTGCAGAGACGATTGATCGCGTCTTAGGCGGCACCTGGACAAGGCTGAGGCACAACCTCGCTTGGCATGCCCAATCAGCGTCTTCAACTACAGAAGCCGATGCTCGCGCTGTCCCTCTGTAGTGTAAAAGACCGCATACAATGAGATTTATGATATTTTGACTTGATCCACGTCCAAGCCAAATCTGGCGGCATAACTGGTACATCGTTTCCTTGCGCAATAGCAACACGAGTAGCGAGGTTTGTCACCATGCGGCCTCGAGACGACTAAAAGAGCGCTCCAGCGTTCATCATCACCTCCTCCTTACGCCTTCGCATCTCCAATCTCTTTTCTCTTTGCGCCAGATACACTTCGCGTGCCTGCCTTTGCTCCAATTTCTTGGCCTCGTGTTCAGCCTTGCGTTTCTCGTACTCTTGCAATTTCGTTTTGTCCGACTTCATCTTAGCCTTGATTTGTCTGTGTTCTGTGGTGGTCAAGTGCCACGGTTTCGACAAGATCTCTCGCTTGTATGCAGCAGTCTCGGCCCAAGCCTGCGCTTCTTCGTCTGTTGTGGTGACTACCCAGATCCTTTTGAGGTCCAATTGTTTGATGCCTCGAAATTCGGATATCGTGCCCTTTGCTTTTACAACTGTCCCGATCTCTAAGCTCTGGCTGTCCACCATAACTTCGAAGACACCAAGTTGGCTAATGACGTTCACGTTCTCGAGCGTGGTTCTTGACGAAGAACTCAACGCGTTTCGTTCAGCGGACTGCTCTCTCACAATCTTGAGCTCAATATTTGAGCCACTTCCATCGTCAATCGTGAGAACGGTGTACTTGAGGTTGATGTCATCAATGGCTACGACTACGCCGACGAGACGAACATAACGAATAGGGTGGTTGAGATGGAAATAAAGATGCTGCTCTGCATACCATTAGTCACACGAGGATGGTATACTGAGCAGTGACCACTACCTGGGAATTCCGGCTGACGACACAAAGCCTGGACGTCAGCGGCAGTAAGCTTTACCCAGGCATCGTATGTCGGCGACGCGCGGAAGCAGTATGCCGGATATATTCTATATGGACGTACGGGCGGCAGCGTTGACATATCATATTGCGTTGGTGATGACTGAGGTGAGATGAAAGCGGAGTAGACGCGACACGCGAAAGTAGCACTCACGCCTACTCACGTGATGATGACGCTTGGGCTTCCAGATGTCCTCGCACCCCACTTCGTGTAAGTCGGGATGATCGGCTCACATGCATGCACCACATCCATCACACCACGCGATAGCTTCGCATATCCGACTGAGCCGCCTTCAAGGCTCATGCATGCTGTATTGCAGGGAGCGAATCAAGGCCTTCGCCCTGTCTATACTCGATCGCCTCGTTTCACCGTTCCGCTGCCAACAAATGCCTCGGTGGAGAGCAAACTCTGTGGCCGGGTTTTCCCTGGTCCTTGCACTTACAGCACATCTTAACACCGACAATATGCCATCATTTGTTGGGCTGCAGCCTGTGAGAAGACAGCAGAATACATCGATTTACGCATTTAGTCTAGACTCATGCGAGCGTAGAGCCCAAAGATCGCCCGCTCACCGGCACAACCTAGAGCTGTCCGAGACGGGCTAGACCGACATGCAGCCAGCTTGAGAGCTTGCCAGCTTCCCGCAAGCTGCCATGTAGCTCTGACCAAGGTCATAAGAGCTGGCGCCCGCCGAAGAACCGGATGACCTTGGTCATCTCTTCCTACGTCGAGTCTGCGGGCTAGAGGGATTCTTCGGCGGCGCAATACTAACCAAATCACACAGGTATCTCGAGTTTGCTGTTGGCTCTTCGGCTTCACTTGAGTCTTATTCTCAGCTGATCTTTGTCATCTTTGCCCAAAGTTGACAAAATGCGACGATTTGCGCTCGGTAGCCTTTTGGCAGTCCTGTTACCAGTATTTACTGGTGCGGAACCGATAGCGAAGCCTGAAGCTGTACCGCAACAGCTTACAAACAATGCGCCCTTCAGTGGAGCTGTGTACATTGTAAGCCCAGATGGCGGACAGGTCGTGGCGCAGGGAACCAACATGTGCCCTGCTTCGGCGTCTGTGAGCTGTGCAAACGTCAATCAGCCGAGTTGGTACGTTGTAAAATTCAACGCTGCGCAAAAACTTCTAATCGAAACAGGTGCTGTCCCTCAAACTATGTGTGCGCTTCTCCCGCAAATTCGAACGGTTTGATCGGCTGCTGTCCGAGTGGAAACACTTGCGGAGGGTCTGTCAACGTCGCGTCAATCACAACCGTCACCGTGTACCCGCAACAACAGACTGCGATTGTATACGCAAACCCAGCTCCTCACACGACTGTATATAACCAACCCCCGAATCAAGCACAGGGCGGCTTCTGCGCAACGATAACGATGGATGGGCCAGGTCTACCAAGAACAGCACAAGGAGAATGCGGAACAATTTTGCTTGTATCAGGAGCTCCAGGCTTGAAGGTGCTCGGCATCGGCGCGACCATGGTGGCGATCATGCTACATGTGGCGTTCGGAAGAATGTTCAGCAGGTTATGATATCAAGAGTTGATGATCACGCAGAAGGAAGAGCCACGGCCTTATATTTAATGCGCTTACGAATTCATGAGTATATGTAGCACATGATGCTCAAGAGAACCCAATCGATTTTTCTACTGGTTACCTTTCTCGGCATCCTCCTTGTCACTCTTGGGCACACTGACTATTTTCGGTACAGTCACGGCGTTCAGGTGTCGGAAAGCCTATCACGGTCAGCAACAGCCCAATTGGCATACACAATAAGTACTCACTTGTGCAATCGTGCCAGTCGGCAGTTCTCCATTCCACTTGTCCTCGACCTTACTAATCTTGCCCTGATCATCCAAATGGATCGAAACCAAGCTCTGAATCGTCTGCTCCTTGCCGATAACCCTTGATAACATACTTTGTCCTCAAAGTCCCATCAAAATCGGGTTTCCAGAATCCCTTGAACCTGGTGGTTCAAGCGGTCAATTTCTGAGAAGGGCTTGTTGCAGCCCATACCACTGTGCAGAGTACTGCTCGCGCCCCTTGGCACTCGTAAGAGGATCATTGAATGTAGCATCATCCCGCCAAAGCGCAAGTTTCTGCAACGACGGCTTGCCCGCGAACAAATCCAGCACCGACCCGACAATGGTCTCTTGCTGCTCCGACAACTTAATCCCCGGCGCCGTCGTGACGTGTTTCGTGTCGAGATTCAGATCCTGGGATGTCGACATTCTTGCTGTTTGTATTCTGGAAACAACTGGTTTTCTGAGTGTTCGGAGAGTAGTATTGCAAGCGTTGAGAGTAAAGGGACGCATGGTAAGAAACGAACAGTGAGATTGGGGTTATACGTGAGATTTGCTGTGCCGTGTGTGCTGGTTTCTATCCAATTGTGTTTTTGCCTGGCGCGTCATACATACTTCACATTGCGCGTGTTGGAGCGCTTTCGGTGATCGGGTAAGTCATGACGTCGTTGCGCGTGTTGGGTTGCGGACGGGGATCTGGACCGTTTTCGACCGTTTTTGCGGGGCTGGACGGTGGATGGAGGAAGAATGGACTGATGATGGGATTGTTGGTATGCGAACTATTGTGTGGTTGAATTGTCGATGTCTTTGATGTAGTGTAGAGCAGAGCTGTCCCGCCACTTCGCAAGCTCGTTCCGCGGGGACTCTACCACAGTACTACATTCGCAACCTCAATACTCAACAGCAATTCGTGTTATAGGTCGCCATGGAGGAACAATTTCCTTGCTAAAATTGTTCAAGCTCCTTCTAATTCCGCTTTGTGCAAATACATGTCTTGGGGCCCTGTCCTTCTCATGACGTTCAGCTTGAAGTTTTATTGTCATTGCTCGTGTCCAGCCGTCGCAATGTGCAAAATGCGCTCCTCCAGTCCCGGCACATGTATGCATTCAATGCCATATTGCTCCAACTTCTTCCTTCCTTCGTTCTCGCCCACGAACTTCTCGGGCTCTTGCACACCAAGATACACCCTCTTGATCGTTCTGTCGCCATTCAGCGAAGTCGTCCTTATGATTCGGTCGACGCATGGCAGGTTTCCGCTCAGTCGCAAGTTGCAGGGCTCCATGGTTGTGTATATGACCGTGTTTGGTGGTAATGCCTCGCCTACTCGTTCTTCTGGCAAGTCATGTGCCTGAGCATATTTGAGCAGACAGCATTGTTCAGCATGCGTGTTGCCTTCGCATTCCAGTGTGTAGCCACGTGATAGGATAGCTCCCGTATCAGCATCAACGAGCAACGCGCCAACACGGAAGTTTGATGGCTTTGGTGGTGATTCTTGAGCCTGATCTAACGCTAGTAGCATATATTGGAGGTGATTGTTGGGGTCCGGCTTTTCTGCAGGCGGAACGGGACCGTCGAACATGGGTGGGGGTCCTGGCCAGTTTTGCGACATGGTGATAGAGAATATGCCGTGTAAGAGTGCGTTGAGCCTCGTTGGGGAAAGTGCAGGTGAGGGTGAGTGGGTACGTCATAGCTCCGCCTTATGTCCGAGCTGATTTACGCGACGCGTTCCTGACTTGAGCGCAACTTACTGCGCCAACTTCAACACTCAATCACCACACACGACAGAATTATGGCGCGAACCAGTCGAGCAAATCGAAGGGAGCGTGAGGAAGAAGAGGAAATTCATGAGGAGCCATTCGTCAACGATGACGAAGAGGACGACATCGGTGAAGAAGAAGGACCACCATCTATCGACCCATATGAGGAGCTTGGCTTGGAGACTGAGGCAACAGCCGACGACGTGAAGAAGGCATACCGAAAGCTCGCGCTCATACACCATCCTGGTATGCTCATTGATTGAACAAGAGGCTGCAGTATTAACTTGACACAGACAAGGCTGCCCCAGCCGATAAAGATGCCGCCAACAAGAAGTTCCAGGAGATCGCCTTCGCATACGCTGTTCTCTCTGACGATCGCCGACGCAAGCGATACGACCTCACTGGCAGCACTGCAGAGACGCTCGAGGATGATGGCGATTTCAACTGGCTGAACATTCTACCGCGAGCAGTTCGACCAAGTGGTCACCGGAGGAGTCTATCGACAAGCTGAAAAAATGATTACAAGGGCAGTGAAGAAGAGCGCAGAGATCTGATCAAGGCGTACAAGAAATGCAAGGGAAACTTGAACCGCATGTACGAGCTCGTCATGCTGTCCGACATACTGGAGGACGATGATCGCTTCCGACAGATCTTGGACGAAGAGATCGCCAATGGAAACATTGATGCACTTCCAGCGTATGAACGAGAGACCGATGAAACTCGGCAGACGGCCAAGGACGCGGAGAAGAAGAGGCGCGAAGACTACGACAAGCGTGAGGCCAGCAAGAACGAGCCTCAGACTGTGAAGGGCAAGGCCAACGGTAAAGCCAAGCCGAAAAGCAAGAAGGGCGGTGCAGACGACATGGCAGGTCTCGCAGCTCTCATTCAGCAACGTCAAAAGGCCAGGGCGGGCAACTTCTTTGATGCTCTTGAAGACAAGTATGCGCCCAAGTCGCGCGGTAGCAAGCGATCCACACCCATGGATGAGCCACCGGAGGAGCTGTTCGAGGCCAACCGTGCGAAGAAGCCTAAGCGGGGCGCTCGAACCAAGAAGGTCAAGGAAGAAGATGAGGACGATGACATGGAGATGGGTGAAGAGGACATTGGCGAGTCTGAAGAGGAGGAGGCACCGCGAAAGTCAAAGGCTCGAGGCAAGGCAAAGGGTCGAGGTCGCGCAAGTGCAAAGGCCTGAGATGGTTACGACAACGGCGCTTCGGATACTGGATACCACGCGGGCAAAAGCACGGCGCACGGCGTTTACGGAAGATTGACTGGAAGTAACACATATCACGGCGCTCATAGTCTCGAGGACGGAGCAAGTAACATTTTGGGTATATGAAACTCTACCTGGGGACTTCTGGACACTGCGATTTCACCCGAAACGGTTTCAATGAGCCGAACATTTTGCATACTCAAAATCTCTTTGATGCCCCTTCGTGATTCTTCTTGCTCTTGTCCTGACGTCAGTCTCATCATGTGCCCTGAGTCTCACCATGGATGGAGTGTACTGTAGGCACGACAAGTTGGGTTTTTTCACTTGCTCCAGTCCTGTGTATAATGAGCGTTTCTCTCACCTCTAAATCGCGACCCGCACGTGATGACGCGCTAAGACTTTCACCCAACCCTCAAATAACGCAACACCTTCAACAGTTCCCTCTCTATCTCTCTACCCGAGTGTTTGGCTACGGCTCTTCTTGGATTTCCTCAACCACGATCCACACCACACACGAGTTACGAATCAATCCTATCAACGAAGATGGACTCCATGTACATGAGAAGCCCAACTACCCCGACAGCGCGGAAGGTGAGAAGATACAGACATCTGTCCAGCCGTGTTCGGGTGCTAACGTTGATGTAGGTACCCGCAACGCCGACGCCTTCCAAAGCGCGTGCAACCACAAGCAGTCAGAAGCGCAAGACGAAGGCGCAATCTGAGTCCTCTCCGACCCCGGGACAGAAGCGCAAGATGAAGAATGAAGTGGGTCAAGAAATGAACCAATATCTGAAGATACTGACAAACTGGAAGGTATCACCAAAGAATGCTACACCAAAGGGCAAGGGCGCTGGAGCTCGCAGCCAGCCTGGCAAGAAACAGAAGGTGGCCTACAAGGAGAACGAAGTAAGCAGAAGCTGCGCTGGGTCTTACTTGTCATCATGTCAACAAGTAAACCAAACAAATCATTTGCTCTACACATCCGCTACTGTTCTTCACTCAACTTCATTCTAATATAAGCCAGACGGGTGGCCAGCAGTTTTCACCGATCCATAACGACCCTCGACTGAGCCTACCCACACCGTATACTACGCCGAACATTCCGTCTCTATCATACTCCGGTTTCCCACAACAACAGCAACAACAGTACATGGCTTTTTCACCTAGATCTAACGGCCCTAATGGCTTTAATGGTCACTATGGCTCTCTCAACACCCCGGACTCCGTAAACCTCCCTCAAATGGCCAGCAGCCCGCAAATCAAAACAACAGCAACTGCTCAACCTCCTCTGTCAGCTGAGCAACTCGACAAACCAGACCTTCCCGCCTTCCAAATCGTCGTTAACTTCATGTTCACCCAAAACTCTAGCTTTCTGCCCCAGAGCAAAGAAGCCGACGTCGTCAAAAGCTGCGACCTCGACACATACGCATACGTTCTCTGGGACTGGTGTCTGAGAAACAAGAACGGGCAGCTGCATGCATACGCCAACCGGTACGGCGCTATGATTGCCGAGCACAAACTTCGAATTCTGGCGTGCCTGAATTTGCTGCCTAGCTGGTTCTTCCTTCGCTCCCAAATTTTAACTTGGCTGCAGAACCAGGGCTGGACCATTGATGACTCTGACATGCATGCTCAGGCCGCAGATGTGACACCGCATATTCAGGAGATCATTTCGAGGCAGCATCGGAGCGCGATACTTGCCCAACAGAACCAGAGAAACCAACAGAGTCAGGAGGCTCAGGAGGCTCAGCAGGGTATGGGAAACTAAGGCTATGGATGAGCCCGAGATGAGCGAGACCGACAGGGTGATTAGAATCAAGATTGGATACGGCAGCATGGCGCGGTGGGACGATTCTGGGAGTGTAGCGTTGACTCTTCTCATTTTGAAGGGCACGAAGAGACGACACACGATCATAGGCTGCACAGGCGCTCGACATGGACGCGGTTTATTAATCACCGTACGAATCACTTAATCGATAATTGGCATGTTGCCATTTGCAAAGGAAAAGAGCATTACAGGAACTGTGGCTAGCGGGAGAGCTTAACAAAAGTAGCCCTTCGTAAATAGAACGTAGTCTACGAGGGCCTTGGTCACACTTTCACATCGATCAAATTGATTCAAACAAGAATCTTCACTACTGTAGCGTGCTAACCATTCCAGCGAGTTGGCAACAGCGTGGATGATGAAGACGGTTCAAAGACCCAGAGTACACTGCGTATTTACACCTGGATTCACTCCTAGTGTATACAGGATACTCGAACACCTTTCGCAAGTCCAAGGAGGCCACTACCGCTCTTCACTATCGCCATCTTGTTAGAGTGCCGCATCACTTGAGCTCTCCGTGCAATCCATCTGGGGCTTCTGTCCACACCGGTCATGGCCCAAAAGAGCACGACACTTCGCGGGCTAGACCATCTGGAGGTGCGCAAGGTTTCGTATTTTTGACAGAGTCTATTCCAGTCCCAATGTGGTGACAACAGATGGTAATGCAGGCCGGTTCGAGACTCGACTTGTATAAACACTGCTGTATTGTTCGAACTCTATACTTGTTCATTATATTGAGCTGACGCGAAATCAAGCAATATCGTATTCTGGGTCAGGTGGCTACATTTGGTACGGTATCAGCCGCCCTCCGGACTCGTGCTCGGTCAGTGTAGCCTGTATAGCTTTACAGTCCTTTGAGCACATCACTGCAGTCTGGACTGTCTACATGTATACAGGCTTGTATGGCGAGATGTTAAAAACACGGTATACAGGAAATCGTACGGTACTGGTGGCCGGGCAGAGACCTCAACTCATGTGTGGACAAACGGAAGGTTGGAGCACGTGGTCACGTTCAAGTCAAAGAGCAATGGTCAACAGCACGTCAGACAACATGTGTTTACTGTCTCGCAGCACGCTTAGAATATAGGTTCACTTTGAAGCTGCCGGCGGGGCAAAATTCGCGGTGTCGCGTTGACGTGTTGTTGTTTTGATCTCGTCGCGTGGCCAAGTCGCCTTCACAACGAGTCTGCATACTTTGCTCTCTCACCTCCGCTTGCAATTTGGCGCGCGTCCCTGATCTCTTGGCCCGCACTCACCTTTTCAACTGTCTCTCTTTCTTTCTCACACTACACTCAACTTCTGCGACAGCCAATTCTCTTCGCACCAGCGACTATCGCAACAGCTATCTGTAGCTCGACCGTGTCCGCTAAGCACCACTCATGTAAGCTCATCCCCATCAGACTCACCAATCTCTTGATTAACACTCATTAGCCCCGCCTTTTGGGCTCACCTTTTGGCGATAACTTGTTGTAACGCTTTTGCTACTACAACCTGAACCAGTCATCATGCCTGGAAAGCGCAAGCAAGAGGACGTCGCGGGCATCAGCTCAGTCGCTCCCTCACCTCCAAAGAGAACTAGACCCACCCCGTCAGCTTCAAAGAGACGTGCGACCGACGAGATCCCTAGTGACTCGTCTGAGCCGTCACCCGCAAAGAGGGTCAAGCGCAACACTCACCCAGAGCCCAGGGCTACCTCAAGCTCAGTGCGCCGACCAGCCGCCGTAAGGCGTGGAGCAAAGAAGCCTACCAGCAGAGTGGTCTCGAAGTCTCGCCTCATGCCCTGCCTTGAGCGTAAGTCTGCAAAGATCGGCCATAAAGATGAGAGCCTTCTGCGCATGCTCTGTGACGACACAGAGTCTGGTGGTCAGAAAGAGCTACACTTCCGCAACATGCTCCACAGCAGCATCGACTGGAGTGATGCTAGTCACATCAACAAGATCAACAACTGGCGCAACCAAGTAAGCTCTCTCACTTAACTGTTCACTCACCCGCTAACACGTATCTAAGATCTACGGTCGCGCTGGCTTGAAGTCCAAGGCAGTCAGCATGTGGTTGCCCGACGAAGAGGTGTGGTTCGAGTTGTACTTCAACTTGTCCATCGCCGAGTCGCGTATCCGTGGCATTCTTGTCCCCAAGACACTCCAGGTGCTTGCTGCCTTCAACAAGACCTTTGTCGGGAAGATTCTCCAGGACAGCCATGGTAATGACGTTGGACCTCGCGCGGCACGCCAGTCCAATGCCTTCGCATCCAAGTTCAACCGCATGTGCCCGCATCTGAGGGCCCGCCTTCACCAGTGTGTCTTTGGCAAGTCTGGCGACACCTTCGTGCCTGAGATCACCCTCGACATGGTCCTGTCGTACAAGGACATGAAGATCAACATGGAATACAAGGGTATTACCAAGGAGTCGAAGTACAACGAAGACCTCCAGGAGTGGCTGCATCTGTTCTCCCACCTGCCGACCGTCAACGACTTCCCTGAATCATCTGTTGACAACCTTCCTGGCTTATATGTCGAGAACCTTCCTGACTCTTCCGCCGAGGACGATGCTGCAGCTGTGCTCATAAGCATGGCAACCCAGTCCGCTAACATTCAGCCATCCTTCAACGGCCAATCGTCTTTCAACAGCCAGCAGTCTTTCAACAGCGGAGGTAAGAATTTTTCCACCACAACATTGAACATCACTGACACTGTGACTTAAAGGTTTCTACGGCATGCAGTACACCACACCGCCTCAAGTCTTGTATGGCACGGACTCATCCCCTACTCCTGAGCTCTTCCGCACTTCGTTCGCGTCGTCGCAGAAGACTGACGGTCCTCTGACTCCTGCTCGCACCCTCTCGTTCTCCGACGACGACGACGACAGCAAGGTAGTCAGCCCAGGCTTCTGCGCCCCTCGCTCCGACACACCTGTCGCTGAGCTTGACATCGCTTCGCTCATCGCATCGCCCGACTAGGAGTCTGCTCCTCAGTCTCTAAGTTTCGCTTCTCCGCTCCGCCCCGCTTCTTCCGAAGCTTCGATCACGCCTTCTTTGTCTTGATAAGAACAGTATGATTGTGTTGGATTGACACGCTGAAAATCCCGCGTTATACTGTATCGATCCCGCTTTGCTTCTACTACCGTTCTCGACGACCTGTTTACCTTTTGTACTTGCGGATCTTCCTGGCGCGATGCCATGACCTGTTTGCTATTCTACGGCGAACCCACAAGAGCTTGGAGGTATGAACCTTCTCGATGCTCCTTCACACTATACGTTGTTTGTTTTCGACGATTCTCTTCTTCTTGTCTTCTCCCATCGACTCCCCGACCCTTCTCCTGGTTCGAGGACCCCACTGGTCGAGACCCGCAAGGGACTTCCGGTGAGGACCTCGCCGGGTGGAGGCAAGGGTAGAGCTAGATATTGACATCTCATTGTTTGGTTATTGTCTCGTTCCCGGAAGGGACTAAAAGTTTTGCTGGAAAGTTTTGCTGTATACTGCGGTCCGTCACGAGGAGATATGAGCTTGCTGTCGAGTTAGTTGGTGATACCTGGATACTTCCTCAATGGCATTTGATGAAACTCAATGACCTTCAGTATGACCTCGTGCTGCTATTTGTGACCTCGACGCGTGCTGTGATGATTGCTCTGACGCAGTACTTATATGAGCGCCTTTGCCGGGCAATCTGGAATTTCGTACTAATCATCGATCATCAGCTATAAATATCGCGCTTCTTGATGTTTCTATAGAGTTTGTGATTGCTCCCGAGCTGTGTGGGGCAATTTCTCTTCCAGCCCTTTCTTTCACGCCGACCGGTATCAAGCCTTGGCGCCCACAATCGGCCTTTATAAAAACCCTCTCCGCCGCAAACCCTTTTCTATAATAAGAAACTTCTACCTCAACTCAACTCAGCTCCCACCTTCCACAGCTTCCACAGCTTCTATCTTCTACCTTCTACTCTCTTTCCTCCACTTTCCACCTTCTCCTACACACTCACCAATGGCGACTTCCACCTCCATCAAGCTCGCGGACCACGAGACCCTGGTCACCCAAGACAACGCCGTGTGCTACATCCTGTTTAGCCGCGAAAACTCCAAGGACTCCACGAAGCGCTACACGCAGACGGATCTCCTTCCATTCGGCTCCTCCGACACCGACGACACCTTCGTGGTGCCGCGTGCTGTGCCCATTCCGACCGCCATTGACGAGGCTGGAGAATACAAGCCCTGGGTCCTTGACCATGCCACCGGCATCTGGGAGCGCGGCTTCACAACCTGGGGCCCACCGTCGCTCATCTTGCGCGTCTTCTCCTACCGCGGCGAATACAAACAGCAGCTATTCTTCGGGAAGACGTGGAAGAAGTTCGATCGCGCGGCCCTCAAGTTCGATCTCAACGATGAGGAGATCGTCCGCAAGTACAACAAGTGGCTGGAGTACATCTTCGAGACGTTTCAAACCGACCCCGGCGTTCAAGAAGTGAGCGACGTCCCTTGGAGCAAGAGGGAGCGACTCTGTCTGCGCCTGTGGACTAACGAGTACATCCGAAAGGAGGGTCTCGTCGCATGGGCTTCCCTCTTCGAATGGGATGATGAAGTCTTCGGGCTCAACCTCTTCCTCCGAAAGTGTGGGTGCGACGGGCCTGGGCGCGTGTTGGCAGACATCCTGAAGATGTTTGGCCGCGACGACGTGATCCGGAGGCGCTTCGAAGATGCGCAGGCGGTTGAGCTTCGAGTCCGCCAGGGCAGGAAGTTCACTAGGAAGGAGCTGCACCCCAAGAGGTGGATTCCAATCCACGAGGCCTTGGATGATGAGAAGATCGAGATGACGGCGGAGGATAGTGTACGTGTGAAGGACACAGATGTTGCTGAGGAGGAAGAGGAGGACAACGAAATCTTGGAACAAAAGATTTCAGAGCAGCAGGAGGAAAACGCAGAGGCGGAGGATGACGAGGACATGGGGCAGACGATGGGCCCGGTGTAGGAGGAGGAGGAAGACACGGAGGGTCCTGACACGGCTTGAGCCCTCGTTGAGTGACAGTGTGGGTGCGAGATACCGGTCGGAGATGGATTGGAGATGGTTTCAAAGATACAAATGCATAAAAAACGTCATTGACAATATTCGTGCTGTTTGTGAGCGATGTGAATAACAACTGTGACCAAGCAGCAACGCATGCCATCTTGCCGCTGACATCCACGCATTTCGAATTGAACTGAGGCGAGACACACTGCCATACAGAAGAGACAAGATGTGAATTGACAACGCAGAAATCAGGAAGCTCAGTGAGGGTTAGCAGGACTCTGTATGAGGTAGCAGAAGGGCCTCTCAAATTAGCTAGGTCCCTCCCTGCAGCGACATGAGCTACTTAAAAGAACAATTCTGATATAGCCAGTAGCACACAGGGCCACAAGAATGCCAGTCATCATTTGTCGAGCTACATAATACTCTAGCAGTTCCTCGTACACCCAAACGGAAACGGCAAAACCGCCGGACTCCTATACCCTCCCTTCCCCACACTCCTGACTCCAAAGATGACATTGTCCTTGTGAATCGTAGCGCTGGTCAGGTTATACCAGTTCACATCCCCAACTTCAATCACGCTCGTCCAATGCGGCTCCAGCGTCTCTCGGTACACAATCTCATAGCCCTCGACCGGCAGTCCCTTTGGCGCCGTCCACTTAAACTGGCTAAAGTTGTCAGAAGTGGTCGTGTTGATACCAACATTCATCGGCTCGCCAGGCGCATTCGCGAGACTCCACATGGTGCTCGCAACGACCTTGGCCGCGCGGGTATTGTACTCAAAGTCAAGCCATTCGACTAGATCACCGTACTGTTTGCCGTTGCGGACAGTGACGTTCTGGTGCTGTTGGGTGTAATCCTCGTTGGGCTGGACGAAGCGGACGCCTGTGTAGCCGGCCTCAAGGAATGGACGATGGTCACCACCGCGGCTGTAACGGTCGAGGCGGTAGATCAGGCGGACGGTCATTTCGGTGAAGGCATTGGAAGCGACTTCGTAGATGTGGCGACCAAGGTTGCGAGCTGGACTGTCGTTGTCTCCGCCGATGCTGAGGCGGGAGGTTGTCGTAGTCGAGTTTTCGGTCAGAGGAGTACCTTGACAGAATAGACGGATGTTGTAGGGGTCGCTTGTGCCGTCTTCCGCTTTTGAGTTTCCAACCATGTCCAGGTTTATCATGCCAGCGACGTTAACAGAGTTGTTCTTGTACGTTTGAGCGAGATTTTCGGCTCCAAGGAGGCCTTGTTCTTCTCCTGCAAAAGCAGTGAAGACGATTGTAGTTTTCGGTTGGTATTTGGCAAAGATGCGCGCAAGCTCGAGAGAAACAGCAACACCAGATGCGTCCTGATGGTGGTATACTATGTCAGCATGCTTCCCAGACCCAATTCGTGTAGCAAGAGTTACTTACATCAACAGCTCCCGGCGCATCACCTTGGTAGTCAATGGGATTACTGTTCCTGGAGTCATAATGGCCGCCAGTAACGTATAATCTGTCGGGGTCTTCGCTACCTTTCAGAGTCGTAACGATGTTTGTGATGTTGACTGGAAATATAATTCTCTCATTGTCGCCCGGGTATTTGACGAAGCTGTTCCAGTCTACGGTCATTCTCCCTTCGCTCGCATCTGCCGCTTCTTGGAATTGCTCAGTGAGCCATGTCCTTGCGGCGCCAATTCCACGGGCTGGGTCGGTCTGGCTAGACAGAGTGTGGCGTGTGCCAAAGGAGGCGAGCTTCCGAATCGTCGCTTCGATATTATCCTGCGAGACTTGTGACAGGATACCTTGAAGCTCTTCGTCTGGAAGTTGTTGCTTTAGAGCTTTTCCGACTGTTGCAATCGGCCATTGTTCAGTGTTCGGGAATGACTGATGCGCATGGCGAGGGTGGATTGGTGACGACAGAGCAGTCTGCAGGGCCGCAGCTGCACACACAGCAAAAAACATAGACGATCGCATGTTTAATATTCCAAAAATTTCCACGAACTTGTTCAGTCATGATTTGTCCTCCACTATTTATAATGACCGATTTTCACCATCCCACTCTTCGCGACAGGCTGTCGACTTCCGGTATTTCTTGCGTCTTGCGAGAGTATAGAGCATACCGTCATCGGAGGATAACACATCCTTGCTATCATGACTTGGAAAGCTGCACATCTGCGTCGTATGCGGAAGCTCGTAATGCGACCAAGCCGCCAAACCGAAATTCGGGAAAGGCTTCAGTGGCCGATCATGACGTTACTGCACGTTCAGCTTGGCAACGGCAGAGACAGGCGGGGTTCTTTAGAGCGACGCGGAAGATCTAGCGATGAGTTGCGATAGCACAAAATGGTCTATAGAGAGATGCATGTGTACTGGAGAGGTCCGAGAATGTCAGCCGGCCGTTGTCGGATCCGCGTCACGAGTCATGCATTTCACCTGACTTCATCTTTGCAGCCCGCAGCTTGGGGGACATCTATTCTTCAAGTCCAAACACGGATACAACGTACCAAGCATGCGTAAAATTCGTGCAGCGCATAAGGGAAGCCATGAGTAGAAACAATTAATTTGCCAAAAAATGCAGCAAAAAAATGCAAAAGAAAACCCCGCTTTCGCAGGGGAAGAAACTCTTATTTTCTTAATTAATTAACAATCCTACTCTTACTACTTCTTTTCCTGGTGTATAGCAGCCCGAGGAGACTTGTGTCTGGAGAAGTATTCGAACCCTGGCCATATAGCGAACCTTAGACTTCACCAATTGGTGGAACCAAAGGCGGCCCACAGCAGACGGTGGACCTAAACTAAAGGTTGTGATGTTTGTTCGATAGAGAAACAGGGAATTAAGAGAATTATATAGAGTCACTGCGGCATGTTGGATCATGGTCATATAAATTGTCTATCTCAACACACCAAACTAACTGATCACGAGTACGCAACACAGCGTGTCCTGCCGGTGTCTTGATCTGTCATGTAGGTTCGCTCGAATTGATACAAAGAAAAGCAAGCGATATCACATCATTGCTAAGAAAGTTGGCACGTTTCTTTGTTGAAATTCAAATAACGACAAAGCACAAATAACGACAGAGCACGAATAACGACAAAGCACGAATAACGACAAAGCACGAATAACGACAAAGCACGAATTACGACATCTTTGTTCCGCTCATGCTCCCAATTCCTTTTGCATGGTAACAAAGCAAGGGTTACAGCTACATTAATCAAGGCATGTGCTCGGGTCCCAGTGAAGTATACATGAAAATTACAATCCCGCATGCAATCAACAATCATGAACAAAAGCAACAGATCACGGTACCCACAGGCCAACAAGCGTCTACGAAGCCTCTTTGCCAATAAAGAGAAGGTTAGAATCATGGCCAAGTCGAAGCCGGCGGCGCTCGAAAAGAAACGGACTGCTCCATGTGACGATCAAGCACATTGCCAGGCAAACAAGAAAAGGCCTTATTGTCCCGAAAGTCCTCGCAATGAATGTCCTGGTTTTCCATTTCTTCTTCCGTCAACTCCCGGAATGCCAAATACGCCCATGACCTACAACAACCGGACCCATGATGCTGGTCCCGCACCTTGGGTATGCAACGAATGCATGCGCCACGGTCAAGCAGAAAAACTCGCCAATTTCGAGAAACGTGCAACTGCAGCACAGCACTCGGGCCCACGAGCTCAGCTTTGCAAGGGATGCACTCGCGACGAGATGAAATTATACTACGAGCGATGTATGGGCCCTAACCCGTGGGACAATGATCCAAGTGGTCTGGGTCCAAGGTATACACAGTGGGTAAACCACTGGCCGACATCTTTGGCTGCACATGGTCATAACGCGCAAGACTTGTGCCTTTGTAATCGCAAGTACGTACGCATGTTTATGAGAGAACACTGTCACGCATGTCGCGATACAATTTTCCAGACTAGAGTCACGGAACCACACCATCGTCACGAGCATTTCCTGCGTGAACGTACCAAGGCAGTCATCAAAGGCGAGAAGCTCTGCAGCGGACCGGATGGTAACGGTGGCACCAAGCCACATCGTGTACGACCTGCTATCATCAATGCACGGATGGCGAAGGGTATAGGACGCATGTGCCCTTGTGGTGAGAAACCAGTCGATCAGGACTTCATCGACATCTGCTTGGCTTGCATGGGCGTCAGGGTCATACCGGATCGTATCCCTACGAAGTACCAGCAAAACAACGTGCTGCACGGGAGAATCACACGGTCTTCGCAACGGAACAATCGAACCAAGGGACCGGCGAGGGCGGAGAGGGGTTTTCAGTTCAGAGTCAACATTGAACGGGGATATCTTGCTTCAACAGCAGGCGGTGATCCGGAGCTTAATCCAGTGCTTCGCCATTGATGATGCAAGCCCCTTCTCCCCATCTCTTCCATGACGGTTACCGGTTTAATTTTGTCTAGTACTGTTCGCATTCATTTTGTTTTCCACGTAATCTTAACCATCTGAGAGAATGAAATATTTAATTCAACCTCTCGAGTATTCACCAGTGCCCGTTGAATTCTTTTGGATGTGTCATGTTGATTTCTACTCTTCACGACGTTGCACTCTTAGCTCGACAACTTATCCTAGTCCATCGAACTGCAAGTGACCAATCTGCTTTCACGGTACCATTAAGACTATGGAGTGTGTCACATTCGGAATAGAGTATTCCGGACCTAGAATTAGGAAGATCATACGCGCCCGGATAGTAGAAATGGGACGCCACGATAGCCTCCACTCAGTTTTCAACAAGCTCTACGATATCTCCGAATTCTTCAAATAGCCATGGATCAAGATCCTTGAACCCCTCGGGGACCGCTTTCTCTTCTCTGACTGGCTTATCCTCGAACACATCAATCAAGTCCATTACCTCAACATCGTCTGCCATAGCATTGTTGTTCTCCATGTTGCGGGAGGTAGGTCTTCCAAATTGAGTCTGTTTTATTTCATTCGCATTTGTTCCCCCTAAAAGAGTGGCGGCAGGCTTGAAGTCGTTCTCCCGCGAACGGGAACTACTCGTGCTATCGTAGAAGGGTGCGCGTTTCGCATGAAGTGGAGCAACTAAAGTCTTGATAGGCACTTTTTCTGTTGCCGTTGCGCTCTCACGCGCATGGCAATGGTAATCGTCCGCTGTGTTGTCGAAAATCTCCACTGGGAAGTCGTCATCATAGAAAGCGCTTTCGAAGCCCATGTCTTGCTCGTCCTCGAACAATCGTGTTGCATCATCGTTGCATTCATTCGTTTCTCGCAGGGTTTGAGAGTCTGCAAGACCAACCATGGCGTCACCGAGGAGCGAGTCGTCATCGCCGAAAGTGTCGGACCTACGAGACGCAACAGGGGCGGTAGCTGGGTAGTCCGTCAAGTCAACTGAGTCTATGCCCACATCTAGCTCGCTCATATCGTGCTGAGTAGGATTGGGATGATTTACGTCGAAGTACGAAGAGAGCTCATCGAAGTGAGCATCGCCGTAGTCGCTAGCATCTTCTGCTTGATTTGTACCGGTTTGTTGCATGAAGGAAAGACTGTGATCACCACCCTGCGAGTAACAATATGCAGGCTTTGTGTGAATGACCGAGTGAAGAGTGGAAGGCAGGTTCTTCTTCTGGACAGTCTTGTGGAGTTGATGAAGGTCGCGATAATCTCTCGGTCCGTTCACGGCATGATTGGCCTTCTTTTTCTTCTCTTCCCGTGTCAGATCCAGTTCATCCATGGCAGACGATGTCTTCCGCTTAGACACCTCAAGTTGTAGTTTGCTCTGCGTCACTTTTGGTGTCTGACTTGACCCGCCTTGTCCGAGTCGAAGGCTATCTTCCTCTATCGCCGCACGCTTTGCGGCAGCCGGCTTCTTAGGCGGTTTGTCCATTCCTTCCTTGCAACAGAGATGCTTGCATGCATTCTTGTCTTTACAAGGATATTTGCAGGCCCACTTTCCGTTACTTAGCTGTTCCGGCTCATGCTCGTCATTCTCAGCGCTGACGTTGGATGCCTTCACTTGGTTCTTCGCCGTGGGTGCTGCTTTGTTTTTGGCAGTGTTCTTCCGCGTGATTGCGTCCATGGGGTTGGCGAAGTTGTCGATATGCTCGAACTGCAGATCGCCACAAGTGGCTTTTACAAGCGCTTCATCATCGATATCGCCATCACCGAACTCCTCGCTGTTGTTTGATCTCTTGCGAACAGGCTTGCTTGGTTCAGCTCGTCGCTTCGAAGTGTTCGGTCGTTGTGGTGTGTCGTTAGCTTCGAGCGACTTCGGTGCTGGGAACATGGCAGGGGCGATTTGTGGCTTCACGGTGGCGCCGCGCAGGCTGCCCGCTGGAGAATATCAACGATTGTCACGGCATTCATCAATCAAGACTGACCAATGCTGTCGCACATAACGTAGCAGTTGATGCTTTGCTCAGTACTCGTAAGATGTGCAGGAAAGACTAGGCTTTGACCATGCCCAAGCTTTTGACCACTGAGGTTCGTTAGTCGAGCTCAGTTGTGGACAGAGGTAGCGAACCTAATACGGGCAAAGTGTATTTTCCGTCCATCCGAAGTCTCAGCTAACAAACAAACATACACAAGTTTGCCAGCGAAACGTTGTGGCGGATTCTCGTTGATAAAGCCAATAGTTGCTTTGACCTGTATCTTGACGCCATCCGCTGACTTGATAGCCTTCACCATGTTAGTGTTTGGACGGTAATATGGGGGTAGATCCTACAGATGAAGGCTGCGCATGGAGCGACACGCGCAACTTGGGAAAAGCCTTTACTGTCTCGAGCACCTTCATTCCATAGGGCGGATTTCTGCCAATCAGTGCTTCGATACGATGTGGTTCGCATGCTTCGAGATCTTCTAAACTGCGAATACCTGCGTTAACGAACTTACGCACACCCACAACACCAATGCTCTCGATCTGCTTCATCTGTAATGGGCTATCGTCCCAGATACGTGAACCGAGGCTGCGTTCTAACATCAGTGCGCTGTGGATGCTGACAGAATCGCCATGGCAGATTTGACAGTCGATGATGCATCGAATAAGGCTGCTTATGTACTTGAACACAATCTGAGTCTCCGTTGTGTATTGGCCCCTGTGCTTGGCCATGTCACCGTCCCACGTCAGATCCGCAGAGCCGAGAACGGATTGAATGATCAAAGAAACCTTGTGTGCTGGAAGGTCTAAATTGACAGGTATTGAGAATCGAATAGAGGGTGACTTGTTCATGAGCTTATAGAATGGTTTCTCTCCAGGCCGGAAGCGTAGCTTTGAGAACTCAGAAGCTTGTGCAATTGCCGACAGCTATGCAGTAATGTCAGTTATCTCGCCCATACATACATAAGGTTCAACTAACAATATCCGATGGTGTAGCCTTCGATTGAATGCCCATAAAGACCTTCATCGTCTCGAAATGAACATAGTATCTGGCCATGGCGTGGCCGTAGTCGGTGCTTCGGAAGTTTTCGTCGCCAGAAACGAGAGTGTTCTCGCGCAAAAGAGCAATGTCGCGAAAGCAAATGTCGTCGACCTGCTCTTCAAGGTTCTGTCCGGCTCTTGCGCCTTCAAGTTTGTAATGACTGGGATTTTGCTGCAGGCGGACATAGAGAAATGTTCCCTTGAGCCACTTCCGAGCAGAGTCAAGATCGCGAATCGCGCCCAGTCCGATTTCCGCATTCATGTGATCGATCAAGTTGAGATGTAGCTTGCTTTCAAGCAGCTCCTTTCCAGTGACCATGTTCTCATATCGCTGAGCTTTGACTGAACGAGTCATGATGACTGCCACAGCAGTGTCATCGAATTGTGGTCGACCAGCACGACCGAGCATCTGCATCATTTCCAGGTCTGAGTACTCCTGCAGTCCTTCATCAGTGTATGTGACTGTGTTCTTGATGATGACAAGGTGACATGGCAAGTTGACGCCCACGGCCAAGGTCGAGGTGCAGCAGATGACACCGATCTCATGGCCAAGGAAACCTTTCTCGACTTGCATCCTGTCGTCAAGGTCCAGTCCAGCATGATGAAAAGCTACGCCAGAAGCTACCGTGTCGCGCAGATCCTTGTTAACCAGTGTGATCTGTTTGGAAGGTGGGTTCCACTTGCGATCATTTCCAGGCCGTGACATCCACCAACGCACTATTAACTTGGCTGTGTTCAGGCATGATGCTCTCGTGGTGCAGAATATCATGATAGGCTTGCCTTCGGAGTATTTGGCGATGACTTCCGGAAGCTTTGCATCCAGTATCTTCTCGAATCCAAAGTCATTGCTAATATTGGACACGTAGCCGCATACATGTTTTCGCAGCTTGACGGGACGAAAATCCTCGCCAAACTTCTCGTGAGGCGCCTGGACATGTGGTTCAGCCGAGCTCTTGCCTAGCCAGGTCGCAACGTCGCCTAAGTTGGGCACAGTAGCAGAGAGTGCGACGAAACGGACATCTGTACCAATGGACTTCATTCGCGATACGACAGTCTCGAGCACAGCACCGCGACCTTCCTTGAGGATATGTACTTCATCGATGAGGAAGACTTTGATGAGGCGCATCAGCTTCTCGTGGTCTTTCCACTTCCTGGTGATACTGTCCCATTTCTCTGGGGTGGTGATGATGATGTTCGCACTTTGGACGTTGCGCACATCTGAGGCGTCACTGTCACCGGTGAGCTCGGCGCACTTGAGACCGATAGGCGTGAACTTGGCAGCCCAGTCTCGTTGGCGTTCAGAGCACAACGCCTTTGTTGGTGCTTGATATACGACTTTGTACTGGCCGGTCGCGTTCGTTGCAACAGCCCGACATATAGCGAGCTCCAGGATTACAGTCTTTCCACTCCCTGTGGGTGATGCAAGTACAAAGTTATCGTCTGAACCAAAGACCGTGTCGAAGCACTTTGACTGGACAGCATTGAATGTCGGGTAAGGAAACACAGTCCGGAGACGATCCGGCAAGGTCGATACAGGAACAAGTTGAATGCCTTGGCACATTGGAGGCGTGTGAGGTAGGTTCATTGCATGCGGCTGTGGCCGGGGAGGATTAGCCTGCGCACCGGGTGACTCCATCGCATAGCCTTCTTGAACGAAATCATCAGCCTCTGGAACGATATGCGACTGCGGTGGTTCGATTTGTCGGTGAGAACGAGGCGAGACTGGTACTCTGAGCTCTTCGGCGTACCGGTATTGATCTTGCGCATTTTGATTATGCTGCACGTCCGGAAAGGGAGCATAATCAGTTCGTCGCCGACCTGTCCTCACTGCTGGAGAGGAAGATGGTCCAAGCTGTAAATCTGAGCTAGATTCCTCAACCAGGTTGTTATTGTAAGCGAATCGGTCTATGAGCAATCAGTATCGTTCGCGAGGTGTACTGCGAGTCGCACATACTCAGTTGCCCACGAAGGGGATGCTCAATGTGGTGCTGATGTTGCGCTAAGGGAATCAGTGTTTGGCTTCAGTAGGTATTCATACAACGTACGTCTGCCATCACAGAGCTCATCATCACGCATCCGATACGAGGCCTGTATTTGCGATGGAGCCTCACGAGGTCGATAAGACACCTGGGACTGCGACGCTACTGCATTGCCGAAGAATTTGGACGGCCCAGGAGCAAGCGACAACCTCGCTCTTCCTTGCTCAGCTTGCTGCTGGCGATCTGGATACGGCTGTTGGAGAACTCGGTCATCTGCAACTGGTCAGTAGGGTAATTGTCGTAGACTACCAGACATTCGAAGGGAAGGTAGAAATCTTGCCACTCACCAAATGAATCAAACCTCATTCCCTCACTCATCCCATCATCCTCAACATCATCATACTGCATGTTCCGAAAGCGATCTCTCGACGGGATCGGTCTGGCCGGCTGTTTGAATTGCGGCTGGAGGACAGGAAAGTGCGAGGGACGACGCTCACGATCGTCCAAGCGATAGTACGCGTTGTCGTCGTCGGCCATGGCGGCGATGCGGCTGTGATAGACGTGCGAATGCGAAGGACAGTGCGCGAACGATTATGGATGAGAGATGAAAGAAAATGAGGTGTGACGGAATGACGCGAGAAGTTGAGACGAAAAGAGAAGGCACAATGGGAAGGAAGTCGCGAACCCACATGTCCACGCGCGTCAGCATTTGAGAACTCACCGCATACAACATCATACTTTCCGAGCAGTCTCATTCAGGGTATATACAATGCTCGATCTACAACAATTCCAAGGTTCCCAGGTCATTATGCATCCCGCTTGGACTGGAACCCAACATCTTTCGTCGGTATGACCGGCACCGAGTCGTCCAACGCCTTTCCCAGACTATTAAACGGATCGCCATACTGCATCGCAGGCGGACTAACAGCCTCTTCCAGATCCGCCAACTTGACGTACTGCTGAGGCGGCGCTCGGTCTGGCTTGGTGTAAAGGTACGTTGCTGCCAGTACGACGCAGGTACCGATGAAGAACTGAATTTTGTCAGCTCATGTGAACGATGAGTGGGATGTGGCGTGCAAAACATACCGATCTCGTAACCACAAAGTCGAAAAAATATGCACTCGCAACACAGCTCAACACGATACTCACACTCGTCGCGAAGTTCTTGGCAATGTTGTCTGCGTAGTTGATGACCAGCGCAACTATCACTCCGCCGGCTGCTTGGAAGAGAATGGCCAGCCACACCACCCAGTTGTAGCCGGCGAAGAAGCCTGTTTGGGATATTTCGGCGCCTTCTTTCCATATAACGCCTAGGAATAGGGATGGGAAGAGTGACCAGAATGACAGCTGGCAGTTGCGCACCCACAGCGTCGTGTTCTTGGCCGTGGTCGAGTTCTTCAGGACGTATTCGAATGTGACGCCCGCAAGGCCAGAGAGAGCGCATGCGACCAGGACAGCGAGGAGACCGACCCGACGGTCCATATGAGGTGTCTGCGCAGTGTGATCCGCATCAATGCCCTCGTACGACGCAGACCGAGCAACAATGTTACCCAGAACCTTCGACCCTGCGACCACTGGCGCAGCTTCTTGTTGCGGGACTTGTATAATCGACACTCCCACAATCAACAGCAGCAACGAAACCCATTTCCGCGGCGACAGCGATCGCCCCAGCATCACCACACTGAAAATCGCCGTCGTGAGAATCTTCAGCTGGTATGTAACCTGAAACGTCGCTGCGTCTAGATTACTGACAGCCACGTACTGCAGCGTATTCTGAATCGTATACAACACAGCCGGAATCGCGAGTTTCCAGCTCTCGTTGCTCACAATCGCGGTCGCAAGGGTGGAGCATAGCGTTGCTATCGTCGTGTTCGTTGGTAGTGTTTGCGACATCTCGTGCAGCGCCTGTTACAGCTGGTCAGTATTTCATTCCATCCCAAGATGCGAGAATGGACGTACCATGGTCAAACTAATCCCCAACTTAATGACCTCATTCAGAAACACACTCGTGCTGGTATGATACCGCTGCCCATTCACCAGCGGCATTATCCTCGAGTAGTGCATGATCTAGAAACCCCCGTCAGTCCCCAAGCACACTTCTTTCCTCGCATCTCATCTCATCTTGTTTGCTAGGAACTCTCGATCGGACGGAAGCGGATAGATCGTATTTCATACCAGAATGAGCGCCGAGTTCTGGAACGTGAGCTACACCGGATTATCAGCCTCACGTACCCCCCGAAATATAGCAGGAAGTCGTACAGTCACCAGCGATAAATGCTTCATCGACACGCCGCCCAGCGACGCGCTGGATGCGCGAGCCATGTGTGCAAACAGGAGTGGATTCTACCGGCGGGCCTTCATGCGAGAAAAGATATTTGGGTCAAGTACGGCGCTTACGCGTTGGAATACAAAACAAAAGGCGGCGCCCTCGATTCTAAGGTGTCCAGTCGCTGCGAGAGACATGTCTCTGCCTGGCTGCGTCAGCCCTCAGCCTCAGACGCCTAAACATCCATGTTGCGGGGCGCGCCGGACCTGCGTAACTTAGCGCCGCCGATCGTCATAGCCACGTGGTTTCGCGTCAACGCGTCTTTGGTCCCATCTACATCTACAAGTCGCAAGTAAGGATATCGAGCTTCCGAGTAAAACTGATGATTACACGTTCAAACGCCAGGAAATGCTAATGACTATGATACACATGCCCTCATCTTTCCTTCCGGCATCTCGACTCGCTTTTTCCTACACCCATTTCGCGAATAACCCATACCGTCAACATTGCTATAGTACCAAAGACAAATGAAATTTCCGTATTTGCAGAGATGCTCCATATTTGTTCCGTTCTCTTATTCTCCTTGGGGAGCACCTCCACCTCCTTGTCCACCACGTCCGCGAGCCCTCTTCCCGCCTCTCGCGCCGCCTTCGCCCTCGTCTTCAGCGCTGCGCTTGTGGCCACGTCCCATGCCTGGCGTTGGTAGTGCTTGGAATGGAGCCGCGCCTGGGTTCAGACTATTGCGAGGGCTGCCTTGATTCGACTGTGCACCGCCGCGAGCACCTCCTCCCCGACCTCCACGTGCACCACCGCGTCCGATCTGCGAAGCTCCAGGACCTTGGGCGTTGTTGGTGGGCTGCTGGTTCTGGTTTTGCTGAAGCTGCTGCTGCTGCTGTTGCTGTTGTGGCTGACCACCACGACCTCGTCCACCTGGAAGGGGAATGTTGCTTGCGCCGCCACGTGGGATGCTCGACTGATTGTTGCCAAACAGTCCTTGGAGTGCGCGAGGTCCGGTCCCCACGTTTTCACCGCGTCCGCGACCACCTTGCTGCTGCTGTTGCTGCTGTTGTTGAGGAGCGACGAACGGATTCTGGCCAGTAAAGCCAGGCTGTGCAATACCGCGTCCCTGTTGGGCAGCCATGAAGGGATTGGCGGCAGAATTTTGCAAAGACTGATTAGCAAAATTCGGCTGTTGGAAGGGTGCGCTGGTTCCATTTGCTTGAAGATTGTTCGCTGCAATCGGCTGTGCTGGTGATTGGTTTGGTGCAGCAGCAGGTAGTGGCAGCCCGGCGACAGACGACGTCGGTGGTTGCTGTGCCGGGGTTGTTGCTGAAGGTTTTGGCTTCTTCGCCTCCTCGACTGCTGCGATGACCGCCTTGCTTACTTCCATCGTGGGTGACTCTTTTGAAATCTTCTCGACGGCGGTCCACCTGTCCTTGCCAGCCTGCAGCATGCCGGTCTTGATGTTGTTTCGCATCTCGACCATTTTCACTGCCTTCTCTAGAGCTTGCTGATGCTCTACCTTGGCTTTTGTGAGTGCAGCCTCGACATCCTGACCTGAGCTCTGTACCTGGCTCGGTTCCGATTTGATAGTCTCGGTCGGCTTCTGTGCAGCGTCTTTCAATTGCGCATTCAGCTGCGCCAGCTCCGCCTCTTTGGTCTTCAGCTGCTCTTTGAGGGGGTCGATGTGCTTCTTGATCTGCTCTATGATGACTCCTCTGGCAGCTGGGTTGGTATTGATCCAGAGTTTCAACTCTTGCGCTGTTACAGTAGGGCGTGTAAGGCCTTCCGTATTGACTTCTACCAAAGCTGGCATCTCTTCATCAAGAAGATTCTTGTAGACGACAGTGGCGTTGTTGCTTCCGGTAGGTTGTTGCTGTGTCTCCTTGAGTCTGTTGATTTCTGCCTGCAACCCTGCGATCTCCGTCTTGAGTCGCTCGATCTCCTCGTTCATTTCCTTGGTGACCGCGGCGATTTTGTCGTTCGATTCACTCCTGATCGAATGTATCTTGTCTTGGGCTTTTTTCTGAATCTCGGTGACCTTGCCCTCGCGGGTGGTGACCTTGACCTCACGCTGACTCAAAGCAGCTTCAGCTTCCTGCAGTTTGTTCTCGCGCTCATCTAACTCTGCCTTCAGGGTGACGTTCTCTGCATCGCCTTGTGCAGCATCAGCCGTGACATCGTTACTTGGGTTCGAAGCGGTAACGGTCACGCTCTGAGTATTGGCGCGCGCATCTTCGAGAGCCTTGCGTGCTTCTGATAGTTGTTCCCGGAGAGTGTCGAGTTCTTCGGTGGAAGGAGGGTTAGCCGGAGGTGCATCGACGGCACCGGCAGAACCAGACTGGGCTGCTTGGTTCTGTGCGGAGGTGAGTTGTTCTTGAAGTTCAACGATGCGGTTGGCCTTGTCAGCCTGGCACAATATTAGTATTGCATGGGATGATACACGGATGGAGCAACTTACATCGTCTTTCTCTAGCTTTGTGACCTGGTCTCGCATGAAAGACTCCTTCACTTTCAAGGCGGAGTAATCGTTCTCTGCGCTAAAAGCCCTGTTCTGCGCCTCGGCCAACTGGGCCTTGACTTCCTCAAGCTTTTGTTGTAGCTCTGCGAGACGTTGGTCCGAGCCCTGAGCACCGCTTTCGTCTACTTGGCCCTCTTCGCCCATATCGACGTCTGCAGTCGATTTGACACCAGCATTAGTACGAGCTGTAGCTTCATCGCGAGCAGACTTGGTAGCTACCAGCTCTTGCTGGACAGTCGCCACTTGTGCCTGCAACTGAGTCACTTGCTGCTGCATCGTCGCAACCTGCTCTTGGGACTGGGTAGCTTGGCCTTGGGCATCGGCAAGTTGCTGTCGTGAAGTCTCAAGCTCCTGTTGCACGGTCGTCAATGTTGTCTGCAGCTGATCACGCTCGACTGTGAGAGCATCGATCTCGCTCTTCTTCGTTTCCATCGCAGCCTCCATCAGCTGCTTGTGTCGCTTGTTGAACTTGCCCCTGAGTTCTTCTTTTTGTGCTTCATTGGCGGCCTTGACAGCGGCCTCTACGCCGCCTTCAAGAGTCTTGATCTTTTCTTGCAGGCCGGTAGCATGTTCATTGAGACCACTGATTTGTTCGGCATACTGATCGCGCTCAGCCTTGATCTCTTCGACAGTCTTCTTGAGGTCGTCCATTTCCTTTGGATCAATGTGCTCAGATTTGTTGACAAACTTGTCAAAGCGCTTTTCCCAGTAGTCCCGCTGCTTTTTCTCTTGTTCCAGATAGCCTGATGTAAGCTCAAGTTCGCCTTCGAGCTCTTCCACGCGTGCTTTGAGGGGCTCAAGTTCGCCATGGAGAGTTTCAAACTCCTTGTTCTTCTCGGCAAGCTTGGCCTCTAGGCGCGCAGCGTCGTTCCGCAGCGTCGTGTTGCTTTCGCGGAAGACGTTGAGTTGCTCGATCTGGTTCTGGAGAGCTTGAAGGTTCGTTCCACCAAGCGAGCCTCGGGCACGTGACTGCTCGGCGTGCAACTTCTCGCGCGTTTGATCGAGTTGGCTTTGAACGTGCGTAAGCTCTGAATTTAGGCGCTTGGCTTCTGAGTCCTTCACGCTCAATTGCGCCTCCAAGATGTCCTTCTCTTGCTTCAAGAAAGTGGTAATTTCATCTATCTTGTTTGAACCTGCTGCCTCGCCAGCTGAGTCGCCAGTAGCCGCTGCACGGTTGCTCTTCAAGTCGTTGATCTGTGCCTTGTAGTTGTCGAATTGTTCTAGCAGAGTCTTGTTGTGCTGCTTCAGATCGTCGTAGTTGCGTTTCGCCTCAATAAGTTGGTTCTCATATCGGACCTGGGTCGACTTCCAGTTCTCTTCGTTTTGCTCAAGGGCAGTGCGAGCAGCCTCAGCCTGAGTCTTGAATTGCGAGACTTCAGACTTGATGCTGTTGTACTCTTCTCTGAGCGTGCGCAACGAATTCATGGTGTCACCATGCTTGGCAAGCTCATGCTCGTAGTCCTGTCGAGCGCGTGTCGCAATTTCAGCCTGAGATTTGACGTACTGCGTCTGCCTCTCGGCCTCTGCCTTGTAGTCGTTTACGTCGTTCTTGAGATTAATGATCTCTGCGTCGAGTGCCTCCTTTTCTTGGCTCAGGCGCATAGTCTCCTGCTCGTGGCGGCCTCGGAGCTCAGTAAGTTCAGAGTTGGTAGTTGTGAACTCTGATGAGATGTCGTCAACTCTGCGTTGAAGATCGGCAATAATTGCATCCTTCTCCTCTTGCACACGGTCCAACTCGGTCTGCAGATCGTCTCGTGTTTCGATCGCGTTTTGAAGAGCCTCCTCGGCCTCCTGCGCAATGTTCTGGAAACCCTCAATTTGAGCCGTGGCGGCATCGAGGTCTTCCTGCTTGCGGTCCAGTTTGCGCTGAAGGTCAGCCACTTGAGCAACAAGCTCTTCCTCACGAGTCGACTCTTCGGTATCCTGAGCTGCGGCAGCTCGAGGTGTTGGAATTGGCTGCAGAGCCTGAACACGATCTTCAGCAGCTTGAAGCTGGGTCCGCAGTTCGTTGGTCCGCTGCTCAAGTTGTTGGCGGGCAGCATCTGCGGCAGCACATCGCACATCGGCCTCATTCCTGGCTTTCATAAGGTCTTCGATCCGCTTTTGAGCTTCACTGCGCTCATAGTCGCGCTGTAAGGACGCCTTCTTGTGCTCGGCAACTTCATCCTCCAGCTTGCGCTGCGCGATCTGCAATTCGCCCTCTAAAGCATCGACACGGTCCTGGAGCCGGCGCCGGTTCTCGGCATTAGCCAGCTCTTGCTCGTTTCGCAGGCTTTGGACGTCCGTCACCATTTTGCTCAGGCGGTCACGCTCATCCATCAGCTCCTGGTTACGCTCCGTCAAGCGTGCCTCAATGGTCTGCCACATCGACTGCGAGGCTTTGAGGTTCACAAGCTCATGTTCCAGGCTCTCCATACGAGCAACGGCATCCACGGCTTCTTGCTCTGCTCGGACAACCTTGTCATCTTGTTTAGCCAGCGTTGTTTGAATGCTGTAGTAACGCTCCTGCAGAGTATTCTTCTCCGATTCTAGCATCTTGACTGTGCTCTCGAGACGAGCGTAGTGGTCCTGCTCCCGTCTGATTTGGCTGTCTAGTCGGATCTTTTCGCTCTGTAACTGGTTGTTGTCCTTGGAAAGAGTCTCCACTTGAGACTTCAGCGTCGCACGATCGGTGGCACTTTCTTCCTTGAGGGTGTCTACCTGGGTTCTGTAAGGTCTTGACGAGCTTTTCGACTCCATTCACGTCGCCAGCGCGCGGTGTCTGGTCGTTGAATAGCGAACCTCCAAGGCCGCGCAGGGGTGTCATTGGCGCCTGGCTGTTGAAAGATTGACCAAAAGCAGATGCTCCGTCCGACTCCGGCAGCGGAAGGTTTCGACTGGTGGCTACTTGACGGTACATGTCTCGCTCCTTCTTGTAGCTCTGCGTGCGGATCTGCAGCGACTTGAGCTGATCCTCAAATTCCACGACGCGAGTTCGTAGTGTGATGAGTTCCTCCTGGTCCTTCTTGACTTGTGCTTCCTGGCTTCGAGCTTCTGTGCCTTCATGTTGCTGGGCCACCTCGCGGATCATGCGTAAGAGCTCGGCGTTTTGCTTTTGAAGGTCCGAAATGTTCTTGTACAGCACAAGATGTTGCGAGATGATGTTGTCAGTCGCTGTCTCGCCGTAACGTTCTGTCTCGGGAAGCTCGTTGTTTTCGGAGTTGAGAACGAACTGTTGCTGGTCGGCAGTAAGGGTTGCGAGGCCCTGCTCTGCTGCTTGTTGTCGCCACATGAGAGATCGGAGCTGCACGGTGAGATCCTGCACGTGGATCTGCAGCTGCGAGCATTCGCGTCGGGTGCCCTCCAAGTCGCCACGAGCTTTGCGCTCTTCCTTCCGCGCCGCGTCTTTCTCTGCCACAGCAGCCTCAAGATCGCTCGCCATGTCGGTGATCTGCGTTGTGAGGGTCTCGTTTGTGCGGCGAAGCTCGTCAACAGCGGGGTCCAGGCGCTCCATCTCGTCAACCATGCTCCGTATCATAGCCGTCTTCTGTTCATTATCATCGCGAGCGTCGCGCAGCTGCTCCTTGAGGGTCGCATTCTCGGCAAGAATCTTGGTATTGGTGAGGCCCTTCAGCTGTGAGCCGCCCGGTGAGAAGACAGCAGGGGAACCTGCGCGGCCGGGTGTGCCATATGCGCCATTCGTGGGCCGTCGTGGTGTGGCAGGTGCATGCACAGAGTGCTTGAACTGGTTGGCTTCGCGCTCCAGGTTCTCGACGAGGGACTCCAGGTTGGCGACACTGGCCTCTGCCTCAGTGGCGCGGTTGCGTTCGATTTCCACTTCAGCCTGCAACTGCCCGACTTCTTCTGCAGCACTCTCTTCCAGCCGGCTCAAATCAGCTTGAATCTCCTCCAATCGTTTCTTGGCCATGTCCGCCGTCTTCTTGTGCATGGCCGCAAGTCGATTGACGTTTTCGAGCTCGCTGCGGAAGTTGGCCTCGTTGTTCGCAGCATCGTCCTCAAGCTGTTGGATGCGCGTGCGATCTTCCTCTGCCTTGGCCTTTAGCTCGTCGAAGTGCTTGCGCAGCAGTGTCTCGGTTCGTTGCAGTGAGTCGATGGTCTCGGCGGCGTCGGCGTTGGCGCGCTGGAGTTCGGCGACCTGGGCGTTCTTCTCCTTTCGGAACTTGGTGTTGTCGCTGCTACGCGTCTTGAGCTCGGTCTCGTACCAGTCGGTGTTCTTGCGGAGGAGCTCAATCTCCTGATGCAGGTTGGTCTCGCGGAACTTGACATTATTGGCGGCGCTCTCGAGCGACTGGTTCTTCTCTTCCAAGGCGGAAAGGGACTTGCGCAGGTCGACGTATTTCTGGTGCTGCTCGGACAGCTCCTTGGCAAGGCGGTCGTAGGCGGTGGCCTTTGTCTCGTATGTCGCAAGCGTGTCGCGGTTCTGGGACTCGAGTGTCCTAATGCGCGACTCTAGCACGTCAACTTGGGATGACGAGGTTGCGGTGCTCGTCTGGATGTCGTGCAGCTGGGCCTCTAGCTGCTTTCGCGCCGTCTCTGCAAGTCTCCTATTAGCACACCTCCACACTGTTGTCCGTCCATGTTCACGCACCTTCCTGGGCGGCCTTCTGCCGCAGCTCTTCTGTTTCCTTCTGCGCCTTGTCTGCGGCAGCCTTCAGCGCGCGCGCGCGCTGCTCTCCGCTCTGGACGGCATTGTCAAGCTCGACGTCGGCCTTGAGCTTTTCGGATTGGAGGTCCTCGAACTCGCGCGCTTTTGCTTCGATTTGCACGAGCAGCGATTGGACGAGGTCGACGGTGGGTTCTGATAGTAAGGACTGGATGGTTGTTTCCGGGACGGAATAGGACGCGGCAAGGTAGCCAACGTCAACAGCTGCCGTCGCCATGGTGGTGTGGGTTATTAGTGCAAGGCCAGCTGCATCGTCGTCGCTCTTGCGGACAGATGCAGAAAAGAAGGACAAAGGAGAGTCGAGACAATGAGGGCGCGGTTGGGTGGACAAGAGCGAGTCGCGAGCTTCGTTTACTTTGTTTGACCACCGACGTGAACGCCCGTCACGGACCACCATGCGCCAAGCCCGCGCGCATCATAGCTTCCTTTGCTGCGCCTGTCGCCGCTGCCTATAATGTTTCTTTCACTGCGCTCCTGCCTCACATCACTGTCACCTTCACCTTCACCGTCGCCGCCCACCCTGCCGCTCGTTCCCTCTCGTTCGCTGTGCGACTCTTTAGTTAGACGCTGCACAAACTCACGCCATCCTCACCAGGACGCCCGTCACTCACGCACCACCTCCGCAGTCCGCAGCCATGTCCTTTCTCAAAGCAAATTCGGCCTCGCGCGTTAACGCTCCGTCGCCCACGCCCTCCAACACATCTGCAAATGGCGCCAAGCGCAAGCGCCCTGCTGAGGGTGCCGCCGCCGTCGTCTACTCGCAGCCCATAGACCAGGGCACCGGCGAGCACGTATATACGCGCTTCACCTACACGGTCAACCACCTGCGCGACAAGAACAAATGGCTGCCGTTCGATGAGATTATGAACTTCCTAGGCGTCAAGGTGGGCGACCCTCAGCGCGAGCAGCTGCGTACCCTCTTCCGCTCCGAGAGCGACGGCAACCGCATCATGTGGAACTCGGCCAACGACACATACCGCTACAAGCCCAAGCTCGACATCCGCAACCCCGCCCAGCTCAAGGGCTACCTGCAGAACCAGAAGTCAGCGCAGGGCTTGTCGATCAAGGACCTCAAGGACGGCTGGGCTACGGTTGCCGACGACATCAAGGGCATGGAGGACAAGAAGGAAGTGCTGGTGAAGCGTGCTAAGGACGGCGTTGCCAAGATCGTGTGGGACAACGACCCTTCGCTCATGCACCCCATGGACCCGGAGTTCATGAATGAGTGGCATAAGATTGCCATTCCCGCGAACCCTGACGATCTGCGTGCGACCCTCATGAACGTCGGTCTACATGCAGCAAGTGCGCCTCGCCAGATTAACGGCGGCGGCCCCAAGCAGAAGAAGAAGCGCGCCGCGCGCCGTGGTGGCAAGCAGACCAACACGCACATGATGCACATTCTCAAGGACTTTTCTGGGATGCGCAAGTAGGGACTCTGTTTTATATGCATAGCGAAGGAGTTTGGAATTTGAATAGCCGATTTGGCTTCGCGAAGACCGTCAGGTTCGCTCAAAATTGATACCAAAACATGTACAGTACGGTCTTATTCTCATATAGAGGGGAGGTAAGCCAGTATTATCGGTAGGCACGAAGATTCTACGAATACAATACTTTTTCTTCCAATCATTACTTCAATCCAAACTTTCCTTTTCTCAAGTCTTGACGGAGTGCAATGCTCGATTCGCTGGGGCCTTTCTCTTAACGTGAATAGTACGAAAATTTGCACTTTGCGGTCGTTCTACACATCGTTGCGCCGCGCATCGAACTCCGCACACATATTTCTGCTCAGGGAGCGCGACGTAGGTGGGAGTTCAGCGGGGGTCCTGTTGCTGATGTTGTTGTGGGTGCGCAGCAGGGGGATGCACGAATAAGAGGAGTTGTTTGAGGAGGTGCAGCACCATGGGTTGGTAGGGAGTGTGTTGAGGGGGTAGATGCAGGTGCGGCGGGTGTCGAGGGGATGGACATGGTGGATTGTGGATTAGTTGGGCTTGGGAATTTTCGGTGATAGGATAGAAGAGTTGGATACATTTTGATATAGGATAGAAGAGTATGGGGATACGATATGAGGATGTAAGGGGTGAGAATAAGTTTATTCGCTCGGTGGGAAGGTACTGTGTATTGATGTTAGGCAGTGATAGCGTGTTTCGCGTGTGAGTAAAGATCCGCTTGTATGTAAGCAGAGATAACTTGATTTGATGACATCTATAGTGTATTGTACAGATTTCTGGGTGGTTGAATGAAAGAAACAGTGTATTGTACGGATATTCAGTCCTCAATTAGTGAAGTGTCAACTTGACAGCTGGCTCTTCTCTGTGATTGTGGCCGGATTATCTTCTCCCGACGGTTTTGTGCTAAGTGAAGTCTGGCTCGACGTTCAAAACATCATTAGCCATCTTGACCGACTTATCATTGAACGATACACATTTCCCGGGCGGTCTTGACGATCTCGACTATCTTGTTGTTGTCGCTGGGGCCTGACGTGGAGAACTCAAAGTCCCAACGAACGGCAGTGACTTCTTTATCCGCCGCTTTCTCGGCAATCAACGGCCGCCACTTGTCTGCTACAGCCTTCTTCCAGTTCTCGATCGCTCCAATGCTCTCCTGGTCTGGCTGCTTTGGCACTGTCTTCGATTCCTCTTTGGCCAGTGCCGCGAACCGTGCATCATAATTCGACAGCCCGCGAAGATTTCGCACTCGAATATTCCCACCCAGATACTGCTCCAATTCGAGCCTTAACTCTGCCCACTTGCGTACAAACCAGTCGCCGTGTGATTCTGGTTGATACCAGCTGTGAGCCAACTCGTGACACATAATGTCCAGGATCTGGCCGATCAAAGCCTCGTCACCCAGATCCTGAGTTACTGGTATATGGAGCGTAATGCGACATGGCCATGGCAAGCCGTTCGTTTGGTACTCCAATCTTGCTCGCCCTTCACGCAAGGAAAGAATAAGCCGAAATCTCCATGACGGGCAGGATTCATTTCGTCCAGCGCCAGTATCGTTAAATCATGGGCTTCGATTAGAGGTTGGACAATTCTCAGCAGAGTTTCGAAAAATTCTGACACCATCATCTTGCTCCAGCCTTCGTATACGTTAATCATAATAGGATAAGTGATACGGCCATTCGTATCCCGTTGGAAGCCAGGTACGGACTGGTACCTAAAAGGACGCTGTGAACAGATTGCCGAGTTTTAGCGGTGGGTTCCAGGTTATCCATCTTGGTAGAAGTTTTCTGTTTAGTTGAGTTGTGTGATGTTTGGAGGAGAAGAGGTGCAAGGGTTTATATGGTGAATGGTAGATAATGAATGCACATCACGGTGGACTGACATAAGTTAGACCGCATGCTTGTGCAATCACATTGCCAACGACCTACGGCTGATTGGTATAGTGTTTATGCTACTCTCATGAACACTCCGTAGCTGCTGTGAATTCACAGTGTTAATTCACTGCTGCCTAGGTAGGCATATCGATCACGCTGTAGTCACGAGGTTAACTAGGATTGATTTTCACAGCCCTGAAAATATACGTAAGCCAAATACCATCATTCTTCTGTACATATTCAGTGCTAGACAATTAGTTGTAGCCATTCTGACAGTGTCGCAGTGTTTAAAACAAATACTTAAAAAGAACTGTTCTGTGATTTGCACTGACAATTGATGAACACAATTATTATTGCATATCGATTACAGCCACCACTTAGAATTGCTGCATATTTGGCTTAACATCTGCGGAAAAGCGTGCTCCTCTTTACAATACAGATAAAACACTAGCTTCTGTTAACTGAGTACTTGCTGAACTGCTTGTAGACTTGACAACAATTCTACACTCATTTCTTCGCATCAAGAGTTTTGGCATGCTGGAGCATGTACCGAAACTTCTTGTCCCATCGCTCTACAGCCTCCATACTGGTGGTGTTTGGCTGGCGTGTATACTCAGGGATGAAAGGAAGCTTACCAGGTGGAAGTCCTCGGTCAGCCTCGATCAGAGTCTTGATCCTATCTGCATATTGCCTGTTGCGCATGTATACCTTTAAAATTCCTCCCAGGTCCTTTTCGAGCTCACTCCTCAGTTCTACCCATTTTCGGAGGAAATCATCTCCGTGCTCTCGATGCCAACAGTGAGCCAACTCATGACAGAAGATATCGAGAAGCTCTCCGAGCGGATACATGTGCCACATGTTTGGGCCCTTAAGTAGCCGTATCTTGATACACAACTCTGCTGACTTTCCGTTCTTCTTGAGAATGCGCTCCTTCTGAAGCATGTAGTTCATCCCATGGTGACGTCCGTCATGAGGCAGCTCCTCGAACAAACTGACTCGAAGATTGTGGGATTTCAGCAAAGGACCAACGATGATAAGCAGCTGCTGGAGGAAATGCCTCATGAAGTTTTCAATGCTGCTTTGCGAACATCTAAACCACGTGATTGTATCGTCTAGTGGGTTGATGCAGGCGTATGCGCTGAACCGCTTGCCATTGTCCTGGTTCTCATGGTGAGCATCACAAGTTTCCCACATTTTGTATGACATATTGAGTTGAGTTACAAGTGGAGTTAATCCAAGTATTGGGCTCTGGAATCTTGTGAGAACGGAACCAAGATTATGAGTAGCTCGGTGTCGACAATTTGCGGTACATTCACACGGTGATCTAACATAAAACTAAATGACAATACACGACTGCCTACTCAATTAGTGAATTTTACAGGCGGATTTAATTGCTACTACGGGAATGGTGCTCACACAGTGCTGTAGAGAATACTACCGCTTATTGAGTTATGCTTAACCCAGAGCTACTAAGAACCGGGCGAGAGAGGAGGTCGGTGTGCTGGATGTGCATAGGCAGTTTACGTAGTGCCGTGTGTTAAAGAAGACATCGCAATTGATTGAATGTGAGTGCACAATGAAGAAAACGTTGCTGATGATACGATTGAACTTGAGACAACATGTGCTATTGCTTCACGGCTTTGACTCAAGAGTTCATATGTGAATGCACTTGATCGGAGTAGACTATATATCCCATGCAAAATATCGTCACTCAGCAAGCAAACGATCAAGGCTGCGCAACTTGATTTTGACGATAAACGTGTTTTCGTGACTTTTTCTATAGCTAAAGTAGAAGTACCGGACACTGACATGTCCGAGTTTTCCATTAGAAACAAACACATGCTTCTGATTTCTATCAGCCGAGTATCCTATACAACACCTTACAGTATTGTGAAAGAAGATCGACGAAGAGCTCATTATAAGATTACGTACATGCCGGCCCGTACATATTTTACAGATTTGGCCTCATTGCCTCGGCCGCAAAGCCCAGCTGCCTTTACAAACTTCTTGGGGTCTGGAACATCGGTAATATTTCCAACCCAACCATAGACGTTCCGCTCCCAGTCCCAGACTGCTAGTATAGCTGTAAGGTTTTGCGGGACATCTAAGGTTTTCATGATGGGCACATACAAATCATTGCTAAATTGTAGCCGCTTCAAACGTGGCTCTTCTCGCAGAATGATAATGCTATACTCAAGTGATATCTCAACCCAGTCGGTAATCATCTTGCATACAGCCCAGAAGCGATCACTGTGATCCATACTCGAGCACGACTGTCCACTCCCTATATAAGAGGCACATGTACTCGGACGCATTCTCTACTAGACGCACGGTACTATATCAATATTGCATACCCTGAAGGCTATTGTAGGCCAATAGTGCTGCGCATCTGAATGAAGCGCGCATGAATTGTTGCAACTGGTAATGCCAGCGACTGAGCTGATACCGAATATCCCGACACAGTGTCATCCCTGCGCAAACCTTAGTCCATCATTGGATATGCTCTAATCTGGCCGAAGTGAAAGATGAAGAATGGAAGTGATAAGGTTTTGCAGGCAAAGAGCCAAAGATGTTAACTACTATTATCGCGTCTAAAGTTGGTCTAATACCCACTGAATTCAGATCACTCCACTTTATTGCCTCGTCTCCAGACGACGGTGACTTCCTCCAACTATTAACAGAGTGGAAGGTCCACATTGTGACATTGTCGTTAGTTGTGCCGCCGCCGTACAGCGACCCAACTTCGTATGCTCCCAGTCTAAATGCCTTCTTATGCAACTCTGTCTGTCTTACACACAATACAACAGCGTAACGAGTACAATCACAACTCCGCCTCATCCATATTCTCTGATCCAAGACCACATCCACCTCGTCGTATCCACGTGCCCCTTGACCCCCATCTTCTCATCAACGGTGTGAATGTTCCCCATGCCGTCTTGATCCTTATCCCACCCAGGCCCGTATCTGAAGGATATGCTCGCTCAAATCCCAGTAGTATCTTGTGTCGGTATTGGCCAGTCATGATGCCCGGTGATACGATCAAGTCTTTACCGTACAGTGCGCGAGTAGTACCAGACAATACACTGTAAGGCGTCAAGCGCGTCGAGTTGGACGAAGTGTGAAGTGTCGTTGGTGTGACCGGAGCGGGCTCCACTGTAATGTGTTTAACCGAAAGTGTAATGCTTGATGGAGTTTCTGTCGCGTTGTAGGCGTTGAGGGTCAGATTGTACTTGTGCGCAACATCGGCGGCTATGGAGGCGATGTGTGCCTTGATGGCGTCGGTGGTGGATCCGACGTTGACCCGATGATTGACTGTAATTTGAGTGCGCTCGGGCAATGCATTGTTCTTGACACCACCGTGGATGATGTCGACTGCGACAGAGCTAGTGAAGAGATATTTGATTCCAGGCCCGGCCTTCGCTGCTTCGATTGCGAGAGCATCTTTCTTACTCTTCTTTGAACAAGTCTTGCTTTTGCTTGACCGTTTGCTGAGCAGCTTGTCGAGCTTCTTGGGGAACTCTGGAGCATGCTCAGCTCCGCAGTTGAGAAGGCCGAGATATGGGTTCTCATCGTAGAGATGGGGTTCGTATGGGTTAGCTTCGATCTGTGTGATGAGCTCGCTCGCCACGCCGATGCCGTTGTGCTTAGGTGGGATGCTAGAATGACCACCCGGCATCCTGACTATAATGTCTACATCAATGTAGCCTTTTTCGCCAACACCAGGAACAGCGAAGTTGGCACCCCAGCTCTCAATATTCACAGCGCCCTCATCAACAATGGCAGCAATCGAGTTGTGGCCGAGCTTCTTGATCAAATAGTCTGCAAGATGATGAGCTCCTTGTCCACCGGAAATCTCTTCGTCAAATCCGAAAGACAAGATGAGCGTTCGCTGCGGCTCGAAGTTCGCAGAGAGGAGCGCCTCAACGGCTGATAAGATGCCAATCAGTTGGTTCTTGCAGTCACTTGCTCCACGCCCCCACACGAACGTCCCGTCAAAGTGTCCGTCAAATGGAGGATACGTCCAGCTCTTGACTGTGCTTTCTGGAACAGGCACGACGTCCTGATGGGCCATCAGCAGATTTGGCTTCAGGCTCGCATCCTTGCCCGCCCACGTGTACAACAAGCCATGCGTGTTGACTTTCTCGAGCTGTAGATTCGCATGCACAAGCGGGTAAGTCTTTTCCAGATACACAGCAAAGTCGTAAAAAATATCCCAGCGCGCATCCTCGCCAATCTCGCCGAGATCATCATAGCTCTGAGTGGGCACCTTGACTGCACCGGACAGGCGCTCAATAGCAACCTTCTTGAAATCATCAGATTCAAGGTACGCTTGCATATCATCCAGCTCTTTAGACGTCTTGGCCGGTACCAGTGGCTGGACCTGAGGGCATCGCGGCTCGGTCTCCCCGTGCGAGGTTATTTTGGGAACCCATCCTGGTGCGGTGATGTAATAATGGGACGAGAGCCAAAAGACGGCCAAGAGAAGGCTTATGCCAATCAACGACGATCGATATACGAGATTCTGCGATCGTTCCGACCGAGCGGGCACTGGGACTCCCAAGTTCTTGGCCATCTTGGTAGTGTTCAGTTGGATGAGAAGAGTTCAAGAACGTCGTGTTGCGCGGGGATAAGGTCTCGTCAAACGCTATGACTAGGCTGGATACGGAAGGTATGTTTCGTGCCTATCTCGAAATCCATCGGATCACGACAGCCGTGGATCGCGATCTGCCTCTACACAAAGTCAACGGTATATTATTAGGTTCAAACGGCAAGCACGATCCTGCACAGTGTTGTGCGAATTCTGTGTACGGTAGCCTCACTAACTGACTCGCAGCATCGTATACAAACTCTGTTAGTGTTACCAGGTCTACCCGGCTAACTCTCGACAGCGGCCTCGGTCCTTTATTCACGGCACATCAACATAACAAACGGAACACATGGGAATTCGAACAGGGTACATTTCTCAACAGTCTCATGAAGAGCACAGAACCTTTTTCGCCCATCTGTGACCCATCTCCAAATCCTCGACGCGATCTTTGCTCATTTGACTGTTCGCACGGCCTTGATTGACAAACTTTGGCCAGGTGTTGGTCAACACGAGATACTTGATTTCGCGTTCCGCAAAGTCAAATACGAGTTCGGTGAAATTCTCAGGGATCTCGAAGTCGGCTAGAACCTCATCCATGTGCACGTCTTCCATCCGAGTTACAGCACGGAGGTTCGCTCGGCCTAATGTGTCAAGATTGACATTTGACGACGACGTTAGCTCAGTCGTGGAGCCGTGCGGGCTGTTCTTGCTGTAGACATCCGATTCGGAAACCTCGATTTTGGCATTGTCGAATGGTGTAGCGTTGTCGGAACCCGATGAGGAGATCGAGTCGCGCTTGTTGCCGTAAAGGAGTGTCGCGGCGCCCTCGAACATGACGTACAATCTCTTCATCTCTTTCGACGATATGTTGATTGGGAACTCGGAAAACTCCAGTGAGATGAAATGAGCGTAGATGCGAGCTGCTGCGATAAACTGGCTGCGCTGATGATCTGCGGTTGAGCTCTTTGGTGCGAACCAGTGTCGTCGCCAGTCCGCGATATGAGTGAGGAAGCTGACATTCTCTCCTGAGAAATCCTTCAGTGCAGCGAATTGAAGGAGCGGAATGGCGTTTGTTCGTAGCGCGTTTTCGAGAGCGGTCATGGTGAGCATGTCAGACTTATTAGACTCGAAAGAGCTCGTGCTGTTGACTGTGACTGCACCGGCTGACTTGAGGGTTGTGGCAGTCGAAGAAGCATCTTGGCTTGAAATGGAGCCATGCTTGTCAAGTCCGCTCGCTGCTTGTCGCTTTTCCCAGTTCGCGATAGCTTCCAATGTTTCCTGGCGAAGAGAATTGCCCTTGATGACGTCGAAGATGGGGAACCCGATGGCACATAATTCCATGATGAATATGCAAAGAGAGAACTCAGGTCGGGGCTGGGAAGTAGGCGTTCAGGTGTTTGAAACCTGGAGCGTACAAGGCCGCAAGCCATAGAGGAGATGCTGGCAATCTGAAGATGTTAGATTGGTTGTAAGAAGAGGGATGGTAAAGCTTACCCAGCAATGCAACAGCAGATAGTCTGCAACCTCCAACCATGCACATCGCGGACGCTGCGAGACTTCCATAGCAAGTAAGGGGCATATATCCAGCTCCAGAACAACTGCCACACGATGGAAAGCCACCACTCCCAGCCTTTGGCACAATCAGCGCGCGCTTCTTCTCCGGTGCCCTTGACCGTGTAGTCGAAAATTCCGTAGCCAGGGTGAAATTTCTTAGACCCAAAATAGACAAAGATCGTAAGCAGGAACTAGATCACAAGATTAGCACAGGGGACAAGATCTAGAATCGCCGAGCAATCTAACCTCGACAACCATACCGACACCGATCCATGTCAAGGTCTGGTTGATATTGTCGGCCCGTTCCAGCCCAGCAAATATCCTCCTCCATCGACTGTTGGCAATGGCCTCAGCCTTCTCCTCGTTGATGGACTTGTGATCCTTGAGGGTACTCATGCGTGCGAACTGTTTCTGTCGACTGGCCATGTGTAGAAACTGACTGTTCGCGGCATGGAACAAAGCAATACCAAAAGGCAGCCATATACTCATGACCCAGAATTCCGTGGTGCAAGAGATGTACGAACCCACGGGATAAATGATAATGGAGATAGCGCCGTACAAGTGTAGCGAGAATACACCAGCGAGAAGGAGAGGCACTCTTCGAATACGTAAGGAAGGTTCGAAGCGATGAGTCCAAAGGAAAACCATGCCTCCGGCGAGAGTAAAGCTCTGGAGGTTACGATGTCAGCGAGATTCTCATTTGCGTTGCTCAGAGAAACCTACCCATATGATGAGAATGGAAATATATGCCCAGCCGAGGCCGTCGAGCATAGCTTGAACCATTGTGAATAGAGATGTCGAAGGACGGTGAAGGAGCCTGGCCTACGAGACTGAGCTACAGATTCCAGTGTGCAAAGGCCATCCTTATATCATTGGGGCGTTAAGACGCGCGAGGGGAAAGTATCGATTGTAGGCCACCCATGTGTCAGACCTGTCCAGACTGTAGCGGCATGGAGATATCGCAGATCCAACCCATGTCAGTGTTAGGATAACCTGTCATCCCATGAGGCTAGCAGGCTATTCCCATGAAGCCTGCAGGTGTTGTGAAATTTGACAGGCACTCTCCATGCCGAGTTGACGCTAACAATGAGCTTAGGAGGCCCTTAGAGGTCAACAGGTTAGCGTGGTGGTAGGAACAGTTTAGCACTTCCCCGGGCGGCTGAAACATGGAACCCGAACTGACCAGGTGTCGATCGTCATAAACTTCAGTAACCGGCGACCAAGATCAGCCCCAGGCATTAATACCCATTTCCATGGCGTTTGCCTGATCCTATTGGAAAGTGATCTCCAGGGCTACCCTGTTTTTGACATCATTGAATAATGCTACCATGGAATAGCAGTCGTTGCCACACTCAGCTGTAGGATGGCACGATGATAGGCGGCGTTCTTTCCTACCCCACCAGTTCAATGATAAAAAACACTATTGACATGCGGTAGCATAATGCTGTCTTTATGAAAGGCACAACCGTTGCGCGGCTCCTCCATTCCGCTGGCAAGATGCACAACCCTAAGACGAACAGACAACGCATCGCGATTGCATGTCAAACCTTACCGAAGCGTAAACGAGCATGTGATGTTTACGGTTCCTGTCAAAGACTGACTGACAGCCGTTGTACTGTTCTTCCCGATAAACCTTTTCGCAGTGCTTTCGAAGCATGTATGCCCTGGCCAAGTTGTGTTTCAGGAGGCTATGGTCATGGGTCCGTGATCACAATTTATGGATGCTCGGCCATTTTGACAAAGTTCCTTGCGTGCTGTCGATCTTTCAATCACGAGGGCCGCCCCGGCTTACATGTGCTGGACCAGTGGGAGATCCTAGAGCCGCGAAGCGATTGCAAGATGCAGACGCAGCCCCTTACGAGTCTTCTGGGCAGACAAGGCATAGGCGATTTCAATCTTGCTGTATTGTCAACGTTTGCGCTAGAGAAACTCTATAGTTTCAAGACCTGTCGAAATGAGTGTAACATTCGAACTTTTGAATGGCAGTTTTACGCGCTCGATGTGACGTTGTAAGGTTTTGACATCTAGTCTGTATCAACAGGCGAACGTCAGGTAGATTGGTACGCCTATCGGCCAATGTGCACGAAAAGCAGGAATGCGCGTGTTCGCCTACATGTCGTGCTCAGAATGCCATAGGCATCGATGAAGACACCCTCAAGCGGGAGTGCTGCCACCGGATCGTCCCGAACATATCATGTGAAGCAAGGACAGCGTACAGTCTGCAGGAATGGCCCGAGCAACGCTGCTCCTGCACAGCGCGGACTCATGAGATCTCGGTCGATGACCTGCAGGAGTATCGTCGCAAGTAGGGACTTTGGCTAGAAACGTAATGATAGCATGAACTGCGATGGTGACACGCGCACGTGGTAGCTCACCCAAGGGCGCCTTCGCGCAGTGAATGCTGGTCGATAGTTGTTGGATCGCGGCGAATGGCGTGCAGCGCTTTGCGCGTGTCGATCGTGAACGCGTTTTCCGTGAAATGACTAGAGGCTGGCTGGTGCATGTCGTTAAAACGTACCTGTAGCTATTCAGAGTTGTGTACCAGAGTGACCCAGACGAGAAAAGAAGCTAGAGCGACGGCATAATTTCCTGCGGAGCCTGCCGTCATTGCATATGCAAAATGCAGAGCGACTCCTCGTGTAGGTTAGCCGGTCCAGTAAAATTTCACCAAAAACCACGACCCCTTTTCACCCATCCTTTGGTGTTAATTCCTCGAATTCGAAGGCGACGTCGTCTGTGGAACGAGCACTGCGCGTGCTTCCTGCGAACGCATGAAAAAGCAAATGATCCTTGTTGAAAATTCCAGGCAGTGGGTTCAAGGGCAAGCGCAACCTGGCAATTTTGACGCGGCCCGTCCACGTGACATGATCAGATGCAGCGGGCGGGGATCTCCGTGGTTGCACTGGGCTTAGCCTTTGCACACCACAATATCAAAGCTTGGCCACATCCCGATTGTCAATTGAGTGATGGTCGTTGATTGAAAATGTTCGAACTTCAGAGCGATCTTTCTTTGCATAACTATCCGAGCCGAAACCGGCCTTGGAACACTTGACCAGGCTGTGCTAAAGACGAGAGGGTGGACCGCAATTGACTTTTCCGACCATGGGCTTTGGCTCAATCTGATGGTCAACTGGCTCGGCTTGATTCGATAAGTCAATGTTGCTGATCGAAACTGCTGAATTGTTTTCTTGATTTCAAATCAGAAGAAACACAGTACAACCCACTCCATTCCAGACTAAACCCACCGTGCACGAGACACATAACCATTACCCTCCTGAAAACTCGCTCGTGCGTTCCCAGTTGTCTCAGGAGCCTTCAGATAGCTATGTATACCTTCAAAGTCTCTTTACTGCAAGCTCTCAGATCTCCGCTAATCGCTGGATTGAATGCCGAGGTGGGGCAAAACTTGCATCATCACAATGCCGTCGAGATATAACCAGGGTAAATTCTAGCCAAATCGTCATGATGCGGCCGATGTCCGCTAGTTCCGCACCTCTATAACAGAATGCATTCTCAATCTCAATCACGCGTACAGCTTTATTCCAATCACCTCACAGAATCGACAATGTCTTACGCATACAACAAGACCCTCGTGGTAGGAGCTACTTCAGGAATCGGCTGGGCGCTCGCCGAAAAGATTGTTCAGGATGGCAAGCAGGTTATCCTCGTTGGACGGAGGAAGGAAAAGCTTGATGAATTTCAACAGAAGTATGGCAGCGAGAAGGTCCAGTCTATCGTCTTCGACATCAGCAAGCTCGAGGAGATCCCAAACTTTGTGAAGGAAGTGACGAGCAAGCATTCGGATCTCGACTCAGTCTTCCTCAATGCAGGCATACAGCGCGGCTTCGACTTTTCGAAACCAGAGACGGTGGATCTGAGCATGTTGGAGATGGAGTTCCGGACAAACTACCTGTCATACATGCATCTGACGACTGCATTCACGCCGTTCCTGCAAAAGCAGAACAAAGAGACGAGCTTCATCTACACCACATCCGGCCTTGCACTCCTGCCTTTACCGCGTTGCCCAAACTACTGCGCCAGCAAGGCCGCACTGCATCATATGATCCTTGTACTTCGCGAGCAGCTGCGCACCGGGCCGGGTAACATTAAGGTCATAGAAATCTTCCCTCCCGCTGTACAAACGGAATTGCACGACGAGAAGCATCAGCCCGACATCAAGGACGGACGCAACATCGGGATGCCATTGGAAGAGTTTACCAACGAGGCTTGGGCGGGCTTGACAGAGGGCAAGGAGCAGATTCCTGTTGGCTTTGTGGGCAAGGCGTTTGATGCTTTCGAGAACAAGAGGCAAGAGATGTTCCATGGTCTCATGATGAAAATGCACTAGGCGTGAGGAAGAGCATCGATAGGGTCCAGCATCTTCTGCGATAGAGGAATGTATGCAACGCGATCATATTTACCTGTCTCACATGCGAGGCTTCATTGTGATTACAAAGGTTGCGTGAAAAGCAGCCAATACATGCACAGCCTCAATGCGAATTGATGCGGCATGGCTGTGCCGTAGCGCGCGTCGCTACTCCACCTCGAACGCCCGCGCTCGACCGATCAGCTCCCGACACCTCACCTACTTGCCAGGCACACAACACATCGCTTTTTAGAGCCCACCTGGTATGTTGCAGTACTGCGCAACTGGTACGTGTTCGCGCGCTGACCTTACAAGACAGGAAATAGCCCATCATGACCGACAGCTTCAGAAATGCGATGGTGAACAGGTCTCTTGGGGACATCAAGAACGTATGTCTCCACACAACCACCTATACCTGTTGTTGCTGCCTCCTAAACACATGAAGAACCTCCAATTCCTCGTCGAAGCCGGGACCATCACCTCCGCCCAACATGACACGATTGTCTCCCAACTCCCCGTATCCGCCGAGAACACCGCCCGCGCCCTGCCGGCGGTGCCAACTCAGGCCATGTCGCACATGAACATCAACAGCCAGCCTACGCCCGCAGCATCACCAGCACCCGAGAAGAAGTCATCGAATGTTGGCTACTATGCCGACAACCACAACACCAATGCGCCGCCGCCAGCGTACCCCTCCGCTCCTCTGGCCCCCGTCGGGCCCTCCGTGCTCGCATATGCCTCGGCGCTCTACCAGTACAACGCGCAAGACGCCGGCGACCTCGCGCTCATGCCCAACGACAAGGTCACCGTGACCGAGTACATGAACACGGAATGGTGGAAGGGAAAGAACGAGCGCACCGGCATTGAGGGCATCTTCCCCGCCAGCTACGTCCGCAAGGACGAGAAGTCGATGATGCCCATGACGCCCTCGGCGCCCGTCCCCACAAACTACGGCAACATGCCGCTCGATGTCGCCAGCAGCGCGCAGGCGCCGCCCCAGGAGCCCAGCAAGGCGGAGCAGAATGGAAAGAAGTTTGGCAAGAAGCTGGGCAACGCGGCCATCTTCGGTGCAGGTGCGACTATTGGCGGAAAGATTGTCAACGGGATCTTTTAAGTTGACTTGTGCAGGTGCGACGATTGGAGGAAACATCGTCAACAGCATCTTCTGAGCTGTTGATTGGTGTTGACATGTTCTGGCTTTGGCGTTTCGGGTCACGGGATATTCATGATAAGTCTGGGTTTTTTCTGTATTTCAGCTGTACGTCATTTCGAACTACTGATTGCCATCTCAGAGCGCAATGTGATTGTTGCAGCTGCCGAAACCTGCTTGTCCCTATTGCTTGCTGTGTTGTTTGCCATTGCACGTGACACTACTAAACGCTTCGCTCCTTCCAGCGCATCACCACAGGCGCCTTCCTGCTTCGTCAGATTGCGTTAACGCGCATACACATCAGTTGATTCTGCTCCGAAGACCATCAATGAACTTGTAAGAAGACAGCTCATTGACTGCGCCGCATTCACGGTGTACGGTGTCACCGTGGCACTATCAGCTTCACAAATGCAATCAGCTGCGTTTGGTCCGAGTACGGCTCTTCATAACTCACTGTATCACTACATCTTCCTCTTCAACAATGCAGCTGTATGTATACATACTCCTTGTGTCACCTCCTCCACTTCCACGAGCTAGTCACCAAAGGTTGCCTTCCTCGTCTGTTACAAGCCACCTCCAGTCTCTTGCAGGCTACCTGCAGTCACCAGAATGCAAGTGCGCGGCTCAGAAATAACAGCACCAAGGAACGGCGTGTACGATCCGTCAGCAAGGCCAGGGAGCGTACACAGTAACCCGGCAGTGCAGCGCAACCCCTACGACGCGAGACAAGCCATTACTCAACCAGCTCAGTTTGCATCCAATCCTCACGATGCGCGAGCCAAAGAAGAGGCTAGAGTCAAGTTAACTGATAAAGTATGCGCGCCACCGCAACCGGGCTGTGTGGGCACAAGCACTTGTACTCTTCAACGTCGTCGGCATACCGCTTTCTCAAGGCGTGTACCTCGAGTACTACTTCAACGCCGCGCTCGCCGGATGTAGCCTAAGCGCATTATCGATCATACCTGCGCTACAGATTGCGTGCATACTATGTATACCGATCGTTGTCGGGTGGTTTTACCAATGGAGAGGCCAGCGGTCAGGATGGAGACTTATGTTCTTCAGCGCTATAATACTGGCATTTGCTACACAACTCGCGCTCCAATGGATCGAAAACTATACGGTCACGATGCTTTTACAAGGGCCAATTCTGGGTGCTGCGCTTGGTACCTTGTTCCCCCTGAGTACAGTGGTGTTGAGCTCGCATTACCGATTCAATCAACCCCTGGTGTCGATGCAGAGCGGCCTCATGGGCTTCCTCGGAGCTATCATCTATGCATTAATTGCTAGGCAAGGGCTTGAAGTACGAGGCAAAGGTCACTTTGCGCCAGCCGCCACCGCAAGTATCCTTTGCGGCACACTCTTGACTGCATATACTCTCATTCGTCGAGTCAAGGAAAACGAACTCCCACCTAATTCGCAAGAGTGGCACTACAACATGAAACTGCCCAAAAGCATCAATAAGATTTGGAAAGAGGAAGGCACAATCTGGTTCATACTCGGCTACATGCTCATCTTCTTCGCTCTCCTCAACTTTCCTATATACATCTCTCTCGTCCTTACACAACCACCCGCCATCACCGATCCAAAGACTGCAGCCTTCGTCCCCATCATCACGCACACGACAGCCGCCATCAGCGCATGCATCAGCGCCAATCCCATCCTTCGCACACGCCTAGGCCCGCTCAACACGTTTATCGCATCATGCGTATTCGCTGGCGCGGCTTCGCTTCTGCCATTCTTCATGCCAAACCTTCCCGTCGCACTGCCGTGCGGTGGCGCATACGGCATCAGTCTCGGCGCAATCATTTCTCTACACATGAAAGTCACGACCATCTTTCATGGCGAGAAAGTCGTTTGGCATCCCGACATGCCAGTCCGAGCTGCAGTCATGATGGTGGTGGCGGGATGCAGCGCCTTTGCTGGACTACTTGCTTCCGCATTTATCATCGAGAATGTGGAGGGCGGGATGAGGATCGTGGCGAGTATGACGGCTGGATGTTTGGTTGCGGGTGGGTGTCTGATTGCTTTTGCGAGGTGGAGGAGATGTCGGAACTTTTGGGTCGCGATATAGATTTCTTCATGCAATTTGATGGAGGGTAGGCAATATGCATGTCCACTTCAGTCGCATGCATTCACCAGCTTCATGAAGTTGTTAGCGCAAAGACTTATCTCTTTAGTAGAAGTATGACGGATTTTGTTCGCTCCTCATGTCCTCTCAATGTTCGGCTGTTTTTGTCTACATGGTCTTGCACATTGTTACCGCAGTCGAATCAGTTCCCTACGCAACATCACATTATGCCAGCACTGCACCGGAACATCTCATCCAGAATATCATTTGCGACTTTCATCGGAGTTTCTCGGATCTATCCGATACCCTGGTTTCGTAGCTTCGACAGCATGACCTATGTACCCTTTCATCGTGACGGACAAGCATCTTCCGGGTGCCTTTTTTCTTTAATCGGTCCAGATAAATCCTCATGCTAATGTGTTCGAAATGAAGTGTTCTTCGACGGTCTCGAGGCGCGAGAATTCAGGTGTCTCCATGGGTTTTGGCATTACATGGGTCGCACATTGTGTGCCATCAAATTCTTGAGAATCAATCTTGTCACTGTTACGAAGCTACGAACAAGGGAAAGTCTGCGTACATGTTGTGTAGAAAATTGTGAGTTGAGCCAATCACGATAGCAGTCTCACTGAAATGAAGACACCTGTCACATAGGAGTTGTTTATTTCAGAGCATGCGCAGCTTATTTATTTGAAGACATTATGCTGCTTATTTTGCAAGCCACAGTGTCTTCGCAGGCCTGGTATTGAGGTAATTTGGGGATTTGAGTGTCGTCCCACCAAGTGCAACCCAGTACTTATCTCCATCGATTCAATTGCAAACCATGTCGAGAGCAACAGCTTGACCTTATGACGGCTGTAGTTTCTCAACCCTTAGTCATCACTCTCACAAGCCCTACATCCTCACTGCTCTCTGACTGTTCGACTGAACACCGTACTCTCTTGAGTCCTTCCTCTTTTTGAACGTAACTTCTTACATCTGCCTCATTCAGATCCCGAAGAATTGGTGCACCAAACACGTGCGCAACGTCCAGAGGATTGAACGAGCGTAGAACCACTATATCGCCCTTTGCGTCCCAATAAAGCGGTAGAATGGCTACGACCGCAAGAAGACTGACAATAACCGCGCATACTAGATATGTAGTATTCATAGTATAAGCAACAAAGTGTCTCTGGCCAATAACGTCAATGTTCTGTGTCCAATTTTGAGTGCGCGATAGGGCTTGTTCAGCAAGTTCGGCGTTTCCAAAGAGAAGCACAGAGTCGGCAACAGCAGCTGCGGCGACGGCGGTACGGAACACAATCTCGCGTAGCCTGTTGAGTACGAACTGGGTTGGATCTCTAAAAGTGGTGCTGCAGCTGACGTTGTTGATGTCGCCATCGATGAAGCGCTTAGCGAGCGAAAGACGGATATTTGCGCCTGCAAACGGACCGCCGTCACCTTCCGAGTATATCGATATCTCCTCGTTGAACTCCGCCATGTACCACGAGACCCAGTGTTCGGACGGGCTCCAGGGGTACGCGGGGTTGTCGAAGATTGTAGGAAACGGAGGAGTGGGAAGATGCCAGGTTGGCCTACAAGAGCTTAGTTGTTTGGATATTAGGATTTTGCTTGCTGTGGGGTCCTTACGTCTCGAACAACACTTTGTCGTCCTGCCAGTTTTCACTCCTCAAGCTCATGGTGCCGTTGGTTAAAGCAATGTCATACTCAACAACGGCGTGGTGCAGCGAGCATTTGCGAAGCGAGAGATCTCCACCACAGATGGGTTCAGACTTGAATAAATTAGTAACTTGGAATATGCCTTTATGTTCTGTGGCTATTTTCGCGTTGCGATCCGTGTTGTCCGAGCGATTGGATATTGAATCATCCATACCGCTTGCCAGAACGGCTGAGCTATTGAAGGCTGGTACAGCACTCCCAATCTGATTTTCGGGGTCTTGGTACATCTGTATGACGGTACTGTTTGGCGAGTTGTCCCATGGGATGAAGGATACATCTGAACACCATATTTTGAAACCGTAGCCCCTGAAATGCATCAGCTTGATAAATGTGAGCATACCCTACTACGTACTTTGACTTTACTCTCGCAATGATCGCCACAAGCTTCTTCATTGCCCGTGACGCGTATGCTTATGGGGGCTCGCTCCACGTAAGCATCATACACCCCGTCAAAGAGCAATCGGTCCCCAATTGAGCCTTGAAACAAGAAATTCGGCGGCACAAGTTGAGCGACCTTGATTCCCAGACTTCCAGTTGTGTTCAGCATAGCATTGCCGTCAATCATGGATGCTCGCTGAAATAGCGGCCCTCGTAAGGCTGACACGAGACAAAGCACCGACACGGCAGCCAGTTTATCGCCGCATAGACAGAGGATGTTCTTGAGCGCACCTAGAATAGATTGTGACTCGTAAAGGTTGTACATACTACGTAACGTGGTACCGCGGGCTGCTCTGCGCCAAAAGGTGATCTCGGCCGCTTTTGCCAACGCAAACATGGTCAATCCGTCCATGATTGCTGACAGGATTGAGAGCCATACTTGAGGTTGGATGTTTACATTCTTTAACTTCCAACGCTCAATTGGTGAACCACGGCTCGCAAGCAGCACGCCTACCGCGGCGCCTGTGAGGAGAGCGATGGAAAGTAACGCCGCTGGTCCTTGGAGGGGAACTTGTGTTGATCGACGCTTCAGGTGCGTATGCTTGGTGTTGCACATATCGTTCTCCAAATTCTGCTCTTGAGGCGGTAACCGCAACCCGGTGGTGGTGTTGGTCTCGGTAGCGTGATCTGAGTCGCGACCGTCGACGCGCTTATAAGAAGGTTGAATTAGCGGACTTGTCATACTGGTAGCCGATTATTTGTCTTTTAGATGTCGTCGATTATTGTCGTTGAGATAAAGCGACTCGGGTAGACATAGTGTAGGTGCGAATGTGTTTCGGTGAGGTTTCAAAGGGTAAGGCGCAGGCGGCACAGTCCCTCAGAACTTACAGTTCGATTTACGATTGGCCATAGTCTTACCACGATAGCGCCACCTGGGACTCTTCCCTGCTACGCGCTGTGGTCTCCATACAACCAATTTTCCAATCAGCAACAGAGCAGCCCACAAAACGGCCACACGCCGGAGAGGCGCGCGCAAGAGTGGTAAGAGATGTCTAGAAAAATTGCGACAATTCCATATCAAGTCCAAAGACTCAGCTGTTGTTATGCTCATCAGTAAATACCAAGAGAGACCTCGAGAGTTTCTCGCGGAGGTCTGACCGTCGTTGAGGTTATGTCATATACTGAGTTTGAAATGCAAATTAGAATATGGGCACGCACTTAGAAGAACTTCTAGGTGTAGAGTGCAAGAACCCTGAAGTTGAAAAGCTAGGCGACACCTCTAAAATGACTATCTCAACCGCACGCCAGAGCCAATTAAGTAGCGAAGGTAGAAGTGAGCATATCAACGTTGATAATAATTCATTGAACAAAGCATATAATGTAAGAACTAACCGCGAGTACGATTCGATGGCACATGTGTTTTCATTTGATGTGGGGGCCACACCCAATACATACTCAACTTGAAAGTCAAGACGCCTTACATGTTACGTATTGTACCAGCACGAATGCCGGATATTGCAGTCACTCGATTGTTGTACGGAGCGTAGAGTAATTTGAGTCAAAGCAGCTGATCATTGACTGTGTAGATATTTTTAGCTGACACTACATACAGACCGCACCCATACCTCGGCTATAGGCAGCCGATCTTCATTCACATGGTCGACATTCCCCATCTTGTGGCGGTGATATTTCCTCGCTCGCGACATCCCCACATGTGCTTCTCCCGTGCAACGTCCTCATCGCTTTCGTATCCCAAGCCCGACCCTGGCTGTCATCCCCTCATTCCGCTGCGGGGTGAAGACGCATTTCGCTGTCTATCCCTCGGCTCTTTTCCCTCTCCATGCATCAACAACATACGTAGGTATGTTGGGCCGTTCGACCCGCTGTTCACGTGAACCTCATGCTGTCCATGACGAGGATGCAGTCGGGAGGCGCATAGGGAGGCGCATACCGCAACGTTCTCGTGCCGCTATGACGCTTCCAAAAAGCTTATGCAGCACGCGTCGGGTCCCCTCAACCGTTTTGTGACATAACAACGTTCGAGCTAACACATCGACTGCTTCTGCGCTCTTAATTGTCTCAAGGACGACTTGATGAACGGCAGGTTGATAAGGTTCATTGGATCGGTGGTATGAAGGACCGACAATATACTTCCAGCAAAATCTTATTGCGTTCAAGTCTTCTGCAGAGAAAGAGGTTTCGACGGCGCCGGAACTGTGTCGCAGAACTTTCTGCAAGTCTGCCGACAGCGTGCAGCGCTTTGCGTGTCGAGATAACGTGCGACTTCGAGAAGAATTTCCACGGGCATGTCCGTCAAGGTCAAGTTGCGCTCTTCCTGCACCACGGGCGTGGAAGTGGAGCTCGCGCTGGCCGTGGCCAACATGTGCTCGAATTCTTTCTGGAGGAGGTCGCGCTCACAAAGGAAAGCATTAGGTTTGTGGAAAACAGGGCTGGTTGAACTTTCCATGGCCTTGCTGGTCATCTTGCGTCTCTGCACGTAGCGCTGACTCATCGTCGGAGAGTGATCCGAGAGTGCACTGCTGGCGGAGTGCTTGCGTCGTCGGTGGACCTCGGCATCTTCTGGCTGCTCTAACCATGCGTCCATTTGCTCGTCAGACATCTCGCTGGGTAGACTCCGCGCACGTGTTTGGAGTGATGAAGGTCGGGTGGTGGTGGGAGTTGACAGACGCGATGAGTTCATGGACATAGTGCTATATGAGCTGTGTAGAGGACGTGTCGCAAAAAGGTCGCTAGCTGAGGCTTCTCGGTTGACCTTCCGTCGGGTCCGTGCGATGTCCTGGTCGTGTGCTCTGGAGTCATTCTCGGTTGGTGTGCTAAGAGGCGACTGCACAAATGACGGCGACGGATTGTTGTCGCCTGCAATGTCGTCGTATAGAATCGCAAATTCGCTTTTGATACGATCAGTCTTTGGCGTCCAGGTAACAGGTGCTAATTTGAAGAAGTCTTTGTGTGATGATGAACTGGTGGATGATCGCGATGGGGCGCGCTCTTCGTCATGGCTGACTTCGTCCAATTTTGGCGACCGCAACTGGAATTTGAGTGCTTCGTGTCGCTCAGTGAGCTTCTGCATGAATGATTTCTTCGTCTTTGGCATTGTGGGGCGGTCCTCCCAGAGTTGGTGATCCATCCCAATCGCTGCCATGATTTCGGCGTCTGACATGGTGGGAATGTAAAGGGTAGAAATGCGGTCGTAAGATGAATGAATGGATGCGGTGTTGTTGTTTATGTTGTGATTACATGTTGTGCGCCGGTAAGATCCATAAGCATGAAACCCAGCAAGCACTGCCGTTTCGTAGAAGACCTTGCCGGGTGGGTCTAAACCGTCGTGCCAATAGTTCCGTCCCCACAGATGGTGGCTGCACAAGGTTCAAACCTGTGTTCGTAAGCCTGGAGCGCGGTCGGAACGGGCGGGGGAAATGAAATCCTCGGAAGTGACATCACTTTAGTGGTCGGATGTCGCTCATCATGCTGACACTCGATTCCGACAGATTGGCCATCTCGACTTCATTCAGCACAATAGATGACCGGGCAGGAGTGCTACAGGATGACAATTTAAAATTGAGCCTGTTTATTTGTGATCTTGTATCACGCCGTTCGCGGGCCCAACATGTGCTACCCTTTGTCCTTGCTTTCTAGTGTTGCACACGGAAGGCTATTGATCGCTAGATTCCCCGCGAGCATCTCGCATTGCAGCGCAGCATACCGAGCGTCATCTGTTCCGGCTCGTCTTTTCTGCTTGATGTCCTTTTCAGGGATCCTGGCATCTAGCCAGGTCTGCCGAAAAAGTATGTCCGTTTTTCAGCTGGTAAGCACAGCGCGAACAGCCAATGACGGGCGTCCGGCCCCAAGAAATGTCCATCGATTTGCTATTCCCGTCGAAACCTGCGCTGCGAAAAGGCGCTATTTAGCTGAGTTAAAGGCTGGTTCCCTGGGGGATTTTCTTTGTTGGATCTGTTTTTGCTTTCTGTTCTTCAAACTTTTCCTTGTTCGTCCACACCCTGTCAAGGTCCAAGCTCCGGATGCACAATCGCTGTCCCGCGGCGTCTTCCATGGTCATGATACCATCAGACTTCCGGTGAAACTCTCTGAGCCCTGCAGCGGCATTTTTCACGATGTGACCGTAGACGACCAGAGGACTATATGCACACGCATATGGAGTTAAGCCTTGGTATTCTGAATCTTCCCCAGGATATCGCCTCGCTCAAAGGCACCGAAGCGTAGGCCCGACTCAACTATCGCTGTCTATCCGCAGGACTCTTTTCTTGATCGAGACATATGTTGCGCTGTTGACACGAGTCGTCCTGCCTTCGTCTGCGTATTTGGCCGAAAGAACCAAGCCCGCAACCGAGATCGATGACAGGATCCGTCACTCCGTCGTGAACAAGACAAAGTCATCGCTCGACAGGGCTGAGCGAATCCCGACCACCAAAATACTTCCGCTTCATTGTTCTCGATGTCAAAAGTAAACACCACAAAGGCGCGCCTTGAGTGAATCCAAAGCATCATCGGCACAGACGAGCCGTAATTCGTCGCCTAAGCAAGGCCTGAGCAATGCAGAGCGCCCGTTGGCCCGTTGATCTCCATGACTGGGGCAGTCCTGGTAGCTGGAAGCGCTAGTAACGGGGATCCATTTAGTGTCAACTCAAACACTGCAGCTGTTGCTGCAAATGGGAATCCCCCGAAAACCTGTATGGGAAAGTGACTTGTAAAACTGTTGCCATCCCGGTCTGAACCTTGTCGTCGATGGTAATTTCGCGCGGAAGCAAACTCGGCTTCCGTCGCTCGCTTGGCCTGAGCTGATGCCCAATGGAAAATCAAGGTTGTTGGAAGCCACCAAATTTCCAACACTTTGTTGGTGGCTGAGGCTGAGCTGAGGTCAATCTGATGTCGGCCGTCTCTGCGATCTGAAACAGCATCAATGCTTCCTTTCCATGGAGCAATCTTGGCGCAAAGAAAACGTCGATTTTGCCAAGTGGAGAGTCGTTGCGTGTACATGCATCGGTGATCTGCCGATGCCGGTGCATGTGAGTGGAACCTCGCTTCAGAGTTTGAGAGAAGAAGAAATTGCAGTTGGATTTTGAGACATCAGTCTGACGCAAGGAAGGACTGGAAATCCGCGCCAGAAAATGCGACGAAATCGAAGTTTTAGAATAACTCATCCTGCAAAGTCAATGTCCATGTTCTAGCTTCCTGGTTGTTTTGGCATTCTTAATTCTTCATCTGTCTTGAGTTTTCATCTCCCGGGTTGTCAATCTCTATTGTTCCGTCGTGTATTGTGGTTTTCGTGACATCGACAGAGTGTGTAACGCCGAACCGCCAGCCTCGTATCAAGAAGTCAGAAAAACCAAAAACCCCATCAGTTTGCAAGGAATCAAGGTGAACGTACCAAACAGACATACAACCACCCATACAGCGACCAGATGAGTCTGGGTATATATAGCTATACTGTATATATTGTAGTGCCACAGTTCTTTTCCAGGGGTGGCAGCGATGTGCTTCCATCATTGAGCTACCGAGTGAAGCCAAGTATACACTCATTGTGGTGACAAAATCAAAAGTGATGCCTTCCGCTGCTCTAGCCATTATCGCAGTGCTCGGATCTGGACTCTGTGTCGGGTCCACTCGTGCAGCACCATCCAACGTCGGCAATTCTGTAACAAGCATCCCGCATCTTGCATGCATAGTCGTTGGTGGATGCGAAGATGAGGAAGGCATCGGAAGAAGATTCAGGTGATGCGCTTGCTGCGCCTTTGAAACAAGACGGCTGTCCCCTTCGACAACACGGAAGTGGAGATGTAAACAGTATCCAATGTTTGCTTTCGAGCAAGGGATCGATGTCCGTGATCAACTCAAGATGTCCACTACCTCTGAATTTTGCGTGGAAAGTCCATCGGCTATCATCGCAGTGGTCGACCAGTATATATGATCGAAGCTTCCAGGTCGCATGATAGGCGTAAAATGTAGCAAGGATGGGGAATACATATATATATATGAATACTCAAACAAAAGAAAGGGCGGTTGATGTATGCGGGCACTCAAAGCAAAACCTCTCTTCGACCTCTAAATACCTTCATACTCCCGCGGCAACGAAGATGACGTGTCACACAGGTGTACAAAAGGAAGTAAACGCGAAAAGATCATCCTGACGGGAACAAAATGGGAAAATCAGCGATGCAACACCATCATTTAATTCGTAACCATCAAATTATGCGCTTTAAGATGCCACATACACATGCACAAAGCGTAACACCACATACCCCTCTCACCCAATATTACACCATCCCATCACAATCACACCGCCCCCTCGCGTTCCTCCCCTCTCCTCCTAAAAGTTCTTACACCACCTAGGAAACTTCCTATCTGAAAGGGGTTGCGGAAACACACCTCCATCCAGCAGCTGAAAGAGATCCCAATCGCCCGCGCTGCCCTCAGTCTTGAAGTTCCAAAAGACCCAACCCATGGTGTTCGCCTCGTACGCGTCGAGTTGCACTTCAATGTAGCGCCGGATGTTGTCCTTCCATTCTTGCGTCCAGGTGGATACAAGCCCGGATTTTCCGGTGCATGTGTCGATGTAGTGGGTGTCGGGGTAGCTGCCGTCATAGCGGTGGCCTGCAGCGAAGCCGTTGACGTGTTTGGCACAGTCGGTGAGGGCGCCGGACCATTCGCCGACTGTGGGTGGGTGTTAGCATTTGTGTGATGAGAGTGTATGAGTGGAAAGACGTACCTATGGTCCACTTGTCGGAGCTATGGAGGTTGTTGGCCTGTGGGACGCGGTTAGCAGAGGTGCTGTGTGAGTTACAATGGGACAACACACGGAATCGCACATGAGGCCAAGATGCTGCTCGACCGAAAATGCTAGAAGGTCCTTGTCGAAGATCTGGTACTCGTGATGATCGACAATCACATTCTGTGCGTTGTTGTCCTGCGGTGTGAGGAAGCCGTTCATCCAGCTCGGGACTTCGAACCCATCGTGGAACATGATGGGCATATCACTGATCTCGCGAAGGTTGTAGTAAGCATCGCGGTAGAAGTTCTTGACCATCTCCTTGTCCAGCTTGAGCAAGAAAGGCTCGTTGAGCGGCTGGATCGAGACGACAACATCCTGCATCGATGGTATAGCATACTTCTCCTCGATAATACGAAGTGCAGCATGAGTGTAGCCAAGACTGTCGGCATCGCCCCAACCAGGAACAGAGGCCCTGTGACCGGAATGATCAAAGCCGTTCTGAGATTTGGGTGCGCCGTGGAGATCGATCACCACCTTCAAGCCAGTCTGTCGCGCCCAGTCGATTGCAGCATCCAGGTACGGGGCGGCACCTTGAGCATACGGTCCCCATGGATTGACGTAGCTCCAGTAGCCCACGGGAATGCGGACCATATTGAAGCCAGCGTTCTTGATCTTCCAAAAGTCGTCAAGCGTCACAAAGCTGTCCCAATGAGGCTTGAGGACATCGGCACAGTTCTGTTGGCCGACCTTCTCACACAGTCCCCACTCATCGACGATGGGCCAGTTGTCCGAGCTATGACTCTCGAAGATGGAAGGTGTAATGAACCTATGGCGGTCAACGACAAGAAGCAAACGTCGGGTGCAAACGCCACTCACGACTCAAGGACCAACCAACCGCCTAGATTGACGCCACGGACCTTGACCTTATTACTGCCCCAATTGAAATCGACACGTCGCTCGTGGAGGTCACTAGAAGAAAATCAGCAACGACGTGGTTGTGATGACAAGCTCACGCACTTTGCGGGTGCTGCGTTCACAAGGGTACTGGTAGCGGCCAATATGGCTGTGAACGAGAGTGGCAGCTGCATTTCGTGAGCTGGATGAGAGAACTCGGATGTTTAGAAAGTTATTAAAAGTCGTGATGTATGTACGACGGTAGACAATCGTCGGTATTGTGTGCTGTGTTATGTGTTGAAGAGAACGACTGTGATGTGAAGAAGGGAGCGTTGAACTGTATTGACATAGATTGTTTTGAGGTACGACTACCCGCACAGCAAATCTGTCGTAGCACTTGCGGTCTGAACTTGCAGGTAGCTGCTGTGTTATGTAAGTTGAGCAATGATTATCGTAGATTCGGAAAGCGCAGGTCGCATGCTCGGATGCGTGCATGGTGGCGTTCTTGCAAATACAAATCTGATCTTGCACCTGTGGTATCTAGATGTAGAGATGTCAAGAGGACGTGCGACTTGGTCTACCAAGGGCGAGATTTGAAGGTTAGGGCATATTCGATTCTTGTATCGACGATACTGATAGGCGACGCCCAAGCAATGCGCGACGGCAAAATCCCAGGCGGCGACTCGAGGGTACATGTCCGACCCGAGTCAATACCGCAACACGACCATGCAGTACATCATCTTACAACGTACTGTGAGACCGAACGATCAAAGTTGGCGATCGGCCTTCGGAATGGAGCGACGATCTCCCGTGACTTGATGCATCTCGCGGTCGCTGCCGATTAGGTCTGCATGTGCTTCTTCAGCTACGAGAAAGAGCAGCAAATGGTACATCCTACCGTACCACGGTACGCAGCTAATTGATAATTGGACCGACGGTGTCGGAACTCCATAACGTGCAGTGGCAGCTGCATTGTTGAGTGCTCGTCGCTACGTCATGTGTGTTGTTGTCGACTTTGTGCCTCCGATGTTATCTTCAATCCCCACCAATGCTCGTTCTCTGTAGGGCATTCGCGACACCATCTGCACCCTGATCCCTTTGCTGAAGATCTTGCACTTCGTACCCGATCTCGATTTTGTTTTTTGGCCTTGCCTTGTTCAAGCCGCCGAGCAATACGCAGGCCTTGCAAACATCCTGACTTGAGAGATATCCGCAGATCTTGCACTGGCCCATAACTTGCTTGGTTGACTTTCGTGGCGTGAAACCCTTCTTTCCCTTTTTACCGGTTGCGAGAGGCATGCCCGCCCCGTTGATCTTCTTAGACGTGATCTCGACTTCGAGATTTTGGTCAGCGGCAGTGTCGTTTTGCGCAAGTTGCTTCTCCATATTCGCCATATCTCCACCAACTGTCCGCCCATTTGCACTACCACAACCACCCTCCTCCTCTTCTGCTACTGGTATGTTGCTGGAGCATGTGCCACCACATCCTTCATCACTGCCAGGCACTAACTTTGCCATGTCTTCGCCGCTTCGAACAACGTCTAGGATGGCGCTAGGTCGCACGCGTTCGAGATTTTTGATGAGGGCCCGCGCGCTGCCACGGAAAGCTTCGGGTGAGTATATACATTCTGTGCTGAAGTAGTCGAGGCTTTTGTGATGGGCGTATAGGACAATCTCCTTCTCGTAGGCGTATTTGAGCGGCTTACTGCGCTTGATGTTTGTATTCGAAGCCGGGTCGCTCGACGCAGACGGCGTTGATGTAATGATTGAAGTGGTCCGCGAGAGGCGAGGAAGGTCGCCACGAAGTACTGCATTAAGTTGTCAGCCCTGGAGTACTCCATGACTCATGGTGTTGCCTACAGTTCATCAAAACCGTCTCCGCAACATCGTCGGCGTTATGTCCCGTGACAACATGCTTCACGCCCAATCTTGCAGCTCCTCGGTCCAGTGCTTGCCGTCTAAAGACGCCACAGTACGTGCAGTTTCCTTTCTTTCCGACCTGCTCCACGACTTGGTCCATAGTCCAGCCGTACAGCTCGTCGTATCCCAGGATGGTCAGATCCATGCCATATTGTTCCGCGTTCCTCTTCACCGTCTCCAGACTGTCGTCTCTGTAGCCCTTGATGCCCTCGTCGATGGACAGTAATACGAGGTCCAGACCATAATCATACCGCTCATTCAGCGTCTTCAAGACACTGGCCAATACGGTGCTGTCTTTGCCGCCCGACGCGCCTATCGCGATTCTCTCGCCGCGCGTGAAGAGCGCATTCGTGGTGATGGTGTGGTGAATCTCGGTCTCAAAGACGGTGATGAAGCACGCTTTGCAGAGCTTGGAGTGATCTTTCGGTCGCAGAATGAGTGCGCGATTCGTGTGGCACAGTGCGCACGGCGAAGGGGGCATACTTGCGTGGGGCGAGTGGTGAGTCGCAGAGCGTTGCGGGGAGTTTTTGAGAAATCTATGTGCGAGTCATTTCTGGAGGGCGCGCGAGTCATGTTCGTATTTGCCCCTCCTTCCGTCCTGCCACTCCCTTGCCCAGGTATTTCCGCATGTCATCGAGGCATTACTAACAAACGCAAGCTCTTCCATTGGATCAATTTAGCTGGGCCGAAGCGACGCATCAAAGGCCAACATGGGCGGTTAACTATAATACCATTCTTTTTTGCTCAAACGGCTGTCACCAAATGCGAGGGAGCAGTTGGCTGCCGCAAATACTGAGTCTACAAGTGTGATGATCATTATCGAACTACCCGCTGGACTTTAATACCAGTCTGCCAAAGGGCCTATTGAGAAGCTCTGAACAGTAAACTTCATGCTACTGGCGGCAACGCGATCTCACCTGCATCTCTAGCATATGACTCCGATCGCTGACATATCCCGCTCGTTCTCATCGCCCACATATCCATACATCTGTCTGATATTTTGCAAACACCAATTCTACTATCGCAGCACTAATCAGTCCCACCATGACATTGGCAACTCCCAATCACATCGTCCGTCCCGCAAAGGACCTCGACGAAGTCCAAGACCTATACTGGCCTCTAATGCAAGAGCTCGGCTGGGTCCGTCAACATCTCAGCTAAACCAAAACTATTCTAACTCACTCGTAGAACCGCGCAAAAGAAGACTGCAAAACCCACTACACCGTCTCCAAGTCCTGGCTCCTAATTTTCCCCGAATCATGCAAACCACCCCAAGGAATGCTGCTTCCACTCATCTACCCCAACAAAACTGCCTGGGTCGCTTTCTTCATCATGAACGCCGCCTATCGTGGAAAGGGATTAGGAGCTGCTTTATGGCGAGAAATGGAAACACTCGTATCAGCTGCTCAATGCTCGTTCATCGGTCTCGACGCTGTACCTGAGCAAGTCCAGACATATACGCGCCGTGGCTTCGTCGACTGTGCCAGAGTCCCGTTGATGAGTCGGAACTCACTCGTGGAAAAGCCTCTTGAAATTAAATGAGGTTACGAAGATGCTGTAGAGCTACAGGACCTGCGTCACGTCGACCCGGTATATCTCACGCAGCTAGATCTCGAACATACAGGTCTCGACCGCAGAGCTTATTGGGCTGCAGACGTACTTCCCGCTCGCCGTGACGCGTTTGGCTACACCATCGTCGAAGACGGGGAACTCACAGGCTTGATCTACGCACGCCGGTGTCCGGATGGAGTCAGGATCGGGCCGTTGTACGCGGCAACGTATGTGCAGGCACGACAGCTGCTGCATAAATTGATGAATGACTACGCGAGAATGGAAGGCACTTTCGCTGCTGAAATATTTGGAACGAATGTAGAAGGCAGGAAATTGTTTGAAGAATTGGGTTGGGAGTATGCGGGTGTGAGTTATCATCGCATGTGGAAGGATGGTAATGTGCCAGAGGAGCAGAAGGAGGGAAGCATGGGAGCGACGGGGATGTATGCGACTTTTGATGCTGCTTCAGGGTAAGTGACTTACAGGAGCCACTGGTGTCTTCGCGGATGGCAGGCGGTCGAGATCGATTTTCGAAGAAGCCGACTGATGTATCACGCCTGTTGGAGGTGCACAGTTCTTGGGGTGTGGTTGCTTTGCATTTTTGAATATCCCGTGCAAGGTCCTACATCCGCCATCTCAAGCACACTAGAAAGATCTTGTATAACTTCTTGTAGAATCGCAAAATCCATTCGCGATGTTGAGAAAGTCTGCATACACTGGAATGACTCTTGGGCCTGAGTAGTACGGGTGACAGGTTTGTATACTGGTATATAAGTGTATACTTTCACGTACACCAGCACATACGACCATAGGATACTGGATGCTAGGCTTCCCGTCCGCTCAGCCATATATAAGCAGTATACCGGCGGATTAGTAGTCAGGTGGGTGACCACTGGCGAATCCCCGCTGTTGTATGTTTTTGTGTTTTTTGCAGTCCAGGGAAGTACGCTGATTGCGACGATCTTTCTTTTTGCATTTGCTGTAGCACTAACTAGACATTAGTAAGTTACTTACTACATCTCGCTGCTCAAAGACCATCGCCAAGATCTACTCACGGACCATCACATGATTTAGGGGCATACAATCGGGTTACAGATCACGCACTGCCCAAACTTCAATGAAGCTCTATACACTCCAGTTTTTTTATATCTTGCATAACCTCTCCATCCATGATGCCGTGCACATACGCATCTCCGACAACAGTGTAGTATCCTGTTTGGGGCCTAAGTATGATCGGAACATGTCCGCCAGTGAATACAGCGACGACATCCCCTACGTTCGCGTTCGCCGGAATTAGACCTATACTTCCTCGTTTTGTAGCCATGCCAATATGGCTGAAGCAATTGTATTCGCACTCTCTTCTCAAGCGACTGACCCTCGCGACAGGGTCTACGGAGTGTTGGGCTTGGTTGAATTACCCACATGGGGTGAGGCTCTGAGACTTGACTATGACTTGTCTGCTTGCCCAGTTTATCAACAAGCTACTAGTTGTATCTCGCTACAATATGCCCTGCCTTCGCCTTCCAGGCCAAAGACTGGTACTCCGCCGAAGAAAAGTCCAAGGGACTACCATGTTCCCAAGCGTTGTGACAGGAAGAAGTGTGGGTCGCTCCGCGAAATGAACTTCGCTGCTGGCATGGCGACGCGATGATGAACACATTGAGTCCGAAGACTTCGAAGAGGCGCCTAGTAAGAAGCACCGAAGAGTTCTGAGAGTAGATAGTCGTTGAGAGCAGCAAACTGCCTGCGCAAGATAGTGGCCACAATAACTATGATAATGAGGCTCAAACGTAAGAGACCTGTGTACTTCTCAAGTGTAATTTCTTTTGTCTTTTTCATTTATGAAACCTGGAACGATCAAAGATTGTATTCATGATTCTACTCTAACACGAAAATCCACAGTCTCCATCCCTATGACCGCCATCATACTTTCCAAAATTGCAGTGATGTTCCTGATCGTTGCTTCCCCAGCTCTGGCCATTGTAAGACATGTACACGGCATCGCCATCAACATCCGGTGCCTTGATTCCAAACGTCATTGGCAATCTACTTCCAAACTGTTTAGTTTGCCCACTAGGTATACCGGCAAGTTCATAGTCCCCAACAACTTCTTGGTCTCCGTCAAACAACTCGACGTCGAAGCGATAGACCGATGTGTCGATGCCCTCTCCTTGATTCTTCTGGTACTGCCGAATGTGTACGCCGCACCAGCCACCGTGGTAGGAAGCGCAGTTGGATTTGGAGACGTCTTTGGAGCTTACACACTCCATGCGCTCTTTATACGGTGGCTTGAGGCCACAAACTTCACCGAGACAATTGTCTGTATCCACGAAATTCAGACAGCATTTGTCCGGGATAATGCTGCGGCAAGCAAAAGTGATATGGATCACGACTCCATGTGTATGAACTGGGTCTGCATCTCCGACGAGCGTTGCACCAAGGGTGGTGGCAACGTCATTGGCGGTGCGACGCTGGGCTCGTTGAGAGGTCAATTGAAAGCCGCTGCTACTGAATTCTACCTTCTCGCACTACATCAACGTTAGCCAAAATTTTCTCGACTCATCTCATGCCACATACCTTCAAATCCCAGCTGATGTAGTGCTGGTAGCCTGCGGACGGGTTTTCTGGTCCCAAGTCGTGGTACGTCTTGTGATGAGTAGTGATCAGATAGTTGCTAGATCCAAATGGTCCGCGCTTGTCAAGTATTTGTGGAAGCACTGCCGAAGAAGAGTCTTCGTGCCTCGCCTGTATTTGAGCCTCAAGATTAATTTTGAGTTCATTTAGCTCCCGCTTGGATTTGGTAATGTCGGCAAACGAGAGTTCACTAGTGAGGAGGCACTCCCCGAGGTCGGAATGGCAGTCAACCCTGGCGACATTGGGGTGCTTAGCAAACGCAGCCTTTGGATCGCGCCGAATGTAGGATCCATGTGGGGTCTCAAGCCAGCGAGTATAGAGCTGGAAGCTTGGGTGGGCTTCATGAGCAGAGAACTCTCCCGCGATGATGTCTCGAATGGGGATTGAAAGAACCGAGCTTTCCATAGGGGCAGCCCATACCGAATGCACATGGAGAAGTGCGATGAAAAGAGAAGACAACATTTCGTTTATCGAACGATGCTGTGTGCTTGAGTCGGTAGCAAATGCTGGGGGTTTGATTGCACTTTTGAAGGACCTCTTGGACCTACATTTATACCTGATGCGCTGCTCAGGCTCGCTGGTCGCCTAAGAAACAAGAGTTGGCCTAACGATATCTTGATGGTTCCAAGACTTGGGGTGGACCTGTGCTAGTTCCGCTATAGCTTCCCAAATGACCGTGTTTAGGCCGCCGTGGGCTGCCTTAAGGAGCGCCTAGGACATGGAACGCTCTGCGCGCCATGGATCTACTTTTGTAAGAAGGGCCATTTCTACTAGCGTAACCGCATCTCCAGTTTTCATAACAAGCAGTAAGCCTTATCTAGATAGCGTTACGGAGCATGTGAGCGTGACGGTGTTGAAGTGCTTCGTGAGCCCCGCATTAGGCGTCCTGACCTCAAAGGGCATTCAGAACGCCTAACTTAGGGCTCACGAGGAAGTATAGAACATCTCACGGGTTCGGAAGAGGCTGATTGGATAGTTCATTCTGTACCCTACACATGTTGAATTGCAGCCTTTTCAGCAGGTATCGACCGGCCGATCTAGCAGCTATGGAGGAGTGCATATTCTCTTTGGATGGAACACATCCTCTTACTAACTCTATCAACCACGTTTGCAAGGCGGTCAAGATTGAAAGCCCTGCGATTATTCGGAGGGCGGTTTAGATGAAGGACCCGCAAGTATTGCCCCCGCATCTACTACACGTGATGGGATGATGAAGTTAGCAGCAAAGGTATACTAAACAGCCTTCGGCTCAAGGCCTAGGACCTCACCAACAAGGGTTTTTTTTAGCAATCTACCCATTGGATTAATTTACCTTTCCACCGACTGCGGGTTAATGCCTGGCTACCCTGACGAGGAGGAGATAGTCAAACAATAATGGCAGCAATCATCTTCGTTTTCATCTTCTCACTGAAAGCAGGCCTACAGAGCCATCAGGAAAGCGTTCTACAACCCGCTCACCATCCGCCGCACAAACTTCGACTTGAAGTAAATTACCTCCCACTTCCTGTGCTTCCAATACTCATGGCTGAAGAATTTGCAACTCGCGCGGCATTCATCCACATCAGGTAGGCGAAAGCTCTCCGCTACGTATTTCAGCGTCTTAGTGATGAGGCAGTGAGATTGCACGAATTTATATTGCATAGGGAGCGAGGATTTAGATGCGCTAGGTGAGGCCGGATTCTGTGTGGGCGTGAAGCAGGAACAGGTTGAAGGTAATTTGGGCGAGGAGGTTCGTGGCGGAAAGGGTGGTTATGACTTCCTGGCGAGCTGTGGTAGTTGATCTGAAGGTGCGGTTTGGGGAGTCGAAGAAGGGGTATATCAGTGAGGCGATGTAGTGGGTGTAGGATTGATGCGGGCGGGAGAAAGAGGTAAGTCTCTTTCATTGCAGTGGTTGGATTGAGAACTGGGTTGTGTTAGTTCTTGTAATTCTTGTGGGTGGGATGAAGGGAGAGGTGAGAGACGGTTAAGCGCAATCACATCGGCAAGGTGTTCTTTTGGAAGACCGGGAAGCTCATCAAACCAGATCTTGGTATCCCGCACGGAGACACTCTCTTTATTCGATTCAGCGTGGATAGAATCACGACGGTTGTTGAAAGGCATCGTACAAATTCAATTGAGGGAGACGTTCGAAGTCGAAATGCTTAAAAGAGGCAGGATTAGAGGCTGTAAAGCCTGTGAGGATACCTGAGAAGTACATGTTTTATGTAGTAACAGTAAATGCACACTGCTTATGACCAGCTTTACTTGATCCACTCCCACAATGCAGTGTTTGGCTGTATTCTGTCTAGAAGAGATTGGTACTGGAGTATTCTTGACAGTATTCTGATTGCAGACGAACACGGCTACTTTTGTTCTGGTGCATAGCGTTGATACTTCTGAACATCCAGGAATTTGCATCGATTAACCCAGATCTTGTCCTTTTGACTCAAACCCCCTAAAGACGTCCCTGGTTGTATCCGCGATACTCAGCTTCGTCATCATCGTCTCTTCCGTCGTTATCACTCGTCGCAGCATCCTCGCCTTCGTCAAAAATCATGCCATGCAGACCTTCTCGTTCGCCCCCAATCAGCGGCGCTCGCTCGCCCTCATGTCTCGAAAAGTGACCACCGACACTTATCGCCAAAGTGCTGAGACCGTGGAACAATGTACTTCCAAGGACAATGAAGCACACAATTGGCCAAACCAGGGTGACAGCTCTTTGTTTCTTCGGGTCCATATCCGCTGGAGGATGCGGTAGGGGCAGCGAGGTCTCGGTTTCGAGCTGAGCACGTGCTTCGATGGCGAGGAAGATAGCGCCTACGCCCATGGGTCCAAAGTGTCCGACGAACATGGCTTCCGTCGCTGTTCGGACGGCGGGCAGGAACTTGAGCTTGTACAAGCCAAATACAACTGGTATGCGTCGGAAGGCGAGGACGAGAACTAGCAATCCAACCAGGCGTCCTGGTGTTATGAGATCGAGCTGATTGAAGCTTTCCCAGGGGATCATCGCGCCAAAGAAGACGAAGAAGGCGGAGTTGATCATCAAATCAATGATGACTGGCAGACGAGTCTCGGCGGTTGGCGAGTTGCCACGGTGGGAGAAGCCACAGCCAGCGCAGAACGCGACGAGAAAATCGTCGACTCCTAAAAGCGATGCAAGCCCGATCGAGAAAACAGCGAGGAGAAGGTAGAAGGCTAGGTAGGATGCTCTGCCCATCATGTCACGCTTGTGGGAAAACACGAACAGCGCATTGAACAAGTAGCCCAAGACCGTACCAAGAGTGATACCGAGCGCACACTGGTAGAGAACGGTAATGAGGAACCACTCCTTGAGGACGCCACCAGCTGTGCTCTTGTTGATGAGATTGAGACCAATGTAGAGAAACGGGAACGAGACTCCATCGTTGCACCCACTTTCCGCGCTCAGCAGATCCCGGATGCGCTTTGGAACTCGAGTGCTGAATTGGCTGTTTGAAAGCACGGAAGCAGCAAGAACAGGATCTGTGGGCGTGAGGCATGCCGATATGGTTAATGCGGTCGCAACGTCAGTTTTGAAGATGGCTACGATGAAGCCGGCGCAGATCAGCCATCCTGCCGCCATAACCGGGCCCAAGAGCACAAGCAATGCGCGCCACTTTTGCGTAAAGTAGCCATCAGGCAGCTCGAGACCAACAGCGAAACATTGAATGCCTACGATGAGGCGGGTGATTTCCTGGACAATCTCGTCGTTGAAGCCTGCGACCACACACAGTTAGCGCTAGAGTTTTTTCTCCTCTGGTATAGACTACCCACCCCATTCGTACGGCCTGATCAGATTCAATGCGCGTGGTCCAGTAATGATACCAAAGACGGTGGCAAGCGGTGGCTCTGAGAGATGCAGCCGGTTCCGTATCAACAGCGAGAAGAGCGCGTAGAGGATAAGGAATCCTGTGACTGTCAAGTATGTGACATGCGGACCCGTGGGCTCGAGTTGTTTCCAAGCCATTTCGAAATGTTGAAAACAAAGTCGCAATGTTGGTCGTGTCTGAGAGCGTGTAGGCGCTGAGGTATTTACCAGTTTAGCGTGACGTCGTGCGCGTGAGCACGGCTTGAATGCGCCGTTTGAAGTCTAAGGTGGAAATTCAACTAGCAGACATTGTGTGAGGGATTTTTTGAAAGGCAAAAGAGTGGGATCACCGCATGTGAGAGTCGTTGATCTCAAGAAGTTTGGAATATTCAATGACGGAATGGCGCTAAGCCGTTTTAGGGCAGATCGACCACATGATTGGACGTCTGTAAACATAGCGTGCCATAGTGGCATGTAAAGTAGGACATGGTGCTTCATGATTCTTGTGTGCTGTTGCAAACTGTACATGATGACAGATATATCACTGGCGAGGATTAGGTAAATACACGTGACTACGCGTGGATGATATTCCACGCTTTTAATGGCATTGGTGAGGCATCCTGCTCTTGTTTATGACTGGCCCTGAACGCCATTCCCGCTCAGCAATGCACCCAGTAAGCGGATCCCCGAACGCGGCTGGGTTGACTAAAAATACAAGCGTTATTACAACCGATCCAAAGAATGCAGATATGAAATGAGTCTTGACTACGCGTCGTCTGGTGGCGAGCTGAAGATGGAGAATCGTATCCTGTGTAGCTGGAGGGGGTTAGTATATGACATGTAGTATTACAAGAGACATACCGAGGGCAGCTTGGGAACGACAACGGCAAGAGTTGCTAAGCAGTTCACAACGAAATACGTCGAGTCGTAGTGCGTGTAATGTGTGCTAACCAGGAACAGCACAATTGGCACGCTGAGCAAGAACTTCTTCGCTGGCGTGTACTGGTCTCCGTTGTCAATCTGCTCCCACATGTTGAGGTTGTCAAAGGCTCCGGCATTGAAGTCGAAAGGGACACCGCGCACGTAGTGGAACATGAGGTAGGAGCCCGCCATGTACGAGAGGTTGACCAGGGTCCACGATGTTTCTTGCGACATGCCGGGCATGATGTCAAACAGGATCTTGCCGAGGAAGATGAGGACGATGTGGATGGCCCACGCGCCTGGAGGTATCGGTCAGCCCTTGTTCCATGCGTGTTCTATTGCCTCGGTATTGGAGGAGTGCTCACCCTTTGCATTCACCCATTCGGCATTTAGGTTGGGCAGGGCGGACTGGTCGCTGAGCTGCTCCAACGACTCGGGCGGCTCCTTGTAGACAAGACTACTGCTACGTCGCCGCCGAGCCTCCTTTGCTTCCAGGGACATGGTGCTGCCAGACGGGGTGCGCAGCGGGTGGGGCCGCGGATCGCCAGCGAAACTGAGGCCGGACGTGCGGTTGAGGAGTATGGGTGACAGTTTGGCGGTTGAGCTGGGGAGTCGGCAGGCGCTGGTATGGATGAGGCCTGCGGCCAGAGAGGATAGCGGGTGACGGGACCAGAGGCGCACGCTGCAATGAGCGATGCGTGTTCAGTAAAGTCGAGCAGGAGCAGCTAGCGGCGTGGCGGCCCTTTCAGGGTCTTACTGTGTACGCAACACTTCCGGCCTATCCGCGCTGCAGCGATGGAGCGAACGGCGAAGAATATGAGGCTGGTGATGTTTTCCAAGCGGGCGTTGGGGGCAGAGAGGCGCGCGTGTTGTTTGCAGAGAAAGGAGGGCGGTGAATTCCAGGAGTGGCAGGCGGCGACGGAGTGCAAGCGCAGGTGATGGTCGAAAGACTTCCCGCACAGGCCGCGTTCCGAGCGTCGACCATGAATCCATCGCGACTCCAACGCCTAGAACGTCAGGACACGCCCGCTACCCGTTCTCACTCCTCCACCCCACGACTCCCACACCATCACCACCATGGCCTCAGAAGCACCCCCGCCGTCAGAGGCGCCCGTCCCAAGCATACAGACGACCGAAGCCGATGCGACACCACAGCAGCCCGTCAAGCGCTCATGGAGGTAGGCGCGTCGCTATACCCTCAACATCACATCGCATCACGTGCTGACAAGACAGGCGCAAGTACCGCAAGATGCGCGTCAAGTTTGACCAGGCCATCACCACCAGCAACCGCCTCATCACCGACGAATGGAAGGCCATGGGCACCGCGCGCCGTCTGGCCGAGGGCAACGACCAGCTGCTCGACGCCCTCCTCGACATCAACGAGCAGACACGTGCCCCGGCCCGTCTGCGCTTCAACCTTGATCCGCCCGGTACGGTCGTGCCTGCCGTAGCTGGCCCAGACCCTGAAGCCATTCGGCAACAGCTGCACGAGCTGCGGGAAGCTGCGTCCAGCGGAGCTATCACGCAGGAGGAGTACATCGCCCGCGCCGAGCTTCTGCACAACTCGCAGGCGATACGGCAGACCCTCAAGTCGCTTGCAGACCTCGAATCACGTGTGGCGCACTCCACCCGCGAAGACTTGCCCGACCACCCTCTCGACGGCCTGGACCTCTCCGAGAATGCGCCTGGCTACATGTCACCGTCGCACGAAGAAGAATACCTCGCCGCCCTCGACCAAGTCCTTGCGCAGCCCGACTTCGACCCATCGATGCAAGAAGGCCGTCCAATACGCACGGCTGCGTGCCATCCGCCGCTGTCGGAGAAGGACCTGACTATACGCAACCCTGACAGTGTCTACAACTGGCTGCGCAAACACCAACCACAGGTCTTTCTGCAAGACAAGGACGCCGCGCACCATGAGAACATGTCCGAGAAGTCAGCACCAAAAGCAAGTGCAAGCAGTCGGAAGAGCATCAAGCGGGAGTCTGCTGTTGGCGGAGGCACACCCGCACCGCGCGAAAACGACGATGAGGACTCTGTTGCTGGCGAGACGGGCGCAAAGGGACGCCGGAAAACTACAGGAGGTGGCGAGGACGACACAGCATACCGACCCAAGGGTGGAAGCAGTCGGCCCGCGAAGCGCAAGCGTGAAGACGGCGACACGCCGGTTGCTAAGAGCAAGAAGAAGAGTCGTGCGAGCACTGGGGCCGCTGTCAGTGCAGCGAAGAACAACAACGAGACCTGAAGCTGTTTGCATTTGAATGCCCTGGATTCGGCTTCGTCTTCTGGGACGGTATTTGCAGCTCTTGTGCTCTACAAAGACAACGTTGACAGGATGCAAGTAGCTCCTGATGTATTAGTATTTCCTTCCACATGGCAAAAGGCGTTGGGCGCTGGATTTGGGTAGATAAGGATACCCCCATGAGATACAACAACAAAGCTTCATGAATCAACCAATCAATCAATCAATCAATCAATCAATCAATCAATCAATCAATCAATCAATCAATCAATCAATCAATCAATCAATCAATCAATCAATCAATCAATCAATCAATCAATCAATCAATCAATCAATCAATCAATCAATCCATACAAACTGAATACTACACATGGTATTTCTCCCACTACTACCTCAATTCCTTCCCCCTCGCCCCACCCACCATAACCGTCTCCGGCGCCTCCGCCTGCTCACTAATAAACGGCAAACTCGTCTCAATCACCAGTTTCCCATCAATCATCTGCCCATTATTCAACCGCTGATCATCCATCCTCGCCTGCTCTACGCGCTTGTTCTCCAGAAACTGCTTCCTCGCCGCCGTCAACACCCACTCCTTGGGGAACTCGGTCCTCTTCTTCGGCCGATGGTGTCTAAAGTCAAACGGCACGTCTTCGAAATCGTCAGTCATGTCTTTGGCCTCTTTGAGCAGCGCCTCAATGCTTTCGCCTAGAAAGCGCTTGTTCTGCGCCTGCGTGTCGAATTTCTCGCACGACAGCTTGACGACTGACGTGCCTGGGTTGTAGCGGGGGCCCGCGAGTTTGATCAGCTTGGAGACGGATTTCGGGGGGAGGGACAGGTCGGTGGGGTCGAATTCGACGACGACTTTGTTGGCGGCGGGGTGCGGCTCGTTGAGGTAGGATGTGTAGCGGAAGCGGAAGGGGGTAGTGTGGGTGGGGGGTGTGAATGGTTTGGCGAGTTCTATGATTCCACATTAGCATTTGGTTCCATTTCCCTCAAAGCGAAGTACGCACGATTCAACAACGGCATTTCCCACGCAACAAGCCGATTGTAATGCCTCAACTGTCTATGCTTGGCCAATTCTCCATGGCCATGGCTCGTCAAATCATCGCCGAAGTAATCCTCGTCCACGCCCATGCTTTCCTCGCCCTCAGCCCAGAACCCAGCCGCGACCTTGCGCTTGTCGTCTTCTTCAATCATGAAGTCTTCGTCTTTCTCGAGGTTGAAGCCCGTGGCGAAGGGGATGCCGCGTTGACCTTTTCGAATGGCTTCGGACGCCACAGCTGGGTCGAGGGCTTTGAGGTCGGATACGAGGCGCGCGAGTTGCGCAGCGGCGATTTGCTCTTCGGTCTGTTTCGGCGGCGCATCATTGGCTCCTGCATCTTTTTCGTCTGGCGATGTCGTGGTGGCGGGGTTGTTCGAGCCAGGCTTCACGGCTTCATCAAGGCGGCGTTGAGGCGTTGACGATATCGAGCGCGCATTGTGTTTTGGCGATGCTCGGCAGCGTATTCTTGAGGGGCATTGTCGTGATTGCAGCAGCAACCGCCGTGGTAATGAAGCCATTGCTGTGTGGATGGGTCGAATAGTGGTGTCGTTAACTTTTCGTGATGTTCCCGTTGATGCTTGGCGTTGATGGAGGAAATGACGGACCAATGGGAGACGGAGAGGGTCCGACCTCCGCCTTGCAGCTCACCACCACCATCTTGAGATCACACTTCCAAGCACTCTTGGATATTTTGAGAGACGCAAATTTAGCCTTTGTGATGTCTCCAGTTCCTCCCGCAGATGAATCGGATTCTTGGAAATGGACACCAGACTCGAAACTCTGCTTCGTCACTACGGGCGCTACAGCACCCTTCACAGCACTCATTGAATCCGTCCTGAGCATACCGACAATAGAAACCTTACTTGCAGATGGCTACACACATCTCCTCGTCCAATATGGCTCTGCAAAAGACGTCTTCACTAAATCCTCTCACGCCGCACATGCCCATCTCAAGCAAGCCGGGCACGAAGCCCGCCTAGTGATCGATGGCATTGATTTCAGCCCCGAAGGCCTGCAAAATCAATTCAAACTCGTGCAGCAATCGAAAGGACTCGTCATATCTCATGCTGGTATTTACTTGAGTTCCATCATGTGCTTTTGATAAGGAGGTAATTGACTTCCCCCAGGCTCCGGCTCCATCCTCGAAGCCCTCCGCTACCAAATCCCCCTAATCGTCGTGCCCAACACCGCACTACTCGACAATCACCAAGAAGAACTCGCCGTCGCTATGGAGCGCTCGAATTATTTGATACGCGGGGACGTTGGGTAAGATGCCTACCCCCTTCCAACATCAGAGCACGCAAGTAACGAGAATATGAAGGGATTTAACACCAGCGATTCAAAAGTCGAACGACTTCCGAGTGAAGATGGCGCAGTTTCCACCGGTTACGAGTGGGAAGCATAGGGAGACTAAGAGCTTTGCTGCGATTATGGATGATACGGTGGGGTTTCTGGATTGAGCTGACTGAAAAAGCGTGTCGTAAGATGACGACGGGGATGATCACTTGAGGAGATGGTAGCATATGCCTGTTTGAGTGGCACCTGGATCCGGGCAACGGCTCGCGAGAGTGAGGCGTCAGGTGTGAGTACGTGTCTGAGTGGGTGTGGCGGCATGACGATGGAGCAGGTGCTATCAGAAACTCCCACACATAGGGCTGAGTCACGCAGTAGGCTAGGAGGGCACCGTGTGTGCGCAAGAGGAACAGACTCAAAGAAGGTCTATAGAGAGTAAGCCTCACGAGCTCGATGTTAAACTTTGTGGTATGGAATACAGTCAAGAAGCACGATCTTGATTAGAAATTAGAAACCATGTTGTAGCATTAACACTCTATGACATTTCTAGGTGATCGGAAGTGTCCGAAGAATGAACGCCGGGCGCTGGAAGTGATCGGAATCATCCCATCGCAAAGCTCCTTAGCCTGGCAAAAGGACCAGTTCCCTTGATTGGAAACAAGACAGTCACACCCCAAAACGCCTCTCGATGCCGAATACCATTAACTCCACCCAATGCAAACCATTTCTCATGCCTAGACTTCAAACCCCCAAGCCCCATTCAGCTGCCACGGCCCCTTGACCTCAATCGTCTTCTTCTCCGCATCATGAGTACCAAGCTTACCGGCCTCCTGCTGGCCCAGGATAAGCACATGGTCGACAGTAAGGCTCTCGCCGCTCTGCGCCGCGTACCCAAAGCTGCCGGTGGCGCCGAACTTGCCGTTCTCGTATGAGAATTTGACCTCACTGGTGCCCTGCTGGTCGATGCTCTCGCCGTCATCGAGGTACAGAGAGCCGTAAGCCTTGCCCTCTGCGTTAGGCGCAACCATGAAAGTGAAGGCCTCCTTGCGAAGGGCCTTGGTGGTGTTCGCAGAATTGGCGCGGTGCGGGATGATGCTTCCACCGCGGATGTGGATCGGGATGTCGGTGTATGTGAGGTTAGAGACAGTGACGTTTGCGCCTTGTCCATCGACCTTGGCGTGCGTCCAGTAGTCGTAGAACGTGTCCTTGGGGAGGTAGTATGTCACAGTATCACTGTAGTCTTCAGTAACGGGCGAGATCAACAGGCTGTCACCGAAGAACCACTGGTCCTGGATACCGAACGTCTTGTCATCTTCAGGGTACAGGAAGAAGAGAGGGTTGATCATCGGGGTGCCATCCGTGGCCTGCTTCTGTAGCGCCGTATAGATGTAATCAATGAGCCTGTAGCGCGTGTTGATGGCCTTCTTACCCGCCTCGGCGACAATGGGCCACTGGTAGAATTCCTGTTGAATGGTTGAGAGCTCGGCGTGATTGCGGTAGAAGGGCTGGAAGGCGCCCAAAAGCGCCCAGCGAGCGCACATGTACTGATCTGCGTTGCCGTTGAAGCCGCACACGTCGGAACCGACCATAGGCATGTTGTGCATGCTGACAAAGGCGAGCATTTGACGGATCGACAAACGGTAATGCTCCCAGGATGAGTAGTTGTCCCCGAACCAGTGGGTAGCTTTGCGGCCGGTGCCAGCGAAGGTGGAGCGGGTGACGACCAAGGGTCGGAGACCGGGACGTCGCTTCACCATGGAGTCGTGAGTGACGTGAGACATCGTGTGGCCGTAGTAATTGTGTGTGTCGTATTGCCAGCTACCATCGTGGTTTGAGGTGTTTGTGTAGATTGTGTAACTTGCAAGATCGCCGCGGTGGTTGTTGATTCGATACTTGGGGTTAAGGAGGTCGCGGTCTGGCAGACCCTTGGGTGTTGAATCGTCATTGGTTGCGCGAGTTGCAACCGCACCAGCCTTGCCACTGTGGACCTTGCGGCCCTCGACACTGCGTGCCTTGACAGTTGAATTATTGGAGCCAGGTTGGAAAGACGCAGGGAAGCCGGGAATCGGGCGGCCGGTATTAGGACGCGGCGCATTAGTCGGCTTCGGGGGTGTACCGTCGTTGACAACTTGCTCACGGGGTTTGCAGTCGATACCACCGCAAAAGTTTGACGCCTCATTCATGTCGACCCAAATGCCATCGAGGTCGATACCAGTGTCCTTGTCAAAGGTGGCCTCGATCTCGTCGGTCCACCACTGTGGCGTGTTAGGCGCAAGCCAGTCAGGCCAGACCACAACACCGGGCCACTGAATGCCGAGAATATTTGAGCCATCGGCCGCCTTCAAGAATACATCCTGTTCGACACCTTTCTGGTGGGGCGGGTAGTTGTCGACAGCATGAATGGCAGGATCGAGGATAAGCACGTACCGCTGGTCACGCTCATGGAGAGTGGTGACAAGCTCACGCATTTTAGAAAGTGGGAAACGTTCTGGGTCAGTCGTGAAATCTTCGCGCAAGTTCATGTAATCGATGTCTGTCCACATGACCTTGTATTATCGTTAGTGAAGACAGACGAAATTGCGAGAAAAGTACTCACTTCAAGTGGGATGCCAGCAGTTGAGTAGTTGCCAACGACTTCAGCAACCATATTCACGTCCCAATAGCCGTACTTGCACTGGTGAAAGCCAAAAGCCCAATAGGGATACATTTGTGAGTGACCAACGACGTCTGCATACTGCTGGGATACCTCAGTAGGTGACTTTCCGCCCAGGAAGTAAAGGTCGATGATGCCGCCGATGGTGTTGTACTCGAGATACTGAGTGCCTGTGCCGTTGTTTTGGCCCAGGTCGATGTTCATGGGGCTCGAATTGAGTAGGAAGACGCCATGAGTACCCTTGTCACCGCGATGGTCGAAGTATACGGGGTGAGTGCCGTAGAGATTAGCATTGTTAGGGAGATTGGGCGACTCAGAGTTGTATAGGATACGCTGGTAGTTCTTGCTGAAGCGGAAGGAGTCACTATGCTCGCCGAGTCCGTAGATGTTTGGGTCGCTGGGCAGATTGGTGCGCAGGCGGACGTACTGCTTCTCGAAGATAAGTGGCACAGCAGAGGTGTTGAAGAGGACCTCTCCATTATCTTTGCGCTTGACGGTGAAAGAGAAAGGGCTCTCCACCATATCGAACTCGAGAGCAACATTGGATCCAGAGGCGGGAACCTGGTCGTTGTTGGGGCGTGGCAGGACTTCTTCATGGACCTGGAAGACTTGAACAGCTGCGTCAAAGATCTTGACGTGGAGACGCTTGTCTATGAAGTGTTAGTCAAGCTTGACACTAGTTTGAAGTCGCGGGATGGAAGATAGTAGCATACCGGTCTGGTATTCTACAACCAACTTGAGGTCCTTGATGTCATCACTGTAGACGTTGCAGGCTGTACCAGCTAGAGTAAGGTCCGCGGTGAGACCCGATTCCGTCCTGGAGACATTCGACGCAGCGTAGCCAGGGCAGCTATTCGGATCCGCATCGCGAGCCTGGAGTGCGCTGGGAGATTCTTGGGGCGTTGGGGCTGCAGCAATCAGCCCTGCGCCTGCGGCAATCGCAAGGAGCAGCTGGTTGAACATGGTGACTCGAGGATTTTCTTGTCGAGTGTGCCCGAGATAGTCGTTGTAATTGCGAGGCGCCTCCCGCAATTTTATACCTGAGGGGCGGTGCTAGCGGCGCTTCCCGCAGTGAGTGAAGGTGTGTGCGTGATACCCCAGCAATACCCCAGTACTTCCCCAGTAATATCGGCACCGATGTCAATACTGATCCACCTTGATCCACAATCTGCCCCTCTAGTCTGCTCGCGCGTAGGGCACATGTTCCTTCGGGTAGAAGTAGTCACTCCTGGAGCGTAACCTCGACGGCAAGACGCTGTAGCCGTTTGGCGTAAGAGATTGGCAGGGGTAGTTGTTTGCCCGTCAAATCGCAGAGTGGCTTGCAGCAAGGACTGCGGGAAGAGTAATAATAGTGAAAAGCCAATCGCGGGTTCCCGACACGCCCAGCTGTAGATCTGTGGAGAAAGACAATGTACCTATGGCATGTTGTTGAACCCTGAGTGCACCATGGTAACCTCTGCCTACCTAAAAGGTACAAGATCCGGGGTAGCTAGGAAAGAGCGGTGCCATGAGTACTCCTTACCCCATTGTGAGCACGCGATCGTCTTGAAACATGTCAGGGCTGCCATGTCGCGTGGTCATACGCGAAGTCGACTCCATGCTGGGCAATAACTAGAAGACTCGGCGTCGTTAATCAACAACCTCAAAGCGCTATCCATCGCTTGCTGAAATCGGTGAAAACAGCTGGCCTCCTTTCCAAGACATCGTGAGATGTGGACGTGATGGAAGAAGCGATCACCCGCCCGTGTAAGGGGCTCGTGCATGTTGGCGGCGCTAAGCTTTTGTTAGCACGATGCGGTACTTTATCGTCACCTGCTCCCAGTGGTCTCACAGTGTCAACCGCAATTTCACGCGTCCCGGGCTTCGAAAGTTGACGCCCAGGAAACCTAATATTGGGAGGCTCACATGTAACGTTCCGGGCCATGCAGCAGCCCTTCACACGACATCCTGAGAACGTGGCCCCCTTTGACAGCAAATCAGTACTACGTCACGCTCACCACTAGCTAGCTGTTGAGCTGGCTGTTCTAATCGCTGGAAGCACTGCCCTGAAGAAGTCCGCTGATAGAGGCGGTTGATGCTCCTTCAATACCTACCTATGGTAGGTGAGATGGTGGCGATGCAGCGGCCCTTATTAGGCTCGCATTTGCGAACGTGAGACCACTGCAGAGACCATCCCAACGCAATCAACAGATTTAATGAGGAGAAGAAAAGCTATTTCCTGGGTCTTAGGTGGCAAAGTGGCAGGGCTGGGTCAAGAAGATGTAGACATAGCCATCTCGTGGTGGGTGAAGCTCACATGCTTGTCCGCTTCTAAGAAACCCAAGCGCGACGTCATCGGCCCGACGCGCGACGCCACTTGAGATAGCCGCATCTCTCTGATCATACACAAGGCAATCTTGGCCGCCTTACGACGATTCACGCTTATTTGCACCATCGCTTTCTTCTTGCACTTCATACTGGTGTCGCTGTACTTACCGAAAACAATAATGCCTCGCCGCAGCGGTACCTCATCGCTGTCGACCGATGGCACGACAGGTACCGCAACCACGACCAAATTACCAGACAAGGTGCAATGGCCGTCCACATTTACAGATGGTCTACCGTTACCCAAGATCATGGTTTTTGACCTCGATTACACGCTCTGGCCATTCTGGGTAGACACACACGTTACAGGGCCAGTCAAGGCGGTAGAAGGAGGCTTGAAGGTCAAAGACAGATATGGCGAGGGCTACGGCTTTTACGCTGATGTTGGAGGAATTCTGGAAGCAGTAATTACTCGGCTTAATTCTAGAGAGAGAGAGAGAGAGAGCATGTATCTAACGCACCCCAGCTCAAATCCAAATCCATCCTCATCGCTGCCGCATCACGAACATCCGCCCCAGATCTTGGTCGCGAACTGCTCAAACTCCTCAAGATACCGAACTCCATTGGCTCATCAGGCCGCGCAATAGATTACTTTGACCACTTGCAGATATATCCTGGGAGTAAAACGACGCACTTCACGCGCATACATAGGGACAGTGGCATCGAGTACGACGAGATGTTGTTCTTCGATGATGAGAGTCGGAATAAGAATGTGGAGACTCTTGGTGTCACGATGTGGTTGGTCAAAGATGGAGTTACGAGGAAGGAGATTGACGATGGTGTGAGGAGTTGGAGGACAAGGACGGGACGGACGAAAGCGTAGGTCCAGCACAACCATGGAAAGGCGAAGAGACTTTGGGCTTGCTAAAGAACTCGTGGAACACGTGATGGAGCGTGGACAGACCACTGCAAGAAATGAAAGAATAGGCAGGGGAACGCTGAATTTATAACGAAGGCATCTCCGTGCTGGCCAAACAACCGCATAGTCGTACGCCACCTTTGAGCATTGCAGTACTCTCCTCCATGTTACCGATCACGACTGATTCTTCAAACGATGTATAGCTGACTATACTACAAAGGCACAGCAGCGCCATCTCCACGTAAATCACTTCCACCACTCCAGACCAAAACACCATCATCTTCGTGTCGCCTGATGATCTGACCTCGACCGAACATGCCGCGTCCGAACCCATCCAGCTGCTGAACGCTGTGTCCCAGCGCGCGTAGCTCTTCAACGACCTTGGAGTCCATGCCTTCTTCCAAATAAATGGTGGCATCAGTCATCGTCCCGTCCGCGCTAGGCATACCTCCGCCGATGCAGAAACGCGGCGAGTCCAGCGCAGCTTGCGGGTTCAGCTTGAAGACTTCTTGATTCAGTAGGACTTGCACGTGACCTTGTGGTTGCATGAAGCCGCCCATGACACCGTATACGGAATGCAGACTACTGTCGTTGATGTAAGTGGTCAGAGCAGGGATGATGGTGTGGTAAGGTCGCTTCCGCGGCGCAAGGACGTTGGGATGATCCTTCACCAGACTGAAGTTTGCTCCACGGTTCTGCAGCGTGAAGCCACAGCCTTTGGGAATGATGCTTGTACCAAAGCCTCCGTAGTTGCTGTTGATGAAAGAAATCGCGTTGCCTTCGGAGTCGGAACAGCAGAAGTAGACGGTGTCGCTTTGCAAATGTGCTGGCGAGCCGTGGACTGGTGAGGAAATCACTTTCTTTGGGTCGAACAGCTTTGCGCGCTCAGCGAGGTACTTTTCTGAGATGAGTTCTGCCGATGGGACTTTGACTTCATTTGGGTCTGTGACGAACCAATGCGCGTCTGCAAAGGCGATGCGCAGAGCCTCAATTACAACGTGGAGGTATTGAGTGGTATTGTGGTCCTTGTGGTTCCATCTTGGGATAGTTCCTTGCTTCTCCAACTCCTGAATAATGCCGAGCGCCATCAGTGCAACAATGCCCTGGCCGTTAGGCGGGTGCTCCCATAGCTCGATTCCACCGACAGGGCTGTCGCCTACACCCTGACCCGTGTACTTGAGCGAAATCGGCTCCACAGACTCAGAACCAGTTTCAGCGTGGTGCTTTAGATCGTCCAAAGTAAGATAGCCTCCAAGGTCGGAGACAACTTTTACGAGCTGCTCCGCTACCTCGCCTTCGTAGAAACCTTTCTTGCCATGTTTGGCAAGTAGCTTGAAAGTGTTTGCGATTGTGGGATTCTTCATGATTTCACCAGCCTTTGGCGCTCTGTATCCGCCCTTTGTGGATGAGTCTTTCTTGAGCATTTCATGGCCATTGGGCGATGCTTCTTTGAGTTGATTTTCGCTCTCTGCCCACTTCACATGTGTTAGTATCCGAGAGTCCTAGACAGAGATATGAACGACTTACGAATGTAGCAGATAGCTCAGATACTGGAAAGCCCTTTTCGGCCAACTCAATGGCTGGAGCGAGCACATCTTCCAAAGTGACCTTGCCGCTTCCAAAGCGTTCAACCGTGTCCACCCATCCCGCTGCTGCGCCAGGAACAGTAGCCGCATGGACACTTTGCATGGGAATGTGACCGACCTCGCCGTCTTTAATCTTGAGATCCTTCCTAATCTTCTCAAGAGTAACCTGCCCGCCAGAACGTCCAGACCCATTCAAGGCGGAGACCTTCTTTGTCTTGGCATCGTAGTAGAGACAGAACATATCACCGCCAATACCTGTCGAGCCCGGCTCGGTCACATTGATGGCCGCTGCCGCAGCTATAGCCGCATCCTGTTCAGTATGAGTAGAGAGTCGACATTGAGATGAATTACGTCATACCGCAGCATTACCACCTTTCCTCAGGATCTCAATTCCAGCAGAGGTCGCAAGAGGTTGCGTACTTGATACAATGCCCTTGGTACTGTGCACCACGGACCGTCGGCTGGGAAAGTGGGCGAACTGGGGCTCAGGGTGGGGGTAAACGTTGGAACTCGGCATGGTTGGCTTCGACTCCGAGTCGTGGTGTGTCTTAGCTCTTTTGCTGCGTCGGGGTGTCATATGTCTTTGCGACTAAGATGTACTCCAGAAGTGCTACCCATGGAGTATGAAGAAGCGTACTCATTCATAACCATGATGGACGGCTATCCCCGGAGATGGTGGTGCCGTTCGGATTGCCGATTTCGGCTGCTGTACTAGGCACTTCGGCGTAGCTGCTTGCGATTGCTGGGGTAGACATGACGTCGCATGCGGATCGAGATATGGCCTATCAGGAAGGTGACTACAGACTTCGCTGTGTAATGGAAATTGATGCAAACCTCCATTGAACGTCTCAAGATCTGAGAGAAGCACGAGTCACGTGCAGCGCGATGTTCCGCGCTTGCGGAATTTCGGAAAGCGCGTCGGAGCTGTTGCGGATTTCTGTCAAGCTTCAACCACACTACAACAATGATAACAGCCTCATGGGTATGCCGCAGCTGTCTATCGCGTGTTGGAAGACCCTTGGTCAGACGTCAGCTACGTTTCCAATCTAGTGGTGAGCTGCTTTATTTCGCGCATCATGTAAAAGGCTAACAGACAAGCTTCCAATCCTGAATTAGTACCAGCAGCTCTCCTCAGTAGAGCTCGCGATATTTCTCTTGAGCATAAACAGCTCACCGACAAACTTGCGGATGGATTCGACACACGTGCGGCAAAGAAGTTGGGCGAATATAGCCCAATAGTAAATGCTTTGGGTCAATGGGACAAGGCCAATGAGGTGAGCATCAGAGCGTGCATTTACTCACAGTAACATGAAATGTACTGATGTTGACCGAGTCTGTGACAGAGCTCACATCGCTGATTCACGACCCTACAACCGACCCCGAATTACGCTCGCTCGCTGCCGATGATCTCGGAGAATCACGAACACAACTCGCCAATGCATCGCAGAGTCTGATCACTTCCCTTGTGCCAGTGCACCCGTTTGCGCACTTGCCATGCATTCTGGAGATACGTCCTGGAGCGGGCGGGTCAGAGGCAGCTATCTTCGCTGGTGACCTGTTCCGTATGTACCAAACATTTTGCAATCGCAGTGGCTTTCGGACGAGCTTGTTGAAATATGAGAACGTCAACGGGACAACAGAAGCTGGAGTACCGCTCTCCGAAGCTATCTTTGAAATAGAGAATGCCGATGCATATGGCGTTTTCAGATGTGAGGCAGGCATACACAGAGTTCAACGGGTTCCAGCGACTGAGACCAAAGGACGGACACATACCAGTGCAGCATCGGTTCATGTGCTACCTAGTCTACAAGAAAACTCCGAAGCTCAGGAAGATTTCGAAAATCCTGAGAGCGACTACTACATCGACCAAAAGGAAATCAAGCTCGAAGTCATGAGAGCAAGCGGTGCGGGTGGTCAGCATGTCAACAAGACAGAATCTGCTGTGCGCCTGACCCACATACCGACCAACACGGTAGTTTCTATGCAAGATTCTAGGTCACAGCACAAGAATAAAGAGAGTGCTTGGTCGCTCATGCGCTCGCGAATCGCCCAATTGAGACGCGAGAAGAGGGAAGAAGAGATGGTCAATCTACGAAGGAGCGTTGTTGGCGTGGCGAAGATGGGCCGCGGAGACAAAGTTCGCACCTACAACTGGGGTCAACAACGAGTCACGGACCATCGAAGCGGCATCACTGTGCACGATCTAGACGATGTGATGGGAGGAGGCCAGACGCTCGAGAAAGTCATGGAGAGTGTTCGTGGTTGGCTCATGGAGCGAGATGTCGAAGCTTTGATCGCCGAGGAGAGCCAGAAGAAGTGATCGGTCACGACTTCTGAGCTCGCCAGGCATCCTCAACGTATTGGCATACATAGCGCCCACCGTTTTTCTCGACGGAAAGTTACAGGACAGCATGATCTTGCATTTGAATCACCAGATGACTATACCATGTCACTTTACCGTCAAATCCCTTCTTCGAATCACTGCTCTCACTAGTTGTCTTGATTAGACTCGATCAGTGTGGTAGCGATTTACACGATTGTACAGCAATTCCAAAAGTCCTAGGCACAATGCGCTGGTCTAAAGTTTCCCTTACGGACTGATGTTTACAAGAAGGCTTGTGCGAGCTCACAGAGTGTCTAGATCGAGACTTGAAAAGTCACGGCTACCTGCTGCCATGATTTGTGGGTCCGAACCAGGAGACTACGAGTCCTTTCCCGCGATAGCACCGAAAATGCACTCACATAGATCTATGATAGCTGTGGCTAAGACGCCATATCAAGGACCCTAAAGAAGCCGAAACAGATGCACTACTTGAAGATCTGGGGATGGACTCCTGTGGATAATATGAGTAGCTTGGCAATTGTTCAAACCTCAAGAGCAAAGGCAGCCACCAAATGCCAAGGCAGCCTTCAGCCAGGGTGGCGGACTCTGCAAAATCCTGTACCTATTCCAGGACCCATGTTGCGGGGTTTCGCAATAAATTTACCGAACATTGCCAGGTCTGGTTTTGTTGTTTAGCTGTGTCGATTTCACCGAGTCAGTTTGACAAAATCCCAAGCTGCTCACCAGGCGAACGAAAACCACAAAGTCATAATGCGCCACATATTCCCCGCACAACCAAGAGACTTCCCCGGATTTCCTGGGGTATTTGTGGGGCGATACTTGGCCACCCGTGTCTGAAAGCGTGCTGAATGCTCGACTAGCAACGCCATGTGTTGGGATCTAGATCTGCAAGAGTACGTCGTCCGGGTTGTGGAGGCACATCGATACATGCCACCAAGATATAGCATGGTCATGGGTCCCGGTCTGCTATCTTCTGCACAGACGGTCCAACCTTGATATTGCTTCTGACACCCAGACTGCTAAACTGGAAGTTCTTAGTGCATAATGGCTACAAACACAACGACGACCGACTATGCCCACGAGAAGCAAGAGGTTCAATATGTCGAACATGTGGACGAGTCACCTACCGATTCGTCGCATGAGCTACAGAAGGAGCGAACCTTGGAAGGCATTGACATGACCAATTCATATGCTGTCAAAGGTGACGACTCAGATGGCAAGGTTGAGTGGAGCATACGAAGTATCTTCGCCGCGATCTTTCTCGCCGCCCTCTACACAGGTACCCAACCGACCAAATTCAACTCTTGTCATACATGCTAAAGTATAGTAGGCTCTCAGGTTATTCTTTACTTCACTGGAGGCTCACTCGGATTCATCGAAGAGGATCTTGGTCTCTCTCGAGGATCCGCATGGCTTCCAACGGCCAACATTCTCGCCATCGCCGCGGCTTGTCCATACGCTGGCTATCTACAAGATCTGTTCGGCAAACGCTACATTGCCCTTTTCGGCTCGTTGTGCATTTGCATTGGATGTGCCCTTGTTGGCTCTGGCCACAATTTTGCTCAACTGATTGTTGGCATGGCCCTTTCTGGTGTGGGAGCTGCCATTGGAGAGTTGACTGGACTCGCTGGGTAGGCCAGAAATCTGTCCAAGTGTGATACTTGACTCGACTGACCACTAATAGGCTCGCCGAAGTCGTACCTGTGAAGTTTCGAGGCTATTCGCTTGCCTTGGTGACCGCATTTGTTCTTCCATTTTGCCCGTACCTTCTTTACGTCGAACTGTGGTCTCATCGTGACCTGACTGTTGGCTGGCGTTGGGGACCATGGTGTGCGCTCATCTTCAACGGCATCGTAGGCTTGGGCTTGCTGTTCACATATTTCCCGCATAATCACACGCGCACTGAAGGTTTCTCTCGCATCGCGATTATCAAACGCATCGATTTCATCGGAGGTATTCTGTCCATCACTGGCTTGGACTCTATTGTAAGATATTAGTCCGGGAGACAACAAATCATAGCTTCGCTAATAGTATGTAGCCTCGTATCCCTCCAGTCAGGTGGCTACACTCACCCATGGGCATCCGGCTACGTTCTTGGCACGATGCTTTCAGGTCTCGCACTCATCGTCGCCTGGGTCGTCTATGAGTGGAAGTTCGCCCGCCATCCCATGGTGCCGGGAGAGCTCTTCAAAGGCCAGCGCATCGTTGGTCTCGCATACGTTGTTGCATTCGCAGCAGGCATGAACTTCTTCAGCATCCTCAACTTCTTCCCGATCACCTTCACTAGCGTCTACGATCCCGATCCAGTCAAAATCGGTGTCAGAGGACTTGGCCCCTGCTTTCACAACCGCATTAGGAGCGATCGGATTCAATGCTGCATTGTCTTTCTTTCCGAAACATACACGCGAGGTCCTCCTCCTCGCCGTACTGATTATGACTGGGTTCGCGGGATCTCTCGCGGTCATGAATCCCGATAATGAAAAGCTTGTCGTCGCGCTAGGATCTATGGCCTCTTTTGGTGTCGGTGGTGTGCTCGTCCCTGCTGCTACGGTCGCTATGCTGGTCTGCCCTGATGCGCTCATCACTACTGCCGCCGCCATGTCGCTGTCCATTCGTACAGTCGGTGGATCGATTGGATACTCCATCTATTACAACATTTTTGCCACCAAGCTCGAAAAGAATCTACCTGCTTATGTCGCTGAGTACGCAATCAAGGCCGGCCTGCCATTGACTTCGGTAACACAGTTTGTCACCACGTTCTTGACAGATCCCGAGGCATTGGCGACGAGTAACATTCCTGGTGTTACACCAGCAGTCATCGCGGGCGCGGCAAAGGGTACACAGTGGGCCTATAGTCAGAGTTTGAAATATGTTTGGGTGAGTCGATTGTGTATTTGATGTTCAGAACGACCGCCTGACAAGAGCTAGTTTACTTCTATTGCATTTGGTAGCATCGCGATCATCTGCACGATTCTGCTGCCCAGCACGAAGAAGTACCAGACTAATCGTGTCGCTGTGCAGATCAGCTAGACGTGGTGTGAAGTGTGCACTGTTCGGATGACGTTCCTGTTAGGTACCATCACTAGGCGTCAGCAAAACTCCTTCCCACCTTTTCCTAACGAGAAGAGGTGAAGAAGTAGCCTGTACATATTCAAAGGTTTCTAGTAGAATTAGGTACAGCATCTTGCAGCTGCGTATATATACAGGATAATCTAGGCTTACAATAAGTATACTTCTAAAAACTATTAGCTTGTGGTGTGTAGGTGCGGAGCGGGCACGAATTTTGCCGCTGCCTGGTGCCATGACTTAAAGGCCGTCGAGTTTGCAGCTTGAACCCGCCAATCTTTGGTCTCACAACAATGAGAAGCATATTGCGATCAGACCAATCCAATTCATCATGACGCGGCAACTCAATCTCCTTGTACCTTGTCACTTTCTGTGCTACTTTTGAACTGCCCACGTACCTTGGACAGCATCATGGGTAAAGCTGCCCGACTCCTAATTTGACACGGGAAAATCTTCTACAGTGCGTCATATCTTAGTTCAAGGATGATGCTGATCGCAAGAAACAAGTAGATTAGACTCTGGTACTTAGATATAGCGCGCACAGACCCGTGTTAGTATCGTAGATCGCATACTCAAAATATGACTCCCTAAGCGAACTTCTGGTCTGAACCACGCTTGTGGCGTTTGTCAGGTCAGCCACATTCTGGAGCCAGGTCACGCCCCTGTTGATCTGTTTTGCTATGTTTGCACCACAAAATGGAGCCATGATGACTATAGGGCAGATAAACACCTGTGTACTTTATAGTGCTATCAGCAGCTGCAACTCAAATCTTTTGAGACATTCCATGGTGTATCTTGCAGTGGAAGTCTATACCAATCGAGAGAAATCTACCGTGAGGAATTTGGTGTCTGCGGGAAGTTTTATTGATCGATGACGCTAAAGCGAGTTTACAAGCCTGTAAATAGGAAAATCCTACCTTTTCTAGCGTTAGATCGACAGCCACTGATTCTCAAGAGCAGGTGTGTAGGTTCAAACTTCCCGTATTTACATCGCTTCGCCGACCATGTCACGACCGTGATCAGCAATTTCAGCAAAGTATAAGATCAGTGCATTGAGCACTGTATCCTACAGAGCACTCCTCTTAATATCTCCCACACTTCTACTTTACCCAAGGAACTTTCATCATGTATAGAAGCATTTTTCCGTTTCTGTTGGTTACTCTCGCGGTTGCAGCTCCCACATATCCAGACCTTGATCTCTTTCCAAAGTGCAAGGCTACCAATGATCCAGTCTACTATGCAGCACAACATCTCAAAGGCAATCCCAATGGCCTCAAGTACTGCTTAGAAAAGATTTTGAAAGTAACTCCTATCACACGCACGGTCGTTATTGGAGCTACTAAGACTGCCATGACCACAAATACTGCTGAAAACTTGGTTACTGTCACGGGAGGCGAATTGGGAGGAACCGTAACAGTCACGGCGGCTCCTGTCTCAGTCTCTGAGACAGAAACAATGTGAGTGGTAGCGCTCTCTTAACTACCTCTGACTACTAGGTCTCGAGAAACTTTACTGGAGGGCAGCCAAGTTTCGATAAGCGGCCAAGCTGACTTTTCCCAAAGCACCCAGACTACTACGACATCAAGTGACGTCTGCCCTGCACCAACCGTTGCACCTGTCAAAAGGTTTCTCAAGGGCAACCACGGCGATTGCCCTAATGCGCCTATCCTTGGCTTTGCATGCGAGCTACTCAGCTACGCCTGTAATTGCTTGACGATTCCGGCACCAACAGTTACGTCGACGGTCACCAGCACAAATGCTATCACTGCCACTGTAACTCAAACCATCGACGTCACGACTGCTGTAAGTCAGCAATGTCCGAATCTCCTAGCGTCATTCACTGACTTTGATAGATCCCGACAATCGTTACCGAAACCCCAACTATCACCGGAACCGAGACCGTCACTTCCACAGTTACGACCTGTGTCGCTCCAGCTCGGCCGACCGCCAATACTTGCAGCCCAGCTACCACGTGCGGCAACGTCAACTTTTGCACTGGCAGCGACACGTGTATCTGCTTGATGGGCTCAGCTGGCATCAGCGCATGCGGTAACATCGCCCTGGATCAAGGCTGTGGAGCGCAGCAACCGTGCACTGTCGATACCGACTGTGGACCCACCGATATTTGTATTACAGCCTGCTGCGATACAAAAATCTGTTATGCTACGTCCGGGTGTGCAAATTTAGTGGCTCCAAGCAGGCTGTTCAGGAAGGAGGCGCAGGCGGGCGGACAGAGGGAGCTTCCTCCGTCCTTCCGTCCCCAAGGCGATCAGGGCATTTAAAGTGCTCGATCTCTGTTGAGACGCATGTGCGAGTTGTTTGATCAATTATAGCATGTGCCTATCGATAATTAATACCACATCCATATGTCCTTACCATATATACACCCAAGACATGGGCTGAAAAAAAGAAGAATCAGCATCGAAACGATGAGGGTACTTGCGTCTGATATAGCTATAAGAAGAACCTGTGGAACTTTGTAACACCGCTGAAAACCTCATATCATCTTGGTCTCATGTTTCTCGTATCGCAAATGCGATGTCATATCGACGTACAAGCGGAGGGTCGAATATTTGAATGTTCAGTTCGAGATGGAGGGTATCGGTCAAACTACGACTGGGGCTTTACATATTGCTACACACAAATTCTTTTTACGAGAAAGACTGCACGCCAGGAATGTTTCGAGAGTTCAGAAATTGGGTCGCTGCATCTTTCATCTTAGCACGTTATCACAGATGCAGTAGATCTCTATAACCAACCGTCGTGTCCATACAGCAGTGGATGCAGCAAGGCAGAGAGCGCACAGGGGACATTTGAGTTTGCGGAACATCGATCGATTAATGGCTGCTAGCCTGTCCATCGCGTTTCAGACACTCAGCAAAGCCGCAATTGCCGTTCGTCTTTGTTTATGTCTATTGTGAGCGACTTGCTCAAATAACCACAATCTCCATGCCATGCTTCTTAATCGAGCTCATGCTCGTCAAGCACATCTTGACTTTATATACACCTTGAACTTCCCACGTTGACTTGAGTCGTGAAATAACCGTCAAGTCATGGCTGGAGAAGTATTGATTACACTGCGCCCATTTCGAATGAGCTCAGAAGCCTGTATAAAGAATGAATTGATGCGTAGGACAGTTGGCCGAAGCATGAGCAATGCTGCAGAATCTCCAGTGCTCTCAAGCCGCTGGATGGCTTGCTGGAAGGTTTCCAATAATCGATAGGCTGTCTCAACATCATGTGGTTCTGTTGCGAGCAGAAACAAATGTATGAGGAAGTTGCCACACAATATGAATTGTGATCGAGCGTCTGCGCTGTTTAGCGGTCGGATTAATAGCAGTGGCTAACTCACGTCGACCCCAGAATCCTTTAATCTCCTCATCGCTGATAGAATTTACAAAGAGTACAAACAGCTCAAACTCTGAGAGCGCGGCTGACTGCCACCGGCGAAGGTTGGAACCAGGTGTAGTTTTTGCCTCCCTCGTTGCAGGATACATGAGGCCCCGAAACAAGAGTACTTGAGTAGCGTAATACGAGAGATGAAGGGAACCTTTTGATCGTTAGACTAGACCATGTGATTGGTGTGAGTGTATTGCCGTTTTGGGGAAGAGCTCCAGCCGCTAGGCATGCCGGCACGAGGCAACGCCAGTCCTTCAACTGCTCCCGCACTGGAATGAGCTGACTTCGGGACTGTATTGTTGCTTTCACAGAACCAAAGGGTCGTTAGCGAAAACTTGATGGCTTATATGACTTAACATACCAGCTACAGTCTAAGATACTACGTAAATGCCGAGAGATGCTGACCATCTCCAGAAACCGGGCTCCATCAGACACCCGAAAAGTCCTATCAGTGAAGTCTACCATGTGTTGTAAGTCGCTGGGTACATCTTCGTCAAATCGAAGATCGTCTAAATTAGGAGGTAGCGTTGTAAATGTGTCGTTGCCAATGTGCGGAGGATTTCCATGGCAGACTGATGACCAGCAGTCAGTCAAGAAGGACGCCCACCACAGCTTCCTCCGTAAACTCTTCTCCCATGGGGAAATATGCCATTGTGCAGATTCCTGATGAAGGCCTATCATTTGGGCGCAAGCGGCGACCTGAGCAGCCATAATCCAAGTGTATGGTGTTTCCACACTATCTATATCAGGTGGCATCATGTGCATTAGTAGGATTGAGGCTTGCAACCTTGAGAGGTTTGGCGCCTCAAGCTCTCTTCGGAGAGACTCTTGAGCATGGTCGACAATCTCATCTTGGGAGAAAGGGCACGGGTTTACGAGGGACGAATCTCGATTCCAGAAGACACAAGCCAACGCGTAGACGGCACCTCGGAGGGAAGCTGAAATTGTATCCTTGGCAGTGGCGTACTGTCTCAGGAAACGACATTTAGAGATGATGGGCAAGGTGGAATGAACGTGACGAAAGTAAAGGCGAACAAGAGCTGGACCATGCGGCCATACAATATTCTCAATAGCCTCAGCTGCTGCGTGCTTCGCAGCGTTCCTGTGGGTGGGGAACTCGTCATGGAGCAGCAAGAAATGAACAGGGTGCTCATCAGGGTCTGACCCGCCTTCGAAGACTTGAAGTAAGTCGGCATCAATCCCATCACGCTCACTCACAAGAACAGAACGGAAGGCGTCAATGAAGTAGGGGTCTTGTTCGGAGGCTAGGCCCATGGAATGCGCCGTTGTGCCCGGGTTATCCTCGAGAGTGTAAACAGAATCTGTCGGGGTGTGGAAAGCAGGGATGTCCAGGTTGGGGGGCGCCACTATCTCTCCGCCACAGGAGGTTGACTGGTCCAAGAGGCTATCACGGGCAACGACTACAGGAGCGAATCTTTGACCGAGGTCCTGAGACAATTGACTCGAAGCTGCAGGGCTTGGCATTACAGGCTCTTCTGTGACAATCGAACTTTGGGCTTCAGCTTGAGATTGGCATATCAATCCTTTCCTCTTGCAAAAGAGACCTGCGTCATGTGTCACCACTTAAGAATCACCAAGCGCATGTCGAACCAGCAGCACTCACACGGCGGCTCGATCGTGATGATACAAGCAGTTTTGCGCTTTCGGCATACATCACATGGGCGATTCTTTCGGCTGCGGTGTTGCCTTGCCCTCCCGAAGTTGCTCTGGATGGTGAATTTGCGGGGAAGGCCAGAAGCTCCAGTAGTTTCCATTGTGATAGCTCAAAGTTCTCCGCGCGCTAGTACTGAAGGGCAGGGAGAGAGCAAAATCACAAATGAGAGGAGAGAATAAACAGCAAACCGGGGAACTGACTTGGCCGATGGTTATTGACTTGGCCGATGGCTCGTGCACAATCGATTCCGACATTTTTCAATCAAATGGCACCCCGCTAGTCAGGATCTCATTTTGTCGCCTAAAGTGCCCGAACTCATTTGTTGAGGAGTTGCTTCGCACTGAGGTTACATTCAGATCACACCTATAGATAATGACATGTAAAACATAATGTGATTAAAAGTATCTAACTAACAAGAAGTCGTTCGTAATTTACGCTATCTCGTATTGAAGGGGTGATGCCCTTAGTTCCGATGATCCGCTAAAAAGCAGCCTTCGCCGAGTCATGTTGTTCCGAAACACCTTCATCACAGTTCTCTGGCATCTGACCCATAGTCACCTGCCAACGGCCATCATACAGCCGTTGCAGCTCATGAGCAGAGAGACTGCTCTTGACAAAATTATCCAACTTCTTATCGGGTACAGCCCAATGGAGCAGGAAGTACACCAATGCGCTGGACAAGAATCCGTAGAGGTAGTTCATATAGTACAGTTCGACCGCGCCGTCACTGACAATGATTGATAGGTTCAAAGCGGCTATAAAACCAGGAAGGCAAGGCAAGGCACCAACGACCCACTCGATACAAAGTTAGTATGCTTTTCTTAAAGTCGAAGGTGTTGGATACTCACCGCGAGAGGAGCACGCCAATTGATCCCCTTAGTGTACCAGTAGACACTGCTGCTATCGCCAATGTAGAGGTCATCGACGTTGACTTTGGATCTGCCGACAAAGACATAATGGCTAGCCATGATGCCCGTCATGGGGGCAAGGAAGACACTATAGCCGGAGAGGACAGTCAAGAAAGTTGTAGCCGTGTTCACAAGGCGCCAAGGATTGACGACCGGACTCAGAATAGCAATAATGTATGCACATCGGCGGAGGTTGATGTACTTCGGAAAGACAGATGCCAAATCCAAACCTCCGGAGAGCGCATTGCCTGGAAGGTTGCTTCCCAATTGAGATATAGCCAAGGCGAGTCCAGCAAAAAACACTGCAGCTCTTGTTCCCGCGCTGTTATTGGTAACAAGCAAGCGAATGAACAGGGTGGGCGGATTCCAGATAGGTTCGCCCAGACGGTTTTGTGTGGCTGCGGTAACGAGGATGCCGATCACGGAGGCGAAGATGCTGTACATAGGGAAGGCCAAAGCCTGTCCCCAGATGGCATGGCTAGAGCGCGCAGCGAACCTAGCGTAGTCATTCTGATTGAGTATACCCGCCGCAATGGAACCGATGGTTGACATGATGCCGTATATCATCAGCCAGGTGGTGCTATAGGGCGATCCGGATACCGGGATTGAGGTGTCAGAGTTGAGAGTATTGCCGAAGCCCTCAGGTCCCATGGTAGCCAGAGCCCAGATCAACAAGACCATGAAGAATGTCAGAGTGATCGTGCTAGTAACGTAGAAGAACTTCTGGATACGATGAACCCGGATGAGTAAGGCTGGCAGACTGATCAAGCAGAAGATGAAATATGACATAAATTGGGCGGTTGTCATGCCCGTCTCGGTAGGGATCTTGTTCGGGATGTTTTGCTCAAGATTGGGGTCCCAAGAGAGCAGCATGAGATAGATGCATTCTCCACCGACCCATGACTGGAAGCCGTACCTGTCGGGTCGTAAGTGATTGTATTTGAACTTTGGAAGATGTGACCGACCAGACTATGGCTATCTGAGCTGTTGTTCCGCAAAGATTAAGATGTGAGACTTACCAAATGCAAGGAAGATACGATTCCATACGACAAACTGCGAACCCCATATCCCCCAAACGGCTCGAGAGAAAACCGGAAAGCCAACTGCTTCAGTCAGCGTTCGTCCATGTGCTATTGGACGACGGCGTACTGTGATAGTACGCTCCAGCAAGAGAGCTGAGGAGCAGGGCGGCGGTCGCGAGCGTGTTGCCAACAACTATGGCTGCGGAGCAGTCAGTACAGCTTACAGATCGATATACAGCAGTGAGGTTACGGCACCTATGATTGCCTGCCACCAAGTTAGGCCCAGAGGTATAAGCGCGCTGCCGGTTAGATATGTAGCAATATTGCAATTGATCAGTAGCCCTGTGGAATTTTCAGTTCATTACCATACTTGAAGGGATGTGTTGTTGTACAGAAATTGTTGTAAGTAAAAAATGTCCAGGTGCGCCGCTCTAGCGTGACTGGCCGGACATCCTCGTTCTTGGAGAGCTGTCAGAATCATCACGAATGCAGAGGAGTTGCATACCATACCCACCAGCGCGACCCCTCTGGCAACTCAACTCGCTTGCGCAGGGTCGAGAATATCATTGTGAAGTGGTTTTGACGTGCAAAGTAGGGAAAATATGATTTCTCCACAGCCGAATTCGCCTTACTCCTCTGAGAGACGGACAGTCGACGTCTTTAAAGGTGTCGTCTTCCAGCCACATTACCTTCGAGGGACAATTATCTCGAGATTGGCATCAGCTGGATTAGGCCTTATCTTCTCAGCCCCTGTATTGCTTATCTCTATGCTAACCTTGGACATGACTGTAACGATCAATCCCCGCTCGGCCAACTTTGCGTCGGCCAACTTCCTCGGCGAACTTGTAACTTACGTCGGCCAACTACACTCAGGTACTGATGCGAGTTGTTGAGGAGCGCGCGAACTCAGCGAACTTTCGACAAATACAAAGATGCATCGGGTTCTCAAACTTTGAGAACCCCGCCAGATACAACGCCCCCGTTCTATTCATCTTTTCCGCGACAGCATGTCTCTATACCGCATCGGCGTTGACGTTGGCGGCACTAACACAGATGCGGCAATCTTAGACCTTAGAGCCTTGAATGACCATGGTCGTGGCGTGCTTGCTTCCCACAAGGCTTCGACCACAAGAGATATCACCAGCGGCGTCGAATCCGCAATCCGAGTTGTTCTCCAAGATTCAAAAGTCGAGCAGAATCGCGTATTAAGCGTCACCATTGGAACCACGCACTTCATCAACGCCCTCGTCGAGGCCGATGCGAGGAGGTTAGATCGAGTTGCCGTAGTACGACTTTGCGGCCCTTTCACTCGCCAAATACCTCCTTTTTCTGACTTTCCCGTTGGACTCCGCAGCATCCTAGATGGAGGAGTGTACTATCTTGACGGAGGTCTTGAAATCGACGGCCGAGAAATCGCGCCCTTGAACCCTGCGCAGGTTCGAACAGCCGCTCGAGACATTCTCGCATCCGGCATAAAAGTCGTTGCATTAATTGGTGTCTTTTCCCCACTTGATCATGGAGGTTTACACGAGGAAGAATGCAAGAAGATCTTCTACACAGAAGCTCCGGAGTTGCAGGTGACCTGCTCTCATGATATTGGACCCACTGGATTTCTGGAGCGAGAAAATGCAACGATTCTTAATACCGCTATCCTTCGAACTAGTCGCCGGGTCAAGCGAGGTTTCAAGCGCGCCATGGCGCGTCTTCATCTCTCGTGTCCCCTCTATCTATCACAAAATGATGGCACTCTACTCGATGCAGACTCTGCGGCGGACTTTCCCGTCAAGACATTCGCAAGTGGACCAACAAACAGCATGACAGGTGCTGCTTTCCTTGCCGGGCTGGATTGTAATACGCGTGCAGCTGCAGATGACTCGATCGAACCTCAAATCATCGTTGTCGACATTGGAGGAACAACTACTGATGTTTGCGCCCTGTCGCCATCTGGCTTCCCCCGGCAAGCTCCTGGGTTCGTTGAAGTTGCTGGCGTTCGAACTGCCTTCTCTATGCCGGAAGTGGTGTCCATCGGCTTGGGTGGCGGCAGCAAAGTCTATGTCGATCGTCAAAGCGAGATAGTTACAATCGGCCCTGCTTCAGTTGGTCATCACATCAGGCAGGAGGCCAAAGTTTTTGGTGGCCAAACCCTAACGTCAAGTGACATTGTCGTTGCCTTAGGGAAGGCGCGTCTAGGAGATGCTGCTCTAGTCAAAGACGTCCTAAGCCCGGATCTCCTGGAGAGTGCCCGCAAGCAGTTGAAAAGAATGCTCGAGGGCATCATTGAGCAAATGAAGGTCTCGGATGCCCCTGTACATGTCTTGCTCGTGGGAGGTGGCGCCTTGCTTGTCACCGAGAATCTTGATGGGGTAGACAAATGCGTTCAGCCCATCCACCAAGGTGCGGCTAATGCGGTGGGCGCAGCCATTGCTAAGATCTCCGGCGAGGTTGATGTGGTCGAGATCCCTGGGGGCCGATCGGAAAAGGAAATTATTGAATCAGTCTGTGAAAAGGCTGTTGGCCTGGCTGTCCAGCGAGGCGCTTCACGGGAAGACGTGCAAATTGTTGAAGTCAACAAGATGCCTTTGCAATATATGCCTAATGGTGCCGTACGCATCCAGATCCGAGCAACTGGACCCCTTGCCACCCCCAATGATTTCACTCCGCTTCCTTCGCCGCCCCTATCTTGCGAGGACGAGTTTGAGGTAGAAGAGGGCGAGAAAGTTGGTGTTCCCAGTGCCCTCGATCCTACATACAAGCCAGTCCTACACGTAGACCTTGATGCATACCGACCACAAGTCCAGCAAGGTATCTGGTACGTATCAGAAGTTGACCTAGAATTGATCGCAACTGGGTGCGGTGTACTCGGGACTGAAGGTGGTGGCCCGACCCATCACGAGTATCTCAAAAGCTTGCATGCGCTACGAACTGGCGGTGACAAGAAGATGAGAATCATTTCTCCAGAATCGCTGAACGATGACGATATTCTCTGCTTCGGTTCATGGTATGGTAGTTCGAGTGTGATCAATGAGCGTATTGCTGGTGGAAACGAGATCGCGGCTGGAATTAACGCCGTCAACAAGGTCGTTGGTAACGAGTCGTTTGACGGCCTATTCATTGACGAGATGTAAGTCTTGTTTCCGGAATAAAAATCAATGTGAAATTACTGACGAATCTAGTGGAGGCGGAAATGGTCTGAGTGCCTTTCCCACTGGCGTTCACTTCGATGTACCCATCGTGGATGGCGATGCTATGGGAAGAGCGTTTCCCACCATGTACCATGGCAAGTCACGCACACAGGTCATCTATTTCAGACTAATGATGATCTTCTCTAGCCACTTTCAGCGTGTATGGCCATGCGCTGAGTCCCTGCGTGCTTTCCGATGCACGCGGCAACACTTCCGTAGTTATGGTGAGCAAATTCAATTCCAGTGCAAATCCAAGGGCTTTTCTTAATTCAAATAGCATACCGACACTCCTTCAAGGCTAGAGAAACTTCTCAGAAGCGCTGCGATTGAGCTCGGGCTCGGTTGCGCCGTCTGTGCAAACCCTCTTCCAGGATCAGTGATCAAGTCTTACGGCGTTCCCAACACTCTGTCCCTCGCCTGGTACCTTGGTCGAGCTGTCCATAATGCGCGAAAAAACAAGACAGCCTACGTAGATGCCATCGTAAGTTCTCCTCTCTCGTATTCATTATGGAAGTAAGGCTACCTGTTGACAGTTCAACATTTGTGCTGGAAAGCTTCTGTACTCTGGAAAGGTGATTGACGTCCGTCGACACGTCGGTGGTGGCTATACCATGGGTTCCGTAACCATTGCTCCCTTCAGCGACTCCGAACGTGATTCGACGGCCGTCCCAACCCAGTCATATATCTCCAATGATAGGTTTATGATCATTCCCTTCCAAAATGAGTACTTATACGCCGCTCTGAGGGACTCCGAGGGATCTGAAGAGTCACAGGAGATTATATGTACTGTTCCCGATCTCATTTCGATTTTGGGCCAGGATGGCGAGGGAATCGGGTCCCAGGACCTTCGATACGGACTCCGTGTCAATGTAATCGCGCTGCCAGCGCATCCGCTCTGGAAGACTGAACAGGGCATTAAAGTTGGAGGCCCGGAGGGTTTTGGGCTGAATGTCCCAGTTCTCAGCATCGATAACCAATTTACAGAGGCACAGAGTGTCATTAAGGACTTTGGGAAGTAGTGCGCCATCCGCACCTACAACAGATTGCAATGCAACCCAGCTATTCTACTTCTATAAAAGTCCTCAACTTTACCATTGGTTCGCGGTCACGTGTAGAATTCCAGAGCTTAATCCCACGTGGATGAGAGCTTCAGACGAGATGGCATAAGTAGGTTCAAATTGGGAGTCCAAGATCAAAAGTACAACGATACTACAGTTAGGTCTGCACAGATCATTCACTCCATATAAGCTGCGGGCTGTTGCACATGCACCGTGGGCATTTCTTTACTCCGCCAATAGCGAACCTAGACCCTCCAGCTTCGAGATTTTACCAGCCAAATCCTCTGCTGAGATAGCAGAGTATGATGCGGTCGCCTATGGGCACGTTGGTTAGTCTGCACGAGTTGAGGGGTGCATTCACCGGTGAAGAAAGCGGGGTACTCAACCAAGGAAACTGCAACAAGTCGTCTCGCTTGCAATTACTGGCCGATTCACCCTCTTCATTCCGCTTCACATTACTAGATCATGCAAAGTAATCTCGTGTAACCTCAGGTATCATTTGTGTTCGTGCCCACAACGCGCACGAGCCTGATGCCTTGTAATCATGCAGCTGCCTGCGTACGTGTATCCATAGAAGTTGGAAAGCATGGCGTGACGATGATCAACTACATAACCCCTCTTTCAGCCTTCTCCCTCTCGCAGTAGACCATTCCGCCTTGCTTCCTATCACTGTCGAGGCAATGCTACATTTCTGTATCTCTCCGATGCTCAAGGAAGCTGTTGAGCTCAGAATCGACGAGCTAGGCCGCGCAAAAGATGCCTTCATACGTCACTACCAGTCCAATGCTACTTCGGCGGCGAATGATAACACTATCGTGAGGGCTAAGAAACTGCTCGAGGAAATCACCACACTCAACCCGGAGCTCGATAACGATGATGATTTGGACATCATGGCTCGTTATATAAACCAAGCCTCAACCAACCATGTTATCTCAGAGTCGAAAGTACTCAAGTTCGAACAGCAGCTCCGGGGAAAGCTTAGCAAGCATCAGAATCGTCTGGAGGTATCTACGCTACACTGTCAGCTGCTGAGAGAAGCCTTAAACACAGGATATACCGATATCTCGGCTTTCGATAAGCCTGAAAGCGTCGACCTGGAAGATGACTTCGAAGTCGTCGAACAAGAGTTAGATGAGGTGTTGGAGAGGTTCGAGAAGGAGACATTTGCTGCCAGAGATACAAATACCGAGGAAGTGAAGGCTTACCTTTCTGATCTTCTCGATGACGGAGGAGACTTGTCAAAATTCGAAGAGCTTCGGGATGAATTGCAAACATTCGAAACAGAACTCCAGACAGATGGCTTGGAGATGGACCAGGACTTCCTGATGTGGTGTATCTTGGACATTCTCAAGAACGGTATCATCAGTGAGGAGAGGAAGAAGACACTTGAAGGCTACTTGCAGTCGCCGATAGCACTGCGCGAGCTTGTGTCGGTTCTGAATATCAAGCCTGTTCGTAATTTTGCTTACAAGGACACCGAGAAAGGGCTACCCGTCACGGCATTGCAGAATGCGGATGGCCATTACTCCATCGTCGTCGAAGAGGGGGTCATTGACTCGCTCTTCTTACGAGCACTGGGCATGCGTTGGGCTATGAAGCTCAAAAGCTGCCTTAACCAGTTCAAACGCTACAGTTCAGCATTCATGTCTCCGAATCTATCCGAGGGGGAAATAGACAAGCGCTCATACTTTCTCGATCGAGACCCTGGCGAGATTCCGACAGTAAATGCCCCATGCTCCATCTGGCCACCGAACTTTCCACCTGTTCCTATGCCGCCACCGCCCATGGACATGGGCATGGGAATGCCCCCTCCACCTCCTCCTCCACCTCCTGCCGCCATGGTTGTACCTTCTAAGAAGAGATACAAGAGCATGAAGAACCAGCTGTGCTATCCACCTCCACCTCCACCATCTCACTGTGGAAGTATAGCATATAGGAGGCATGCCAATTACACCCAACAGTACTTCATGTCGCGTCTACCAACCGAGATCGGAAGCACTCCAAATGTCAAGCCCGCAGAGGAAGTCCAGGCAGGCCTAATCAAAACACTTGCAGTGGAAAGAAGGATTCGGAAAGGGCTTGACGGCCAGGCCCATGCAGGCTCCGCTCACTTCAAGTCGTTGGCGTCCTTGCTTCCACACCAAACCATCCTGACCGTGCTCGAGTTCCTAGGTTTTAGTCAATCGTCCCTAGATTTATTCGGGAGCTTCCTGTCTGCCAAACTCAACATTGGTCCTGCGGTTCGCGGAGCTCCAGATCGTGTCCTACCACGTGCTCGCGGCGTACCTGATGGCCATGCTCTTGAGTTGGTCTTCACGGAGGCAGTCATGTTCTTCCTTGAGTTGGCTTTGAGCAAGAAGACAACCTCTGTTCTGTACAGGCTCAAAGACAGTTGCTACTTCGTGGGCAACGACGAAGAGTACAAGCTATACCAGTACGAGGTCAGGACTTTTGCCAAAATAATGGGCCTAGAGGTTGAAATGGAAGAAACGCAATCGATAGGCCTTTTGAGCCTCGATACAGGGATCGAAACTGACAAGGTCGTCACTTACGCCCATCGTATCAAGAAGCAACTACAGGGTTGTAACAGTGTGCTCGAATGGGTTGGTCTCTGGAATAACACAATTGGCACGTACGCTGCGCACTTATTTGGTCCTCTGGCGAATGTGTTCGGCAAGGCTCATCAGGAAGAAGTGAAGGAGACATACAATGTCATCTACGACATCATCTTCAATGGAGGCAGCCTGACTGCTCACGTTGAGAGTCTCCTAGCCACATCCGGCCTTACCAACCCACCCGTTTCAATCGACGCACTCGTCTACCTCCCCCAAGCCTACGGTGGCCTCGGTGTGAAGAACCCATTCATCACGCTAGGTCTCGCCCAACATCTCCCCGATGACCCCAACGCCGATCTCATAACCTACCTCGAAGACGAAGACTTGTACTACAAACGCGCTGCCGAGAACTACGCTCTCTTCGATGCCAATGTGTACGCCCGCAAACTCAACTACATCTTCAACAACGACAAGGCGCGCATGGATGCGGCAGTGGGTCCAGGTCGCGATCTGAACATCTTCATGACGAAGGAAGAACTCGTGGCAAATCGTGAGAAGACTACCTATCCCAATCTACTCACTCCCCCTGGGTACCCGTACGTGTTCACGTCGACAAAACTGCCGTCACTCTACGACGTGTACCGTGACATGCTGTCGGAGCCAAAGGACGAGATGCCCGAGAGCGAAAAGATCACGGACGAGGTTACACGACTGGAGGACAAGGGTGACATGGAGTCCTGGCGCAGCTTGAGCGCCGAGGATAAATGGGTGTTGCAGTTGTATGGTGACGAGTGTTTCGAGAAGTTTGGCGGGTTGGAGATTTGGATCGGGGAGCATGTGCCGCAGGAAGTGTTGAAGTTGGTTAGGGGTGTGGCTTGGGAGGACGACGATGGCAGTAGCGATACGACGGAGCCGTGATGGAGCTAGACTTCGAGTGAGAGGAGGGTAATTTGTTCTCGGTGGAGGGTATGTTTTCTTGTACGCTGTAATGTGGCCACGTTCGTGCGATTAATGAAAGCGATTCCATTGTCATTGGGATGACTGCTGCGCGCCGGTGAGGCATAATAGTGGCTGTGCACTTGTGAATCATCAGCAAACATACGCAAGTGGTAAGTTCAATGTGGTGGATGGATTTGGCCTGGCTTGCCGATAATTCTGTAACAATTCGCGGATTCCAATCCAAGGTACCTTGCACATATATAGTACAGATATACAAAGCATATCGCAATACGCCTATTTGATCTTCTTGTTCTTGAGCTTGATCGTCTCCCCGTCCACAAAGATACCCTTGCCCTTGTACGGCTCCGGTACCCTCCACTTCCGGATATTCGCCGCGAACTGCATGACCACCTCCCTCTCTGGCCCCTCGAGCAGTAGTCGCGTAGGCTGCGGGGTACTCGCGACGACGCCTTTTGGTATGCCGAGCTCGACTGGGTGAGAGTAGCCCACCTTCAGGTTGACAAACTTCTGCCCGGGGTATTCGGACTTGACAGTGGTAGCAGTATTCTCGACTGAGGCACGGAAACCGACACCGACGAAGCGGAGAATGGAGCTGTGTCCTTCGCTGACACCTAGTATGTGGTTTTGAAGGTATGCGCGTGTGGTACCTAGCATTCTTAGTATGGAGACCTTTTACCAGGGAAGCAATTAAGACGTACCCCACATAGCCTTTTGCTTCGCATCTGTCGAATCTTGTATCGACAATGTCGGCCCAGGCAACTTCGGGTCTTGGTCGATCTTGATGTAAGGCGGGACGTCCATTGAGAGCTCTCCTAGCGGACCCTTGATGTGTACTGTCGACATGGCTTGCGTCCTCGTCCCTCTACCCTTGGCTGGAGGCGCTATTATATTGAGCGTAACGCCTTGTGGGACTGAGAGCGGCAGGGAGCCGATTTTTGACTGGCATGGTGAGGTCGTTGTAAAATTCCTGGATGACGGCGTGCGGAACAGAGCGGGTAAGAGAAACGTCGGGATTGAGTCCGATGACTGTACTGAAGGTTGCGATACCCATTGGGCGCACCGCCGTCGTGCTGGGGCAAACATGGTGTTGAAGCTGTGGATGGCTTGGTCGGAGATTTCCTACAATCGATGTCCGCAGAGCCGTCGGGATCACGTGACAGGGCGACCCTCGAAACTCCAAATGTTCTTCGCCCCACCATCACCATCACCTCTTTGCTTCACAGCCGTGCCACTTCCAAGAGGGCATGCTGTACCATATCGCGTAGCGCATCGCTCTTGATTTATGCGGCTTTTGCGTCTCAGCATCGCTATAGTCCTTTGCTCGTCAACTAACCTCGCGTCCACTTACTGTCGCAGCTGGCCTTTACCTCGCCATTGCAGCTATCAAGCATCTTGCGGCAAGACGATTCGTTTAGCATCCTTCTTTTACCATAACTTTCATAGGTACTATCGCCACTAATGAATGACCCCACTGACCTTCTTCCTATGCTCGTATTACTTCTTCTCCTCTGCATTCTCATTGTCCGAGGCGACCATATCGGCAGTTTCTTATTGTTTGCGGTCTGGCTGATACTCCTTAGTCACGACACCAATCAACATGAAGTCGGCTTTCCCAGTTGCGATCTCTAGTGCGCTCACGTTGCTTCTCTCCTCTTTCCAGCTCTCAACGTCACAGTATCATTCGCCGCCTGCAAATGCAGCTCCGACAATCGACGTCGGGGCTCTTTTCCAACACACTACCTCAAGGAACCAGAGGGTGATAACGCAAGCCGTCGACTTCGTGATTTCTATGCAGACGGCCCCAACATGCACACGGATGGCTGCTTCCCACCTGATGAACGAGTGCAAGCTGCTCGAAAACGCACCAGACTTTGCCAAAGCTCGGCCCGAAGCATACCTGGACAACATCAAGACTGAGTATGCCGCCAAGCTTGCAGTATGCGAGTTGCTCAGCGCTCAGCCGCATAATCCCACACCGCCACCGAATTGCGAAATGCTTGTACCAACTTCGAAGGCGTGTGGCAGGGGTGGCACATGGTGGTACTCGCGGCCTGAGACATCCATGAACGACAAGCAATGCTACCCTGAGATCAAGGAGTATCAGTACGCCCAATGTCTCAAGACACTTCAATCATCACCGCAATACTGGACGTCTTTCAGCAACGCTCGACAAAATGCGGTCGTCATGTGTCAGGCGAGTAGAGATGCCATCGAACGCGAAAACCACCTAGACATATTCAAGAACCTGACCCAAGTCATGGGTGCTGTTTCTTCTGCTATGAAGAAGTCCACCGAGGAATATGAAGCATTGATCAAAGATCAGAAACAGTTTGCGGATAGGGTTCGGGAGGCCCAGGACCGCTTCAAGGAAGATGTACATGCTGTGCAAGAGAAAGCCCTTGCAACTGTGGGTACACTGGACACCAAGTTTCACAACTTTATGGAAACGTCGATGTCTGATCTCGTTACAGCTCTGGCAGACAACCAGAGCAACGAGATAGCGAGGATTCGCCAGGAAATGCAAGCATTCTCAGGAGACTTAATGGCAGAGAGCTCGCAGTTCGCAAGATTCTACAATGACCAGTTAGAGGCGCACCATGAGCATGCCCTCGGCAGCCTTCAAGCCAACCATGAAGCACAGATCGACAGCTACAATGTCCTGTCTGGCAGAATGAGTGCGATTCACAACACTGCCGAAAGGACTAATTTTGCGGCAAATGCTTCTTTGAACACCATCATCAGCATCGAAAAGCAGCTAGTGAACCTCTCCGGCCAAGCGGACCACATCGCTCAAGGCTTTGCCTTCTTCAGTGCACTGCCTCAGCTGCTGTCATCCCTTTTTCGCGGCATCGTCGCGACAATTGGCATTGCATTCCTGTTTAGCGTACTGAGCAAGATCAACAAAAGACTAGCTAAGGATGCTGCTGGCATTAGTAGTCTCTTGTACTTCTTTCACTTGTGCGGACTCTATCAATGGCTTGGAAACCTTCCTGTTCTGGCCGCCACCCTCCACCAACATCAAGGGGTATCCATAACCGCAAACCTTTCGTCAACCCAGAAGGCGGCTGCTCTCATTATGCTTCTCTGGGTCGGCGCCTACCCTGTCAGATGCGTCAACTTCTATCTCGGTTCTATGATCAGTGCTGTCGTCAGCAAGCTTCTAGGATCTTATTGGCTGCAACATTACAACAATGATGGTGGTTTTGGCCTCCTACCCAGCATCGAGGTTCCAGCTTCTACTGCCTCTCACAAGGCTGATCGCTTCGACAATGGCTCCCTCAATATGCACCCGCTAGCACACGCTCGGCACTCCTCCAGCCCAACCAGAGCATGAGATTCACTTCACACTGAGCGGACCACCCTTTGCGCCCGGTCCCACGAGTAATCGATATCATCTACAATCCATCACATTACACCTTACGACATTTACGAAATATCGACATATCTTATGTTTTCGGCATCACCTGTCTCAGCTACGCGTTGCGATATCATCCTATACTTCAACATTTACTCAGTAATGAACCAGCAACTGCGTCTACTTCACATTCCACATTCGGCGCATACATGGGCAACATAAAAGCGTATGGAGCACAAGCATTGCTAGAGGGCTATTGGCGTTTACTTTCTATTTTGATTTCATTTCTTAGTGCGGGCACATGATTCATCATTTACTGATAAGGGTCTATTCGGGGTCGGGAGCTTCAATTACTTCACTTTACATATACAAATTTTATGACCACTTAATTTTTCATTGCAGTTTCCTGATTGCGAGGTGTAACACCAATGATTCAAAGTGAAGTTACGCTAACCGCTGTATGGTGCAGTCATACATCAATTCCTCAACATCCTGGTCTCAATCCTCCGCATCGTCTGGCAACTCCTCGATCCGTCCCGAACGATATGCCGCCTCGACCGGATTCTCTACATTCATAACACCCGTGGCCTTGAGCCTGTTCATCGTTAGCCAGATCCGCACACTTCACTGACAAGACAACATACCGTTCAAACAACACAAACAGCCTCTCAGCCTCCCTCTCCTTCTCCTCCTGTGTCATCGGCTCACTCTCCACATGCTCCTCCCTGTCCAGCCTCTGCCCCGTAATCGGATTGACAGGAATCCCCTGCTCCATCTGCGCATGCTTCTGCACCTCTTCCTCCGGCATGGGAATGTTATTCGACATCAAGAATCCCGACGCGAATCCATATCCCACATTCTTTACGAAAGTAGACGCGTCTTTGTTCGACAGTTCGAACAACATGCTTGATATCGAGCCGCGCAGATTCGGCGTCAGCGCAGACGTGGTCAGATTAAGCAGGCGCGAGGACAGGGTGTTTGATTTGCCCAGCGGTTTGTCGCGTTCCTCTGGGGTCGGGAGGATGCGGGTTTGCATGTGCTTCTTGACGTCTTCCGGTGCGATTTCGTAGATGCGTCGGATGAGAGTTAATACGGGGGCGATTGTGGCGTCGAGCTCGGCGGCGGGGTATGCGATGATGGAGGTGTCGAGGATGGCGATAAGGTGCTCAGCGTTGCATTTGGGGTCGAAGGAGGGGAATACGGCGTTATGGCCAAAGGAGGATTGTTGCAGGCCTTTGCTGTCTTCAAGGTCGAGGTTGAGCAGCGCGTTGACAAGGAAATTAGTGGGCGCGGTGAGTGGGGGCTGGGGTATACCGCGGCGAACGAGCATTTTGAAGAGGTTCGGTATGGAGTTGGAGAAGTGCTCGGTGAGGTCCGGGTGGAAGTGGGTGATGTTGAAGAGCAGTTTGAGGGTTTCTGACAACGCCATGAGCTCCATTGGGTGTGTATGCTCCTGTGAGGGCTTCCATGATGACTTTGAGTATTTCTTTGCATGGCGGGCTATGGCGGCGTTGATGTTGTCTGCCAGATGGTTTTCGCGCACGAGTTGTGGATAGTCGAGGGTTGTGTCGTAAGTGGTGAGGAAAAGAACGCGGGAGATCAGGAACTCGTCGTCGGCGCTTTCGCTCTGCGGAAGCGTCAATAGACATTATATGACCCAGGCGACTATCATGTGCCTACCTTGAGCTTCTCTGCCGCATGCGGTGCATGTCCGAGATCTACCAGTATCTGGCGCGTCTGTGGCTGTAAAAGTAGGGCATTGGCTATGCACCGCAGCGCTTCCTGGGAAGTGGACGTCTCTTTGCCTTCGAAAGCATATCGACCCAGTGTTTGCAGACCCTTTGTATCTCAGTGTAGCCCTCCGAGGTTGTGTTGGTGGTCAACGTACGTCCTTTGTGAAGATGGGTTCTGAGTTCTCGACGGCACGACCGTAGACTTTGAGCTGTTCAAGAAGCTGCTTGTTTTCTAGTCAGTTGTTAAGCATGTATGCATGAGTGTGCCCGGAATTGTGGCTTACGCTGGGTGGACGATGTCGAGCCGTCAAAGCCAGTCTTTAGCTCAGACAGTATTCGGGACACATCATCTAGCTTTGCTATACCGTGTTAGCAAATTTGGCTATTTGATGCTGCTGGTTGGTTATATTATGCACCTTTCCCTGACTTTTGCGCGAACATGTTGCCAGGTATCTGGCGTCGATGGTCGTGGTGCAGCATGGAGCTTTCGGGACATTGATGCCCCACCAGGAACGCGGAACCGCGGCCATGGACAACATTCAGGGTCCACCAAAGGCTGGGGACGAACAAGGTGATGGATGCCTACATGGAGTATTGGCACCAACAACAGTCGCACTGTTCATCACGGGACATGGAATCGTACTCGCGTACTTTGAAAATATATCGCATAACAAAGAACAATATTCAATCAGACCGACTCCGCATGTCGCTCGAGCAATGACAGGACAATAACGCAGTGCACATAGGAATTCAGTTCACACTTCATGTATACAGTGAAACGGCCGCTTTTCCTCCTTTTCATCCGAAAGACATGGGACGGATAGCTCGTTGCTGGTGAGATGGCACTTTGGGACTGTTTCGGCCTAGGCGCGAACGTGCAGGAAGGTACGCGACTAGCGTGTTAACTGGGCCCTTCGCACGCGTAGGTGCATGCTGGACCTCGATATCTCGTGCACTTGGCCCTCAACTGCTGCTCGTCAAGCAATGCGAGCACCACTATTCACTTTGTCTGTTTGTTTCTGTTAGTTTCCTTCTAGCATAGCCATGGTGTTTTCCAAGTTTGATTCCCTTTCTGTTCGGCCACCGACACCCCCAAAAGATCTCGAAGATCAACCCCAAGCAGCCGACGAGGCGCTCAACCAATTCCTCGAGGACCCGTTCGGCGAAACGCCCGCGCTGCCAAAAGTCGTTGCGGCCACCAAGAATCTGCTCAACACACCGGAGCAGTCGCCCTCTTCCGACATCAGCATCCCCTCGAGCTCCGCTAGCAGCAGGAAGCGCGTCAACTTCGAGCTTCAGCTATGCACTACACCCCACAAAAAGGCAATCGCACGGTCCTGGACGCCCTCACGTAGCTCTCCACTGCGACCGCTACCACAAACGCGCGTTTCGAGACCTCTAAAGTCGATCCTCAAGCCCTCGGACGAGACGGCAACTCCTCCACCCAACGACGAAGGCGCCACGGCGCACAAGTTCAAGACATTTGCAGAGATGCTGGAGTCTATAGTGAAGCTCCTTGCTTCATCAGAGCGGCCCTCGCGCATGGACGCATATCACTCCCTGCAGAGGACCATGCAAGCCTACGACAAATTGCCCGACGAGCAAGCTCTGAAGCGGAAAATGTCACTCCTGACCCAATTCATAAGACGCGACGTACAGGCGCAAAGTCCGACCGGGACTGGGCTCGACTCACAAATGGTTGGCCAATCTCTAAAGCTGCTCATGGCTCTGTTTCGAATCACGGAGGCAGCAGCAGCCATGGACGATGACTTCTGCGCCTTCATTGTTGATCGCAGCATACAGGTGGCAGCCGACAGCACTATGCCCAAAATCATTGTGAACACCCACCTGGCGACTTTGATGCAGCAAAATTTCCGCCCTAAGATCATGAACAACGCTCGCGTGGAGAAGCTACTGGACGTGTTAGACACCATCCACGAGCGCATTGGGGGCTTCTCAGTACAGGCATATCGCATACGCATCTTTCGCAAGCTGATCCCACAGCGACCCGACGTCATGATCAAACATACCGAACGCTGGTTCAAGCACTTACTCAAAGCTTTCATGGCAACCCAGAAGGACATCAACCAGAGTGCCCTGGACATGGCACTGACTGCCGCAAAGACTATTGGGGACGACCGCCATGTTGCTAAATCCTGCCTAGCCATACTCAACCGTGGAGCTCCCGTAGTGAAACTCTTCACAAAAGAGCTCGAGAAGATGCTGGGAGGCGATCATGCCGCTCTGGTACCCCAAATATGGGCTGCCGTGACTGTCTTACTGCGGGACTCAATGAATAGCGAAGCGTTCCCATCACTCAAGGAATGGCTGGAGCTGTTCCAAAAGTGCATAGCGTCTTCCAAGGACGCGGTAAGAATACAAACGAACGTTGCATTTTCCTTTCTCCTCTATGCCGTCAATCTCGCGCCTGACACTTCTGATGGCTGGACAAAAATGTTCCTCAGGATTCCGCAACACCAATTTCAACGACATTTTCCCCAAAAGATGCAGGAACGCAACGTTGTATCATCTGGATACCTCACCTTGCTATACTACGCCTTCCGACCAACGGCTTCTCATGCGCAACTCGATCGTTATTGGCGAGAATTCGTTGCCAACTTCTGGACAACATTATTGCACGATGCGGCAGGATCCGTACATACCGTTGCCGCATGTCGCATCGTTTCAGCGCTACTGAACGGAACACGACGACCGTGGCAAGAGCAACGAGCTCTAGATCAAAGGCCTCAGGCCATGGTTCAGCCTGGTGAACTTCCGGTGCTCGATCCAAAATGGGTCCGACGGTCGCTCCCCGCTATCCTACCGTTGGTAGAGACTCTACTGGATGCAACACCTTTCTCTGAAAAAGAAGAGCAAGAAGACGAGCCTATAAAGACAATGTGGTCGGCAGTTCTCACATCTCTGGTCGAAGCAAGCAGCAAAGAGGTGATGGCGTCAAGTGAGACAAAAGATGCCATGGCACATATCGTTAATCTGCTTCGTCGCGTATGGGATAGTCAAACGGCACAGCTGGCTGTAACGCAGCAAAACGAGGACACATGGGCGAACAAATTCTGCTTCCTCATTGAAAGTGTTGTCCAGAAGCTTGGCGCTTTTCATTTCGCAGAGAAATGCCTTATCCGGAATGGGTCAGACGAGTTTGAGGTCGCTTCTACGCCATCACATCGTTCACGCCAGCACGGTACACGAATATCGCCCCTGCTCTATTGTATCGATCTACTGGTCAACCAGTCCGAGGGCAAGCTGCCTGATGCCATTCGTTTACGAGCTATCAATTTGATGCTGGAACCTTGCTTCAACACTCAAAATACCCGCCTCGGCAGATTAGAACTCCTCCGGGAGTGTTCAGCTGCTGTTGACAAGTCCTTGAGCACAACCTTTGCTCCAAGCTTCTGGATGTCCATTGCATCATTACTGCAGTTGTCTCTACAACAAACCACATCAGACTCATCCGAACCAGAAATGAGGCCGCTGGGCAAAGAGTATGAAATGGTAGTTGATGTTCTCGAACTAGGGTCTTCATGTTTCTTGATAGAACCCCGGGGTCACGAAGTTCTATCTGTTTTCATTGAAACTGTTCGAAAAGAGGCTGGAGAATCAGCAATCATTCTCGCCGTCATTGAAAAGGTCTCGGATCGTGTGCTGAAGCGTACACCCAACGGAGAGGAAAGATCGTGTTTGCCCTACATTACTACTCTGCTACAAAATCTACCAAAGCAGACCAATCGACGAAGCTTAGAGCAAGGACGACAGATCCTTTGGCCCTCGTCACCAGCCATCGGCAGGCATCCTGATTTCGACCCCTATACCCATCTCTACGCCGCCATTATCTCCGTAGGAACTGCTGCATACGAGAAGCTGGACACTGACAAGGTTGACACAACCGTGAAATTTCTTGTTGCTTTAGCTACGTCGATCAAGGACTGCGCAACATCCCATCTCGCTGTCTACCTTCGCAAGACCCAAGAAGTTATCCGGATGTGGGTTCAGGATGCTGACCGCAAAATGCAGAGTTCAGCGCAATCACTGAAAGCGCTGCATGGCGAGGTATGTGGAACAGTCCCTATCAATTAACAGGTACTAATCTATACAGGTTGTTGGCTTGTGGATGGAAGTGACTAAGGCTATTGAACGACTGCCGCGTAAGGATGGGCAGATTCTGTTACACCTTGAGCCCCTCATTACTGCCGGGTTCGTGAGCAGACGTCGAGACATTGTGAATATCTCTATCGCGACTTGGAACAAGACTTTCGGAAAAGAGGAGAGCTTACGATATCCCTCTCAACTTGAGCAGGCCTTGCGTCGCCTTCGCAACACTGTGGAACTATCTCTGCCGTCGCTGCCAGCTCTAGAAGGGGACAGTGTCGATGGTCTATCTTTCTACGAATCGGATAGTAGCACTGAGGAGGCCCGTCCAGCTTACAAGAGTCCTCGTATCCGGGGATCACCCTTCAAGATCATCAAATCTGCTCGCAAGTCCACCACGCGGTCACCGGCACTTTCGACACCAGGAAGCAGAAGGACTTCAGCACGCCAAACACCAAAGGTCCGCTTACGTCATGACAACTCACAAATCCAATTCGAACCCATCGTCTCATCCCCCTCGAACCCATTCAACCAAGAATCACAGGTTTTGACAGAACGACAGAAAGAGATGATCGAGCGCCAGAATCTTTCTGGTGGCCTGTTCGCAGATATGGGGGCGCCATCACCTCAACTTGATGCCGCACCATCCCCAATGGAGCTGCACTCGGATGCAATGACCGCGGACGATCTGCCAATGAGCAATGCTCGCACGACTCCATCGAAAGCTTTGGCTGCAATGGGCCCGATGGATGCTTTCCTTGGGTCCTCTCCTACTCCACATGCTCGAAAGAATACCCGAAAAATTACCAGCGATGATACAAGCCTGGCCACTCCCACTGCTGTGCGAACGGTGAAGCTCGCCAACAAGGACGATCTAGGCTCTTCTCCGCCTCGATTTGAGAAGGAAAGTGCGGTGAACGCAGAGCAAGCCAACAGTGATATTCTTGTTGGGTCAAGCTTCGATTACCGGCAACCCGAAACCCCTTACGACACATCATTTGATGAAGGTACCACCATTGACGAGGATGCTCTTCTCGACGCTGTGGCCAAGCATTCACAGAACGAAGACCCGTCCGAGGTTGAGCCTTTCTCTGACGTCGTTATGTCCGATGTACCTAGTTCGACCATCGACGTGCAGCTTACAGCACAGCTTGATGCTGATATAAAAGCGCAAACAGGAACTGGGACGGACGCCACAGGCAAACCTGCTCCAGAATCGAACAATGAGTTTGTGGATGCCACTTCTCAGCCACAATCATCAATGGTTCATATTGACCAAGTTGGCAGCGACACAGAGGTCGACGAGTCGGAACCTCCTCAATCTATGGTCAAGAAAACCTCGCGTGTGTCTAGAATGGACACGAGGAGCACAAGCCGGGTTGGTGATTCCTTCGACAGCACACCGAGATCCAAGAGAGGGACGCCGCAGTCTCAGAGCGTGCGGCGCTCTTTCCGTCAATCAGGGACCCCGAGTCCACTGCTATCCCTTGGTGCTCAGAAGCAACGCAAATTGACACCAGCAAAATCCGTGGCACGGTCAAAGAAGACTACAATGGAAGAGCCACAAGAGGAGCCGAACTCTACAGAACCGGTCGCAAATGAACAGCCCGACTCAGATGGCATGCTCGACAACATCGTTGTTGACATGTCCCCCAAGAAAGGCCTATCTCGTGGCAGGAAGCGCAAGTCCACAAGCGATGCAGAAGTCGTTGTCCCCGAGACTCATCGCAAGAGGGGTCCAGTCCGCCGCTCGCAGTCCCTGCTCAGCCAAGTGGAAAATTCTCAAGACGTGTTTGTCGAGGACACTCCTGCGCCCAAGCGTGCCCGTCAATCTGCCAGCCAGGATGTCAGCGAAACTAAGAACTCACAAGCCCAGACTAAGCGTCTGAGCCACGTCCAAGTCACGCCCAAGCGTTCGTCAGAATCCGGCCGTAGCAGTTCACTAGCCGGTTCTACACCTGCTCGAGAGGCTGCATCAACACCTGCAGTCGCACCTACACCTGCCATCTGCGAGCCTTCAGCGTCACAGCAAGCTGGTGTTGCAGCGACACCGAGTCGATCATTCACAGAGCGCGTTATTCTCACGCCAAGAAGCATTATCAATCAGCTGAAGAGCCTGAAGGACTATCTCTTTAGTGCACCGCAGCTCGTAATCGGTCGTGAGGAGGAAAGGGAGATTGATGATGCCTTGTTTGACATTCGCAGGAGTGTTTTGAAGGCTGGATTAAGGGGCGAGAAGGATGGGGAGCAGAAGTGATGATTCTAGTGTGGAATATCTGATAGCGATTATGAGTTCTGGAGAGGCATAGTGTAGGATACGGATAGTATTGTTGGATTACGATTGGGCACGAGGGTGAATGGGGATGATACCACTATTAGGAATAGGAATTGAATGCATATCAACGACTATGTGTGTGCACTACTTCTCAGTCTTTTTTCTCATGTCGTAGAGTAGATCAAAATAGTTTTTGGCGACAGCAATGGTTAGATGGACATGGCAAAGCCCTTCGCCTAGAGCGGATATGCCGATTTTGTGTTCGCCTGAAAAAGTGCGGATCCCGTTACGCCTCTTCACCATTCGTTCACCAGAATGCTGTGCTGCACGGCAGATAGTTACACGTCGATAATACAATGGTCATGAGTCGACAAAAGCGGATGCTGCCGCGATCGGCCCGTTCGGTATCCACAGCTACGTGGCCCAGGATGAAGGCCGGTCAATGCAGGTGAATGTATTTTAGCGGTGGAAGACGCACAGAAGGGCGGGTATTGTCTTGGGACTTCCAATGATTTACAAAGATGTGGCATAAGCGAGGACGAAGCAGTTCACCTGAAACGTGGATACGCGTTTCATGTCTAGGTGCATCATAGTGGGGTTGAGCTGTTGGTCGAGCTACTGCCCCTCCTTCCTTCCATCACCAACTACATTAAGCAAACAACGTCCCTTGTGTCCATTGGTAAGACCTTTCCATCGCTTGCTCGCAGATCAAGCAATTGATTGAGTGTCGTAGTGAAACGACAAGACAAGTCCATCTGCTCGATATCAACTCAAGCTCCACAACACACGGCCATCGCCTCGAACTAGACACCACCTTTCCATCCACTCACCATGGTCGACCGCGCGAACCGCCCCAGCGCTCTCAGCGCACCCAAGGCCGAAGCACCCGGAGCTCAGGTTGAGATCATTGGACAAGGAGGAAGCCAGAAGGTCGTCGCCACACTTGCCTCGGGCGAGAGCGTCGAGGTGTTGCTATTTGGAGCTACCGTGACGAGCTGGAAGAGCCATGGCGGCAAGACGGAGAACCTGTGGTTGAGCGAGAAGGCAGACTTGACTGGCACCAAGGCTGTCCGCGGCGGCATTCCCGTCGTGTTCCCGGTAAGCTCAAACACTGAGATGCGGACATGGAGGTCGGGCCCAAGCATCGTGAGCATCATCTGACAGCTGTCACCAGGTATTCGGCCCCCCACCAAAGTCAGGCCATGCTACCTCATCGCTCCCACAGCACGGTTTCGCTCGCGCATCACGCTGGGAGTTCCTTGGCAAGTCCGACACAGAGGCTGCCTCAGAATCAGACTCGGTCAAGCTCGACTTCGGCCTCGACAGGTCGGGACTCAGCGATGAGGCGCGCAAGGCGTGGCCTCTGGACTTTGGCCTGGTCTACAGCGTCACATTGAGCAAGGGCAGTCTGCAGACTATGATGACGGTCCGCAATGAGGGCGAGGAGAGCTTCGAGTTCCAGTTCTTGCTGCACAGCTACTGGAAGATTTCGGTGAGTCAACAACAAACCCTCTGTTCTTTCTCGTGCCTTGCTGACGTGCTGTTTAGGACATCTCCAAGGTCAGCGTCACCGGCTTGTCCGGCACCGAGTACGTCGACAAGGTCCTCGACGCAGGTACATACCAGCAGAAGGACAACGCCCTCAAGTTCACGGGCGAAGTCGACCGCGTCTACAAGGCGATCCCACAGGACACGACCTCCATCCTCGAGGATGGCAAACCCCGCTTCGATGTCATCCGCGACAACGTCAAGGACACGGTCACCTGGAACCCGTGGATCGAGAAGGCAAAGGCCATGGGCGACTTCTCGCCAGACGACGGCTACAAGACCATGGTCTGTATCGAGATTGGCGCTGTGGACGGCTGGCAGAAGTTGGAGAAAGGCGAGGTTTGGGAGGGCGGTCAGTTGGTCAAGAGCTTGCTGTAAGCGACTTGTGTGCATGGCTCTACAAGAGGTCGAGGTTGTCTGTGGTTGCTACAAAATGACATGCACTAGTCTAGAAGGATTGAAGAATCTATTCCCGGCATAAACAACAAGTACCGGACTACCCTTGCTTGATACGTGTATGCGAAGCCTAGCAGAGATGGAAATTGTGGAAATTGCATATGTACGGTAAGCAGCCGGCAGCTCCAACGAGCCAATGACTTGGCCGGAGACACATGTGGTGCAGTGCCTTTGAAAGGTGGTCATATACACCCGATGACATGAGATGGGGGACCCTGGTGCTGTCACCAGCGCTCTCCCGCCATATCCCTACAGCATTCACCACAACAACATGGCATGACAACAGCGAGCGCAATCCACCTCAGCCGGCAATGCGCAGTCAAAATAAACACACTTCCCACCGCGCTCTGTATTGCCTGAGGCCGTGGGTAATCGACTGACCGCACGTCACATCGTCTCCATAACAGACCCGCAGCTTCCCCGCAAATCATCGCACGCACGTACATTCCGTCGCCTCAGGTTCACCGGTGTTTGCTTCATCGGCTTAGAGTCGCATACGCTCGGGCATTCATTTGCCGCCAACAACACATTTGCGCTATCAACATAGCAGTTGTTGTGGTGCTTTAAGCAATGCGTGGTTGAGGGACATCGACTGTACACAACCGACGACCGCGAACATCACCGAAGCATGTCGCTAATACCATATGCGCCAGCAGAGTCCCGCGAAATCGTCTTGTATGTTTTACAAGGCTCTCTGGAACTTTCTTCACTTTGGCACAAAGCTAATAAGTGCTCGCAGACGCCACGGCTCCGCAGTAGTAGTGTACGACCAGCGCTCCAGACAACTCTCCCTCCGCGATGCGTCCCGGTCTTCCATAGTCGATGACACGTCATGCCCATACTGTCGCCGACCATATCGCGATCCTTCGCCTCACGCAGATGACAGCAGCGATCATACACACCCACCTCGTACACCCCGCGCAGGAGGCATACCCGATGCGGAGAATGGCTTTGTCAACCCTGCATATTTCCAGATGCTACGGAGAAGTCAACCTGGCTCTGCAGACGTATCGCGGCCTTCATCCCCGCACAAGCAGCTTGCTCCTGCGCCTATAAACGATAGACAAGGCCGATTCCAATCTCCAGATGATGGGGACTTTGTGGGCAGTGCACCAGTGCCTCCTCGGAATATATCAGCGAAGGCGTTCAGCCCAGACTATTTCAAGACGTTCTTTGTGGAAGAGAGGGAGCTAGGAAGAGGGGGCAAGGGCGTTGTACTCCTCGTGCAGCACGTCCTGGACGGCGTTCAGCTGGGCAAATTCGCATGCAAGCGCGTGCCCGTGGGAGACGACCACGAGTGGCTTGAGAAGGTCTTGATCGAAGTACAACTTCTACAGAATCTGTCACATGAGAACCTCGTCTCGTACCGCCATGTGTGGCTGGAAGACTTTCAGATCTCCAACTTTGGGCCCAGTGTACCATGCGCTTTCATCTTGCAGCAGTATTGCAATGCTGGAGACTTGCACGACTATATATTGGACTCGGCAAGGACGAAGATTACGAAAGAGCAGATGAAAGAGCGGCTGAGAAGGAGGTCAAAAGGTCACCTGGAAGATCCGCAGGATATCCATGGGCCGCGACGCATGCCTTTTGAGGAGATTATCTCGTTCTTCAAGGACATCACCTCGGGCTTGAATCATCTCCACGCGAATGGGTACATCCATCGCGACTTGAAGCCCAGCAACTGTCTACTCCACAACACTGGACACAAGATAAAAGTTCTAGTCAGCGATTTTGGTGAAGTGCAATCTGCGAACGTCGCCAGGAACTCGACTGGCGCTACTGGGACAATCTCATATTGCGCGCCAGAGGTACTTCGTCAAGAGAGACCAGGCGGCGCATTCGGTAACTTCACGACGAAATCAGACATATTCTCGCTAGGCATGATTGTCTACTTTATGTGCTTTGGCCGACTGCCGTATCGGAATGCAGATGGTATAGACGAGGATAACGAGGATCTGGACCAACTTAGAGCGGAGATCTCGACATGGGCGGGCATTGACGATGAGCAGCGTGTGCGATCAGATCTACCGGAGAAGCTTTACAGGTCACTGAAACGCCTCCTTGCTTTACGACCAGACGACCGTCCAGGGACTGAAGAGATTATGCAGGTTTTGAAGTCACCAGCGTTGTTTGACGAATTCAACACATACGGTGGCCCGTCGTCCGATCTCGATGACTTTACTCCACGCATCAGTCGAGCGGACACACCTAGTCCATCGCCTGAGTCTCACAGAAAACGTACCTCTATACACTACACCAGACCAGGCCGCTCAAATCTCAGCGCATCAGTCATGGACCGATCACCTAGTCCGCCGCAACCAGAGCCCATGAAGAGGGAATCATCGGACGAAGGAGCCGTCATGCTCAGACACAAGAAACTAGAATTCCCACCCCCACAGTCCATGACCCGCACACCCTCACCCCAAAGACTTATGCTACCTCCACCGCCTTCACCAAATGCCATGTCTCGCTTTCGCCTTGCCTTGCGGAATCCACTCTTCATCGGCACAGCTAAGATCCTGTTCTTCTGTATCAAAGCATACACTCTGCTCTCTCCCTGCCAGCCATTTGCCGCGGATCCACGTGTTGCGTATCCGCTGCTTGCGTTTGCATCAGTCGACTTTTTATTTCTGGGCTTGGGAATTACCGTTGCTGGCAGACACGTGCGGCTAGATAGCCTGTCTGTGACTGTACTTTTGCTGGCGATGCATGTTGCTGTTGTTGGAATGGCAGTGAGATGGGATGGCCTGTGTGCGAGGAGACAGGTTGCTTGGGCGGGATTCTGAAGTAACAGGTGTTGTTTTGGATTTGAGATACCTCTTTGTTTCTTGATTGGGGAATATGAATGATAATTAATGTGCATTACATGGTTTCCAGACGATGACTCGATGATTGTCGTGACTTCAATATGGATGACTAGTTTTGTCTCATGGCCATTGTCAATGATGTATGACTGTTCATGAGACAACCACAACATACAACAAGCACTAAGATCTCGCAAGTTCAACCAAAGGGCAAAGTTTATCAGGTGTTCTAAGCGCGGGGCTGGGGAACGACATCGCGGGTGGGCACGGGCGGTCCGTGCTAGCGCAAGTGTCAGCGCGCTCTAGTTTGTTTACGAACAACAACAACGCCTCATCTTCAATCTTTCATTGCACTTTCCGCAAACGCGTTCTATACCACCCGATCTTGCACGGGCTGGACAGTCTGTTTGTTCTAGTCTTTGGAGCAGCAGCCTTTTCCGCAGCATCTTTTCACTATACCCTATTAACGTATTCACGACGCGACACGCTGCACAATGCAATCCTCCCCTCCCAACAGCGCTGGGAAAGCACGCACTCTCCGAGAACTCTCACGCAGCTTGAGCCACAGCCCCAGAGACATTCCCTCACCATCACCACCACCAAGTGACTCGAACCCCACCCAACGGTCTGGCTTTGGCGAAGAAACTAATTCGGAATTCTTCAACGATCCAGACTTTTTGCACTCTACACAACACAGGATCGAGGACGAGACAAACACTCTCCCACAGTACCCGCGTATACGGTCAACGGCGAAGAAGGTCAACGCGTGGCACATGCTTCGCTCAGAGCAGCCCGTGCCAGACACGTCAATGGTCAACAAGGAGTTTGGCGACTTTGACCAAAGCATTTCAGACGAAGAAGAGGCCATGTCGGTAGAGCAGGCGCGTGGAAACGGCCGTAGCGCCCACGGCACGCCAAGCAAAATGAGCTCCCATTTCAACAGCCTCTACGATATTACACCTCCTAGCAACCGCACGCGCAAGTCTTATGCCGCTGAGACCGGAAGCCTTCGACGCGACGCCCAGATCCGACGCGCCTCACGAAACGACCTCGACACCGCGTCACCACGTCCGGCAAGCAAGCGCAATTCGCCAGCCCTGCCTGCTAAGCAAGACCGCAGCCGCACCTCACTTGCCCAGCTGCACGCGAAGCTCTCCGAGGACGAGTCTTCGTTCATGGACCACAGACCACCAACGCTCACCATGGAGTCAACCAAGAACACACGCTGGGGCAACCGAAGCAGGCACACGTCCCTACAGATTGACGGCACAGTAGATCCAGCCCCACGCAACAGTGCAACACCCCGATCACGAGCAGCTGCCGCTCAGAACGCGACTGCGCAGTCGTTCATTCTGCCCGATCTTCCCAACCTCACCGAGCTGGTCTCCGGAGTATTCGAGGATGGCACTCCCGTCTTTTCCAAGACTATGCCGGCGCGTTCGCGATTTTCCGCGCCTCCCAATGGCGGCCGGAAACCCCAGTTCACCCCAATCGAGGGTGTTCCGATTCCTGATGAGGAAAAGGCCATCTTTGCTGCGCTTCAATTACTCCAAGACAAGGTCGCGGATATGGAGCGTGAGCGTGCTGAGGCAGAGAAGAAGATCGAGGAGCAGGATCTGGAGCTGATCGAGTTACGAGCAACGACACAAGCTCAAGAGAAGCTGCGAAGAAGTGACAGCGGACAAGATTCGGACGCTGGCAAAGGTAGTTGGAAAGTCGAGAAGACGCGTAAGTTTTGTGTAAATAGGTGTGAAAGTTTACCCTAACATGGACAGGCCTCGACGCGACTGTCCAAACTCTGCGAACAAAACTCGATCGAGCGGAGCGAAAGACTGCGGTTCTGGAGATTGAGAAGAAGCGCTTGAACACAGAGCGGGACAACATGGCTGGACAGCTTGGTGTGGCCTTCCAGACATGTGAGGAGCTTAAGAGTGAGAAGAACGCGTTGGCTCAAGAGAATAAGGGTCTGCGAGAGGAAATTGATGCTCTTCGAGCTGAGAACGAGGCACTCCGGGACCAGCTGGATCAGGAACACTCTCAGCACCGCGAAGAGACCACCAAGCTTCGTCGCCAGTTTGACCAGACCGCGAATGCAACTGAGAAGGAGAACGCGACACTACACGCTGAGCTCGCCCGTATTCGCGCAAAGCACGACGACAACACACAACAATTGGCTCGCAAGGACATTGAGTTGCGCAAGGCGCGTCAAGAGCAGGCCGAATTCGATCGTTTGAAGAACGACCACGAATCGCTCAAGGTTCAGCTGGCAAACCTCAAGGCGAAACGCGATGAGGATATCAAGCGCTGGTCCCGTCAGGAATCCACCTTGAAGTCTCAGGTTGACCGACGTGACGAGACGATTCGACACTTCCAAGACATGACCCAGGAACAGACCAACGAAGCCATGAGACTGGACAATGACAATCTTAGGGCAAGAACTTGCCCCAACTTTCTGCCCAGTACGAGGACGACAACGCAAAATGGGCGCAGAAAGAGATGACTATGAAGCGCAAGATTAAGCAGCGTGAAGGAGGCGGCTCCGCAACACTTTGGACATGACGCGCGAGGTCCTAAGCATACGCGAAGCCAACAACCAGCAATTCGACAATAATCCCTATGCTATGATGAGGGGCAAGGAGGTTGCACAAGATGATACCTTCCAGCGCAAGCCTACCTACCGCCGCGAAGACACACGCACTCGTATCAGGAACCGTGTTCAGCAAGAGGTCCAAAACAGCAAGGCAGCAAGTACATCACAGGTTGCTAGCCAACTCGAGGAGAGCCCACGCAAGGCATACACTGGAGTGTCAAGATTCTCTCAACGCACTTCTGCGCAAGCCGACCAGCATCGTAGTTTCTCTGCACCGATCAGGAGTGATAAGAACGCTCATGTCACGAGCGATGTGGAGTCCACTACCGACCTTTCGCTCGCTCCTCGCGAGACGCCATACACTTCGCGAAGTGCTGTACCTAGGAGGTCCGCTTCTATCGTCCAGCCTCCCGCTGATCTTGACCTCACGGAATTGAGCTACATCGATAGCGCTCAGATCGCTCAGCTCAGGCGTGCACTTGAAGAGGAGCGCGCTGCTGCCCGTAGGAGGGCGCAGGAGGCCTCGGAAGAGGATGAACGTGACGATACTGTCCATTCCCAGCGACAGACTCGCGAAGACACCGTGCGATCCCAGCGACAAACCCGTGAGGACACTATCCGATCTGTCGCGTCCGCTAAGAGTGAGCGTCGACCTTCCCTTCCACGCAAGTCTTCCCTCAAAGACGTCACCCGCACCAACGTTACTCAATTCGAGGAGGATGTGACTGGCAACATGTCGAACCTGGACGCGGATGCTGAGGCTACGCAGACTAAGCAATCTGCAATCGACGCATCGATGCTGAGCAACACGAGTCGCCGCCGACGCAGTGCTCCTACTGAGATGACTTCTGCATTTATTGTTCCCGACCTCAAGATCGACAACCGCAAGCAGACTACGACTACCATCAAGATCTCGCACAGTGTAAGCAGCAAGGATCATGACAACAGCAACTGTACCGTTTGTCGCCGTGAAGGCCTCACTTCCGCCACGGATGATCTCCGCGTCCCCAAGCTTGTCGCTGTGTCGTCTCGCATGCCAGATGATGCTGATGCCACCATGCGTCCAGCACGCTCGCCAAAGGAGGCTCTCGCCCTTGTAGTAAAGGAGCTGAAAGACGAGCGTGCGCATCTGCACATGGAGCTCGCCGTTATGCGCGCCATGCTCGAGTCCCACGATGTCAGCCTCGGAAATCGTAGGCGCCGTGAGATCAACGCCTCCATCCATGACATCCTCCGCCGCCTCGAGATCAAGGACACCCAGATCTACAACCTGTACGATGCTCTCGAGGGCCAACAGACCGACGACCTTACCGAGCTGGATGTCGAGAACATCACTGAGCAGATCCGCGCCGAAGAAGACAAGACACAGAACGAGCCAGAGAAGAAGGCCAAGAAGGTAACCATCCGCAGCTTCGTGGATGACGACAGCATCGAGATTGGTCGTGGCGTCACGGTCAACATGGACGGAGAGACGGAAGAGTTGCCATGGGAGGGCTTTGAGGATACAGGCATGGAGGGAGATGAGAGCTACGACGCGCTCGCTGGATGGAGGACTGGTGCGCACTAGATGCATTGGTGCTTCTTGGACAACGAGAGATTGTTGAATATGGCGAGGAGTGCTCTTCTGGGAATAGGGTACGGCGTTTTTCTGGATAAGGGATTGTGCATTACTACGGAGTACTTTTGGGTATGACATGGCGCTCTCGCTTCTTCTTCGCAGTTTGATAGTGCATGGACTGTCCTGACCATAAGTTTGTCTTTTTCTCCTTTTCTTTCTTCATGACTCCTGGTGTCGCATGCTTTTGTCTGTTCTATTTGGTTCTGACTGCTTTCGAGCTTCGACACCTTGACTCGCCTGTGAAGGCTTGAGTTGGCATCGCTTAGGGTGGTTAGAGCATGATGGGTAGAGATGAGGTTGTGGTGCTTTGGGGGTATGGTTGGAGAAGTGGTGGTGGGTAGGAGAAAGCGAATGCGAATTTTACATGTTGCAAATTATATTGCGAGACAGAGTGTGACTGGTGAAAAGACCTTGAAGCTATACAGATTTTAGCTTTGCAGTGCTCTGGGAGTACTCAGAGCTTGGACGCAACGGGCACGAATGGTTGCAACACCTAATGGCGGTAGGTCAAGACTATATAGATGCGCTACTGCTGGGAGCAAGTGTAGCTGGGGAAGTCACCAGCCTTACGGATGGTGCAAAGGCAACTTAATATTGCTCGATCAAGCAACTTGCTCAGCCAGGTAGGTTTGTCGAGGAATCCTTCTAATTTAGGTTCTAGCAAGCCTTCACTAAAGCATACTGCCTTGCGTCACGGCCGTGACATGCATTGGCCAAGAGATAATAACGAAAGTGATAGGGCTGCGAGTTTTGAGGCATTATGCCCCTCCGGCGGCCCAATCGCCCGAGACATGCTGCGGCTGAGCTACCACAAACACGACTTGCAACAAGACATTGGATGGCGAGGACCGCGTCACAGCCCGTGCTGATGACATGCCGTGCTAGCTGTCGAGGGGCAAGGCGTGTGAGGCGTAAGCTGCTGAGGCAATTTGTCCACAAAAGAAAGTCGTGCTTGAAGCTGAGACGTCAAGATACACAACAGGGTCGCGAGCTATCCGCAAGATGCACAAGAGACATATCGGTCGCACTAATTACTGTAGAGCATACACCGATAATTGCAACCGGCTGAAAAGCCGCCACGATGAACGGTTGTAGCGGTGTAGAGACGCGATCGATGGGGTCCACGGAGCTCTACCAACGAGGGACGTACCGATCCGCAGGGTAGGACTTTCTGAGGCAATTGATTGGGCGCGACGTGGGTGGCTGAAGGGATAGCGATGCGAGATGTAGGACTAGAGACAGACTAGGGTTCGTGCGTTGTGGATGCAACATTGCTGGAGCGGGCAGCTTGCGCAAGCAAGCTGGCGAGTCGCGAATGTTATAAAGACGCAGACGGACCGACCTTGGGTTGCCAAACTACTTGTTGCTCCTCGATCCTCTTCCCCATCAATCTTTTTGGCACGGCACTCATTGCTTGTTGCCGACAGTCATCTTGACTCTTCTCGAAGCGTGTGGCAAGTCCATATTCCTTCAGGGTCCTCCTATCCTTCGATTTTACCCCTCCATCTACGCCGTTGGAGCTAGCAAAAGCTTGTCATTCGGCCTGTAGACATGTCTTTCTCGGCGGAAAAAGTCAACATGCTCAAGGGAGCTTTCTCCCAGCGACGATTCTCGAGCTCCAAGGATCCCAGCGAGAGTGGTAAGTCTTCCAATTGCTTTTTCCTTGCGCGAGGATTTGCTACGTCACGCTGGAAGCACTTCAATTTCGACCTGCGGTTTCCTTGATCTTGAAGCTTGCAATAGCTTCGAACGGCCCCACGGTATCGCGTTACTATCCGGCTTGCAAGCACTCTGGGCTTCCGTAGCCTCTGGGTTCTCGAGGAACTTGGTTTCGACTGCCTGTTAGCTCGCACCACCTTCCCTGGCGATAGCTACCCCTCGATCTCAGCCGTGTCCCTCGAGCCCTCCAATCCCAGCACTTCAGTGTGCCACGCACATATGCACAATGTTGATCATTCGGACAATGGCTGGAGATGCTTGCACTGGGGTGGCTCAATGAGGCCTTGGGAATAAATGTTGTTGCAACATGCACTGACGCCCAAGCAGAACTCGGCTCAAGCGTTCACAGGCAGTTCCGATCCTCGCACGAAGGACACAAGCCACACGCTGGTCTCGACGCCACTCGTGCATCCACCGGAGTGGTATGGACGAGCGAGCAGGCCTACAAGGCAACTATACCTTTGTAATAAGATATGAAGGATATATTCGCTAACTTCTTCAAGCACGGTTTCCTCGAGAAGCCCGAGGAATGGGCAAACCTGGGACAGGGTGCGCCTGAAGTCGACGACAGCATAGAAGGATGCTTCGAGAGGCCAAGCGAGGTCGACATCTCCGCTCATGGCAGAGAGTATGGTCCAACTGCTGGTATCAGGCCCCTGAGAGAAGCGGTCGCGAAACTGTACAATGAGCACCATCGCCGGTGGAGGAAGAGCCAGTACACATGGGAGAATGTGTGCATTGTGCCTGGTGGTCGTGCGGGTTTGATCCGTATCGCCGCTGTGCTGGGCAACTGTTACTTGGGATTCTTCATTCCTGGTGAGTACAAGTGTGGGATTATCAGTCGACAAAGCTAACGTGGACCAGACTACACGGCTTACAACGAGATGCTTTCGCTCTTCAAGAACATCGCGGCCATTCCCATCCCTCTGGGCGAAGCTGACCAGTACCACATGTCGCCCGACAAGATCGCCGAGGAGATTGCCCGTGGTACTTCCGTCATTCTCACATCAAACCCCAGGAACCCGACCGGTCAGATGATCACGAACCCCGAATTGGCTCAGATCCAGAACATCTGCCGTGACCGCGCTACGTTGATCATGGACGAGTTCTACTGCGGATACAACTACACGACCAACTGCGATGGCACCGTCATCTCCGCAGCAGACAACGTCGAGGACGTCGACGAGGATGACGTGCTCATCATCGACGGTCTGACCAAGCGCTTCCGCCTCCCAGGATGGCGAGTAGCGTGGGTTATCGGCCCCAAGGAGTTTATCCAAGCCATTGGCTCCTGCGGTTCCTACCTCGACGGCGGGTGCAACGTGCCGTTCCAAGAAGCGGCCGTAGAGATGCTCTCGCCACCCAAGGTGCGCAACGAAATGCGCGCGCTGCAGATGCACTTCCGCACCAAGCGCGACTTTGTCATTGGGCGGCTGCAGGAAATCGGCTTCAAGTTCCCGTACATGCCCAACTCGACCTTCTACCTGTGGCTTGATCTGTCTGGTCTGCCAGAGGGCATCAACGACGGGCTCAACTTCTTCCAGGCGTGTCTGGAGGAGAAGGTCATTGTCGTGCCGGGTATTTTCTTCGACTTGAACCCTAGCCGGCGTAGGGATTTGTTCGATAGTCCTTGCCATCACTTTGTTAGGCTGAGTTACGGCCCGAGGATGGATGTGCTGGAGAAGGGATTGAACTCGATTGAGAGGATTGTGACCAAGTAAGTACATGCTTGGAGATTATGGTCCAGGGCGGCAACTAATCATGTGACAGGTACCGTGAGAACCCGCAGAGGCATCACCAGATGGCTGTCAGGCCCCGTGGCGGCCAGCATTAGAGGATCACACATTGTCGGCATGGTTCGATATATTCCCCACGAGTAAGATACAATGACGTGATTTCGTGTCAATACACGTCTTAGCTAGGTTCGAGGTGTACCAGGCTGTTGCATCAGATATATATTGACCTTGTTTGTGCATTTGCCTTTATTCAGGGGGGCAGAACCTGACCCTACTTGTTGTTTTTTTACTGTTCGATCAATCGAATAGGACAAGGCTGGAATTCATAAATAGTGTTTGATCTACGTGACGTCCATGCAAAGCGTGGGTATGATAGTAACGACCAGCAACGCTAAATTTCACAACAGCAGCTCGCACATGCAAAAAGCTTGAAGCTATACAAAACAAAGCGGAGGGTGGAATGCTAAGCCTTTCGCTTCGCTTCAATCAGCTTCTCAAACTCAGTGACTACATCGGGCGACATGGGATATGTATGTTCTGGCGCGGGATATGCTCGACTCTTTACTTCGGTCCTGTACTGCTCAATGGCGCCCTTTGCTTCGGTCCAGATGTTGCCGTACTGCTTGACGAATTTGGGGAGGAAGCGACCGGGTGGGAAATTGCCCAACATGTCGACCTGGACCAGGACTTGGCCCGAGCAGCCATTGCCAGCGCCAATGCCAATGGTCGGGATGCTTAGTTCTTTGGTGACGAGTGTAGCGACCTCGGCCGGCACAGCTTCCAGGACTAGGGCGAATGCGCCGGCTTCTTGTACTGCGAGAGCGTCGTCGAGTAGTTTGGCTGCGGATGCAGTGCTCTTCCCTTGGACGCGGAAGCCACCTAGAGAATTTTGTCGCTGCGGGGTGAGGCCAATGTGTGCGAGTACAGGTATGCCAGCGGCAGTGATTTTGGCAATGGTTGGTGCCATTTCCTTCCCGCCTTCGAGCTTGACTGACTTGACGCGGCCTGTCTTGATCATGCGGATGGCGGATGCTAGTGCCTGCTCTGGGGAGATCTCGTAGCTTCCCATGGGTAGATCACCAACCTGGCCTGTATTAGCGCGCGGTCCGATATGACTGGGAGTTGTGAGAGCATACAGTGAAAGCACCCTTGGTGGCTCGCGCAACAGACTTGCAATGCAGCAGCATGTCCTCCATCAGCACTTCACTCGTGTCCTCCATGCCCAGCGCAACCATGGCCAGACTGTCCCCAACTAATATCATATCCATACCCGCGTGGTCGGCAACATGCGCACTGGGAAAGTCGTGCGCTGTGATCATGGTGATGGGTTCGTTCTTGCGGTAGAGAGCTTGGAGGGTGTTGATGGTGACGGGTTTGCGCGCAGTGGACAAGGACGCGCCGAGCGGGGAGTGTGAACTCAACCTGACCTGGGCGACGGGCAGCGAACATCGTGGCGACGAAGACGAGAGTGCATGTGTTGGTCGCAAAGGAGTGCGGAGTGTGTTTACAAAGGCACGCGACATGGCTGCACGAGAGGACATGGTGGAATCAAGCGTCGAGGCGGTGCCAGATGGATTTGCGGATGCTTCGGGAAGGCAATGCAAACGCAGAATCAGCAGCCATGGCTAGTGCGGGCAGCGATTCGGTTTTATGAAGCTGTACAGAAAGTTGCGCTGTAGAGCTTGTACTGGACCAAGACCAAGGTTGGATGTGGCATCAACCGAGGGAGTCCGAGCTCTCGTCAGCTTTGTCCAGACCTTGGGCCTCCTTTGTCCGGGCTGGAGCGTTGGTATGGCACTTGTTTTCAAGGCCATTTGGCGGGCATTTAGTTGCTCGGAGCCACTGGATGCACCGGGGGGGTTGGCTGCAGTCAAGAATACATCCAGACAGGAACATGGTCGTCTAAGCTGTGGGTACTGCTACAAAGACGTGGTCGCAGCCGCGGCTCGGGGGAGATGCGGCATTGCTGGGACGCCATTGGTGACGGGTCGAAGCTCATGCAGCGCTGCAAGCACCCATACTGCGATGGCACTATATCCAAGTAGCCATGTCCCGTGGATAGGAGCATGACATGTTCATCCGCCGTGATGCTGTGCAGTTCCAGATTCCAGATTCCAGATTCCAGATTCCAGATTCCAGATTCCAGATTCCAGATTCCAGATTCCAGATGCTGATCCGACCGTCGCTGCCAAACGGCGGCATACCATGGGCCGGTCGTGACTTGCCGGCCGCAATCGTAGCGTGACTTCCCGGTGCTCGTGACCGCGACTCATTGCAGTAACTCGACCTCTGCTTCCTGCTTCCTCGCTGCCAGTGTTTGGTACCGTCCTCACACCGTACACCATCTGCCACAATACAACCCGGAACAAACCGTCGTTGCCAACAAAGCGAAGACGCCATCCAGCTGCCAGCAAAGCAGCCCCTCCGCCGCTATCGATAGCCCCGCGACGAGCCCCGCACCCCGGCACCCAAGCCTCACGCATCGAGCTGCGCATCTGCGCATCTGCCTGACCCAGTGCCAAATCGATCCGAACAGAACGACACAAGACACCACAATATCTTAGCAAGGCGGCAAGGAAGACATCGCCACCATGAGTTCTCCAAAGAGGCGCATCGAGACAGATGTAGGTCGAAGCCATGCCCGCCCCCGCCCGCGATAGAGGAGAAGAATGAGCTAACCCGGCCTTTTCCTGTCGACTTTAGGTCATGAAGTAAGTTGTACAGGCTCTGGTGCCCCATGCAGAATGCTAATGCGACCCGTAGGATGTATGTACACCCTCGTCATCATATCCCACCACACCCAAAACGAGGTACTGATCCAATCCAGGCTCATGAGCGACTATGAGGTCACACTCGTCAACGACAACAGTATGCATCTTCTCTTGGTTCTACTCGCAGTAACTAACAGTCTCCAGTGTCCGTATATTTCATCTTATCGTACCCCAAACCCAACGTGGCTGACACGATACAGGCAGGAATTCTATGTCAGGTTCAAGGGACCAGAAGAAAGTATGCACATGTCAGACAGAACAAGAGGGCCGAGTTGACGCCATACAGCACCGTTCCAAGGCGGCCTCTGGAAGATCCACGTGGAGCTGCCTGATCAATATCCCTACAAAAGTCCTAGCATCGGCTTCGTAAACAGGATATTCCATCCCAACATCGATGAACTGTACGTGGGCTCACTCCATACAACGCACACTCTTTACTTCCCTATGCGCACAACTACTAAAATATGGCCAGCTCCGGCTCCGTTTGCCTCGACGTCATCAACCAGACATGGTCGCCCATGTACGATATGATCAACATCTTCGAAGTCTTTCTCCCACAGCTTCTGCGATACCCAAACCCCACAGACCCCCTCAACGGAGAAGCAGCTGCTCTCCTGATGCGGGAACCAAAGAGCTACGATGCCAAAGTCAAAGGTGCGTGCACACGCTTCCTGGATAGAAACTTGACCTGGCTAATCTGGAATCAGAGTACGTCCAGAAGTACGCCAACAAGGATACTGCCGAGGACTCTGACAAGGACAACGATGACGACGATGAGATGAGCTCTGTAGGCAGCTATGAGTCCGGTGACGAGGACGAAGCGGCGGGTAACATGGAAGACATCTAGGCCGTTTACATGATGACTGTCAGATTTTTTTTCGTACCATCCATACTTGTTATCAGCATTGGCCATACATACCCGGACGTTCTAGGCGCAATTGGCGCACACCCAGACTGCGCTATCATCATTTATCCCCACGGCGATGGGTCTTTTTTTTACAACTTCTCCTTCTCTGTAACCTCTTCTACCCTTGGTGTAGATTGTCGTTCACCAATTCGACTGGGCGGTAGCGAATGGTGTGAGGAGCCAGTGAAAGGTTTGTCGGGTTTTGAATATCACAGATGTATTTGGATGGGTGCGGCCATTATCTTTCCTATAGATTTCCAACACTTTAAACTTCTATCTAGTTCCGTTCTCATTCTGAACTTCTCTAATCCCGATCTGTCATTCATCGATGTTCCTGGAGGAGATTCGCATTGGTGAAGAGCGATTCTAGCAGCACGAAGCGGGTTCTACTTTTTTCGTGCCTCACTTCACATTCACTTCGGAAGACAGCACCGCCCGGAGCTTCGGTTCACTATCGCCGTCGTCGCACTCCCGAAGAGCTTCCGGACGGCGCCCGTTTGTATATAAACATGGTTGTCAGACCCCACACCGACAACGACCACAACAAACAACTTCAACTGCTGAAGCCTTCTCGCAAGGACTTTCAGCCCATTGCACAACGGGCTGTGAGCTAGCTACCGGCTGTCCCAAGTCAACATGGCTCCTAGAGACGAGCGCTTCCATCGACGTGGTGGCATAGGCGATAGTCACCGCAACGGCAACGCCTGCACCAACGCTGGAGTGAACCGCCATCGTCCACCTGATGCGAGGGGTGCGCATCGTGCTAGGGTTCCGCGCCATCGGCCTTCCCGCACAGAGTCCTCTCGAGCACCTGCCAATGCTCCCACTGGACCGAGTCTAGCCAGTCGCATAACCTATGATCGTGGTCGCGGCGGCTTTCACCGCGGTATTAGGCCTAGACTGCGTCCTCAGCATGGCCGACGACTGCAGGATCGCATCACTAGGCCTGACTTTACCATTGGTACTGGTCGCGATACGCAAACGACTAATTTGCAGGTCAACCACCGTGCTCAAGGACCCGACAGGATCGTAGCTTCCGCGGATGAACCTAGCAGTGACGGCGGAACCAACCTTGGTACTGATACAGGCGTGAAGTACTCCCCGCTCATCTATGCTCCGGTCGACAACAGCAACAACCTCAGCCAAAACCCCATCTTCGCCGGCTCCCAGCCCACCCAATTCACGGACGCCCCAGATCCTCCATCGCCTCCCATTTGGCTCGCTAGACCTGCGCAAACTGCCCGCCCCATCCGCATGTTCAACGAGCCTGTTGCCCAGGAGGCCGTAGATGCCAAAGGCGAAGGACAGCCAACCACTCCAAAGCGACCGGTCTACAACTATCGCGGCAAAGATCCCATCAAGAGGCTCGTGTCGAATCCGAAACTCCAAGCTGTCCTGGCAGGCAGGTCGATTCCCGCAGAGAGGAAGAAGCATAAGGACGACCGCATGGACCTGAGAATGGGGGCCAGCAAGGTTACGAAGTAGGATACCGAGTCTGGCTGCTGTGACGAGGCGGTATGACCAAGGGTCATTTGCGCTTTGGTACGTCGAAATGCTTTTCTTCTTTCCGTCTTTCATTTCTTTATCTGGCCAATTCTAACTTTCGCTTGGTTTCACTCGGTTTCTGGTAGCTACGCTTTCGCTTCTTTGTCCTTGTTGAGCGGCTTGTTAGATGCGGACTGGATCATGCCTGATAGTATGTTGGGATGAGGTGTCTGTGGATGCGGACTACGAGTAACTACTGGCGTTTGAAATGAGCGCGGCTTTGTCGGACGGTGTTCTGGGTTCTTTTCCTTCTTGACGGGATGATGAGGTGGGATTAGAAGCGAAAAGACCTCGCGCGCACTATTCGCTCCTACATAATGGAGCTACATTTACGGATATTTCGACGTGTTCTGAACAGCTGTGATCATGGCCGCTGTGTACTCATCCATGTGCCATACCTTCCATGTCATCGATACGCCAAGCAAAGGTTTTGATCAAGAATGCAAGGCTCCCGAGGTCCTCGTGCGAAGCATTCCAACTCAGCTTCGACCCAATAACGCAGCAAACATCATCCCCACGTCTGCATTGCCCTGCTGGTAAGACGTCCTCTGGTCTGCTGGGCCAGTGTGATATGAAGGGCTAATCAGGCTGAGCATTTGAAATATGGTACCGGTACATGCACCAGTCTCCGCCGTCTCCCATGGTTCAATACCAGACTATGCACCAGCTCACGACCACTCCTCATCCTCGATGGCTACACAAACATTGTCAGGATGGGGTAGAGCCCTCGCCTCCTTGCTTACACCAGTCCTGGGTTACAACGTGTCTTTTACCGGTCATGTCTGGTTGGTCAGGCACGGTATAGCCTCGTCCAAGCCACCATTTGACCGGTCAGGCTATGCGTGAGGCATCCATGCCTGCTCGTCCTCCGTTCTACATAACGAAACGGAATAAATCCAGATGCCCACATTTCTTATTTAAGTCCTCTCGTATCAATTTTCGAGTGATCCATCGATCTCAACTTTTCTAAATCGACATGCAAGCTTTCCACCCCGTAGCAGCAGGTGTCACATTGAGCGCAGAAGTGCTGCGATCAAGTCGTTCGTTGCGCAAACTGACCAAAGGTACGAAACACGCGCGGATCAAAATCGTGGGCTTGTCAAAAGAGATGGATCTCTTCGCAGACCTATACGACGAGTTGTTTAGAGTGTGTATCTTCGACTCGAGTACCACCACCTGCACACAGTCGCCTGTGAAACGACTCGTTGCCTGGACCGAGGAAACGATAGACGCGTTTAGGAATCTACTGGATCGGATTCAGGATTTGGTTGATATTTCGAGGGACTCGGTAGTTGATGTATTGGTCGCCCGCATGAAATGGCGTGCGATTGAGAGAGAGATGGAGTGTATGCGTATGTCGCTCAGTATCTCACGGCAGGGAATCAAGGGCTTCATAAATATAAGAGTGTTTGAGAAACTTGAGGAAGAAGAAGATATGCTAAGAAACACGATTGAGCGCGGAGATCGACAGAGTCTTGAAGAACGATTTGGCATGACCTTGGAGGATCGAGTAAGAACGGTGAAGCATATGAGGTCAGCATTTGCCTGGAAGTCTGGTGAGGAGTCACTGCTAAACAGAAGCAGAAACAACTGTCGCAAGCAAAGACACACGATCGAACATCGTTTAAAAAAGACAAAAATTGACTTTCTCGAAGAACATGAGAAGAAAACCCGGGGGAGCATCAACGTTCCGGAGCCACAACAGTTGTTCCAATTCACAAGATCTGTGGAGAAGTACGTCGATAATGTGTTGCCCGCGAAAGAGTCAGGCAGACGCCGTCGCAGTCGAAGCAAGTTTGACTCGGGAAGCCAACTATCCGGCAGTCCCACATCATTGACGCCAGCCGCACTAGACGGAGCAGCGAGATCCACGTCCAGTGTATCCTCTGCAAGAGCGGAAACCCGTTCGGTTCCGGAGGATCGCATCGAAACCTCAAGCGGGTGCACACGGTGTTCTAGCACTTGTGGTCACGTTGCAGAGCACGGAAAAAGTAACAAGTCTTATGCAAATCTCACGACACTACCAGATTTAACAGAAGTCCTGGGGCTCGCGGGTCCAGTTGGCCAGCGAGACTTCCTGGCCGTGCCAGGGAGGAGTCATAGTGCGACGGATCATGGCCGCGAACCGTACTATGGTTGTGGCTCTTCGACACAGTCGTCGTCATCACGCGACCCCAGAGTCTCTCTGGAAGCCACGCCAATCGAGAGTCAGACCAAGAGTGACCTTCATGAAGCGACATCGAGCATTGCAAGCGAAGATTTCGAGACCTGGTGGCAGACCAGAGGAGCGCCAGAGCCAGATGCTTTTACGGCATTGGAACAGAAAGCTCAGCTCGTCAATGGAGATGTTGCGTATGATGACGTTTCGAGTGAAGACGAGATTGAAAGTTCGCGTTGGCGTCACCCTCAGAGCTCAAATCAGAGCTGTCGTCTTCACCAGAGGACATCATGGTCATCTCTCCTTGTCCCGCGGTGATCAAGGTGGCGGGATTCCTGTTATGTGGCTTGAATGGAATCTCTTGCTCTGGTGCGTCGTCGTCTTTAGACGAGGAAGAGTTGTTGTTCTGGTTTCCTCCTTTGTCCACAATGCTGTGACCAAGCACCAGCTCAAACTCAGCAGGAACCGATAGTTTAAGTGCCCCTAGCGCTTGCTTCGCAGGTGAAGCTGCGTTGTCATGAGGAGGCAAAGGTGCGCTGTCGCGCGTAGCTTGCACAGCGACAAGGACGTTAGCTAGCCATGTCCAGTCATACTGATCCTCCAAACAGAACACCATGTAAATGTAGCTGTTCTGTATCCAGTCCTTGTCCTCATAGGTTAGATCTCAACCACTATTTCAGTTAGCAGCGTGCTTTAAATAGACAGGTTCAGTTACTTGCGTATCCGCCATATCACACCCTTCTGCAACTTCTTGCAAACTTTAGTGAATCTTGCGAGGCGCCTGTCCTGCTTATCCTCCTCCCTTTGCTCTCGCTTCGGCTGCCAGACTGTACGTAACTTCAGGATTTTGTCCTGCTTCTTCCTTAATCGCTCTTTCAATGGGATATGTTTCGTCATGGTTGTCTCGCCGCTGCGCAGGCGGCCTGCGAATTGTCGTGATAACGTGAAGGAAGTGAGGCACGCATGTCCACTTAAGGAGACGTGTCTGAGCTCGCGCGTCTTCGCGTCTGATGTCACGCGTCATTGCGTCATTGCGTCATCGCAGGACGCGTTCTGAGGAAGGAGGAAGGAGGAAGGAGGAAGGAAGGAAGCGACGAGGGAGGGGCCTCACCTCACCTCTTCTCTCCTCTCCCGTTTAAATGTGGCGGTCAGTTTTGCGAACCTGGTAAGAGCCCGTTGTCTTCAGGTAGCAACACGCACCCAGAGATAGGCCGTGCAGCGAACCTTCAGAGCAACTTCAGCAGAGGGTGTCAAACCATGTATGCAAACGCTTCCGTTCCAAGATGTGCCCACTCAGTTGCGAGTTCCGGCTTCACACGAGTATTAGTGTATTCGTAGATATTAAGATTATTTCCCAGCTTTAGAGAATTTCCTAACTTGCACATACACATGCTGCAGGTGTAATCGCAACAGCCTGTGTTCCTACAGCACCACACAATGAAAGTTCCTCGTGTCATAGCATCTCCACCACTTTCAGTGTATCAATAGGCCTTAGCAATGTCCTGTAATTATATTAAGTATGGCATGCCTATATACACGAAATGTTGGGCCATCATACCATCTGCCCGACATCCTTCACCAGCGTGTCTGTGCTACCCTGCTTCTTTGTGTTTTCCTGTTCTACCCACTCGGGTTTCGTCGCCGGTGATGACCACACACTCGTACCACTAGATACCCCCTCAACCTGCACCGATATATCGGTAACAACCTGTATTTCGCGCTCCGCCACGTCGTGGGACTGCTTGGTCATCTCCAACGAGTCGTCGTCTGTTAATGTCGTAGCTTTCCGGCTTCGTGTGCTTCGGATAGTGGCGTATTGTCGCGGTCCTGCATTTTTGCTTCGTGTCTTGGAAGACATTGCGCCAGGCATGAAGCGGGTCAAGATTGGACGGAGAAGAGGTAGACAGGAGCAGATGATGCCGACGTTGATTTCCACAGAACTCCACGTTGCAGCAGGTGGGTTATCGTATGTCGGGTCGACCGAGTTCGAAATGGCCACAAGTGAGTGGAGCCGCAGTATTGAAACGATGCAGACGCTGTTGTGTATCCGTTAGTTTGAGTCTAGTCTGTGCTGTGTGGAAAAAGAAACGGAGATGAGCGTGGTCGCGGAACGTAGCACACCGGTGCACGCCACACGAGAACAACGTTTCATGTTCATGTACACTTGGTATTGCAACCAAGAGCAGACTCCCGGTGCTACACGCTGATAGGCAATGGCTTCGTGAAAGAGATGTTTGTACTTACAATCCACCCACCGCGAAGATGGAAATCAAAGCGACCTTCTGTCTGCGTCCGAGATTCAGGCTCTGTATGACTGGGATCGGAAGTATGATTATGGCGAAGTCGGTCACGATGTTCATTGCCGCATTGGTACTAGATGGGATATCAGCAATTGTAATCAGGATATGGAGCAAGATGAACATACAACCACATGGAGAATTGGTCAATGCATTTTGCGCCGGGCTCTCGGGTCCAGAACGCCCGTACCGGAACGCACGCGAAGATGCTGCCGAAAACTGTCCAGAGAGCGTAGATGATGACTACACCCATGAGACTCCAACACGATAGTTGGAATCGCTTCGTGGTGAAGACTCGCTGGTATTGTAACAAGATGGAAGCCTTTGTCAATCCCAAAGACAAGTAGTATACGATTAAACTGGAAAAGAAAGCCTGATTGATGTTAGTGCAAGGTTCGGTCGTGAAGGGCTGTTGATGTACCTGGAGTGACATTTGCACAGTCTCTGGCTGGAGATCCTTTAGATGCTGGCCCATGCCGTATTCCGCTTCTAGTGCAATTTAGCGACATAGTTTCGATGAGCTATGAGAATGTACTTACGGAAACCAATTGCAATGGTTAGGCCAATGGAGCAGATCTAGCAACATGTCAAAGTAGAACGTACTATGTCTTCACCATACGTACCATCGCGAGAACAATGCCATAGTCTTCGAGGCCCGCGCAGCGGACGAGAAAAAAGCGAGCGTATAGGCGTAGCGCAACAGTAAAGAAAGCGAGAGCAGTAAATGCTGATGATATCTCAACGGCCTGTCGGCCTCGAGGGTTTTGAGAAGGCATTTTGTCTTGAACGTGGAGTAAACCAGTGGTGCTCACCCTCGGGCTGAGATAGGCGCTATGGATTGTTGAAGTACCTAAGGTGGCCTTGCGCGGTGCAACAAGAAGGTCTCGGATACTGCAGTGAGCGAGGTAGATCCAGGCTTTAAGTTTGACATTAATCTAGAAAAGGAAGACAAGGACCGGGGTAGGTGAGCAGGGCCCATCCGGGGTCACAAATGTGGTATCGTTTGTCACCAATTAGACATGATCGCTCGTGGATCACACCCATGCAGACACGTGGGTTTGTGGCGTTCCCAAGTCAGCAACGGCTGGGCCTACAAGGGCAATGTGCACAATGCAACACACTTCAAGCGCTGTCTGTTTCGAAATACTGGCGGTACCCGGAGCCGCCACGAGCTCGTAGATCTTATGCATTGATCCTATTGTCCGCAACTTCGCTGACCACTGTGAAAGACTCGAAAGGTGGATGTTTCTCCGAACATGGCAAGAGCGTGCAAGCCAAGGAGGTACGACAAGACGTTGATGATGACAGAATAAGCCCCGGCCGAGATCCACGGAAGCAAGCCTTTGCCCCTGAAGCCTTTGGGCTTCGACAAATGTTCCTTTCTGTCGGCGGTTCTGGGGTTTCAATCATGATTTAGCCGAGAAGACGAGACGGTTTCGATGTTAGTTCGCACATATTTGGTACGATCAAAGCAGAGCGCTGAGTAAAAACCTCATTCAACGAGGACGTGTGTATGTTGGGGGAGCGATCTCTTTCTGTAATCGTTCACATCGCGAGTCTTTCGGGGTGGGTCCAGGATTGGCGGGAGGCGCTACAGTGCGCTAACAAGCGCGCCCGTTTTCCAGGGCCGTCATCTGCTGTTGAGGCTCATGTCTAGCAAACGATGCAAGTCAATGTCTGTATCAAAGTGAGAACGCCTGAACAGTCTTCACACAGCCTTGAACGCCTTTGCGAAAAGTAGTTTTTGAACCTGAAAAGGACCATCCCCAGCGTGCCAGGCAGAAGAAGAATGTGGGGCAGCTTGCGACCTACCCAGCTTCCACGGAGAAGACCTCCGCAAGAATCTCGATGGGGCTCAGCCCTGTGCGCTTCGTCTTGGCGAATACACGCTGAAGATCGTTATACAGTGCCTACAAAGAATCGAAGATGAGATCGACGATCTCAGATAGGGACCTCCAGCATTCACCAAGTCTCGCAACGACTCGTCTCGTTCCTGAACATGGTCATCATTTGCGCTTAACTCGTTCGACGACATCGTGAAGCTGCACAACTGGTTCTAGCAATCTGACATGGACACGGCACAGACGCAAACATGCACACTACCTTGGTCGATAAGAAATGGATCCCTGCCGCGGCTGGTAAGCTGGAGGAAAAGTTGGCGCCCCGCCTTCCGTGGATGAATTAGGAGTATCGATATTTGCTCCACGACAACATGTCAGTATGACAGGGCGACCACGTCTACCCTAGCTGGTCAAGAGAAGGATACGGGCCGCGGTAGACCTCTATTGTGTTGCCGGCGTGTGATTGCTCACATCTACGATTTTCAAACTTCAACACCACCACCACTTTACTATTCGTTTCCATCCATGCGATAAAGATGTTCGCACCGTCATCTGCAACAGAGTTCTGCGTACTCGAAGGTCTCTACCATCCTAAAGATGTCGATGTCGACTGTGTGGTTATTCAGCTTTGCATGGTTCTTCGGCTGATGGTGTCTATCCTCTGCTCATCCTCATCGTCTGCCTTGGCTGAAGGCATACAGAGTATGTAGATCAACATTTCTCATACTTACTGCTGACCGAGGTGCACAGCATTGCACGGTGTGGGACGTAAGCTGTGCAGCGGATGAGCGCAAATTTGCCGGTGGTTTTGACACCGCAGATTGCTTCAGAACACGGAGGTAGGCCCGATCATGTATGTGCACGACGACGTCAAGGGTATAGAGATCATGGAGAGAAAAGCACGGAGAGCTCCCAGAAGAAAGACCCCGAGAATGAATCCGTCTAAACGAGGTCTGCGCACGCGGCACGATCGAGGGAGTGAGGCATGCGCGCACTATCGATGCGATGGACCCCGGAACCTGCAGAGATCGTGAGAACGAACTCGCTGATCAGCGGGCTTACTTCTAAAGCTTTGCATCATGCTCAGATCGAACTGCTCAAGGTTGAAACGGAGCATGGTGGTGAAACCTCCAGATGTCTGTAAGCTCAACGATGTCCTCTTCTACAACGTCATGGTGTTCGCCTTGTTGAGTGTTTCAAGTAAGCACTCTTGGATATTTCACGAAAGCTGCAGTCTGTGACGGAGCGTCCTCCGACGGTTTTCTGGGAACGTCGGGCTACCGGCCCGACTCTCACGTGCATTCATCCTCACTCAACGAGACACCCTGTGATGGTTCGCAAGCAATTTAGGTTCACCATGGAAGTCTCCTCGGCCGTCTTACGGTATCGTCACTGAACCGGCACGTCGGCCTCTTGAAGCCTGGATGGCCCTGGCTCGGCATACCCGTCAGCGCTTGACTGCAATTTCGGTAATTGAACTGAAGGCTTCATGCTGGTCTCACGATCAGAAGACGACACGCCAACGATGACATCGGCTTGAACATGGAATGTTTGCAAACCTGATGGTATGGGAGGCGGCCTGAGCGTACTCGAATCTCGGGGGTGTTCACCCGGATCCGACAAGGTTTGGCGATATGCGCGTGCTGCAACATGTGTTCGTGAGGCGGTAGAGAAAGGATGAAACGGCTGCTGCGCGGTGATGAGCCGAGTCACATAAGTAGGTGCATGCATCGAAGGGCGCATACTGGCGAGAGGCGGGAACGGGGAGCTTGTCCGGACAGGGAGTAATGAGGTGATGAGGGGAGGCTGGTTCAGGCCCGGCACTTGGGATGCAACGTACAGGACATGTCCAATGTTGTCATTGCTCGAAGAAGATCCCGTGACAGCGCGTTCGAGCAGAGTCGCGCGTGCCCCACGTGGGCGTGGCCTAGCAACGTGCGGGCGCCGCCCAGGGTTGATGCCTAATCGGGCGACACAAACACGACGACAGCACTTTTCAGAGAAAACGACGTGCGATAGGAACCTGCGCCTACCTACTCGGCAATCCCCCGTATGAGCAACAGCCGTCAAAAACATCGTGCCCCCTTCCGCCCGGTGGATTCATTGTCGTCGCCCCAGAAGCCCAGCTTTGCCCCGCAGACGGCAAAAAGCGCTGCTTCAGACGGCAACGACAGCTCGTTTGTGGCAGATCGCTCTGCGCTTTCGTACTTGGGCGACTCCAGCAGCCTTTTCGAAGGTGACAGCTTAGCCGCCAGTCCGCAGTGCGTCTAGACCAACGCGCGCGAAAGAGCCAAAGGCACTGATACGACAGGCCACACACATCGCAACCACGCTCGAAAACCCGCCCAGGCACCCAGTCCACCCAGTCCACCCAGTCCACCCAGTCCACCCAGTCCACCAGAGCACCATACGCCATGGTACGCGAGCGAGAGCCGGCGGCGACAGAGCCACGGCGGAACGAGGCGCCCGTGCCAGCGCCCAAGCCTCTACAGCAGCTCAAGGCTCCTACACCACAATTTGGCGAGACGAGTCCGCTGAGGAACCCGTTGAAGCAGGCCAGGGAGAGCCAAGAGCATTCGCATCTGTTCAACAAGCCCAAGCCGGGCCAGCGTCGCCCGGAGCACTTCCAGATAGCACCACGGCCAACGGCACAAGCCCCGCCCCAATATGCTGGACACTCTCCCGCTGCCTCCGACTTCATGGAAATACCTGCCTCGCAGTTCCAGCCTCGCCCCGCCCAAGGAGCCCCAGTATTTGCACCACGGCCTTCCAATGCTCCAGCACAGACTTCATACCCTCCCCCTCGGCCCATGTACTCTACCATGGGCGCAGCCAGTGGCTTTGAACCTGTAAACGTCGGCGCACATAATCCCCTGCAAGCTGCCCGGCAAACAATCATCCTGGACGACGAAGATGATTTTGACCCGGATGTAGCGATCCGCGCAGAGGGTGACCGCTTCGGAGCTCCAGACATGCACGCCTACGTCGACTCCGGCCAGGCCAGTGAGAACATCAAGGCTCTGCTGGAAGGCGCATTTGACGAAGACGAGAACATCCCGCGAACGCGTCTCCGTAAGAAGAAGAAGCAGCAGGAGGATGACGCTGGCGCATCGTTGGCCAACCGACTGGCAGCTCTTGAGGTCAAAGACCAGGAGGAATCGGCCCAGCCTACAGACGAAGACGAGGAAGAAGACGATGGCATCGTTGAAGGGCTCAAGGTCAAACTCTTGCCTCACCAAGTCGACGGTGTTTCCTGGATGATCGAGAAAGAGACGGGCATGCACAACAAGCGTGCAAAGTTACCCAAGGGCGGTATCTTGGCCGATGACATGGGACTAGGAAAGACTGTCCAGTCCATTGCCCTAATTCTGTCCAATGCCCGACCAGAAAAAGGCGTGGAGCCAGAAAACAAAAAGAACAGGATATCCGACTCTACCAGTAAGGGGACCCTAGTGATTGCTCCCTTGGCACTGATCAAGCAGTGGGAGGCCGAAATCAACACCAAGGTCACCAAGTCGCATGCACTCAAGGTCCTTGTTCACCACGGCCCAAGTCGTACCAAGTCGGCGGACAAGCTCAAACAATATGACGTCGTCATCACAACCTACCAGGTCCTTGCCTCTGAGCATGCGAGCTGTGGGGATGGTCCAGATGGCCTTAAGAAAGGCTGTTTCGCTGTCAACTGGTATCGAACGATGCTAGACGAGGCGCATACCATCAAAAATCGCAACGCAAAAATGACCAAGGCCTGCTACGAGATCCGCTCGCACTACCGCTGGTGTCTAACAGGCACGCCGATGCAAAACAACCTTGATGAGCTGCAGAGTTTGATCAGATTTCTGCGTATCCAGCCTTACTGTGACATGTCTAACTGGAAGGACTCCATTTCCGGGCCAATGAAAAACGGTCGTGGTAACCTTGCTATGCGACGACTCCAGATCTTCCTCAAGGCCTTCATGAAGCGGCGCACCAAAGAAGTCCTGAAGAAAGAAGGTGCACTCAACTTCGGTGGCAAGCCCAAGGACGGAGATGAGAAGCCTGCCTTCCAGATTGTAGCGCGAAATGTCGAGACAGTCATAGGAGAGTTCACGGCAAAAGAACGCGCCTTCTACGACCGCCTATCTGATCGCGCACAGTCGCGCCTCGACGAAATGATGGGCGGTGCCAAACAGGATTATATTGGAGCCTTGGTACTGCTATTACGTTTACGACAAGCATGCAATCACCCCAATCTCACCAAGGCCAATGTCAAGGATGACAAGGATGCTCTGACTACGGGATCGAAGTCTAGTGCACAAGCAACTCTTCAGACACCTCGCAAGGCTGCTCCCGACGATGCCGATGACCTTGCAGACCTACTTGGCGGTCTCACCGTGCAGACGAAGCGGTGCGATATTTGCCAAATTGGTCTCACTTTGGACAACGCTGATGCTGGCGCGCTGCGGTGCCTTGAGTGCGAGAACGATCTCAACACCTCGACGAGGAAGTTAAAGAAGCACAAGAAGACGCATCGAAAACACAAGGATAAAGGTCACAAGGTCAAGAAGCAGGCTGCGGAATCAGAGGACGAAGATGAAGAAGACGAGGTCAAATCCAAAGTTGCCAAGTCATCCCGGCAACGTCGTGTCATTGTTGACAGCGATGACGAGGATGAGGCTGGGGGCGAATGGCTTGTACCAGAAGACCAGCAACAAGCTGAGAACCTTGGGAAAGCCGGTGGCACAGATGATGAAAACGCTGAGGGCGGGGGTGATACCCTAGCCTCTGTCGATTCAGAGGCTTCCGATAGCGATGATGAGAGCAAGAGCAAGCTTGACTCATTCATCGTGCACGACACCGATAGCGAGGATGAAGCACCTGTCGCGCGCAAGAAATCAACAAAGAAGCCGCAGCGTGTTACTAGTCTCGAATCAGATGATGATGATAACTCTTCAGAGTCCGAGTCAGACTCTGAGGCAAGTTCTGCAGAAGACTCTGACACTGAAGCGTCTGATCCAGAGTACGATGCGTCAGATCTTACGCCTTCTACCAAGATTCGCCAGCTTCTTTCAATCCTCGAAAAGGAGACGCCAGACCACAAAGTCATTGTCTTTTCACAGTTCACTTCTATGCTTGATCTGATCGAGCCCTTTCTCAGACGCCAAGGCTACAACTTTACTCGCTACGACGGCAGCATGCGTAATGATCTACGCGAGGCTAGTTTGCACAAGCTGCGCGAAGACAAACGCACACGTGTTTTACTCTGTAGTCTCAAGTGTGGTAGCTTGGGTCTGAACCTGACAGCCGCAAGTCGTGTGGTCATCATGGAACCCTTCTGGAATCCTGTAAGTACATCAACATAACACTCCAATCCACAACGTCTAGAATGCTAATCCTCGGCAGTTCGTCGAAGAACAAGCCATCGATCGTGTCCACCGTCTCAATCAGACTGTCGACGTCACCGTGTACCGTCTTTCTATTCACAATTCCGTCGAAGAGCGCATTCTCGAGCTTCAAGAAGCCAAGCGTAAGCTAGCTAATGCTGCGCTCGAGGGCGGCAAGGCGATTGGAAAATTGAGCATGAAGGACATTCTGGCGCTGTTCAAGCGTGAGGCCGAGTACGAGCCAGGTAGCGTAGATGAAGTTGATGATCAGGGCATGTACGGGCGCACGAGGGTGTTGGAGAACGGCGCTGAAAAGAGCACCGACACGACTGCGCCACGTCCGCCACGCAAGGCAGGAAGTTTGGGCTTCCGGAAGGAGGACAGTGTTTATGGAAGACGTTGAGGATGAATTCTGAGCTTCCGCTGTCCGGAGCAATTGTGTTCGCAACATGGCATTTAGCACTTTGTAGAAACGCATGCATAAATGTCTGTGAAACATGAATTCTCGTTCTGAATACAATCCTTTCAACATCATTTCCAGAGAGCGATGCGTGAAGGAATGATTAAAACTTCGCCATGTTGTCGTCTACTCTGAGGATTTTGATATCCCCAGGCATCGCAATGTTGCTCGGCGGAAGTGGAAAGCAGTCTATCGGTCTGACATGCGGAAGCGGAATGTCTGAAAGTCCAGATCATCCAGGTCCTTGAGCTTGATACACTTCCAACAGGAGATATGGATAATCACCATGTGCTTGCAAAACAAGAGGTGTTTTCTCATGCCAAAAAATAATCATGGCCGGCTCTGGTTTCAATTTGGCCACAAAGCAGTGTCTGATACTAACGTAACTAGGCCTGACACCGAGTCTTTACTGCCATACATGAGCTAAAAGGCTTGGGCTACTCTTGGAGATGCAGAAGCTTTGGTGATGTTGTTGTAGTCTCGTGCCTTTGGGTTCAAAAAAGGACTTCAACTTAGGAAATGAATTGCTAGGCTGTCATTTCATTGCATACTATGTGACAGCCTACCGTGGTTTCTAAGCTACCGTCGAATCCTCCCTTCTCTGTATTCGTCTGTGTACTGCGAAAAGTTGCATATGGCCAAACTTTCGAAGTAAAAGAAGGCATTAGCAAAGTTCCTTCGTTCAAATGGGGGTCGGGAGATGGAACACCCCGAGCCATGTACCGTAATATACGCTATATCAATTTCGGCCTCAAATCCCTATGGTTTAGGACAGCCAGTATATGCCACCGTCCCCCAGGTAGTGACTACTGCTGCGAGTCTGTTGGGTCCCATTCCCCAACATTAAAATTATCGGCAAAGCCATAATTCGTATCCTGGTCGAATAGAGTGGCGAAATTATTAACGTAGAAGAGGGGAAACTGTGATTGACTGAATTGAAAGCCATCAGAGTGGTAGTGAAGTGGATCTTCTAGGTTGCTGATGGAAAGAGTAGAGTCGTCAGTTGTTGTATTGTAGCCATTGCCAAATGGAATGGAAGAGTATGGCATATCTGCGAAATTTCGAGAACCAGTGTCAAGTGAAAAGTGAGCCCCGGTGTTTTCAAAAAAGGTCTGCTCGTGTTCAGTCGGCTGCATGATCTCATCTATCCATGGTCCAGGAACCAAGCGTCTCGAGAACTGGTCACATTTGCTCAACAGATTGCGAACCTTCTCGTAAGCGCTCCCAGCCACGCTGTCGACAGTCTTCAATACAATTAGCCATCGAGTGATCTTCCCCACGCATATGGTGATATCGAGAGGATCTTCAGATAAGCGGCTCTTCCCTTGTTCTAGCTCGAGAAGTAGTACGGTGATGGCCTGCATCACTACAAGCTTTTAGTTACGTTCTGCAGTTTGTGGGGCAAAACTTACGGATATGTACGCCTGACCACCAGCATCCTTTCTCGTAGAACCAATGCGGTGTGGTAGCCTCTGGTAGGCCCCGAGCTAAATCTAGCGCAGCTTGAATGCACGCATCAGCAGTTCTCTCGTTGAACTGTTCGGATTCGTCGCTTTGACCTCCAATGCGTTTGTCAAGTCTGCAAAGACAGGGTCGGGAAACACAGATTCTGGCACTCTGATAGTAGAGGTACAGTAGTATATCCTCTCTCGGCCGTTTGGGATCTACAGTGGGCGATGTACCTTGAAGTCCGCGAGGAAGTGCTTTCAGAGCCCATTCATCCAGTTTTGTAGTCAGAGCAGTGATCTCTCCCTGCATGTGTTTCCATGAGTGTACGGCAGCTCCTGCAGAATACAGGGTAGAAAGAATGCTATGCTGGATGATGTCGAGGTGTATCCATGAATCCAGAAACGTGTCCAAACTGATTACCTTGTCTGTGGGCTCCACATTTTCGTGAGGTTGATCTGATGTAGTGGGTGAGGCAGATGTTGTAGATCCTGGTCGAGACCTGAAAGCAGCCGTGCTTGGCTTCTTTCGCCTGGAGTTGACTTCACTGAATCGTTTTGGAAGAGGGGTTGTGCAATCCTTCTCGTCTACTACTCGGGGTCGCCCTGTGATGGAAGTGATGATGCATTCAATCGAATGCAGAGCCCACCAAGTATGTGATATTGCCTTTTTCTTCTCAAGTGGCATACTTGCATTCTCGTTGCGTAAATGAAGTCCAGCTGCTTGTGCGTGTCGAAGAGACATGCCGATCATGTACCATGCCCTAGAAGAGGTCAGAATCAAAAGGACTTTTTCTCAGTGAACGACGAGTGTGAGGAAATGCTACAAGCCGAGATTTGGCATAGCCTTACATACCTGCCGACATGACCAAGGAACATGTAGTAAAAAGAGAGCAAACCTGTTGCCTGCGATAGTCAGAATGTTAATAGTGTTGATGGGTAGAGGGTAGACAAGATACCTGAATAATGTGACTATCTGGAGCGCACGTCCACTGTTGGAATTTCTTTAATTCCAGGGCTTTTACAGCCCTGGACATGTATATGAGATGGTCACGATCGCCAGCTTGCCAGTCGGCGCCAATGAGATGTGAGAAGCGGGCTCCAATGGCGAAGAGCATGTTCATGACAGCCTTCCATCTCGAGCTAGCCATTGGTACATTGCCACGCTGCACCATCTCATAAAACGTGCGCAACTGTTGGAAGAAGGCATCCTCGAGGATTCTGAAAGGGGCATGCACGGCCTCTTTGTAGATTTCTGTGAGTCGCTCTGCTGTTTCGACAGGTGGATAATCGTCGGCGTCAACGTCGTCAAATGCGTCGATGTCTTCCTCGTCGAGGTAAAAGTAACACTGAGCGAGCGATACGCGTAGTTTACTGCTTGAGCGGGCCTGACGTTGATGTAGGGCATGGGCGCGCTTGTCGATGGCTTTCTGGCCCTTCCCAGGGGGGGCAAAGGGCAGGTCGGCGGGCTCAGCTTCAGGCTCATTAAGTTTCTGCTCCAAAGTTCGCATCCATTGCATCTGTGAGTTGCGGCCCATGTAGCCTGATATGGTTGATCCCTGTTGTCCTAGCAGGTCCTCATCGAGGAAGTCAAGATCCTCGTTGGAGCCTACCGAGGCTGAGACTTGGTTCTCGTCGGGATGCTGGCTGTCGAACTCGGTATCGTCTGAGGATGAGCGTGGGCGTTTCTCCATGGCTCTCATTGATACAGAGGGTGTTGCGGGGGGTGTGTCGCCTTCATATTTCAGGAGCAGGTCGTCGATGCGGTGTGCCAGTTCTCCATCGAGGTCGCCTCGAGCCTCTTTGAGCAGACTGGTCAGCTGTTCATTCTTGGTCATGGCCCTGTGTGACTTTAGCGGTGCACACGGCGGTTACTGAGTGAGAGAGCGTGCTTACTCTCTCAAGCGGTCTCGCCGTGGCTGTTCGTAGATGCATTCTTCTCCCTGCTTCTCGCAATTGGAGCAGCGAGGTCTGGTACCGGAGCACTTTGTCTCTGGCGACAGTTAGCACGAACATAACATTTTGGCCACACGAAGCGGACTTGTGGTCAGAATCGCGGACTAGAACAGAGTGAAGCCCACTGCGTTTCCGGCACCTAGTGCACTGGAAGCATGTTAGCAGGGTAGACGAAAGGGTGAGGAACGACATACTGCCTTGTTGACCGTCTCGGACCTGGCTCGAGGCAGCTTTGATGAAGACACAATCTGTTGTTCAGGCCTCTTGAGTCGTGGAATGGCTACCTTGGCGCTGCTATAGCCAGGCGTGCCCTCGATAGGTAACGACATCAGACTGGCCGTGGTACGGTGAGTACACGGCGAGGGGCCAATGTACCGCCTACTGGCAGCGGGCCTAGTGGACGGGGCAGTTGTCGTGTGGGTCTTGGCGTGTGAACAATGGCAGACAGATGGGGTAGTGACGGGGTGACGACAGTGATGACAGAGTGGCAGACGCTCCGAGTCTCCACGCGGTAGAGTGGCCGACGGCAAGCTGAAGGCCAGTTTTCTCTGCGTACATCGATTTTATCAGACTCATGCGAGAGAGAGAGGGCGTCTTACGTAGGCGGAAAATTGCACCGGGGCCAATCACGGCCGCTTCGCCACTCCGCCCATCTACAACTGGGACTCCGCTTCGACCCACCACCTGCGCTATTAGCAAGAGGTACCAAAGGCACCAGCCGGGAGTGTCCGTTAGCCCTCTCACCTCGTTTCGACATTTCGACATTTTCACCATGGAGTGCAAACCGCCACCACATGCAGCCACTACGTACAAGCCTTTGTTCCCGTGACCTGGACTTCATCGTGAATTGTCCACGTTGATGCAACCGAGGGAAACGCGACATTTGGCAGCTTGAAAAGTACGACCACGCTACAGCCCATCACTACTGAGAACAAACACGGAGAGAGCTGACCGCACCTGCCCAGTAACCAGTAACGCTACTCATCTACGCACAACCCTTGTATAAACCAGCGTCACTTCGATCCCTTTCTAGCTCCGCGTCCTGATGGACTGCTGCCTTTCGATGAGCCGCACTTCCCCACAAGCACCCGCAAGCAGTTACTGGTAGCCCGAGACAACTCTACAGCACTTGATGCTCAACATACCCGCGATATTTCATGATACCATGGTTTCGTACACGCCGTGCAGATATGCCTGGCCCCAACTATGCTTACCAGCGTGCGCCTCACCTTGCTCCGCGATCCGCCCCCACCGTCAAGGCATTGGAAAGTCACGTCTGAAGTGAAAGGGCAAGCTGTAATGACCTCGGCTGGCCGCAGAAGTCACTCCACACAAGACAGACGAATCACTGCTCAAGGCCAAGGTGCGGGTGAGGCTATGAAGCACATTGGCCCATTCCCATCGACTCGAATTGTGGCCAAGTACCATGGCCTGATAATTTGTCGTTGCCATGCCTCCTCGTGTTATGCTACAACGGCTCAATTGCACGGCAATCGCATGACAATTCCCTTTCCACATTGCCAGGTTCCTGTACCCGCAACTATTGTACCTCAGGAGACATCTTCCCTGCATGGAGAAGCGATGGTCCTCCTTTGTCGACCTTGTTACGAATGTCTGCATTAGTGCCTTGTACGACACAGGGTCCCTAGGTCGTAGCAGCGGAGGAAAAGCCCGGAAATCGCCACTATCGTCGGATATGCAGGCAGGCATAGGAAGCAGCCTCAAACGGGACTATCTGCGTGCTTGGTCAGCACCGGAGACGCTCGCCGGCAGCGCCCAGGATGCTGTCTGCCGAGTAGATTGTCAATCACGGGCAGGACAGGCACATTCTGCGGAAGAGAAGCCGTTGCCGCTGCAGACGTGTAAGCGAGATCTTGAGCTGTCAAACTTGGGAATCCACAGGCATATCCACGCGAGAAACAGTAAGAACTTTGATGGGTCAACATGTCGTTTGAAATGGGGCAAGATAGCAGTGGTACATATGCTGCGAGCAAAACATATTTGCACGGGTCTGCAATCGCAATGGTCATATTTTACGTCAAGTATCGCGCCATGATGAGCACGCCCCTGAGGCCTATAGCAAACGTTGCGCAGCTCTTGTATCCCCGGTGTTTCCTCAACAGTGCGTGCCTGGGCAACCGGCATCAATTCTCTTTCTTTCATGTTGGCTGCGCTTGCGACTGTTTCCGGACTTTACACTACAGACCCGTGGCACAGCTAGGCTCTGATAGAGGCATATGGTTTCAAAGCGATTGGGGTTGTGTCCTCATGCTGCCCACCTGGAGACATTGTTCGGGATCAGCTTCCTGAACATGTCGAGCTGTTTGGCATGCACTGCCATCTTCGCCTCGAGTATCTCAGGTCGCAACTGCAGGGTTTTGTCGCTTCGCTGTTCAGAGCCGCTGTGCACGACGGTGAAGTCCGGGAGACGCGTGTTGGGCGGGACGAACGACGACGGCGAGATGGTACAATACTACTATGTGTCAGTAAACGATAGCAGTCACAAGGAGGAAACCCGCACCTTTCCAAGCACACATCCTCTGCCCAGTACAGCGCCGACCTCTATGACGCTGCCCTCGCCGACCTCGGCGGCCTCGACGATGGCGTTGGACTCAACGACGACGTTCCTGCCCAGCACAGTGCCGTCGCTCCTGACGGTTGCGCTGCTCCGGGCCGACGCCATGCTGCTGCGTCTGCTCTCAGCGTCCAGGTCAGGCCCCACGCCCATGCCCACCTTGGCCCTCTCGTACACGACGACACCTTCACCAAGCACCACGGGCGCCAGCGCACTGCTAATCCTGCTGTGCGGGTGCAGCGTCGTATTCGGCCCCAGCGTGATGGGATGCGTGCCCGTGATTTGCGCGTGTTGGGCAATGAGCACCGAGGGGTCGAGGGCAATCGAGGACGGCTTCGGGAGCATCGACGTGCGCTTAGGCGCCGCCGTAGAACGGCGGTCAGGCCCGGGGCGCGCGGGTGCGGGCTGCGCAGACATGGCGGGGTGCCGGTGAGTGAGTGGCGAGCATGTGGTGGAGTGGAAGCTGTTGCGGGCGTGTCGCTTTGAACAACCGCGCGCCGTCTGCTCCACCGCCGAAGCCAGCCCCACTTGGCCAGAATGCCAGAACGCCAGAGCACGTGATCTGCGGGAGACCCTGTCTGCTTGCCCTCCCGAATGACTCTTAGTATGCCCTGTCGCTCTCTAATACGGGGTGTTATGTCGCCGTCTGTGTCTTTGACGTACTCTTCCTCCAGCCAGAGCAATCCTTCGACAACGATTGTGACCCTAGACGCGAAATTCTCCAGCGATACAACAGGGCCCCAGTTGGACCACCACCTTCCAAGACCCAGCTCCGCATCGCCTGAGCCAGTCTTGGTGGCCACTGGCAAGTATCTTGGCGTCTGGCACTGATAGCCTACGCCATTGAGATTGGGCAGCATATCCTCCAGTGCTCTCAGCGTCTCAGAGCTGGGAGCGTGGCTCCTCTGATCGAGGCCCAACCAACGTGACTTTGGTAATCGAGCTCAACTGCTTCGGGGCGTACTGTTCCAGTCACCTCAGCCAGCCGACGACGTCTGACAGGCTGTATCGAGAAAACACATTCCTCCAAGAAGAGATCCTGCATCTCTGCCCGAACTGACTTGGCCGTAGCTGCGAGGCCCCAAAAGCCCAGCGGCGCAGCTGGCGCCAACGAATAGCGCTTGCCTTTTGCACGGTATCCATGTATAAGCGCTTGCTCGTGGCGACTGAACGTGTACCATCTTGCTATCAGAAAAGAGGCCGTAGATGAGGAGACGTAGCTGTACAATTCATCAGTCATCGTTCATGTTGGAGTTGGATTAGGTATGCATGCCTCAGCTGGTAGGCCCAGTAAAGTTGCATTTGGGTACTGCTCAGGATACCATGGAGGCGCCAGAGTTGCGTGTGACTGCGCTACGGGTTCTGAAATCGATATGGGCTGTCTGGCGGCATTTGCCATGCGTTTTTCACGTCGTGCATTGAAGTTTTGAACTGTATGACCAGCAGTGCCAGCGTTTATACATGATATGAATGTGGTGCAAGTCCTTGGAGGGAGAGTCGTGCGCGTCATCAAGTTGACTGTGGCTCTTCCCAATGTCCAAGTGTGTGTGTGTGTGTGTGTGTGTGTGTGTGTGTGTGTGTGTGTGTGTGTGTGTGTGTGTGTGTGTGTGTGTGTGCGCAACTGACTAATGAGAAGCAGACTTTGCGGGCTTCGTGAGAAAGCAACCCGTGGTGGCCGGGCTCTTT